AGCAGTTTGGGCAGAAGTATTGCTATGAAGAGCGGGTGGAAAACCAGTATAAGAGGAAAAACGCGAATCTGTCAAGAGGTCAGATCCAGTTGCAAATTGCGAAATCTGAAGCATTTTTTTTCTAAAACCATTGGTTTGATTTGTTTGATCCATTTTGAAATGCGAAAAGTGCGTGAAGTGAAGATAGCGTGAAAAGACCGTGAAAAACCCGTGAACACCATCAAAAAACTGGGGGGCAAGACTCAAATGATGGTTTGACTAAAGTTTTTGCAAAATCGAAGATCTGGTGTGACACATTGCGCGCTACCTTTTTGTGGAGCATGTGCGTCATGGATGCTATCTTTAGGATTCAGTAATTTCAATCTCAAGCGCAGGGAACTTGTTGGAACTTAAAGGCCGGTGTTGTTTATTCTGCATTCTTGATGTAATCAAGGATTCTGCCTCTGCTCTTTGGAAGGCAGTAGTGATAGGCAGTGAAATGATGTAAGTAAAGACATGGGGTTAGAGTAACCACAATGTTAAACCTTGTGGTTGGAAGGTCAGGGGTAGATGATGATCTTCACCCTGCGGCCATCCAGGAGCAACGCTTGGAGCAACGCATGGCCGCGTGGTGCGAATTCGCTGCCGGGGGCGCTGTATCTTAAGCCCCATAAGTTGGGATATTTTTTCCTGCAATGACCTAAGCCTGGAATCATGGTTAATAAGGGGAAATCATCTCCAAGATGATCTTATTTCAGGTTAGTGAATTATTATCATTATTATCATTTACCTATATATATATATATGTATATATCCAGCTGGACATTTCCGAGTATGATGTATAGGTATGGAGGGAGTTAAGGAGCTAGGGGTATTCCCTTTAAATGGGGAGCCAAGGAGCTATATACGCAGAGTTTCCCAACCACATGAAAGAGGAGGACAATATAGTCATTACCTTCCGGTACTCAAATATGGCAATTAATGTCTAGGTCAATCTTGGTAGAAACTATATAATCCTAACTAGTCTTGTGGTATGGGATTATCTACGTTGACCAGCTGCCAGAGGTCATTTTTTGCAGGGTATTTGGCTGGCCATGAAATGCCACCATGCCCAGCACTGGGATGATGAAGCATGTTTTTTTCCCTCATTTTTGGTGACTCAATCATGCACAAATGCCAATACTCATTATACAAATCACACTCTTGTTGTTCTTTGCATTGTTTTTTTTTGTGATTGTTTGTGTAATTAATTTATAATTATATTTGCATTATATACATATACATACAAATGCATGTATCGATGTATACATACATGAGAGGGACTTGTTTGTGTAATTAATTTATAATTATATTTGCATTATATACATATACACATACAAATGCATGTATCGATGTATACATACATGAGAGGGACTCTTGTAATGGTTTATACCGAGACACCATCCAAATAGCAATTTCAATAGGGACGAGGGATGATGATACTCCAATAAGCGAAACAGTCTGGAAAACACATTGGTAAACTAAGGAATATGTTTTACTTTCATGGTGGATTTTCCATTTCCAGGTTAGTTTGCAGAACCTGTTCTGCTCACAATAGTGATACCCCAACATGATCTTTTTGTGGTGAACGTGGGGATGAACCATATGTATTTGGGTTATGGACTTTTTACGCGTACCCATATCTATATAAATATATGATAATATATAAGATATAGGGAGGGGATTTGATCGCTAGATGGATGCATCAACAGATAGACGGAACAAACAATAACAAAAATCATGGATGGATAGATAAATAGCTTAGCTATGGTTAGCTGGTTTTGTTTTCCCCGCATTTCCCCATTGTTTATCGCTTCAACTGACCATTCTCCTGCTGGCCCTGCCTTAAGGTTGCTCAGCAGGAGAGGCTGCAGTCTCTGGAAAAGGCGCGACGGATCGCAGGATCGGTATCATGGTGATCATTAAAAAAATGATTCCGCTTAATACTGATCATTTACTTATTATTTCAATCATTGTATTTTTTTGAATCTTATTATTGTTTTTGTTATTAGTTATTTATATATATATATATATATACATGTATGTGTATATATATATATACATATGTAGGTTTTAATCTTTTTACTATATATATATATATATTATAGACTTAGACTTATAGTTACTAGGGTTTAGTAGGCGCAACTTCCACCTGGACTACCACCTGGCCACGGTTCTTTTCAACGGTCGCCATGGTGAGTCTGAGGGATTTTTACCCTCCGATTGCAGCTGGGACATCCCCATGAAAAAAGGAGGTTTATAGCTGGGAAAAGCATCTACAGAGGGGGATGTTCCATTGCTATATGTTCATAACCGTTTTTTTTTGATCACGCGAATGGGGAAACCCGTTCGGAAAATAATCTACTTTCATGGTGCATTTTCCACAGGAGAATGCTTTGCCCATATAGGGTTTCCCAACCAAAAAAAAAATAATCACTACGGCCCAACATCAGAATTTTAGTCACCATTTTTGTAGGCATTCTCAGCCAAGGGCATTCTCAGCCAAGAGCTAACAATCGTATGGTACACCGGGCAGTACAATTAAAGGGCATTTTATCCGGGGAAATGCTGGTCTGAACCCAAGGGATTTGGGGGTTGCCTATTTTCAGGCAAACCCGTTAAAATTGATGCATCCCAGTTATGTGGTTAGCACCTGTGTTTCAACAGTAATCCCAGATGAATGGGTGATCAGCCACGGGTGAAAGTGGCATATACCATCAGCATTGGATAGGTATACAGGTGTGTGGAGATTCAACCAAGAACCAGTTTTTTTAGGGTGTCGATTCTTTGAAGATGGGATTGCAAAGGGACATTTCACCAGCAAGACATTGGCATCACCTGGATCATGTGTTTTTTTGTGCTGCGAATGGGACAGGTTCAACAAGTCGTGGCCTCAAAAAACAGATGCTATCAACCCAGCCAGCACCAGTTGGCCCCTACTTCTGGCCTTTTCTGATTGGTTGGTTGGCTCAACCATTGAGCAATGTTTTTTCTTTTCTGAAAAGTTGGCAGATGATTGGTGGGAGGTGATGCTCTAAACCGAAGCATATTGGTGATTCAAATGGGAATCACCATTCAATCGCCATGAGGGAACTTTGACACTTCTCTATTCAGAGATGAATATGGCCATGGCTCAAAACCTATAATATTAGATTTTTGGGGAATTTACATAGATTCAGATCCCAGCTATTTTCATGTTCACCATGTCACCATGTGTACAGATAACTGGAACGGCACAAAAGTGTGTCCCGGCTAGTCCAGTGGAAAAGTCAGCCTTGGGACAGGGGCCAAAAAAAGCAAACTAGGCTGGTTGGTGGTTTGGAACATTTTTTAAGACTTTCCATATATTGGGAATGTCATCATCCCAACTGACGAACTCATATTTTTCAGAGGGGTAGGTATAACACCAACCAGCTAAGTGTTGGTTCAAAACCACGTGTATTTATGGCTGGTTTTATTATTAAGCAAGAAATACCGTAGATGGACGATGAAATCAATCCCCTGCTGTATTGTTGTCGCCCCCACATCGCCAAATTTCAGTGTTGCCTTTGGGCTGCGGGCTTGGGGCCGGTGGACAAAAAAATCAAACCCTAACGCAGAGGAAACTATATTGGGGGCCTGGGGTTTCATTTGGTAGGCGCCTGCGTGATTTGATTTTTGTTGTCCATCTACTGTATGTACATATAAAACTGTTGCTTACTAACCAAGTGTTTTCATGGCTGGTTAAGTAAGCAATATATATATATATAACTGATGTTTATTAACCACATGTTCTTATGACTGGTTAAATACTGGTTAATGTCAAGCAATGTTCAGCATTGTCATCATCAACCTCATGACAACAATCATCGTCGAGATTACCATCACAACCGTCGCCGCGCCGCCGCCGCCGCCGCCGCCCCACCATTACCACCATTGTCATCATCGTCATCATCATCATCATCACCATCACCATCAACACCACCACCATCATCATCATCATGAATCATCATCATCATCATCATCATCATCATCATCGCAATCACACCTCCACTGCACCCCATTTTATCGCAGTGCATGTAAGTTTTCGTTTACTCACCTAGTCCAGCTGCAAGTGAGCCGATTGGACTAGGTTTGGGAGTCGCAAACCAGACCTTGGATGGCAAGCGTCAAGCCTGCTAAGTATTGTGGCCCTTAATGGCTTTTGAATGCATCGGCTGCCCTTTGCTGTGGAAGAGGGATCGGAATTTCATTTCGGAATCTGCGGCGGGCCTTGTTGACCAATCCACCCCGAATAAATTAGGCAAGGCTGAAGTTGACTTGCTCCCTGCTGACAGGGTCCAAAAACATGCCATCACAGCAACCAAAGGCAACAAAACTCTGATATGATCTTCATGTGAGCCAAGGGTTCTTCACTGGGCGCACACAGTTGACAATAGCATCTCGGCGCGGCATTGCGCTAATAAGTTTCCATGTGATTCAGCATGGCATGTTGCTGACAGACAACACAACACGTCGCAACCCTTCTACGGTGCTGGCATTTTACCAAGTAAAAGCTATAGCCCGATTTCTGGAATGATAATTCCATTTAACCTTAAACTTGTATAACTTGTAAAAACAAGCGATAAAGGACCACAACTGTATAGATAGCACAGAAGCCAATCACTCTTTGTCAGGCGTTGAGTGGCAAGGCTTCCAACGACCACGTGGCCCAGTGCGGGGGCCAAACAGGTTGGGGTAAGCCCCGGCAGCCGGATGCACATGACTCATGACTTTCCTTGGGATCACCAAGGCTGCAAAGTTCCATGGATGCTGTCATGGCTGAGCAAACCCGTGGACGCACTCAACAGGTGGGATTCAACAATTCCGGGAAGAGGGGGGCAGCTCGTTCTTGTTTTTTTTTGAAAGATAAACGGCATTGTTTTGATTGATATTGAATAGATTTGAACTGGCATCCACCTGCTTTGTTTGGAGATGAAATATTCACAACCGTTTGGGGTGTGGATGTTTTACCCACACAGTTTTTTTGAAGAAGAACCGTGTGCTTCCCATATGTTTCCACCATTTTGTTTCGTGCCTATAACTGGAACGCTGGCAATTCTGCACTAGTTTAAATTTTCAAATGTCTGAATTGCATTTTCGTGCCACATATGGAGATACATACCAACTGGTTATTATATGCACCAGACAGAGACCCGCTCGATGTCAGGAACAACTCTTGGAGGAGTTGAATGTGACCATTGTGGACATCAAGAGCCGGGTGCGGATGGCATTCCCATCCGGTCACAACACACGAGCAGGGAAATTCATGGTGATTTTTTTGGGGGGGATTCCAACAAAAATCATCGTTCTAGTATTTTTTTGCCATCATGTTACATGTTTTGTTGTTTAAATTTGACCGGTTGGTACAGTTGCCATAGCTATAGGTTTAACATGGTTTAACCATGTTTATAATAACCTAGTTGATAATTTGATATCATTGTCGTGGTTCCTATATGTTTTTGACTGACGCAGGTTGGCAGTCACATTAATATTGTGATGAAGAATTCGTGGCAATCAATGGCAATCATGTTTTTGTGACAGACTAGATGTGTGTTTTGTTCCTCTAAAAGTTGGAATGAACTGGATATTGGTTTACCACTGCAGTTTCCAAGTTTGCTTGCGTGATAGTCAACATTATGTGGAGGTTTCCTAAAAAGGGGGTACCCCGAAATCATCCAAATTTGGAGCATTTAAGTAATTACCAATGATGACTTGGGGATCCCGATTCCTTCCCAACCTCCGGGCCAACAGCAATGCACCATGGTGATCCATCATGTTTGGTGATTCCAATGGGACAACACAATGATTCCAAGGAACTGTTATTTCCCACTGCTGGTTGGTGCCTGGTCCATTTCCGAATGTTGTTTCCACCCTACCATTGTTGGTAACAATCCACATGTTGATTGGCATTTATTTTTTACATGTTTGTTTTTTGTTCTCGTTACCAATGATGTCAGTGTTGTTTCTCAACATTTTTTGTGGTTCTTGGTTGGCACTGCTGGTATGTCCAGAACTGCGGTATTGGTCATTGAAATTGCATTTTTTGGCTGCTGTAAAATTGGAGCAGGATATTTTCAGACAAACCCCAAATACAATAACAAGATTGTTTGTGGGTTGCATGCCTTCATTTGCCAATCAGTTTGGATCATAATCCAATTACATCCACTTACTGCAACATCATGCACAGCATAACAGCAGGGTTCAATGCTAGTCGCATGTCCAATTAATGGTCCCCAAAGACAAATGCAGCTCAGTTTTCTGTGAATGAACAAAATGTGTTTACCCGCCACAGTTGTGGCCCGATTTACCAGTTACAAGTCAGTGACATTATATTACTCCATTTATGAAATGATAAGCCCCCCAGAAATAACCATGAAAATTACTGGTTTTGGGGGTTTGAACTGTATTTTGTTGCGGGATTTTCTCTCGGTTTTTGTAGGGATTCTACGGTTATTGTTGGGGACCGTTGTTGACACGAAGATCGATCCGCCAGGTTTCGGAGGCGGAGAGCAACATCCGCGCAGGTGTCGAAGAAAATGACCGCAGCAACTGATGTTTTACTTGGGTATGGATCAATACCTATTAAACATTACGAAAACACACCATAAACATCCAGAAGTCATAGTTATGTCAGTTATGTCTACCAGTTTTAGTGCACATAAATGGGTATGGATCAATACCTATGAAAATACCATTTTTAGGGGGATGAACATCCATAAATCCCAGCTATTTTGATGTGAACAGAAGGGGTACTATTGGTTTTGACACACTGCCACTTTTGTGCCGCAGGAGATGTTCTTACAAAAAAAATGAAGAGAAGATACTAGGTGATACTATATAGTATTTCATCGTATTTCTATGTTTGATCGTTAGATTGGAGAGTAAAACCCCGCTTTTGGTGTGCTTTTGGTGAAACCCCCAATCCTTTTCCAGCTTCAAGAGATCAATATTGGTAGTTGGGTTTTTTATCGCCTTGGTTAGATGGCCGGTGATACCCCATGGGTTGTTTTTGTACTTGGTGCAGTTGGGAATATGAATGGCAATCACCTGGTTATCATGATAACAAAGTAACTGATGATCAGGATAACCAAATGATATCTAGGATATTGGGATAATGGTAATGGTTCACATGGTTATCAGTTGGGAAAATGAATGGCAAGTAAGAACCTCCTTAAGTTGAGAAGCCCTGGTAACTACGTAGAAATATCTTAGCAATCATTATCCTGGCAGGACACACTGCGTGTTTTGGTCACATTGTGCATTTAAGGTTTGATTGATGACATGTTTTTTTTTTGCTGGGCTTCTAATTGGAACATGTCAGATCTACTCGATGCATGTCAGGTACTGCGTTGTAGCACTTGGAAGCCAGCATATCATTCCCAATTAGATTAGTTTTGACAAAATTGGACAACCCCAAAAAAAAGAATGGTTGATACAAGGCGTGAACATGTCATTTGTGGTTCCAAGCGTGATTGGAAAATAAGCCAAGTTATTTGTTAACTAACAAAGACTGGAAAACAGTGACAAACAACAGTGGCTGGTGGCTGGTCTTGTTGCTGGTTTCTCCCAGCACAATCATCCCACTTGGTTTAAATATACTTTGGATGGCTGAACAGCCAATCAGCCAATCAAGGCTACCATGTGGCCCCGCCCAGTTATAAGTTGGTTTATAAGCCCCAGTAACTAGTTCGTTATAAGTACCATAAACCATAGTTATTGGAGTTATGTTCACCAACTTAGCTATCCAACGGGGGCCTCACATTGTACTCTTTGAATGATCACATTGGAAAATGAGAAGACCGGACAGGATTTCCCAGTGGACTACACAGCCAGGTGCCTCCCAAGTGATATGTTTCATCTAAAACTGGGGATGTTCCCGAAAAACACTGGCTTAGAGGATGGTTCCAGTAGTTCGATTACTGCAGAATCACCACAAAATTGAAGACTGTAAATCATTGATCTTTCTTTTGTGCAGTTCGCTTCCAGTTCGCAAACAGAGGGTATCATATTGCTGCAGAGTGTACCAAGATACTAGAGTCCCGTTGAGTCACCAGGAGCCGAGATGATGCAGCGATTGGAGGTGCTGCGATCGAGCGAACTCAAGCAGATTTTTTTTGGGCGAGTCGAGTAACAGAAACCTGTGGATTTAAAATCTTGACTTAAGCAAGAAAAATGGCAGTATCATCGGACCCCCTGGTTATAAGTTGGGTTTATGAACCCCATTAGCTATAGTTATTGGAAGATGTTAGAAGTATTTGTATGAATTTCATCGCGACTTCACGTCAAATCCTGGGTTGAATTTGCTTCTTTTGGTTCATAGATCATTTTTGATGTTTTTGTCTCGAAGATGTTATTCGGGAAATGGGGGGAGCAACACCAATGGGGTGTCTGGAAACATAAATATTCATTCGTTCCGGAAATCAAGCCCTTGAATCGCTCTATTCCGTTGACTTTTCAGGACACCATCAGTTTTTCAGCGGTATGGCTATGGGTCATTACCAATGACTCCCCCAAAGCATGGCAATGGTTCCATACCAACTTGGTGAGTCTGGGTACCTCCAAATTGGCATGATGAAAACCCCAACATGCCCACTGTCTAAGAAGGGTTCTTGTTGGGTTTGTCACCTGATATTACATCCCTATGGATCCGGCTAGCCCACTGTCGAAAAAGGTCCTTAACCTAACCCCCCAGTCATCATACCCCCCACTTCCTTTCAGAAGGCACGGCTGGATCCATAGGGTATCATATAGCCTCCGGTAAACAATCATTGCACTTGATTTTTCCCATGTGTTGACTGGACAATTGCCGCCATTGCCAGGATTGCGCAGAGTAAACTGCCCCAAGATACCATGATCATCATGTTCTCTACGAAGATGGTATCCTGGTCTTTGTTTAGCACCCCATTGACACATAGCCACCATGTATAGATATTTGTATCATGATAGTAATTATGTATGATTATATATGTTTAAATCATATGCAATGAATAAATCATGGAATAACGTGTTTACTTTTGATCCCTCAATGTTCTCGACATGGAACATGTACCCCATGATTCCTCGAATTGGTGGGAACTATGTAGATATACTTCATGATATACATGATTCTGATACTAGATAGCTACATTGATGGTGTGAGATAATTTATTGATACTCAGACTATCTAAACAGTATCTAAATAACAATAATAATAATAGTTATTATTATAATATATATATATATTTACATGATATATGAATATATATATATATATACATGATATATGAATATATATATATATATATATCCATTAGATTATATTGATCTATGACCCTATGGATCCAAGATCTACCCAAGGGCGTCGGACGTTCCTTGGATCGTCGACTGGAAGTCATGGAGAAGGAGCCGCTTTCGAACAATTCGTGTCGCCCCTGAGACGATTTGGGTGATCGCCCCATGTCTATGGAAAAATTGGGAAAACCATGGGAAAACCATGGGAAAACAATGGGAAAACCATGGGAAAATGGTGATTTATATGGACAGATCCACCATTTTTCATGGGAAAATTCACTATTTCTATGGTGATTTTGAGGAATTGGCTTTGATTCTATGATTCAAAAGCCTGGAAACCGGGTTGTCAGACCAAAATGGCCGGTGCTCAATCCCTGTTCATGATAAGTATCTGAAACGGGGGTATGTTTCCCTGGAGGGCTACACTATTTTCAAACAAACCCATTCATGTATGCACGTGTATAATCGTGTATATATATATATATATGCATATGCATACATATATCATATGTAAAATATGTAAATGGGAAGTTGTATAAAATACATATGGCAACATACTTTTTTGACAATTTTTGACCCATCCCAAAATGACCTGCTGGAGTACAACGGTCGCCATCTCCTTGTTGCGGTAATTGAATATCGTGCTGCTGAACTGGTAGCTGTTGATAATTTTTTTTCTTTCCTTTTCAAGTTGGATGAAGGACTCGGAATTGCAGGCCTTGCCTGTGGCCATTGGTTAGAATCCTGCAGGAACTCCCCTGAAACGTTTCTGTTGACTGGTGTTGAATCCCCAAATGTCCACATGTGTTCCAAAATTTTCGCAAATGGTCCCAGATGATCCGATCTTTTCCCGAAAGTATATACTTGGATCTGCATCCCACTTAGTGATCTTAGTGATTTATGACCCACATATACCCTCTGGTAATTTAACGTGGCTATGGATGCAAATTACCAAAAGCATTGGAGCAAGCCCATTGACAGATCGTTTGCGGATATTTGCAAGATAAGTTCGGAATGGTGGGAACCCTTTCTCCCGAAGACATTAAGATATTATACGTACCCATTTGCGCTCCCCAAATCCAGTACTGCTTTAGACTTGAATTCGCCAATTGACCCCAAAAAGGATCCCAAAGGTATCCGGGTTCCCTCAAAGCAATCCTTGATGACATTTCAACGACATGTTGATTGGTGAAATTCGATTGTTTCCTGTTTCCTATTAAGAAAAAGAACCACATGTGCCACATGTCCCTATGGTTCTTCATTCTTACACCCATACGCGAACCATGGTGCTGGAATATTTACCTACAAAACTGGGTCACAAAAAGGTACAGTAAATGTTGGCGTTTATATACCAGCACCATGGGTTGCATTGGGGACCAGGTATTTTTTTCATTCAACGGTAAATCACTGAGTTTTTCACTACGGAAAGTCATGGAACTACGGTCCCAGGAGACGAGCGAGAAGCTGGAACAGCACGCACAACAGCTGAAGGAGGGGTCCAGGAAAGATGGGAAGCTTCAGGAGACCGCCATAGGGGAGCTATGAAAAAATACTGTGAGGGGCTATCCATTGCTATCCCATGTTCAACCAGAGTTTTGTTGTGTTGATTGGTGACCAATTATTTCTGGGTTCTAGTACACCATGTTCAACCATACTCACAGTGTTTGCTGGTTAAACTGAACTTACCATTTCACCCATTTACCACGCATTATAGAATTACTAACCAACCATCAATTAACCCTTCTTTAGCCAACCATTGCCCTTGAACCAATCATCACTAACCCAAAAAATGAGCCGATGACTTACTTTTATTGGCTATACTCATTAAGCAATCATTTGAATTCCATGTAAAGCTAGTTGGTTCATGGTTTCGTTGGTAAGAATTTAGACCCCAATCTCACCAATACCATTCACCAATCTCACCTTGTAGGGATTGAAGCAATTTTTCACATCCATTCACAATAGGTAAATCAAATTCTGGTTGGTGGTATACCTACCCCTCTGAAGACTATGAAAGTCAATTGGGATGATTATTCCCAATATATGGAAACATATAAAATGTTCCAAACCACTAACCAGAAATTTCATTCTAAATCTGTAGCTATAGAAACTGGTTACTGGTTCATGTACATTTTTTTAAAGGAAACTATCGGAGCATGGTGATTTGTTAAATTTCGCAAAGGCTTATTCACCAGTTACGGGCCGTGCGATGGTTCTCCAAGCACCTAGACCTTCAGTACAGGTACCCCCAAAATGGCACAAGTACCCTGAACCAATATAACATTAGCGGACAACTTACTTTCATTGGTTACACCCACCAATCCAAGTTATTCGATTGACTTGACCAATAAAATTGGCTATTGTTGGTTAACGATTGACCAATGGATTGGTTGTTCGATTGGTTGAATTGAATAATTAATTTTCATAACCCATTTGAATTCGATTGCCTTTTCACCCACCACAGGAAGGCCTGCTGAAGATGAGTCGCGAGATGGAGGAGAAGGTCGAGTCGGTCTCGGGCTCGACCCCCGAAAGATGGGAGAAGTTATGAATAGCCTGGTTTTGTTGATACTGTTTAGTGGGAGTTTTTTATATGGGATTTGATGTGACAACAAACCGAGAAGTTTTTAGGAACATGCTGGTTGTTCACGGGATGTTGTTTCAGGATTTCATGGGGATTGAATGGGATCTTTTCTGTGGATTTAATGGGGGTTTATGATTAACACATATTACAAACATGGAGAAGCTATGAATAGCTGTTGTGGACTTGTTTGAAAATAGCAACAGGATGTGCCGTGGATGTGCTGCAAACCTCACGGGTCTCGGTGTGTAATGATTTCAGTGTTTGGTTGGACTCTTGGCTGATCGGTATTCCCATGTGAGCAGGTTTATTCTTGATGCACAACAGGAACATGTTAACCAAGTCTTGTCAGCATGTATACATGTAGTTATCAGCATATACATATATATATATATATAATGTTATATATATAATGTTATATATATATATATGTCTATATATGTATATATATATATATGTATATATATGTATATATATATATATGTATGTATGTATATATATATATATATGTATGTATATATATATGTATATATATATATATATACGTATATCTTCGGTAGAGTGACAAAAACTGGTCATTCTGAAGAAGCACAGGGGAGAAACATGGGTTGCAGTTTGCAACATTAGGGTCCTTGATAAACCGGCTACCACCCAGTTCTGGGGCACCACTCAGCCAGTTGGGATTGCCATGGCGCAGCTGGATTTTTCAACCCATTACGTACTACCGGACATAGTAGATATGATATTTGTTGTAAACACAGTATATACCACACAAAAAGCTCCCCGACTTATGTTTGTTGGTTGAGTTTCACATATCTAGAGAGAGAATACTATAGAATACTGTAGGTATATCCACCATGAACCCAATAGTTATAAAAGTTGCTTGTATGCTTACCAACGGACTTCACTTCCTAGGGCCACTGAAACCGCCGGACCCTCCACTGCTGAAACAACATCTGAGAAAATTGAGTCGCTAAACAAACCCAACTGTTGATTGTTTGTCATGTTGGTGTGTACTACAGTGCATGGTTTGTCAGGGATAGTTTTTATGATACTGTCATACTGTAATCACAAATTAGAATAATTAGGGATACGGTATTGCACTGAATTGCAATCACTGCTCACCAAGTCCGTTGTGTGACCATTTTGCCAGCACCGTGTTGGGTCGAATTGCGTGATGCTTGGATGATCTCCAAACCAGGGAGATCGGCAGCCGCTCTCAACAGAGGGAGCTGCAGCTGGGCTTTGGTCCAAAGCCAACGTAGTGTCAATCAGACTCACCCACACTCACAACATGCGGTGTAGAAATGCGCAGAGTTTGCGACTTGGAGATGTTTTTTGACTGCCCTCCTCAAGATATTGTTGATTGTCTCCCTATGGATGTGACGCCTGGAATCATGCGCTTGATTGGAGTGGATCCAGACATTGGAGCCGAGACTGTCCCGGATACCCATCAACCAACCAGTGTAATGGGATTGGGAGGTTGGCATTCTTCCATGGCTCAATTGGGGCAACTCACACTGAGTAAGACGTATTAAGACGCATAGACCCACAGGTGATGAGTTTCAGTCTCATCCATTCACTCGCCATTCAAATACCAATGGCCATTCAGCCATTAAGATGCCTAGATTGGAGGTACCAACCACATGCAAGGGCTGTGTAATGCAGATACACCCCCCAAATCCCCCAACATTACAAATCTGGTTGGTGGTTTGGAACATGAATTTTATTTTTCCATATATTGGGAATAATCATCCCAGCTGACTTTCATATTTTTCAGAGGGGTAGGTATACCACCAACCAGACAAATGTTTGACCATTTAGTTTGAGGATTTACCACGTTTGATGAAATCGGTGGGAGCATGGCCCATGACCCTTGGATCAGCCGGGCCTTGGCAGGCCGCAGAAGCTCAGGCAGTTCCAGCGGAAAATTGGTGAAGTACCCCCTACTTGAGGGATCAGACGAATCGTAGCTGGGAATATCAAGGGAATCGTTTTTTTTTTGAAAATACGTATCCCCTAGTGCTCCAAATAGCCTCTGAGAAGGTGTTTGGAGCTGTAAGGATCAAATAGAAATGGGATTTTTTGATGGGAATATTTGGAGGATCATCCCACATGATGTAACTGGTGTTTGTGTCAGTATACCCAGTTAGTGGGATGATTTTCCACGTGTTTATTCAATTGAAAATCAAGTTGATGGAAAACACTTGAAAACACATCAGAGTGGAAGTCGATGTTCAATTTCATCTAGTTTCATGTAATGCATGTAAAGCCCAACAAAAACTATCCCAGGTTTATGAACTTGGGTAGTGTTAGATCCCGATTAGTGTCATGGGACTCTATTGTGAGATAATTTCCAAAAAATATTGAGTATCTTCTGGCATTTTGAAAAGAACTCAATTTTGAGAAGTTTGTTTCTCAGATCCATTTTGTTTCAGGAGGAGCTTTATCCACCTCTATACACCTTTCTTTGGGTAAAGTTGATCCATTTACTTTAGAAAGCCATATCCATGTTAAAGCCTTGAACATGCAATGTTTTCCAAATAACTAGATGCCTTATTAAACCCTTAATATGAAACAGCATCCAGGCACTTTTTCAAGGGGGTACCCCATGAGCGGCCCAGATCGTCAATAATGTACAGTAGTTGTTTCGATGGTACCCTATTGTGCACAACAACTTTTGGGATGAAAAAAACAAAACCCTTTCTCCGCCTTTCTTTGGGTAGAGCTGGTCTCTTTACTTTAGAAAGCCATATCCATGTTAAAGCCATTCAAATGAACTGAAAGTAAATTGATTTCAATTGAAATCCTTTCTTATCAATAGATTCCTTTGAGGTTTAAAAAGTTCAAAAGGAAAATCAACTGAAACTAGATTCAAATGAATTGGAAGTAAATTTATTGCACTTGAAATCCTTTCTTATCAATAGATGTCTTTGAGGTTTAAAAGTAAAAGCAATTGAACGTAGATTGATGTCAATTGAAAGCCTTTCTTATCAATATATGTTTTTGAAGTTTAAAAGGAACATCAATTGAAAGTAGATTGATGTCAATTGAAATCCTTACTTAAGTTGATCATCCTGAATCCCCAGGACTGGTTCCCAAGAAAATGCCGAGTTATTGAGTAGCCTAAAATTGTTAAGTGGTAGGCCCCCCCTACACTAATCAGTATCCAACATTATACCTCTTTGACGATGATGCCAAATAACCATATAATAATTATGGTTAGCAAATGGGATGGTGATAATGGTGTCATTTATTGCAGTTTCTTTAGTGTTCATCCGGGTTTTTCTCCAATTTTCGGAAAGTCCTTTCGCCAGGTTCAATCCCTCCGATCGAGCCTTGCAGCCCTTGAGGAGCGGTGAAATGTCTGAGATGTCCCAAGGCACATTGACCTGCTGTTGCTATTCTCCCAAGCAGGAGGGTCATTGCCCCATTGAAGAACAACTATGTCTTGGGATGACGTCGCGAAAGCTGTAGCTCAACTGCCGCTTCAAAGTATCCCATTTTGGCGATTTCAAACAGCACCTTATGGCTAGCTGATAATCCACGATTCCCCATTCATGGTTCTGACTGATGTTCATCTAGGGAATATAGCATAATATAGCCATCACCTGTTCTTAGTGGTCAATATAATATACCCTCCGGCCATCAAATATGGCAATGTTTGGCAATGGCAATGGACATTTCAAGATTTAGTTCAATGATTTTCCCATTAAACCCTCCATGTAGGAGTAAATGTCCATTGCCATGTTTGATTACCGGATGGGTAAAAATCAAAGATAAATTTGTCTTCAAACATGTTTTTCTTGGCAAAACTGACTTTGTAAGTCGGCGTAGTTTTCACCCGACTGTAGTAATCTATGCACCATGAGTCCAATCGTTGGCCTAGATACTTCTACCATTTTATACCGACAGGAACAGATCTGAGACTGATCTGTTTTGGGCCCCACATTGCATGAATGTCTTCGTCCAGCATTTTCCATAGTTCTCTGCATTCAGGTTCTGCTGGACTATGCTGATTCAATCCCCTGGAAATATCAATGTTCATTGGTGAAATCCCGAAAAACCACCAGGTCCAACGTTTCACTGTCCGTTCACCCTTTTCCAGAGGCTGGGGTCCCTAACCGATAGCTAAGTTGACGCACAGAACTAGCTCAACCATGGTTTTATACTATGTATAACTAATAACGATACTTCATGATCTTCATGGGCTTTGGAAGTCAAACATGGTTATAATATGTTATAATTATAAGTGTGTAACGTTTACAAACTAACTTTATAAACCAACTTTACAATGTGTTTTGTTTTTCCCCAGTTATAACGTTGGTTTATAAACGCCCATGACACATGATCAACGTCGTTCTCCCAGGAGAAGTCCAACGAAATCAGCCGCAACAGGCAACAGGAGGTGCCTGGGGGCCGAAAAAAATGGATACCCCACGAATTGAGGACCTGCTACCCTCTGGTAAACATACAAAAAGCTATTGAAAATGGCCATTTATAGTGGATTTTCCCATGAAAAATGGTGGATCTTTCCATAGCTATGTTAAATTACCAGAGGCTAACCAGGCTACTATTAACCACTTACGAGGACCGTGGGATGATCCTCCAAGTAGTAAATCTTCATGTCAGTCTGCAGCTGAAGAAGGGTCCCTTCGTGCTGTCTTCCATGATGATTTGTACACACCCTGTCACCAAGTAGTAATTCGAAAATAAACATTTGTGGGTTTTCCGAAATGAAATCCCCATTAGATCTTCATTAAAACATCATTTTCATGGTTAAACCAAGTTCAACCAGCATGTTTCACCATTTTTCGCGGTGAAACCACCATTTGTCACCATTTTTCATGCGTAAATCGCCATTCACCCATGGTGAGAATCTTCCACCCGAGGCGCACCAGCTGAAATCTGCGCTGGACCACATGACCAGCTCTGAACCTTGGATGATTTGGATTTGGATGTGATCCGAAGGCTCCCCAAAGAGATTCACATGACAAATTCAGAGGTTTTTTTTTCCGGGTTTTACTGATATTTCATGGGGAATATCATAGGATATACCATCTATATGCAATCAAAAAGAGCAATGGGAAATCCATACCCATGAACATATCCTCTATAAAATGAGAGGGGTCAAGGCATGCCATATTTCGTTTTATGTACCTCCAGCTGCAGCCCTTCAGGGGGTCACTCACCCTATTTTATAGTGATTTTAAGGTTGTAGGTGAAATCTGTCGAGATTTGCTCAGGTTTTTGCAGTGCAGCCATGATCCAGGTTTTATGTCTATAAAATGGCTTGCAGGACCCCCTCCCGTGTATGTTCATAGGGATGGAAATCCTCTATCAATGGAGGTTTGGAGAAGATCATCGAACCATAGCTGGTGGATTTTCCAGCGGAGAAGATTACCAGAGGGTAACCAGCAGCAATAGGGAATTGTATGAATTTAGATGATTTAGATATGTCTACATGGGTTATGAACACAACACATGGTAAATATGTGCACTTGGGCGCTTGGATGTGCATGCCAGACTCGTAAGTGGTTAACATGCATAACATAAGCAAGCTATACTGGTTGGTGGTTTGGAACATGAATTTTATTTTTCCATATATTGGGAACAATAATTAATAATCCCAACTGACGAACTCATATTTTTCAGAGGGGTAGGTATGCCACCAAGCAGATAAGCAAGCTATATCACAGGGTACAATTACCTCAGTGATATATGGATTACGACCCATTTATCCAGTGGGATCCACCCCCAAAGCAATAGATTGAAATAGTTCGAATGAGTTTTCTATGGCAACAAATGGGAGAAGAAGATAGACAAGTTATTTATCACATCTTGGGATTTGTTGCGGGATTTCCAGTGGTTTTTTCATGGCAACACCATTGAAATTTCATGGGGATTTCACCGGTTCTACAGCCAGAAAAATATGTGGATCTCAGCTGGTTTTATGCAAGGTGAGGCCCCCAAAGGATAGCTAAGTTGACTTGTTACTTGGTTAACATTTGGGTTTATGGGGAATATATATATATACATTATATACAATTACACATATATTATACATACAATTATACATATATTATATATATATATATTATATATATATATATATATGTAATATATATATAATATATATATATATATATTATATATATATTACATATATATATATTATACAAATAATATATATAATCATATATATATAAAATCATATATATATATATATATAATCATATATATATGGTTTACGTATAAATTATCTATTAAACATTGTGTTTGCTCACCAGAGGGTACATGTATTAAACCCCATAAAATCCACATCAATTCTATTCTATTGCCATCATATTCCCATGATATTCCCATAAGTTAACCCTTAAAATGTGTTTTTCTTAATTTGAGCATCCAGAATTTTGCAAATCTCTTCCTGGGTCTGAACCGTTGGAGCCGCAACCAAACTGCAGAATGATACGCTCCAAAAATGAATTGACAAAACCCTCTAAAAGCTGCAAATGTGAGATATTCAAGGCAAAACAACCGCTTCCAAAGAGCAGATTCCTGGCAAAATCATGGCAAACCCCTGGCTTCCATCAATCGGTGACATCACCGAGTGCCATTCTTAAAAGGATCCTTTGATCCGGGTTTGGGGTGCACAGTACCCCATCAGATAAGTCAAATATTATATTAAGACATATTGTATATCCCATGATTGGTTAATGTTAATATTAACGTTAATCATTGGTTAATAATCCTATGGTAACATTAATCCTACTAATATGATACTTGAGACCCAATTATGTTAATTCTATCCCCCATGATATTTCACAAAAAATGCGAAAGTTTCCCCATCAATTCCCTATTAGATTTCTTATTATAGCTGGATCATTTCCATTATATATCATATAAAATATTGCCTTCGTATGCCCTGGCTAAATCCCCATTAACATGTATCATAACTTCCCCATTGTAATTTCCCCACATATGTGTACATTATATATATACACATACGGTATACCTAGGTGTATTTATATAGTTTTTGTGAATTTATATACACATAACCCACGATGACCCCTATATGGCTGGTAACATTCCACTGGGGCCCCTATTGAAATCTCATTGAACCCCCCAATCCACCATGATGTTCCAACTTTTATCTGCTTAAAATCCATATTTTCTATGGTATTCATCACATTCCAGTATATTCCAGTGAATATCACCCATCCCCATTTAAAAAAACATGAAAGCACCATTCTTGAACCATTTGCGAGGTAAGCGCCTTGAAGACAGAGGCGGGACAATCACTGGGATCGAAGTGATTTCTTGCGGACGATTGCCATGTTTAATCGTCAGTATATATCTGTGGAAGTGCTTGTGGAGAATTGAATACTTGGATAATTGAATATATAAGAGTAAATCGTGATATATAAGGGTAATTGTGGAGAATTGCAATTGCCATATTTATTGTGCCATCGTGATATATAAGGCTAAATCCAGCGGTGGATTGAATCATTATCCCTATGAAAATGGCAATGAGACGAGGAAGACCACCCCATTTACAGACACACCCCCAGCACCAAGCCTTAAATATAATGTATTGTTGCTTAAGATATCTCAATTTGATTCTGGAAACATGTATTTTGGGCCAATGGATACTGTAAATATATATATATATATGATTATATATATATATAGATATATATAATAATAATAATAATAATTATTATTATATATATATATATACATGTTTACATATCCCATTGTAATCCCATGATATTCCCATCATTATCCCAGTGTTCAATCATTTACACTTACCGCCTGGCACCAATGCAAGGTGGTGCCACCGAGCATTGATTGAATCCACCCTAGATCCTAGTTTTCACACGGTTACCCTCTGTTAATGACTGACATAGCTATTGAAAATTGTTATTTGTAGTTGATTTACCTATTAAAAATTGTGTTTTTCCATAGCGATGTTAGTCTACCAGAGGGTAAAAAGCAAGCATGCAGATTTTGGTATTGCACCAACAAGTCATACCAATGCATCATACCAGAGAACTAGAGCAATAGACTTCAACAACTCATGTAATGTGGTAAACCCAATGCCACCATCGCCCAAATCACCAGTTTTATGAGTCGTCTAAACCATCCCCAGTCGTGCTAGGTCTATGGCATTGGGAGAAACCATGAATCACCCATGAATCATCCACTAGTAACCCATTAACTTTCCCGAAATCCACTACAGTAGCCATCATCCACTAATAATCCATCCACTAATCCATCTGAACTATCCATTTGAGTTGTTCATTAGGTATCCATTTTTATGGCATGTTGTTTTACCACATTGGTTGTGTTTTTTTTTCTATCGTTTTAGGTAACCCTTGACGCGCAGCCAGATCGCCAGCAAGAGTGAAGCTGCGCAACAGCATCTTGGCGTGGAGCTCCCGTGGGTGACGTAGGGGCCCAGAAACGATAGATTCGAGTTGATGAACTAGGACTTATGGTGTGTATACATAAGTATAATTGAATATATACATATTAATATCATATATATATATATATCATCCCAGAAGTGCAGGGTGGCCCTCCAAGATTTGCAATTAGTGAGCATAAAAGTTCAGAGACGCCTGCTTCTCAAATGAATTCTTGTGACTACCTGGCACACAAGTAATGTCTTCAATATGCAGCAACCAAAAATGATCATAGAAACTAAGAACTTGAGGATGGTCAGCGACAAGTCCTTGTAGGGTTTCTTTAAGTGGGGTTTGTTTTCTACTCCAAAAAGATATTGGCCTCGGATGGTGAATCATTTCGCTTCATATCCCTGTTCTGCATTCTTGTTGGTTCAAAACCCCATCTTCCCCTGTGTTGAACCTTGATGGATGTTGTCTTTGTATTAAGGTTGGGACAACGTGGTGAGGTTGCAAACGAGGTCAGTTTCGAAACTACAAGAGACACATGGGAATACAGGTTGGAAGTTCAAAGATTCAGAGATTAATATTGAGAATTTCTTGAAGTTACCGGTAATCAAACGTGGCTGGCTAAGGGTCCTCAGGAACCATGAGCGACAGGTTTGTGGATAAGTTCACCACAATCTGTGGATAATATTTAAATATAAATGGCATTTAATTGATATAGCATACATATATACATATGTATATATATATATATACAATATCATATATTGCACTACTGTTTATATATATATATATATACATGTACACAAATACTGATGTTTGCAATCTACTGTTTTTTTTTCTGTTTTTTTTTCTGTTCGCCAATGCTATCAATTCGGCTTCAGTAGGCCCACCACGAAAGGTGCTTGTACACGCGTTTGGGAATTCCTCTTATATGATGTGCACCTAGCGTCAGTGTAGTACACTCACTGTCTGTATGCCAGTGTTTATCAATCATGTATATATATATATATATATATATACCTAGACCCTCCAAATAATTACCCCCAAAAAACTGGATGAAGTTTTAAGTTCTAATGGGATAAAACACTATTTCAATGGATACTTGCAGGGTCTAAGTCTAGGTGTATATATGTATAATATATATAATATGTATATAGAGGTCTAGATGTATAAATATATATATATATATGGCCAAATGTCTGGATCCTATGTTGCTTTCATGCAGGATCACCAAGATCTGCCGCTGAAGTTTGGAAGTCGCAAGTCACGTGATGACCTGCTTGCACTCGAACGGACGTACCTCTCCTTTGCTGAGAGGATATGGGTTGCACCATGGGTGCTGGATCTTACTCCTGAGAAGTTCTTTTGAAGTACTTCAAACTAATCCTCTGCACTGAACAGGGCAATGAGATCTGGTAGAGTTTGCTCTTTTTGAGCGGCCACGAAATCGTTGGAAGATCCCCACCGAGCCGGCGGATCCGGAAACAAACGCGCCAGAGGCTCACTCAACCGGCCACACATGTTCGTCATTGGGCCACTGGAATACAAACCCATTTGCACGTGATTAAACCGATATGCATATATACTGTATAAATATATATATATATATATTGACTATTGATGTATATAGAGATTTATATTGATTCACTATGGTTATGGGGTCCCGCCCCATCCCAACTTTTGGAGGTGAACTAACCATGGTCCATTAGAAAATTGCCCCAACCCCTCTGATCGAGTTGGTCAAAAACCGGTTATTTCCATGCCATGCTGACCAACTATCATCTATGAAGGTTTATTAATCTATTAAATAGATGATCTATAAAATCTACTATCAGGGGTTTCCATGGACTATTAATAGATGATATGTCTATTAAATCTAGTAACATCGATTGACTATCAACCAATAAAACATTCACCCACATTGAACCCCCTATGTTTGATGGCTACATCTCTCATGTTCACCCTGAAAATTGGGTTTTGACCTCACACTGAACCACCGCAACTGAACGCGCTCAACGGCGTGCCCAGACTCGGAGCCAACTTATCGTCTGCGGGGCAGAAGATCGCATTGTAGGGATGCCCAGGAGTTGTGGCGGCGCAGGGATGGGGTTAGTGGGTCAACCAATAAGGAAAAAATATGAAAAAATAAGGATTTAACCATATTTTTAACCATGAACCACGTGTTTTAACCAACAAAATATGGAGATTTCATTAGAAACACTTAGGTAATTCCATATCAGGAATAAACGGATCACATGTCTGGTTTCGAACATTGCTTAGATTGTGTGGTGCTCTAAATTGGTGACAACCACGCCGCTGAAGCCAGGGCAGTCCCTGCTACAAGGTGGTGACCCCCAGGCTATGTTTGTTGGTTTATGACCCGTTTAGCTATAGTCGGAATCAGCAACTTTATCCAACATTTGATTTTGTTCTTTTTCAACCAACATAAGCAACTTAGCAAAGGACAAGCGGGACACAACATATTTCCACCTTTTAGAAATATCTCAAGCCATGCCAAGTCTATTTCCATGGCTTTCCCCAAGGTTGGAGCAAAGCCTACAGGGCAAGGCGGATCTGCCCCAATTCGATCAGATGGCGGATGTGGTGTCGACCTTACAGGCCCCACGTGTCTGGCGAAACACCGTTGAATAAACATGGCAGTGGAAGACGCCTGAACATGCCAGAACTATGATATATGATTCTCTGTAACTAATAGTAATATTTTGTAGTCGATATTCATATGGTATCATGATGTCATGCTTATTTTAACTATTATATGAATATGATACTCTATACTATGGTATTTTCATATAGACATATATATATATATATCTAACTATAGTTTTCAGCCATATGCCCAATCGACTGCGCGATTTTCAAAGTGGTTGCATCCTTCTGGAACAATCCGTCAAACGCGTCAAACAATCCGGGAGGGGACGACTCTGAGGGTACAACGTTCGGGGCCAACATTTCAGTGGTCAGTGGGGATTTACCCTCTGGTAAACTAACATAACTATGGGAAATCACCAATTTTAATGGGAAAACTCACTATAAATGGCCATGTTCAATAGCTATGTTAGTCATTACCAGAGGGTAACAACTGTAAATGATGGCATAATGGGACTTTACTGAAAAATGAAACTTTATATCGCGGGAATTCGTGGGATTGAATGGGAGGTTTCCAGCGGAGCTGATTACCAGAGGGTATATGAAAATCATTGAAGATATAGATGTAGTTGGTGTTTCTCCCATATACAACTTCAGTATAATTTTCATGGTTTTTGCCCTACCCGGATTCCTGGGTCCCACTTATATCCCTTTCGCGAGGCCAAAGTCCCATCCATTGAGCAAGATCTCAATCAAGGTCTTGGGTGAACTGTTCAAGTCGATTTTGCCGATGGAGTCTTGAAAAAATGGGAGGATATGAATGGAATGGAATGTCATAAAATAGCATGAATGTCATGGAATATTTCATGGAGTAGCAGAATGAATGTCATATCGTTACGTATTGTTCATGTTATGTTTGACACAACACTCACTTTGTTCATGGGGCAGCTTCCCGCGGTCTATTTATAGCTTGCTGTTGGGATTCCTGGAGCCCACACGGTTAAAATTAACACAACTCGACCCTGCCAGTCATCGGGCTTGGAAGATGAGTTTCCATTAAACAATCGTAATTTTCAGGGTCGATGTTAATTTACTAGAGGATAACGAATGTTGAGGAAGCCTCCCATATTTGGAAGTAAGCACCGCGTTTTCCTCCAATGTCTCCTAGCCGGTCGAAAACAGATCAGATTTGGCGGGCCAGAATTTGTGGACAGGGAAAGTGAAAGGCTTAATATTGAAGATGGTCAGGTAGGCTATGGCTCAGAATTCTTGTCCGCACAAACTTTGGATGATAATTTGCTTACTTGAGTAGAGCGGCGAATATTTGGTTGATGCATCGGCCTTTTTAATGGTTTCTGAATGCTTTTGAAGATAGTCATATCCCAGGAAACAATTGAGTATTGAGATGTTGTTGGTGTTGTTTCTCAGAAATTCGATGTTTAGCCATGACCAAAACTGATTCAAGGAGCTCGTTCTATTTGTTTTTGCGGGAACCGTCCACAACGAAGCCATTTTGGGGGATCTCATATATTCCCACTATGTCGTTTGAGAATGTTTGGTGAACAGAAAAAAATAAACATTGTAATCATATCTCTTGTTGATCCATACATCTCTACCGGTGCCATTTGTTCCATGCAAGAAGTGCTGGCGCTATCGGAATCGAACGACTCCAAGCACGAGTTGATCCATTCGTCGCAGAGCCGAACCATACGACTGGCGCATCAAAGCATGGTGCAGCTTGGGGATGCCATCGTGGCTGACATACAAGCGCCCATTCAGACAGCAAATCGACTTCAGCCCCTTGAATTTTGCCAGATACAGATCCGTAAAATCCTGAAACTGAGACCCCTACAGTGGCTTAGTTTCACCCAACTGTACATGTATCCACCATAAGTCCTAGTGATTGTAGTTCCAAAGCAGTAGAAACCTATAGTTAGGTCAAGATCACCAACCACAACTTGGCATCTTCGGAGGTTGTAGTGGTTATATATGATGGTTATATCCACATGTTTTAGTCTGGCTTTAGTGGTTACCCCGCCAAGACTTCAACGCTTCATCCTTCCCTCTTGATTTCTTGGTGATTGGGTCCTCTTTTTTTCGTTGTTTTAGACCCCCGTGTTCTCTTCAATCCTCCATTTTGGTGGGTTGAATCCCCTGTGTATTCCACTTTTTAGAATATATATATATATATATATACATATGATAGTTGTATATAGTTGTTGTTGGTTGCATATATCCCATGAAATCCTCATGTGTATCCTATGAAATCCCCATGAACCATGACCAAGTTGTGAAGAAAAACCACCAGGTGCCGAGCGTATGGCAGAGCTGGAAAAGTCCATCAATGGGTTCGGGACGCGGGAGATCTGGGATGGGGGCTTGAACCACCAGAGTTTTAACCCTGAAAAATGGTGGTTTAGCCATAGTTTGTTAGCTAAGTTGCTTGGTTAAACCATGTTTTATCCATAAAATTTGAGAGGTTTGTTTGGCGAAGTTGGTTGAGAACTACATTCACTCAGGTTTATGGCCGATATATCTGTAACTGTATAATTGTATCCAGATACTGGAATTTATAGGATTTACAAAAATCGAGAGGTTGGAAGGGATTTTCCAATGGATTTAGCCATATTTCACCAATGACTGGCTGGTGGTTTCAAACATTTTTTCCCCATAATATATGGGGTAATCCTTCCCATTGACGAACTCATATTTTTCAAGATGGTTAAAACCACCAACCAGATGATTATTGGGAGATTTCATGGGGTGCTTTGCCAACGATTCTGAGTCAACAAACAACGATGACGGCTCAGATTTAGTCACTGGATCAATGGTAGACGATTCACAGGAAGGCAGCCCCACAGTTATAGATGTTATAGGTTGGTTTCTAACATCATCTATAAAAGTATAGATAGAATACCATAGAATATCATGATATGATACAAGGCGGGGCCATGGTTTGTTGGCTGAGTTGGTTGATCAATTTATTTATTATGGTTTATGGTCAATGTATCTGTAGATACTCGGGGGTATAAGCGTAAGGTGGGTTACGAACTGGAAAAAGGGTGGATTTGACTGTGTACACTTCGGCGATTTCATCCCCATACCCCAAGTTAAGGTGTTTTTTCGCCAACCATGTTGGACCAACATTGCAGCACGTGCTGCGAAAACAATACCTATAGGGCTATTAGGGTTCAGAACTAGATTTGAGGTTCAGATATGGGTATGGGTCAATACCTATAGATACCATTTTTAGTGGGATGAACATCCATTTACCAGCTATTTTGGGGTTCACTAGGTACCAGGGTTTTGACCCATCCCCATATCGATGGGTTTGTCATCAGTTTTTTTCAGCACCGAGTCTCGAGATCCTGCGCGCCCAGGTGTCACAAGAAAGTGACGCAAAGCGAGGCGTTGTTGCACAACAAGGCCGGGACGCCGGCTCGGAACGAACGGAAGAAATCTGAGTTAAGTTGGTTTGGGGTTGGTGAACATGGCCCCATTGTTACAGTTGTGGCCCCACCAGTTGTAAATCTGTCATAACTGCAGTGGTTTCATCCCCAAGTTTGCTGATTCATTTCCCAGAACTCTTCAGAGAAGCAAATATCTACAGGAAAACCATGGAAAACCTACGTTTGATGGTTAAAAGCCAGGGGTTCCGGCAAAATGTCCCTTGAATGAAACCCTTTGATTCATGGCTGCCCCATAGTTAGCTAGGTTGGTTTATACGTCTAAGTCTAAGTTGGATTTATGGCAGATATATCGAAGTTTTTTTTTGCGTGGGTTAGAAGCCAACCGGCAGAACGTTTGAGGAAACTCACTTCACCCACCACGTTGGTGTATATGTATATATTCACATTGAATGTGTCCCCATATATTGATGGTTAATGCCCATTTTTTTCATTCCTACTAGTATCAAATACCACCTGGAAACCCTTGGTTTTGTATTGAATCTATCACCGGGAGGCCAGTTGAACGGAGGGTATTCCATATTAGGGGTAGTAGGGGATGGGATTACACATATTGTTGTTTAGTTACATCATGTTATATCATGTTATATCTCATCAGTTTCCACAAACATGGTCATTTTCCCAAAAGCCTCATGGTCATTACTACAAGGTGGTGACATGTGGTGACCGCCCAGTGATAAGTTGGCTTATAAACCACAGTAACTGTAGAAATATTTACCTAATCAATTCCTAATCAACCCTACTTAGTTATGTCTTAGTTATGTTCACCAACTTAGCTAACTATATATAATTATATATATATATATATTCCTCGAGTAAATTAGACCCTGGCAGATAGGGGTTGGAAGACTGGTTTCCACTAAAAATGGCTTATGTTCAGGGTCTATGTTAATTTACCAGAGGTATAAAGCAGCATCTTGTAAAACGTTTCACCAATTGATTCATAGCCCCCATTTCTGGAGAAGTCTTCTACACGAGTCACTCCCCCCCAAAAGGTGGACGCAAAGTCACTACAGCAAGTGGAGAACGGTCTTGCGAACCTCCAATCGCAACATAGCCAGGCCAGCTCGGGGAAAGGTCGGTTTAGCATGGTTTATATAACCAATTAAACAAGGGGTAAATGATGGTAAATGAGTAATACAACAATAGGGTCAATGAATGTACATAAATGAGTAGTTTAGCCAACTAAAAAACAATCAACAATGGGTAAATGAGTAGTTTAACCAACTCAAATGCTGTTGCAGTCAGTGATGCCAGCTACGACTGGTGCAGTTGGGTATAACCCATTTTATTGTGGTGAAAACAGGATGATTAACAATCAAAAACTGGGTTCAACCATCCTGACATGTTGATGTTTTTGGGTATAGGGGGTGGGTTCAACAAGCAACATGGAAATATTTTGGTTGAACAGTTTAACCAACTAAAATGTTATTATCATCAATCAATTTGGAGGTGCCAGACTGGAGTAACTGTTTATGGATAATCATGGATATAACCATGGAATTTTAAGCCTCAAGAGTTATTGGGGCCCCTATCACTGCGGTGAAATATAACCACATATAACCACGCAAATTATTGGAACTGCTCCCCGTGCTATTGTTCAGCCGTTGATATGCTCGGGGTATGCCGGGGCAGTTGAACGGAGACAGCAAATGGAAATGCTATGACTCACTATTCCGATCTCCTTTGATTTCAAGACTGATAATAAGCAAACTTTCCATGTATGAGGCAAGTGTTTTGTGTGGTTTCAGGGTCATCCCCCATTGCCAGACCCAACCAGCTATAGCCAGGTACAGCAAGCGTTGCAAGACAAGGTCGGGGCATGTTTGGAATGGGAGAGTGCCAGGGAAGTGGTTCTCCCCACAGACCCAACCAAATAGCTCAAGATCTTGGACATGCTGAATCTATATAGAAAGTATGACTAATCCCTTACACCGCTTCATATTAGATACCCCCCGAACGAAACACTGCTTGAATGTATTGGATCACCCCAAACTTGGATATTACAGGTTATTACAGACTATTCAGCCGCCATTGTTGATGTGTTGCTAAATGTGGGGAAAACAAAGCCATAAACCACCCATGACTGGGACTGGTTTATACATTTATACCACCTATTTATGGTGAGTTGGGGGATGGTTTATTGTTGTTTTACCCACATTAAATGGTTCTCGCTGTTAGCTGTTTCACTGACCGTCACAGAAAACTGTTTTTCACTGACCAACCAAGTGGTTGAGGGGGTCAATGAACAGGTCTGGCGAAGCGGTTCCACCACTTTAACCACGGCCACACAACCACAAGGTAAAGTGGGGAAACATGACTCAGAATGGGAGTATCTTCACGTATGTTCCAAATTCATATCAATGATATTCAATGATTATATCAAACCTTTGGTAAACTATAAGGTACCAAATCTAACATTAGCATTTTAGGAATAGCTTAAAACGCTTAAATCATCTATTTCTATGGGCCATGGCTTCGCCGTGGCTCAGGTCGGAAGCAGTGCCCTGTCCTCGTTGAAGTCGACGCTGTCCTCGGTGGACGGAAAGATGGGCCAATTGGAACAGTCCCTGCAGGCGCCGCGGCTGTGATGTGGGGGAAGGATGGTGAATGATGTCATAGAATTGGATGATGGGAAAATTGGAACCGGAAAGCCCATCAAATTTGATGGTAAAAACCCATGGGTTTCCGGTTAAGATTTTCCCGTGAAAACCAATCCATTGATGATGGTGATGTGTCGTGTGATGTGTCGTGTGATATGTGTGTGTGTTGTGGCTGATTTTTGTTGCGATGGATGATGGATGGATCTGATATGGCTGTGATATGGTGGATGGATCGATTGTTGGGCTTTAAATGTTGGACATAAACCTTTGCTGCAGCACGTCGGATCAGAATTGGCTTCTCGAGTAAGCAAATGTATAACTGGATTACCTGAAAGGGGATGGGTCAAAACCATCCTGATGCCATACAGTCATGTTTGATGAAATATGACTAAATTCAACATCAATGCACCATATATCAAAGTACCAGATCATGTGGTTCCGCAAAAGGTGATTAGTTAGCAGCAATTGTACCTACAGGGAGTATCCGTGTGCCGCAGGTGACTTTGAACGGAATGTTGGACAACAAGAACCGTAGTTGATTGTCAATATTAGTCAAACCATAATATCTTCAATATGTCAAAATATTATGATATGTTCGATTTTCTTCAATAGCTACTGTTATTTGATATTGAGATAGACCACAATACTACCTATATTCTTGAAGTTCTTTTCAATGGTTGTTTGAAACTTGGGTACATATCCCGGCTCATGTCCCGTCCCGGCTTGAGTCCTCACATTGGATGATTCGACCTTGTCTTGAAAAGTCCATTTCTTCTGGACCATGGTTTACTGGAGGGGTACCATTGGATAACACCAAGTACCCTCTGGTTATTTAACATAGCCATGGAAAATGACCCATTTATAGATGTTTTTCCCATTAGTACCTCCATTTATAAGGGATTTTCCATGGCTATGTTAAATAACCAGATGGTAATTAAAATTGGGATAACTGGAAAATTGGAAATTCAGGAGTCTCACCCATTTACTTTGAATTTCCCAGTTGATTTGGCTTTCCCAGCCATGTTTGATGCCTTTGGAAGTCTCGATGCCCTGGCAGGAAAAGGCGTCAAGTGGAAACGTTCAGCAACTGAAGCAGGCGCTGGTTGCCCAAATTCATCCAAATTATTGCTATGGGAAAACGCCAATGGTTTGGGGTAGCCATATTTTAGGAAGCCCCAATGCGGGTCTCGCTCAACATGGGGGATACTATGGGATACTCTAAATGTTTGCCAACAGACATGTTTATCCTAGTGATATTGGGGTAGCCTGTGTTCAAATCCATGTCAGCACCCAGGAACCATCATAAGTTCTCAATGAGCCACACATCAATAAACCAGTAACCTAACCGGGGTAGAAGTGGGGTAATTCTTTAACTCGGTGAACCTAGATGTGTATTGGGATGTGATAGTTGTGATAGTCACAAAAACGATTGCAGGGTCGCATGTCCAGTTGTACCATCAAGTAATATCAAGTACCTATAACGTTTGCCGCTTTGCCGCCTTAGCCTTAGCCCATATTGTATCATTGCCGACACAGCGGAGCTGTCAGGGAGGTGTTTAAGCAGAGTCCCAGAGCAAATTATTGCGTGGTTCAAAACCTAAAAAATGCAGGTAGCCCCAAAGGAAGAAAAGGTTCAATAGGATTCAATAGGAAGAAGCACCAAATCCATGCATTATCATGAATCTATGGTTCCTTTGTTACCCCTCCTTTCGTTGGACAAGTCCAAGAGAGAAGCCACCCCCAACGCTCAGAGCGTATCCATGCTGGAGACGAAAGTGGCCGGAGTTGATCAAGTCACTCGATCTGCTGTTCGACTGGGGAGATCAATGGTAAACTTAGTCCATTTACCAGCTCAACAAATATTTTTTTTTGTTTTTGGGCAGGTATCTAAGATTCATTAAGATTCACCATGAGAATTCTGCGATCAGAACCTGGTTTTCAAGGCTTTTGCCAATGGGTGAAAGTATTACTACTGAATCCCATCCCGATTCTCCCAACATGCCAACCCTGCCTTCGCCATGGGCACTGGAGGCACCCAATTTTATGCGGCTGGATAGTAGCACCAAACATCGGGTTTTTTCAAGCACTTAGACTCAGGATTTATGAAAGAACAGAGGATATGAAAGGATATGTCAAACAGACTTGGATATGTCAATCAACTTATAAACTGAGGGTCCCTACTTTGTGGGACTTGCAAGCAGGGAATCAATGGTAATCAGGCTTCAGTGGGCCGCACCATTCACCAACTATCAAGATGTGGATAAACTTTGGTGAATCGTGTTCAGCCGGTTGTGAATATCCTGTTAAGATAGAACTTGCTTGCAGGGCTGCTAAGCTTGGCCATCGCGACAGTGTCGTTGTTTGATCAAAAATGTTTGTGTCATTTCCCCCACAGCTAAGGGCAAGTTATATATAATATGTAGTCATAGATGGGGTTATAACTAGTTATAACTTATAACTGGTGAGGGGCACTGCAAATTGTGAGCTCAGGGGCTGGCCACTGTTGTCCTGTGTAAAAACACCTCTGAAATCTATTGAAATGGAGCAGCAAAGCCCAAAAACTGACCTAAACTGACCATGTTCAGAGGTATTGGGGATCCAAGTTTCGGGTAACACTTTGCCTTTGAGGAGATGTTTCGTCCCTCGAACTCCAAGAATTTCGGGACTGCAGATTTAGTTTCAAAAGATCCTGATGACCATTCTCACATTTGTCTCCTCCCCTGTTGTGTGGCGATATTGTTTATCATCATAATAATAATTATTATATAGTCATCATAATGATGGTAATACTAATAATAATAAACACAAATAATCATAATAATGATGGTAATAACAATAAAACATAGTAATAATAATGATAATAATAATATCAACAATAATGATCATCATCATGATCATCATCATCATCATCAGCACCATTCATCATTGTCATTGTCATTGTCATTGTCATTGTCATTGTCATTGTCATCATCATGATCATGTCATTTTTCTCCTTGATCATGATCTGATCATGATCGTGCTGATTTGATTTGTTTTCTCATGTTATCCATTGTAACTGCGGACTGCTTTGATTTTTAACATGTGTTTTTTAAACTGTGGATGGTTGAGAAATCCTCCACCACCAAAAGGATAGTTGAAACCCTAGAAATAATGGGAGGAACCATCGTTTTCAGCTGATGAACGGATTTCGCTGGCCCATCCCACAGTATTTCCTGTGCCGGTGCCGGTTGTCACGGAACCGCGGCCCAGGCCGTCCATGACAAGGTAGGTGCTGGACAAATGCAGCAGTTGAAGAGCATCGTGCCGGGGAGCCAAGAGGATACGATGATGGTGATGGTTATGGTTATCTTGATGGTTATAGTCTATCCACTATCCAATCAGATCTATTACATATAGTACTATAACTATCAACATATCCATAAAGTACTACTATCTATTGCTATAACGTGCTATAACGATGGTTATGTTGATGGGGTTGTCAGTGATCATATTTAGTTATAACCATCTATGTTGATGATGGTGAAAGACAATCTATAGTTTTAATCCCATTTATAGATGTTATTTAACATACCCTCTAGTAAACTAACAGTTCGCTATGGATTTTATGGCCCATAGAAATAGATGGTTTACCGTTTCTAAAAATGGGTGGATTTTCTATAGCTATGTTAAATTATTTTGATGATTATGTTGATAGGGGTTGTCATTTCATACATGGGGTGACTTACTGACTTGTAAGGACTTGTAAGAACTTGTAAGAACTTGTAAGAACTTGTAAGAACTTGGAAGTTGTATTTCGGGCACTGTTGGATATAACCATCAGAAATACGATGTTAAAAAAAAATAATAATAATGGGATTTAGTTCACCAACTAGAATCAATAGTTGGATTAGATTAATCTAGCCCATTCATTGATTCATAAACCCTGGTTGACCACTGGGGAAACCGGCAGGGGAATATGTTTGATTTAACCAACACAATGATGGGGGTATAGTAAGAATATACTGATATACCTTATATGTGCCATGGTCAAAATCGGATTAGATTAACCCGGTATACAGGGACTTCGCCACACCACCAATGAAAGGTGTCTTGCCATGCCCATTAATTATGGAATTCCATCCATGATGGTTGGACGAACATACACCCATTAATCCCATGTAACCTTACCATGGCATAGGTGAGTTGTGATGCCCGAGTGGCCAGAATGATTATGTAAGTGGATTTATATATAACTATAAAATTGCTCACACCAACACTTTCACTTAATTCACAAGGGGTATATATATATATAATATATATGTTATGTAATTGTCATGTGTTTTTCGAGAGGAAAGCTTGTATAGATTCAACGATCCCCATTGAAAATCACTCGTCTTTAAGCGGAAAGATCTTAGTCAGGGATTCAGCTTGCGTATGGCGGTCAAACATGGTGTACCAATGGGTCAATGGGCGCACAAACTGTTTGTCTTCTTTATCAAATTATACCTTGAGTTTTCGGATTCAAACAAATTGACCATCCGTCTTCTACAAGCCCTCCAACTACCATGCTTCTCTGTCTTGTTGTTGGGGGGCTTGATTTGGGCCTCATTGAAACGCTGTTTGCTCTTCCGGCCATTGTGGCAACACAAATTCTAAACTGTTGATGGTAAATTTATGCATACATGGGTAGAATCTCACACGTATTCTTTTCATGGTGACATGACGAAACATATTCCCTAAATATCTGTAATTACACGGGGAATCATCCCCGAATGGCTGCAAGTTTCAGTTACTTTCAGGCTGGTGAAATATGATACATCAGCCAGATAATATATATATATATATCTAGACATAATTATTCATATATGTACACCAATTTGATCGCTTTGGATCCCTTTGGTGATTTCATCGAAATCGCATTTTTTCGAAACCAGAGAAAGAAGATGGGGAATGCTTTCGATAACCACGACTTGTTCCGAGATCTGTTTCCACCAGAGGTTGGACTCTGATAACTGCCCAGAACATCAGTTTTGAGTTTTAGCCATTGGGTGTCCAGAAAATTTCTTGGATCCCTCATTAAACCTGGACAGCAGGTGACATCAAGCTTCAACATCAATCCCCAGGATGGGCATCCAGAATCAAGCCAATTCCTTGGAGCAAAGCATTCAGGACAAGGCTCGAGGACCGAAAATGGAAGGTCCACATGGGCCATTTCTGTTTTATTGCTCCGTTCAGGAGTACATCATCTATTCCAGGGAAACAATCCAGCAGGGTAAGTTGGACATAAATTGAATAAAGATTTCTATACCGTTGAAAAGAGTAGACAATTTACCTCATCGTTTTACCTTAGAGCTGTCGTTTTGTGTATGGAAAACTGTTTGTTGATGGTGGTAGTCTATAAATGAGGTATCAGTTATATCAGTTCATTCAGCAAACAAGCCAACATGATGTAAAAAATACATTGCTTCGTGTGATCCCCACCAAGACATTTATACATTTTCTTACTGGCAAATCTTCTGGCATTCTATCTGACATATCTTCTGGCATTCTATCTGGCAAATCTTCTGGCATTCTATCTGGCAAATCTTCTGGCATATATTCTGACATATCTTCTGGCATATATTCTGGCATATCTTCTGGCATATATTCTGACATATCTTCTGGCATATATTCTGGCATATCTTCTGGCATGTCTTCTGGCATTCTATCTGGCATATCTTCTGGCATTCTATCTGGCTGTTGGAGGTCCAGCGGTGCACACTGAACTGGGAAGGTCCGCGGTTGAGGTCCAGCGGTGCGCACTGGGCTGGGCAGGTCCCAGGTTGAGGTCCAGCGGTGCACACTGAGCTGGGAAGGTCCCAGGTTGAGGTCCAGCGGTGCACACTGAGCTGGGAAGGTCCCAGGTTGAGGTCCAGCGGTGCACACTGAGCTGGGCAGGTCCCAGGTTGAGGTCCCAGTGCACACTGAGCTGGGAAGTTGGCAAAGAGCTTGGCGAAGAGAGTTGGCAAAGAGCTTGGCGAAGAGTTGGCAAGGCGGAAGTGGAGGTGGAAGTTGATGCAGACATGGTCGAGGAGAAACTATAACTAGAGGAGGAGGAGGACGAGGAGGAGGTGGACAGCTAGCTGAGGAGGAGGAGAACAACTCTGATAAAATCTAACAACCCTCACCTGGCAGGTGGGGAACAACCAGTTAGCAGGGCATACCATATGTTCTCTGGTTAACCTGAAAAAAACCCAATGCCCAATGATCCGGCAGGTAGAGCATGGGTGAAGGCAAAGAATGCACACATAGTTGATTCAGTGCCGAAATCAGCCACATCAATATCGCAGTTCAAATAGTTTCTGATCCATTTACTATAGCGAAGTGATTTATTCCCATAACAAAATACATTAGAAATACTGCTTGGTGGTTTGGAACCATGGAATTTTATGATTTTCCATATATTGGGAATGTCATCATTCCAACTGACGAACTCATATTTTTCACAGGGGTAGGTCAACCACCAACCAGAAATATGAAGGCATAGGATGAAATTCTTTCCATAGACCTGGGCCGGAAAACCACAGACCTTCAGAACGGTGAATGAGCAAGGTCTGTGAAGTGAATTTAATGCTGTGTCAATGACTTGTACCTGCTGACGAAGAACTTGCACGGGATGAGGTACACCACTGCATTTTCCGGAGTTGACGCTCCAGGAGCAGCGTTACATGTCTCCCTGGTCCAGCTTCGTGCGAGAATGGCGTCAATGCCGCGCACTGATCTCCCCATTGGAGAGATGCAGGAGCCGCAACATTTGGCTGCAATTGAATGGCTTCAAGCAAGTCAGAGAGAGCTCCTCAACTTGCCCAAGGGCACCCGTCCGAAGTGTCTGTTCGGTGACATCTCCGAGCTCTGGAAGACAGTAGTTTGGAATACTTGGTAATTCTTTTGTTTTTATGTGTGTGCAGTTTGCAGGGCAGACTGGGCGGACTGCAGAACAATGACTGAGCATTAACAAACCCCTTCGCCTTTCACCCCCTGCTGAATCCACGCTGCATCCAGCGTTTAGAACTCACATTTTATTAATTGTAGTAAGGCTGTAACTGTAAGGCAGTTGATTGATTTGGACTCTATCAGTAGTACATGATTAGTACATGTTAGTACATTAGTATGACACAAGGTGTGGCCCCGTAGTTAACTAACTTGGTTTATACATTAGCTAGCTGAACCAGGATTTGCCGCAGATTTGTCTCTAGTTCACAGTGTTCTGCGACCAACTTGTAACATTTGTAACATCACCATGAATAAGGGTATCGATTTTGTGCCGTTGGCATGACATGAATCAATACGCTTAATACTCGATGCACTTATTTATAGGTGCACTTACTATTAATATTGATTAGATTGATTAGTACCTGTTGATAGCATGTATCAATTGACTTATTAATCAGATATTTGAACAATCCATCATATTTTCATATGGTCCCACTTAATTGACTTATGATATTCAATGTAGTCTTTGACTAAGTCAACCTTTGTAACTTGGGACGATGACCATCCTCTTGGCACCGTACATGATGCACCGGGCCAGTCGTTCTGATTTTGATGCAACCATGGTGGATACAATCAACAGAGAATAACTGCTTGGTGCTTTGGAACCATGGAATTTTATGACTTTCCATGGCTTTCCATTCAGTTAATAAATCATCCCAACTGACGAGGTCATATTTTTCAGAGGGGTAGGGATACCACCAACCAGATAAATGGTTGGAGATTTTCCTACGTGTAGAACGTGTAGAATGGTAGATCCGATTTTCCTACATCGACAGATTTGGAGATCTCAAAGATGTAGGATGTTGTGTACCTATAAGTAAACGAACAGTGTGCAAGGGCCGCCATGTGCAGACGATTTTCTTGGAAAACAATGGATGGCTTGGATTAAAAGCAGAGTAACCCGGCTTAAAAAGGCTGATACATGGATGTTCAGCCAGGCATTCATATAGATTATTGTTTTCGACCTGTCCCCATATTGCCAGCAATTCCCCGTTTTGTCGCTGACTGACCTCCTACCAAAAAATCTAAACATGAAGATTTGAATCCTAGAAATGGATGAACAGAGATATTCAGAACATCAGATTTCTAGTGGTAAAACTTCGTCAAATCCCAGGGTTTTTCTCCATTTTGCCGCCCTTTTCCCCAGCTTTTCCCACATTGTTTCCCATGTCAACAGTCCCTGGGACTGGAGGTGGGCGCTGAACAAGTGCAGCAGATTAAGACGTCCGCGGCGCAAACACAGGCTCAGATGGAGGGATGGACCTTTCGGATTGAATGGTCCAAACCGAAAAAAATGCTGGGAAATGATGGTAAATCACCATGGAATATGTTGGAAAATGTTGGGAAATGATGGACAATTCGCCCATTTTTTGGGGAAATATTGGAAAATTATGGTAAATGGGTGAATTTCGCTGGATCAATCACCATGGAATCCATGGAATATGTGAAACCAATGAGAAATCCACTCCTTGGTGAATTTGTTGGGATCTTTGAAATTGTTTCGGGGGGTTCCTCTAGCAAATCAAAGAAATGGACATGTGGAAAATTACGAAAATTACGAACACGTGGCTGGGAAACTCCCGAACTAAATGAAGCTTGAAAAAGCTGGGATAAAATCATCTATGATTCTATAGATATATAAATGGTGGATGTTGCAGCACGCCATGGAGCTGATACTGGAGGATAGCCATGAAAACTCTGTGTGACACCTCTAAAGTTGCTGATATTTCACTATATCCTTCTAAATCCCATGAGATATCACTGTATCCCCACACTGCTAAATACAACTAATTCCGCTCATGCTGATAATGTGTCCATCTTGCTACCCAATGTGCGTGTGTATATATATATATATGTATGCATATATATATATATATGTCATATATATATATGTTATATATATATATGTATATATATATATATATATATCTATGTGTGTATATATATATATATCTATGTGTATATATATATGTGTATATATATGTATGTATATATATAGGTGTATATATATATATACATATGTATACATATGTATATATATAAATGTATATATATATATATTTATTTATATATATATATATTTATTTATTTATATGTATATGTATATGTATATGTATATATATATATGCATATGTATATGTATATATATATATATTTGCGCGGATGCAGATATCCCACTAACACCCACTAGACTCCCTGTATGTAGTTGATTCTATTCCCATTAAAATCCCATTAACATCTTTAAAGTCCAGCAAGAAACCATGTTTTTAGTAGATATTTATACCATTAAACCACCACTAAATCCCGTGCGTTGTTGGTCAAATCCCAGTTAAACCATGTATATCCCCAGTTTGTTGGTAAAATCCACATGAATATCTCAACGACCAAATGACAGGTTTGATAGGGATAATGATAAACATCAAATTTGGGGAGATACCCATTCAGTTGTCATGAATCAGGGATCATGTTTATAATTATGTGGGGTATTATTGTCATTATATGTCATCATCACTATTATAATGCTACTATCAAATCAAACATCATATATTTTGACTACGATGATAATTATATTTTTTGATATGTGTTGTGCTATGTATCATTAACATTATTTGGGGTATCAGATATCATCAATTTCACCAATTATCAATATTATCACTATTATCACTGTGATCACTACTATACCTATTATATCATATGTCCCATGATAGTAGAATTTATCGTTAGTGAATCCCAATATCAAATTCTCATGACGTTGCCATTCTACCCCTATTTAGAATAGTTGTTAACACCCCCGGATATCCCAACCACCAATATGTTGTTTCTATTATCACTATGAATATGTCCCATCATGATATTATGAACCAATACTGTACATCGTTGGTCAGTTAATCCCCATGAAATATCCCCAGTTCTCATTCAATGGATTGGTTTAAAGGAAAATCTCAACCGGAAACCATAGATTTTCCCATTAACATCATGAGGTTTTCATGTAAATTGTCCCTTAAACCAATCCATTGAAGAATATCCATTGTCGGTTTTATCCAGATCATATCATATATACTCAGTTATAAGCCGTGGTATTACATGATATTTACCAGTTATAACTAGCCATGGCCATATCTGCAGTTCTGGCCATGGCTAGTTATAACATGTTATAACTGGTATTTCGATGTTATAACTGGCCAAAAATCCCCCCAGTTCTCCGGGGGTTTTCGCAGGCGCAGCTTTCGGCCTACGAGCAACAGCTCTCCGAGAAGGCTCCGCTGGCCCAGCTGCACGCGTCCCTCGGTGCAGGGATGGACGGTGGACGGTGGACGGCGGCAACCGGGGAAGGTCGGAGCCCAAAAAGGTCGGAGATGTGGAGTTTTTGGGAGAGAAATGCTGTTTTTGTTGGTTGTTTTTTATTTTATACATGGTTTCACCAGAGAAAAATTGAGGGTTGAGGAGAAATTGGAGTTGGTTGAGATTCTCTGGATTCTGGTTTAAAGGATGTGGCTGTGTGGAGATGTCAAGTGTGAATTCAGGGAAGTAATTGTTTTGTTACGGTCAAGAATAGGGAGTGTTCAAGATTGAAATGGGGATTGTATGGACGATTCTAGTCTGCATATATAGAATGGGGGGCGTTGGAGGGCTCTATGAACACAGAAGCGATGGTTCTGCAACACGTATGGGCTTTGGTTAGTTGCAGATAGAGGACACCCCGGCAAACGATGATCATTGAAGATCTGTTTATGTGACCATCAAAAAAAATGAACATATCCACAAGCGCATTCTTGGACAGGGCGCCTTCTCAGATGGCTCTTGTGAAATGTGATGGTCTTGTCGATGTGAACGAAATAAGGTATAAATAACGAAGCAACACTGTTTCAGCCTTTCATCAAAGAAAAACCGATCAGCACCTCCCCCCACTTTGGAGTTCTCCAAATCATTTTTTTGGAGGGTTCAATACTAGATGTTCAGGGTGGAATGCCTATTCTTAGGCGTCCATTCTGAGAGTATGCCTCTACCTAGAATTGCTGAAGATTGTTGTTTTAGCATTTTCAACTTCGGGGAATCTAGTGGGACACACACATATATATATAATATGTCTTTGTTTTACTATTGCCCCAATCCAAGTCTTTGGTATCACCCTGGGCGGATGTTCGTGGACACAGCAAGAAACCTCGGGCGAAGACATGCGAAGACCATGAAATGGGCTGAAGACGTTTTTCGGCTCTGCAGTGGGTTTCATGGGTTTTCCATGTTTTTTGTTGATGCTGTTGTGTGGTTTAGTAGTACACCAGGTGTCCATGATTTCTGTTCCCAAGAAATCATGTAAGATCTTTGTTTGCTTGGAAAATCCCTACTTTTCTGGGCGAAAACCCTACCATGTTTGCCTTGTTCTTTACGGCTAGGCTGAAGACCGTGCTGGCCACGGTGGAGACAAAAGTTCTGGGATGCGATCAGGCGGCACGGGAACTAGTGGTAACTATGAAGGACTGGGTAAATTTCGTGCAGGATGGGGCCCTCCGGTTATAAGTTGGTTTATAAAATTTATAACCCCACCGAATCAGTTATAAGATTAGCTGGTTGGTGGTTTGGAACATTTTTTTATTTTTTCATATATTGGGAAGAATAATCCCAACTGACTTTCATATTTTTCGGAGGGGTAGGTATACCACCAACCAGTTAGAAGTATCGTAGGCTGTGGTTTTTATAGTAATAAACCAACTTAGCTAACGAACTGGTGCCCCATCCTTTGGGATTATCATGGGATCAGTTCCCATCGAGAACTGGTTATGTCAATGTCTATAGGCTGACTTTAGTATTTCGGGCCACAAGTGTAACGACATATGAATGTAGAGATCGTCATTGTGCCATTGTGTCAGGAATATATCGCAAACTGATGCAACTCTGAGACGATGTCTGGTCAGAACACGTTGGAATCCCATGAGCAAGTTGTGTTTTGCCAACTCGATGCTCTTGGGTTTGGCTTGGGTCAACATTCTTTGCAATGGTCTTCATGACGGGAAACATTGATCTGATGGCTGACGCTGTGGACGGCCATGCCATTGGACCTCCACAGATTTGAACAGCGGCCCAGTGCGCATCTGGCGGTGGGTCTACAGCGTTGTGTTGAGAAGCAACCGGGAAGGATAGCCCCATGAGATTGGAGAAACGCGAAGATTCAGAGTGCCCCGCATCAATTTGAACAGCGGCCAGCCAGTGCGCCCAGCTGAAAACCCAGCCTCAATTTTCCCACAACGTGTGGAGGTCCTGAAACTTTGGAAACTCAGCATGAGATCTTGGACTTTGTTTGTCATTTGTTGCAGATGTCTCCATTTTTGTTCAGCATTCCTTCTTTGTAGATTAGTATCTGGTTAGTGGGGTGAACGTTCAGGGCTTACCAACCTATGTTCCGTGGGGTGATCCTCCAAACACCTTGACATGGATCATCTTGGATCCAGGCTCTCCAGGAGAAGGTCGACGCTGCCTCTTGGCACCATATTACTGGCACCCGGGGCCCCGCAAGCTGGGAACCAACGGTGAACGACTCTAGTCAGTGGTAGGGCTGGTAGGCAGCAAGATGCGCGATTCGATCTGCGGAAACAGAGGAGCGGTGCATAGCGATGCTAAGGTTTGGCCCCTCTGTTGGAACATGTCGCCAGCCACATGAATTGTCGTTCCTTAAATGTGTGGAAGGCACATGTTGACCTCCAAATAAAGGATGGTCACTGGTACTGAGTCAACCTTGGTTTGGGGGTGCAGTTCCACTTATTTCAGTGGCTTATATTTCACCACAGTTCTACGTGCCACAGATCCCAACTTATGGAGGATTCCATATTTAACGATATGATATAATATGTATATCAGTATAATATCATATAGTCAAATATATATTATACCCAATAACAACCCTACGAATTGTCCTTCTTGCAGGGCCTGATGGGTTGACACCATCAGCTTGGAGGACTCCCCCACCTGACGCGGTTGTTTTTTTATTTCCAAAAGGAGGGCCACGTATGTAATGATGTATGTCATGTAAGATGATATAAATATATACAGTATACACGTATGTAATCATACATGTACACATATAATCATACATTGGTACGTATATCCATATACCATTGTCACCCATTTACAACATGTCATTTGACATCCTACAGAGAGAAATCTCAAATCTCTGCATTGAAAAAACAAATCCTGTGCTGGAATGCCCCCTTCTTCCATCTTATTCCTGTATGAATCATAGTAAGAACCATCTTTTTCCCTTGATGTTCTTTTTTTCCATGTTTTTGGGACCCAGCTAGTCTGGTTGGTTTCCCTATCATCCCATTCGAATTCCCATCATATACATCCCATCATATACTCCCCATTTACGTCGAGTATGTGTCCAGAAAAACCAAGGATTATTCTCATCCACGGATCTCCATGATATCATATGATATCCCCTTTTTTGATCTCACACAAAACCACTTCTGCGGGTGAAATCCCATTGTTTTGGTGCTAAAGTGCCAACCAATCCATCGTTTAACGGGCTTCACATGGCGCGTTGTGGCGTTGTCCGTTCCGAGGTGCAATGGACGCAGCTGAACGACGCGGTACAAGTGATCCAGAAGAAGGTCGCGGTTCCACGATGGGGCTCCCACTCCAACAGGTATTATGGGGGTATAATAGAGTGGTGTTTCATAGTGGCTTAATATGGTTGGGATATTCATGGGATGTAGCTAATGAACATGAGATTTTGGTGTGTGGAAGATGGTGGTTGATGTTTTCACCACACAAATGGTTGTATTTGATCTTTGCGTCCGGCACAAGGGAGATTTCGTGTAACCAAGAAACACTAAGAAATTAAACAGACTATTTGTTTGGGGTATAACAGGGATATAACTGCAATATAATCAACTCTATAATTATATATAGATAGATATACAGTAGATACATGGGGAATATTGGGGAATTATATGGGTGATACATGAAAGTCAATCTAGCACATGGTGGATTTCCGCATCATTAAATATCATCAATGGAGTTTCATGGGATACCACTGCACCGAAGAGATGCCTGTGTGCCAAAATGGGATATACCCTCTGGGAAACATACAAAAAGCTATGGAAAATGGCCCATTTACAGTTGATTTACCTATTTAAAGTGGTGATTTTCAATAGTCATGTTAGGTTACTAGAGGCTACCCTCAAATTACTTTAGCATGGCACGGGCGAAGAAGTCGTGTGATGTCGTGTGTCTTGTCTAAGCGTTAGCCACTTTTTTTCCATAAACCAATTGATTTTGGATCAATTATGGCGATGATTTGCTGCCAACAACAAGGTCATAGCTCCCAGGTATTCAATGCTGTCCATTCAGTCCATGATTCACTGCGGCAACGTATCAGACTTCCAGGGCAGGATCAACTGGAATGATCTCCACTGCTACAGAGACACTCGATTATATGAAAGCATCTCAGGCAGCTCCGGAAGCAACACCGTTAACAACACACATGGCCGGGGTCATTGCTGCAGGGACTCCAGGGGCAAATATCACTCCAGGGCTAACCAGCCTCAGTCCGCTATTGTAGGTCCTGGAGCCTGACAGCTGCTGCACCTACACAGCCCCAGGGTTCATCTGGTGTAGTTGAGGCACTTTCAACATTGGTACCTGGGGTGGCCAAGGCATCAGCTCCCCTGCACCAGATATCCTGCTGGATCCACTGATCCCCAGATGGCAGGGTTATGGAACCAGGCACCGAGCCCATGGATGCTCAATATGGCCACCTTTGAGTGGGCCAAGGGAAAGGTCAGCTATGGGGGGGGAATCAGCCCACGTTCTTTTCCAGAACCGGGGTGTTTTATGGATTAAAGCTACCCCTTTGGTTTGATTTCACTCAGTAGAAATGGTAATGTAATTAACCTGAAAAGGAGTAGTTTTTACAACCAACAAAAAATGGGACTAAAACATCAAACTATGGCCAACAAATTATCAGCGAAGGGCAGTTTGGAGCTTTCATGTTTCTTCCAAATGTTGGTGCAAGAACCAACACAGCTAACCAATATAATTGATTAACCATGCGTGTTGGGTGTGTGATGATTGTGTTGCATCCTGCATGTTTTAGACAAACCCCTGCTTTGATGCATTATTTTGATTTTGTTATTTCATTTCATATTGCGTTACCCATTTTGATAAAGGAATATCAGCATTGTCCGACTGTATAAAGCATTTGTTTTACTTTTGAAAGGATAGTTATAAAATTGTGTTCCTCATCATTAGTAATTAGCCAAAACCTGCAAGTTTGCATCACTTAGCATGGCAGACCATTGAAAATACGTTTGCCAATAGATTATTACAGGGGGTTATCATAGGCATCGAGTTTATTGGGAATTATACATACACACAATAAAGAGTACAACCAGTTTTAGTAGGTTTACCTATTGTAACAACTAATACTTGGATGTGCAGATGCAAGTTATACGCGGATGTAGCCATAGTCAAAGGGGGTATACCCCAACTTATAGGATTTATGACCATGGTTATATTCATTTGTAATTTCAACTTCAAGTAACCAACCAGCATGAATGATATCAATGATAGGGGCTTTTTTTTTGTTTCATGGCTCGTGCCATGTTTTTTTCTACGTCAAGCCATGTCAGGTCGGAAACATCGAACGCGGCGTTTGGGAAGGCATGGATTGCGTGCAGGCGGGTCCCAAGGGGCCCCCTTGGGGGTCCCAAGGGGTCCCAGGAGATGTGGTCAGGGCAGGGATTGGTTCTCAGTTTCTGGTGATGTGGAGAATGATACCCAGCAACATATGATTGCCACAGGTGACATTCGCCATTTGAGCACTATCAGGGAGCAACCCTGAGATGGAGATTTTGGTCATAGCGATAGCGGGGTATACAGTATACAGCAACAGTTGGGGGGTAAAACCAACACACAAAGATATCATGGAATGTGGATTGATAAACATGCAACATGTTTTTGGGAAAAAACACGATTTTCGGAAAAAACATAAGTTGTTGCAGTTACAATGTGGGTCTTTCAAGAGAAGAGTTTTGGCAAAAATCAAATTAGTGGTCCCCAGTTCAGAATCGCTAAGTTGGTGAACATAACTCCAATAATGTAGGTTAAACAGTGTCATAAACCACCCATTTGGGAATGGTCTATACCACCTATACTAATACCACTTATAAAAATGGTGATGACTGGGGGATGGCTTATTATTTGTTTACCCGCACCAACTAGGATCTATGGTGTATCAATAAATATATAATATATATATGATATTATAAATATATATATATACATCTTATTGCATATATATATATATATATACTATAATTATTTTGTAATTGTATTATATTATATTGTATTATATTGTATTATTATATTATATTATATTATATTATGTTATATTATATTATATTGTATTATATTACATTTTATTTTATTATATAATATCATATTATATTATGTTATGTTATGTTATTTTTTATTATATTATATTAAATTATATGATATATCCCCTCAACTACATAAGGTCCAGAGTACCCAGACCCCCAGGCCTCAGGGGCCCAGGGTCTAGAGTACTTCCTAGAGCACTGTAGACCCTCTGCATTTAAGGTACTATAGACCCTTGAGCGTGTCTATGTTAAACATGATATATGGATGTCCCATAATTTTCAACTTTGAAGATGTAAGGCAGATCTTGCTTTTTCAAAGGTCTGGACAGCTTCTCTGGCAATCATCAGGGCAGGTTGGTTTTGCTGACCATTATTGTAGCTCTAGACCTTTGCCAAGCTAGATTCCCCAGTTCTTACAGAGGTCTGGACAGCGTTTCTGGCACTGATCAAGACAGGTTGGTTTTGCTGACCATTGTAGCCCTAGACCTTTGCCAAGCTAGATTCCAAAGTTTGTCCAAAGGTCTGGGCAGCATTTCTGGCCTTGATCAACACAGATTGGTTTTGCTGGCCATTGTGTTTCTAGACCTTTGCCACGCTAGATTCCCCAGGTCGTACAAAGGTCTGGACAGCCTTTCTGGCACTGATCAAGACTGTTTTTTTTGACCAACCATGTTAGGTCTAGTCCTTTGCACAACTAGATTTCCAATGCATTTTATTTGTAGACTTTTGCACCCATAGATTTCCAATGACCCCCAAAGGTCTGGATAGCCTCTCCGGCACTGAGCAAGACTGTTTTTTTTGACCAACCATGTTAGGTCTAGTCCTTTGCACCACTAGAGTTCCAATGCATTTTATTTGTAGACTTTTGCAACCCTAGATTTCCAATGGCCCCCAAAGGTCTGGGAACGTTTCCTGAAGGTTCCCAGCACTGGTCAAAACTTCTTGTTTAAGAGTGATCATGGGTGATCATTTTAGTTCCAGACCTTTGAACAGCTACAAGGCCGATGGCTCCGAAGCCATTTTTTGGTTCAGACGCAGCATTTTGCTTCAACCGTGGCAGACAGCCATCCAGGCAAAGCTCCTGAATGTGTCCCTTGGATGCGAAAATTGATCAACCAAGCAAGGGGCAACGTGACTTCAGGGTTGCTCTTTTAATTCCCTTCATGCCTAGGCTACTTGTGGGGAACCATGTTCAGAGCCTCGGTGGGACGGAAAGTTGCAGCTCTGGAGAGCTAAGTGCACAAAGATTACTTTGCACCACATCACCGCGGAGAAGCGCAAATCGCCGCATGAATCTTTTAAGCCCCTGAGCTGCAATCCGTTGTTCATGATCAAGTTTTTTGTGAAAGATTAGGCTGAATTGTTGAATGCTTCCTGAACTAAGTCCTGGAGCACCAAGCCAATGGGAATCTCTTTGTGCGATACCATCTGTGGCAGTGTCTTGACAGCAAGATGAAGGCAAAGATTCTTTTCCAAAATGGACCCTGTCATGAACCCAATACCCAATGCATTCTGAAACCATGGTCTTGTAGGGTGTTGCTGGGTTGAAACATGTAGCACCATTTCCGCCAGGAACGCTCAGCTTGGTCAAAGGATTTGCGCCGGAAGCGGGAGAAACTTCTGCAGGCAGGTGTGGAAGCAGTGATGTTTGCGTGCATCTCTGTTGAAATGAAGGATCTGGGTTGCTAAATCTTACATTGGTTCTTTGTTCAGATAAATACTGATTTTTGATAGACCTCTGCTGTTGTCTTCGCAGCCGAAGGACCAGTCAACCCAGAATGCATCCACAGGCAGGTGGGCATCTGCGAATTCAATCATATGATTCCATACTTAGAATGGTTCCGCTGGGTTTAGGCTGTTTGAACCATAGTGATATATGACTTGAAGATGTTCAGGATAGACCCTGTTAATCCTGTGTGAGGACATTATTTAAAGCAATTCTTAGCACATCTAATTGCGATGTGTAGGAGGATGCAATCCACCATGTGGTTCTTTGATGAGGTGCGGGTAAGTTTTGCTAGGAGACTGAACCAGTTTCAGACCACAACGCAGCATGTCACACCAACACCATTCCTGAAGTGTGGATGTTCATGGCAAGAGCCCAACCCATTTTGGGAGTCAGCACATTGCGTCTTTGTTGGGGGGTCTGACGGTGGCTCAGACTGAATGGGTGTTTTGCTCAAAAAGTTATGTGATGAGGTGCATGCAAGTTTTGCTAGGAGAATGGACCAGTTTTTGACCACAGCGTGTCACATCAACACCATTCCTGAAGTGTGGATGTTCATGGCAAGAGCCTAACCCATTTTGCGAGTCCACACAGTGTTTCTATGTGTTTCTTTGAACGCTCGGGGGACTGCCAAAGAGCACTGGTGAAAAACGTGTGACAGCAGCGAAGAAAAAAATGAGCGAGAGAAAACATGTTGTTTGGAACAGTTTTTTTTTGTATTTTTGACGCATGGGTAAACGTCTTCAGACCTTCAGCATCTGTAAGGTCCAAGGGTCTACACCATTGAAATTGCTTTTTACGTGATATAGCTATGCAACTCTTCTTCAGACCCCGTTTTTAGGGTCTACAGTGTAAGATCCAGGGTCCCAGCCATGTAGCTAGCTGATGGTTTTATTATATTATATCATATCATATTATATTATATTATATTATATTGTATTATATTGTAATATTATATTATATTGTAATATTATATCATATTGTAATATTATATTATATTATAATATTATATTATATTATATTATATTATATTATATTGTATTATATTATATTATATTTTAATATTATATTATATTATATTATATTATTTTATTTTATTATATTTTTATTTTATTATATTATATTATTTTATTATATTATATTATATTTTTATTTTATTATATTATATTATCTTATATTATTTTATTTTATACATACTTTTGGGGGGTTGCCAGCTTTTAGCTCGGTGTCCCACCGTGTAGGATGTGCAGTTTTAGTTTAGTAGGCTGGATTACTTCATATTGAAAGCTGGATATCAATATGATGCTTCAGGAATGTTTATAATCAGTCACCAAGCTAAAATAGATAAAGAGGGTGTGTATTCTTGAGACATTCCACTAGCAGCACTAGCATTCGCCTAGATGTATCTAAAAAAGTTCCATGCATTTTTGTTTTTGCAATGTGGGTGCCACCCCAGTAAAGTTGGTTTCTGCTGCTAGCTCCCTGAACCTAGTGAGCCTAGCCATCAGCCAACTAACTTATCGTTTGTGGGCCCCTTCCTCTAAGATTTTCGTGGGTTTTCTTCGGGCTAGATGGGGTAAACCGAATTCATCCAAGTGTTTGATGTCCACCCCATCCAGCTCTTGCTCTTAGAGAAAACACTTACGAAAACACAGCATAAACATCCAGAAGTCATAGTTATGTCAGTTATGTCTACCAGTTTTACTGCACATAAATCACCTAGAAATCACATTTTTTTTCTCAACGTGGCTGCCAGGGCCTGGAGGGTGCGTTGACGACTTTGAAGGGACAAGTGGCCACGGTGGAACACAACATGCAGGCGCAGCCCACGCAACGCGCCGCGACTTCGGTGAAGCAGGGAGATTCATGTTGGTTTAGTTGATAAGGAACCGGAACCCTTATCTAACTTAAAAGAATACTTTAGATATATATATATATATATCAACCATGGTGATGAGTTTTTGTTGGGCCATATATCCCAAAACTAAGCTAACGCCAACTAACTTGTATTAGTCAAGTCCCCAAAAAAAAACGAATAACGTTGCGGTCATCAAACGCGACTTGCTGGAAAATCCTCCATCTATAGATGATGTTGCCAGCTAGAAACCTCCATTATTGATGGTGATGTTCAACTACCATATTTGGTTACCCGAGGGTATTTTGGGTACACGTGGCAGCATGAGTTTGCCAGGACTGCCCCTAAAAGTTGATTTCTTATGATTTTCAATGCTTCCAAAGGATAGGTTTACTAAGTGCGTTATCACAAAGGACAGGTTTGACTAAAGGCTACAATTTACCCAAATTACAGGAATTATGGAAAACATCAAGAACCATATTGACACGGCCGTTTCACTGACTTTTCACGGCCTTTTCACATTTATCATGATAAATTGTAACTTCATCAAAACTCCCAGCTTCACAAAGGCTAGGTTAAACCTAGGCGTTGTGACTGGGTGAGTTTTTGTTGTCCTTTGAAGATTTCTTATGATTTATTATGATTTCTTGTTGAACACTAGGTGGGAGAATCAGATATTCCCCAGCTATCCCCAGCTACTCATCACTTACTAAGTCGCCTGATCCTCCCAGACTTCCATGGTTTATCGTGATGTTCCCCAACCGCTGTTTCCGGGTTATGCAGGGTTATGCCTCGTTTTCAGACACACCCAAATGCAAAGAATTCCAAATTTAGCAATAGTTGGTTGGTTGTAATCCATCTAAATTCCATACAATGCTGGTTGCTCCAACCTATTGTGGATAGCCACAAGGGGGGTGAATTGTTACTTTTACCTCTTCATTTGCCCAATTTACCCCATGTAAATATATTTAAGCTATTTCGTTGGTGATCATCCCACATTCTACTCATCCAATGGGTTAATTGACTCATCCATCTCTGGTATTTACCTGAGCATTGGATGATTTGGATCCAGTGAAGACCACCCCATGGAAAATTCCTTGGATGATCCCATTCTGCTTGGTGGTTTCAAACATTAATGTTATTTTCCATGATGCATGGGATAATCCTTCCCGTTGACGAACTCCATCATTTTTCAAGATGGGCACATTGCACCACCAAGCAGATTATTATTAATCATCATTAACCATCATCATAACCACATAATGACCATTAATTAGCCATGATTTGCTGGAAGATTTTACCCTCTGGTAAACATACAAAAAGCTATTGAAAATTGCCGTTTATAATTAGTGGATTTACCCATTAATAGCATGGTGGATCTTTCCAGTTCGCTATGTTAAATTACCAGAGGGTAAACCTCCATTTTCCTATGGTTTTCCTATGGTTTGCCTATGGTTTTCCCATTAAAACATCCATTTTCCTATGGTAAACCCAGAAATGACCAGGAGAAGGTCTGCAGCGAGGACGTGCATCGCCTGGGCGAGGTGGTGATTTCCCTCAAGGGCAAGGCGCCGGGAACTTCCTGGAAAATCAACGGTTGGTCCGTGGTGATTTTACGGGGGCTTCATGGGATTTCAGGGTCTTCAATGGAATTTTCCCATCTGGTAATTTAACATAGCCATTGAAAATGACCATTTATAGTGGATTCTCCCATTGAAAACGGTGATTTTCCATAGTTATGTTAGTTTACCAGAGGGTAATGCGATTAAATGGGAGGATTTGCAGGTTTTTGCAGGAGAAAATTGGTAGTTTAATGAGATACATGGCGATCTGCACTGGAACATTGATGGAATGTAATGGAACAATTTTGACTGTAGTGGATAAACCTGGAACATTTCTTAAAATTTCATAGGGATCCATGGACTATAAGCAACTATATGGGGGCAGTTTGGCCTATCCCAGCACATATGGATGAAGCACCCGAAGTCCGCTGAGGCGAGGGAGATACTTCATGGGGATATTCGGAACATAACCAACTATCACCGGAATATTTTATGGGTCACAACCTACAATCTGGGATAAAGGATCTCAACTATAATGTGAGGATCTAGTACCCAATTAAAGATTTATAATGAGAATGTAACATGATGTAACTTACAATTTGGACATTGCTGGGTATTTATCATAAATAAGTCGGTAACCTGGGAAACATATGGTTTGACCAACCAATTTTATGTTCATGGGGAACATGTAATTATAAATAGAAGCAGTTCTAGGGAAAGAAACTGGTGACGGTACAACTTCATTTTTTGACACTTTGATCCAGGATTACTCCAGCCCTTTTTAAGTAAATCATAGCCACAAGGAGGGGACGTCCTAACTTACACGGGAAGACACACCAAACCAATAATATAGAGCCTGCCTCATACAATTATTTTCCCAGAGTAAGAAATGTCACCACAATATGACCATTTAAACTATCAAGGTCTATTTGTTTTTCAAATATCATTCTCACCAGTTCTTAAACCCCCAACACTGTTCCCTTGAAATATTCAATAATATTCAGATCTTACAAAAAAATGAAAAACAGTGATTTTGCCCAATCACCACCAACAAGACCTCCCCCATACCCCATCTGTTCCCCATCTCCAGGTGGGTTCGTTGGAGCAGAACCTGCGCCAGGGCGCGGAGCACGTCACGGACGTGGAGGGCGCCGTGGTCAGCATGGGGAAGCAGCTGGCCACGGTGAAGCAGGTGGGGTGCACCCGTCGCAATGGGCGGATAGAACGGTGGCGGAGCTGGGAAGTTTAGCTCAATTCGAATTTGGTAATTATTGGAAATAGGATAATAGGGTTGTATAAATAGGTATTAGAAATGATTCAATATTTGAGTAACTGACAAAATTATTGTGATACATTTTTTTAGTCTTGCTTCGCCTTGGCCTTTTCGAGGTTGCCCCAAAACCTTCAGAACCGATAGGGGACGATCCTAATTTGTGCATGGCATGAATTTTAACATTTAATTTTCTTATGCCACGGCTTATCAAAAAGGGACAATTGCGAGGTGGCCCTTTTTCATTTTCATGGAATGAGAATTAGTGATCTTATAATCGTTGGGAACCATTGAAAGAGTCTAGCAATGTGCTTAGATAGCTCCCCAACATGGTTGCAAACGCAAAGACAACGAGCGCCCCTTAATCCATTCCCAGCAGTTTGGAGATCTGAATCCGTGAAGCCAATTTCAATTTCGCTGCATTTTTGCACCCCCAAAAAGCGACAACCTATATTTTCGCTCCAAGCATCAACAATTGGTTTTGACGGCAGCTCATATATATATATATATTTATTTATATGTATGTATATATATTTATATGTGTATATAGATATATACATATATATATATATATGTATATATATATGATGATAGGATGATTGGTTGAATTGTATGACATTGTATGATGGTTTAGATAGTTGTATTTAAGTGCTGTAAATGAGAGCGTTTGGGGTATATCGAGAGTTGATATTTGATGCGTGTAGTAGTATAGACAAGGTGTTTTCTATCAGTATATATATAGAATATATATACATCCAGCGGGAAAACAATGAGAAGCACACAGTGATGGGGTGATGAGCCAACAACAAAGATGTTCATGAATAAGTGATCGGGGGTTCAATGACACTTATGAACTTGCCAACATGTTTACAACTCTTGAAAACGTGAGAACATTGTATGTAAAGAAGACTTGATATTAAAGACAGGTAGAAACATTTGGGATATATTTCTCTAACAATAGAAACCGTCTTCAGAACTTCCATTGGTTGATGATTACTCTCTGGTAGACTAACAGCAGTATGGAACATCACCATGTTTAAGTGGTAAATCAACGAACTAAATGGCAATTTTCAATAGCAAACTGTTAAATTACCAGAGGGTATAGGGAATCATACTCTCCAATGTGTTGGAAATTATCATGATCCATGAGCTGCGAATCCCCAGTCGTCAAACTAGACAACCTTTTGGACAGAAAACCTAACAGTGAATTATCACAATTATCCGTAACTAGCTTTAATACATACAATATAACGTTTATAGATATAGTTAACGCAATTAGAGCTAGATTCCCAGTCTATATCACTATATAACTTGTATATATATATAGTTATATATGTGCATATATATATATATATTGTACCCATATGTTGGATAGCTGTATCCCGTTATATTCCATAAAATAATAGGTGGGTTTTGAATTCTCCCATCAAATCCCCTTTTTTCGCTTGCTGCACTGCAATCTGGGCAATAATCGGCTGCACGCTGAAATGGTGTGACGATAGGAATTGTCTTCCTACTATGTGTCTAAAGCCCATCTTCAGAATATGTTTATGACCTAATTCTGCTTTGACATTCACCATTTTGGTTTCTGCCCGCGCCATCTACCTGTCGTAAATTAACCAACCTTTCAATCACAAATCAAACATAGCAATGGAAATTCCACCATATATATATATATGTATATGTATGTATGTATAGATAGATGATTGGTCCCATTAAACCCTCAATTTAGTTCATGGTTTTCCCAGTGCCACGTTCAACTACCAAAGGGTACCTATCCTAAATCAATCAACCATTAATCACCATTTCTGTTGGGTTCTTGCCAGCCCCCACGATCCAAATTCTGAATGTTGGGTGGTACCAAATCAATCCTGGTCCTATTATTTGTCTGGGTAAATCCCTGTAAATCGCCATTGTACACTCAAAAATCCCTGAAAAATAGGCTTTGGAGACACTAAAACCAGATATAAACAATACAAAACCATATTAAAACACACACAACAGCCATGTGTCTCATGGCTTTCACCAAAAAAGTTTCACCTCTCAAACCTTCCTCATTTCCCTCGGGTCACCCGCCTCTCTTCTTTCCAGGTCTTTACGGACATGCAGAACACACAGGCGGTTTTCAGTTTCGACTGAACGTGAATTTCCTGGATGGGCATACAGTGATGGCCCAACTAGCAGTTATTTTTATGGGGTTTATTTCATGATATATAACCTGAGTTATAGGAGTTCGATGTCTATTGATAAGTGTTAGTTGGGCCATAACTGTAGGTTCATTGGAGGATCATCCCATTCAGGAACTGATGAACATAAGTGTGGTCGGTTCGCCCACTTGTGACGAGTCCAATCACAAGCAGGCGATTGAATCACAACGAATTCTCAGTGGGATGATCATCCAAGTAATCAGTGGGATTTTTATCACGGTGATAATCTTACTTGTGCTTAGTAGGGAATGAGGCAATGATCCAAAATAACTATCAATAATCATCCCATTCCCCCATTCCCATCCATTCCCTACTAAGCACCAGTAAGTAATGGGGATTGTTCCAATGATCATGTGGATTGACAAGTTGGATTTAATCCCAGCCAATTAAGTTCTAGTTTATGCCTGTGTTAGCTAGCTTTTATGGTGGACATATCTTAAACTAGTTAGATTGGATTGCAAAGCAACTAACTTATAACTGTGGCGTTTTTTTTTTGTTTTTTTGTTAGTTCACCAGCCAAAAAACAGGATGCTGATCATTATATGATTTTTTTCATGCTGACATTCTAATGGTTTTTCAAACAGGATTCTTCGAACTGGTGAAACCTGGGGTCAACGGGGGATGTTTCTGGTGATTTTTCAAAGCATTCTGATAGTGGATTTTCCCATGAAAAATGGTGGATCTTTCCATAGCTATGTTAAATTACCAGAGGGTAGAAAGACTGAGAATTACTGAGAAAATGAGACATTCCATCCCCCCATCACATAAGGTATCAGTAAGGGAACAACAGATCCAATACAAAAAATCAGGCTTTCTAGGAGGGTTTTAAGTTTCGATATTAGGGGGAAAGGAATTTGATTGAAGCAGTAGACATGTCATGCTTTTTGGTTTAGGATTTTGTTTCGGAATTTGGAGGAAAAACCGTTTCACCTGTTGACCTAGATATATATATATATACTTACTTGGAAGGTGCACCGGAAATAGATGTTAGTGCTATAGAAACATCGATTTCTCATGATTTCTCCGTGCTGGGATGGGGTATCTACTTTCAGGACCAAGGTGGATGGGTGCAAAGTGAGGCCCAAGTTGTGAGTTAGTTTACCAGTGTCAAGCCATCCAAGTTTCCTTCAACAAATACAACTCAGTCATTGTCGTTGTTCTATAGACAATGGAAAATTGTCAAACACAAGTCGACATGGGGTGTTGGTTAAAACCTCGTATCTTACGAGAAAGTGATACTTTTTTCATAAGTGGTAACTGGATGTAATTGGTGATGTTATATAATATTCGCTTATTCACCCTTAATAGCAACTATTAATGAACATAAACATTGTTTCAACATTGTTTCCCACAGTTATTGTTGTGTTAGTTGATTTGCCAATTTTCTGATTTACAATCGTATTACAACTATGGGAAATCACCATGTTTAATAGCATGTTTACTGATTTACCTATTAAAAATGGTGATTTCCCATGGTTATTCAGGTTCTGTCATCCTCTGTTGACACCCTCTTCCAATCACCAGCCACCAGGGCCGCATGTTGACCCTCGAGCTGGGCGATCGAGGCCCTGATGTCAAGGAAGATTGGGCCTGGTACCCCCATCCAGCTCAATATGCACACCATGATATATCTGGTTGGTGGTTTGGAACTTTTTTTCCATATATTGGGAATTTCAGAATCCCAACTGACGAGCTCATATTTTTCAGAGGGGTTGAAACCACCAACCAGACAAATATACATATATATATATATACATATATATATATATATACATATATATATATATGTATATGTGTAATTTTGTATACTATATATAAATTGAATCCATTTTCCATGTATAATTTGGGTAATAACGATGCGCGAACATATATATATATATATGATTTATTTGTAAATATATATATATACACATCATTATACATCTACATACTCCAATGTCCTAAATGAGGTTTTCTATGGGATATTTAGTATTACTTGGTGGCTCATCCCACTTATCCTAAGTAGGTGAAATATCCCTGGTTTTGTTAGTGGGATAAGTAGGGTTAGTCCACTTACAACTGGGGTGAACTAACCTACTTACTAAGTGGGATGAACCACCAAGTAGGGGATGGCTAGGTCACCATTTCAGTGACCAGAATCCTCCCGCAGATCGCAAGAGTCGACGCTTGGGCCGCGACGGGGACAGCTGAGGAGCGAGTTATGGGTGGCGCTGAATACCCTGCACAGGGTATATTGAAGTATGACAGCTAAGATGGTAAAACAACTAGGTCAATGGTTGTCAATGGGATATATAGTGGGTTTAAAATCCATTGTTAATGGGATATATAATGGGATATACTCTAGGTCAATCAACTGGATGGGTATAAACTAATCCTAACTAGTCTTTTGTTATGGGATTATCTACTAGCTCACCAGCTGCCAGAATTTATATATTTTGCAGGTTATCCAAGATTGGCCATGACATTTATAATCAGGCACATGTAGTACTTAAAGGATCATCCCACTTACTCAATGGGAATTCCAGGATCCTAAAATGGAGGTACTGTACCATATAAGGCTATATTTTGTGGAGATATTCCCTTACATAGCCCTGAAAAATAGGCCTTATATATGGTAGGTACCTCCAATTTAGGTTCCTGAAATGGCCATTGACTTACTAAGTGGTTTATAACATGCTTAACCATAGTTCATCCACCTATAGATGGGATAACCCATGAATCGGGGGTTATGTTCACCACTTACGATTCGTGGGATGATTCTCCAAGTATTGTAGAGTGAAGATGTCTACTTGCAAAAGATACTGGCAGAAACCGGTAGTATACAGAGAGATGATGAGATATGTTCGAATGAGTTTTGCATCTTTGTAATTGGTGCTACAATGTGCTACATGTATATCTCTATTTGCATACATGTATGAGGGTGTACGTCTCATGTGAATAACATATATATATATATGTACATAGTACCCTCTGGTAATCAAACGTAAAATGGAACATCCCTCCATATATGGAGAGGTTAATAGGAAACCACATCTATAGATTTGGATTCTTCCATTGCCATGTTTGATCACCCCAGGAGCTCCAGATTCGGTGATCGGCTGGCATTGCGCCTGTCACGTGCTGTTCGGCCGGAGACAGCAGCTGATCTCAGATGGGTAGATGCCACATATCAATACCCTCTGGTAAACTAACATAGCTTTTGAAAATGGCCATTTATAGTGAGTTTTCCCATTAAAAATGGTGATTTCCCATAGTTATGTTAGTTTACCAGAGGGTACATATCATCCATGGACATGGTCCGGGGTCAGTTTTCTGTTCTGTTTTTCTTTCTGTTCAGTTGATCTTTCGGGGGTGTCTCCAAATCCTTCGCAGCTTGCCTGGATGACTGTTTGAAAAAAAGCACCTAAAGAGGCAAAGATACATTTGCAAAGATGTATATATTATAATATAATTATAATTAAAAGCACGATACCTACCCAGTTGCAGGACTAAATCGACCGTACGCGGATCGTACGGGGCTCAATTTCCACTTTGCTACGCCTTGCAACAATTCATGTTGACCATTCCCCGCTGTGTTGGCCAGAAAATCCGAGAAAACAGTTCGATGCGTGCATAGCACTCAGAGTAGACCTGTTGCATCAATCAGTAAGCTCAACATGCCCCTGAAATCCACCAAGAAAGCTTGTCACTTTTTGGGCGGCCGACACCAGATGATTCAGACGCGAGGGAATTTGGAGAGCTAGGGCTGGATCGGATAAGTAGGAGTCAGACTTCAGTCCATGGCCCCGATCTCAAGAATTGATGTTTCATGTTGGCGACTTGCTCTGAATTCTATGGATCCTATTTGGCAAAATTGCCGCAGATAACGCACATTTTCTCTATAGTAGCACCATGGAGTATTCGGCATATCTGAAGTCACCCATTGACTCCAAAAAATCCAGCCGCTGCCATGCGCAGTATGTGTGAATTCGCTGATGTGATGGCGAGAGAGCCATTTCCGCCGGAGGAAAGGGCTGGTGGATAGCCTCTACAGCATTATCTTTGAATATCTTTTATTTAAAGAGCTGCTCAGCATAGCACTATCCGATATCCTCAGGACACCTTTCAGAAACAGATGATGAAACCCAGAAAAATGCTGCCTTCGCCAACCTTCTCCTGGCCTGGCTAGATCCTTTTTTTCGTGGGTCCGGATCTGCAAAAACGTGGACAGAAAAACGCCCTGGGCCCCAAGTGGGAAAGACTTAGGGGCCATGATGTGAAGTCGTGGGTGTCAAGCCAGCTTCAGTCGTGAAATCATTCCATAGCAGATAACAGACTCAAATGATGGGGATACCCCAAGATGGATGGTTTATAATGGAAAATCCTACCAAAGTGGATGATTTGGGGGTACCACCATTTTAGGAAACCTCCAAATACGCAAATACGGAGAAGATGAAATCCTATCAGTGGCAGCCATTCTGGCACTACAAGATCTTCTATTCAGACCTCAAACGTCACCTTTAAAAGACAAATTTTGCAGTCCCGTTCTCACTACATGGAATGCATGTGAACTTCCCTGGGAAAACCGAGTGCCGTGCTTTGTCCATGGCCTGGAAAGGACCTGTTCAAATTGATTTCTGGTGACCAAAAAGCGCAGCCCGAAAACCACATGTCACCAGCTTTCGGCTGACGTTCGCGTCGCGCGAACTTGATTCCCCAGGCTAACTTGATTGATGTTTTGGGACTTTGGGAACATATTAAATTCGTAGGCAATACCTAAAGGATCCTAAGGGCAACAGGCAAGTCAAGGATTTAGGCGATTGGAAAGACCGTGGAGGGCAGGATAGACCCATCGAAAAATGTGGTTAAATATACTGTTTTATACATATGTCGCTATAGACATGACGTATATAAACATCATTTACCCAATCCCTTTTAGGTCCATGACCAATCATGGACCTTCCTGGACTCTAGCGATCCCCAAGGGGGGTATTTCCCCTATGTTAGGAGGGCAACAGACAAATAGACATGACTAAAAAAGATGTTTAGATCCGAAAACTTATATCCAGAGATATCATGAGAGATCAAGAGATATCAGGAGACATTTAGATCATTTAGATATTAAACAACTTTCTATGAAATATCTGGCGAGTCCATGGCGCTATGGCGTCGTTTTCTGTGCCTCTTGGGACCTGGCGTCGTTTACGTCGCGGTAGCTCGGTCTCGAAGATTTGCCCTGTGTAAAGGGGTAAAGCGACCGACAATTCAAGGGAATTTGGACATATTTAACATGAGTAGATTGGGTAGATTACTTGGGTACTGGGTAGATAGTTGAAGGTACATCGGTTTGTCAAGGTATCCAAATTTGGTTATGGTATTTTGATTCAGTAAAATATGGTTTCCTGCAGACTTTCCCGTCAATCCAGGCAATGAACCCAATGAACAACAACTGAAAATTTGCCTTGACTACAAGGGCCTTGATTGAATCTATTTTGTTGGGGAGTGTGGAAAAGGAACCCGTATGATTGCGATATATTCTTATTTGGGAGTACCCCAGGTTTGAACCATGCCCAATGAAGCCCAATGTGTATATACATGTGTTGAACAGACTATGATGATATGTGTTAAGAATACCAACAAGTGGTTTGATCTATGCAAAACCTCTACAACGGGTTACAAGCATGACTGCACAACATGGCACATCCAGCGGGTAGAAGATTCCGATGAGGTGGGACACCCTTGGTGTTTAGAACAGCACACTTCTTTCATGGACTGGTTAGTAAACTCTTGGTTGAAACCCAGGTGAAAATCATGTTAAAACTTAACATGAACACCATGTTAAAAACCAAATGTGTTCACAGCATTTCACAGCACTGAATCCTTGTCACCGCCATGTTTGGTGTTTTTCCACAAAAACCAGGGCAACGAGACCTTAGACTTTCTGGATTGCAGCGGGGACAGCTTCCACCCCGCCTGGCAGCGCTTCAAGGCTGACGGTTCCCCGGGTGAAACGGGTGAAGGTGATGGATCATGCGATCCAGTGATGGCTGGGAAACCTTAAGCCAGTTGGGTTTATAAACCATGGTAACTATATATATATATATATATATAAATAGGCTATAGAAATATCTACCTAATCAAGCCTAGGTGTTAGTTTTGGAACTACACAATTTGGTTTATAATCCATGATAACTATGGAAATATGGCTACCCTGTGATGTTAGTAACTATAGAATAATATCATGACATATCTACCTAACCAACTCTATAGTTGGAGTTGTGTTCACCAACTTAGATAACTATGGGGCGCAACCTTCTAGCCACCAAAAGAAGGTGAACATCATGGTAAATTGGGGATGTTTCAATGATTTTCAACCATCCAAAAGCGAGTTAACATCTAGTCAAATGGGAACTTGGGAACTTTCTAAAGGCTAATGACTCACTCTTTTTTTTGGCGAGGTGTCAAAGGTTAACAGTTAACAATGCAACTAATTGCGTTTGAGGATAGGTGTGCATGGCAACCCTTGAGACTGGCTGCTTAAGTCTGCTGAGATTGATAGACCCATTGGTGTTTCTGGACATAGATGAGAAATACTCAGTGGTTGGTTGGCGAAACAAATCAGGTATCCTGCAATTGTTCGCAACCACTAGGCAATGGGAGATAGTGGCAAAATTGTATATCAAGCCGGCCCTTCTATTATTTTATTCAAAGGAACCTCGCTGACCATTGATACTGATTCTGATTCAATACTGGCTGGGGGTTCAACTTCATTTTCCGATGCAAACAGATAATGAATCAACACATTGATGAAATGGTGATGACTAAGATAAAGATGAAGGAATTGATGATGAAACTGCTGCACTAGGGGCAACCAAACACAGGCCGACCTCACTGCTGACCTCATCAGGGATCCCGCGCTTCGTTTGATGTAGCGGTTCCAATGGACGGTTCGTCGCTGTTACTGCAATGAGTCGGTGCTGACTGTGCTAATCAGTGAGTCTGAGCACCTGTCTAAATACGTTTAAATAAAAATAACTTGGGACACAAAAAACAGCTCTTTTCAAAGCTGTGGAACTTTTGCTCTGACTTGGACGTTTTACCGGTTTGGGCCAGTCTTGGCAAAACCACATTTTGTTGGAATTACTTTGAATGCCACTTGGGACACAAAAGCGGTTCAGTTCAAAGCTGTTTGCTCTGACTTGGAAGTAATACCGTTCTGGCCCGGTCTTGACCAAACCACATGTTTTTGGAATTACTTTTTATCGCCACTGGAAACACAAAAACGGTTCTGTTCAAAGCTGTTTTGCTCTGACTTGGAACTAATATGAACTAATACCGTTGTGGGCCAGTCTTGGCCAAACCACATGTTTCTGGAAGTACCTTTAATGCCACTTGGAACACAAAAGCCCTTCGGTTTAATCTGGTTTGCTTTGAGCTGGAAGTAATACCGTTTTACGCCAGTCTTGCCCAAACCACATGTGTTTGGAATGTTTTGGAATTTGGTTTAACGCCACTGGAAACACAGAAACGGTTCTGTTCAAAGCCGTTTTGCGTTGACTTGGAAGTAATTCCGTTCTGGGCTAGTCTTGACCAAACGACATGTTTCTGGAATTACTTTTGTTTGTACCATAATTATACCATCTCCAGGGTTGGAAATATTACCAAATGATTCATGGCAATCAATAACGATGTTGTTTATTGAATTTTATACCTGTTTCAGCACATGGTTCTAAAGCTTTGCTATCTCCAGACCAACTTTTTTCATAGTATAGATGAGTATAGTGGTTTGCATTATGTGACATTTACTGCCGATCGGTTCCCCGTTTCGGTTCATGCTGCGGTTCGGTTCGGTTCGTGTTGGTCTTACGGTTCGGACCTGCTACGGTTCATGTCGGTTCGGTTCGTGTGGTTCGATTCGGTTCGCAGGGACACTGAATCATGGTAAGCGAACCCAAGCAAAAAACAGCCATCCAATGTTTGCTCTCAGACTATAGATCAGAGATCTCTGTAAATACATGAGTGGTTGATTCTGCCGTTTAGAGTTTGCGACATATATCTAGACATTCCAAGTACCCCCAAAAAAGAAAAAACATATTACTTGGTGGCTCATCCCGCTTAGTAAGTAGGTTACAACCCCAGCTGTAAGTGGATTAAACCTACTTATCCCACAAAGAAAACCAGGGATATAACCTACTTAGGATTCGTGGGATGAGCCACCAGGTAACAATGGCATAGATCCAACAAAAAAAATAAAATAAATACACAATATCGACAATATCAATATTCATTTCAATCCCATGGAACTTTAATCTTACTATTCATCCCATTAATCATCACCAATGTAGATATTACACAACGATTTGTGTTGCGTTGCGTTGCTGGCAGGCGAACCTGCCCTCAGAGGTGAACCCAGCCACCGAATTGCCCGATGTCAAGGAGGCGCGTGAAACATTTCTTCGTCACCGGATGCTTTGGTGCACCAAATTGTGAGTACTGGAACTGGATTACCTAATAACTAGAGTTTATAGTGATTGTAGCTACAATGAATGAACTATATATTACACATAATATGTACATTCAGTTTACAACCAGTTCTGTTTGTTGGTCTAGTTTCGTAGGTCAACTAGTCTGTAACTAGGTTGTTCCTGACTTACCATGTATATGTATATAATACACACATATTGTCACACATATAATTTATAAATAAATATATATATATATTATAAATATGTTGTGTATATATATATATATATATTGACGGACTGAAACTTAGAATGCGCGCCATTTTTCCAAATTTCCCTTTTTCGTAAACTTAGAATGCGGCGCAGCCCCGGGCGGCGACCAGACAGTTAGAATGCTGACCCAAAGTGTTTAGATTGAGATAGATAAAGATATACTGAAATGACGGATGGGGCATCATGGAGCATTCTAACTGTCTGTAAACTACTCTCAGGAAAGGAGCGTAGCATTCGAAGTTTCAGTCCGTCGGTGTGTGTATATATACTGTATACATATATTTAAAAAGATAAATATATAGATATGTGTCAAAAAAAAACATGGCCTCAGGGAACCTCATTGGGTGCAAGGTACATGGTCCGGCACTAGCATATTCTAGCATGGATGGGTGGGTTTGCATCATGTTTTCAAAAGAACTTTCTATATACATACCAAGTATGTATGTTTCCAGAAAACCACCAGGGAACGCTGAGGGAACGCATGGGTTGTGGGGTACAATTGTCTGCACAACCAAGTATGTATATATATATATATTCTCAAACAGGTACATTCATATACCCAGAACCTCCAAATACCCTGAAAAATTGCTAAAACTATGAACATTATGTGGTAAACTACCTTTTTTTATGGTGACTTGGAGGGTCTAGGATATATATGTGTTTCTGCCTGGAGAAAAATACCCTTGGAGGCATTCTAACTGTTGATTGCCGAATAGCTTCATCCTAGGTGGGGGGGAGGCATTCAAAGTTCTGAAATGCTGGTAAAATGCAATTTTCCAGTTTTGCCGTTAAAAAAAAAACATCTTTTCCAATCAGTGACAGTTACAGGCATTCCGGCTAGCGGCCCATCTAGGAGATAAAACAAAGGTATTTATCAATGATGGGGATCCTTTACTAAAGCTACATTCTAACTGTCTGTTCAACACCATTAGCGGCTGGGTGTGTCCTCTTTTCCCAGAAGCCTATCTACCTCAGGTATGTGTCCAAAACCGCAATTTTTGTACCCGAAACTCACTTTTGTCAAGGTTATCGAATGGGGAAAGCGAGTAAAAGTGCCTTTGGGCTGCCTGTTGGTTCATTGCGACTTTTCATAGAATCTTTACCCAGACCTGCAAAGTGCACAAAAAATAATGTGATATTCTCAAACAGGTACATTCTCATACCCAGAACCTCCAAATACCCTGAACAATTGCTCGAACTATGAACATTATGTGGTAAACTACCTTTTTTATGGTGACTTGGAGGGTCTAGGATATATATGTGTTTCTGCCTGGAGAAAAATACCCTTGGACGCATTCTAACTGTTGATTGCCGAATAGCTTCATCCTAGGTGGGGGGGAGGCATTCAAAGTTCTGAAATGCTGGTAAAATGCAATTTTCCAGTTTTGCCGTTAAAAAAAAAATATTTTCCAATCAGTGACAGTTACAGGCATTCCGGCTAGCGGCCCATCCAGGAGATAAAACAAAGGTATTTATCAATGATGGGGATCCTTTACTAAAGCCACATTCTAACTGTCTGTTCAACACCATTATTGGCTGGGTGTGTCCTCTTTTCCCAGAAGCCTATCTACCTCAGGTATGTCTCCAAAATCGCAATTTGTGTACCCGAAACTCACTTTTGTCAAGGTTATCGAATGGGGAAAGCGAGTAAAAGTACCCAGACCTGCAAAGTGCACAAAAAATAATGTGATATTCTCAAACAGGTACATTCTTATACCCAGAACCTCCAAAACCCTGAAAAATTGCTAAGACTATGAAAATTATGTGGTGAACTACTTTTTTTATGGTGACTTGGAAGGTCTAGGATATATATGTGCTTCTGCCTGAAAAAAATATACCCTTGGAATCCAATGGAGGCATTCTAACTGTTGATTGCCGAATAGCTTCATCCTAGGTGGGGGGGAGGCATTCAAAGTTCTGAAATGCTGGTAAAATGCAATTTTCCAGTTTTGCCGTTAAAAAAAAAACATCTTTTCCAATCAGTGACAGTTACAGGCATTCCGGCTAGCGGCCCATCTAGGAGATAAAACAAAGGTATTTATCAATGATGGGGATCCTTTACTAAAGCTACATTCTAACTGTCTGTTCAACACCATTAGCGGCTGGGTGTGTCCTCTTTTCCCAGAAGCCTATCTACCTCAGGTATGTGTCCAAAATCGCAATTTTTGTACCCGAAACTCACTTTTGTCAAGATCATCGAATGGGGAAAGCGAGGAAAAGTGCCTTTGGGCTGCCTGTTGGTTCATTGAAACTTTTCATAGAATCTTTACCCAGACCTGCAAAGTGCACAAAAAATAATGTGATATTCTCAAACAGGTACATTCATATACCCAGAACCTCCAAAACCCTGAAAAATTGCTAAGACTATGAAAATTATGTGGTGAACTACTTTTTTTATGGTGACTTGGAGGGTCTAGGATATATATGTGTTTCTGCCTGGAAAAAATATACCCTTGGAGGCATTCTAACTGTTGATTGCCGAATAGCTTCATAGGTGGGGGGGAGGCATTCAAAGTTCTGAAATGCTGGTAAAATGCAATTTTCAAGTTTTGCGGTTAAAAAAAAAAACATCTTTTCCAATCAGTGACAGTTACAGGCATTCCAGCTAGCGGCCCATCTAGGAGATAAAACAAAGGTATTTATCAATGATGGGGATCTTTTACTAAAGCCACATTCTAACTGTCTGTTCAACAACATTAGTGGCTGGGTGTGTCCTCTTTTCACAGAAGCCTATCTACCTCAGGTATGTGTCCAAAATCGCAATTTTTGTACCCGAAACTCACTTTTGCCAAGGTTATCGAATGGGGAAAGCGAGTAAAAGTACCCAGACCTGCAAAGTGCACAAAAAAATAATGTGATATTCTCAAACAGGTACATTCATATACCCAGAACCTCCAAATACCCTGAAAAATTGCTAAAAATATGAAAATTATATGGTAAACTACCTTTTTTATGGTGACTTGGAGGGTCTAGGATATATATGCGTTTCTGCCTGGAAAAAAGCAAGCCCTTGAAGGCATTCTAACTGTTGATTGCCGAATAGCTTCATCCTAGGTGGGGGGGAGGCATTCAAAGTTCTGAAATGCTGGTAAAATGCAATTTTCCAGTTTTGCCGTTTAAAAAAAACATATAAACATCGTTTCCAATCAGTGACAGTTACAGGCATTCCAGCTAGCGGCCCATCTAGGAGATAAAACAAAGGTATTTATCAATGATGGGGATCCTTTACTAAAGTCGCATTCTAACTGTCTGTTCAACACCATTAGCGGCTGGGTGTGTCCTCTTTTCCCAGAAGCCTATCTACCTCAGGTATGTGTCCAAAATCGCAATTTTTGTACCCGAAGCTCACTTTTGTCAAGGTTATCGAATGGGGAAAGCGAGTAAAAGTGCCTTTGGGCTGCCTGTTGGTTCAATGAAAAATTTTCATGGAATCTCTACCCAGACCTGCAAAATGCACAAAAAATAATGTGATATTCTCAAACAGGTACATTCATATACCCAGAACCTCCAAATACCCTGAAAAGTTGCTAAAACTATGAAAATTATGTGGTAAACTACCTTTTTTATGGTGACTTGGAGGGTCTAGGATATATATGTGTTTCTGCCTGGAAAAAAACATATGCCCTTGGAGGCATTCTAACTGTTGATTGCCGAATAGCTTCATCCTAGGTGGGGGGGACGCATTCTAAGTTCCGAAATGCTGGTAAAATGCAATTTTTCAGTTTTGCACGTGTGGAGTGATGCTTCCAAATGCGCATTCTAAGTTTCAGTCCGTCAATATATATATATATATATTGTGTACATATACAATGTATATTCATTGAACGGGATGGAAATAAACCCATCTAGCTATGTCGACATATCTTCCATAAACTCTAATGGCACCACCTTGCAGGGTCCAGAACGTCAAGCGCTGAGATTTGTGATGGGATTGAACTTGGAAGGCGGTTGCATTAGTGTAATATGTTGAATCATCTTGTCTAGAGGTTTCATTGCTAAGCAGGTTTGCATATGTTGAGTTTTTATTTTTCGAACTTCTGTGTGTAGTAGAATCAATCCATATGTTTTCATGCTGCAATTCTATTGGATTCCCACATGTTGGAAGAAACTCCTGTTGTGACCCGCTTCCCGGCTGACGCAGGCAACGGAGTTGCTGGACAGTGTCGAGGTGCCCTTCAGTCGAGTTCATGGGGAGATTGCGATGCCACATGGTGATTAGAAGATGTTTTCAAGGAGATCATCAACATAAACCGACCCAGAAATGTGTTCATCATTGTTCACCAACATTGATAAATACAGTATCATTGATGGTGATAGTTTACATCAACAGAACCTTTCAGACATAAGTTATGGTGCCTTCTTTTTCTGATGTGATACTGTAATATGCAATCAGATATAACCCGATATAAACCACGTGGATGGGCACGTTGATTTCAAACACGTCGGACTCACCAAACAAAATGCCGAAGGTAACTATCGAAGGTTGGCCATGATATGATGGGGTAGTATTGACATATGTAAATACTTTCTAATACGGATGCCAACTTTCTAGTGTCACCTATGGTAGCATATTACTGATATCAATAATTTTGGTTTGTAATGCTATAGAATACTGATATATACTGATGCATGATAGTGATAATACTATAAAATTGTTTTATACTGGTATAATTGATAGCATAAATACTGGGTATGGCTCAAAAGGCAACCCGTCAAAATGGAGGGTTTAATTCTACCATTGGTACCCTATCTTTAGGTCGAAACCATATATGATGGATCAACATGGGGATTCATTCAAACCCCACCATCAAACATAGGAGTTCAACCAGCGAAAACTGGGATTCAACACTATCAACTGATATGGGTAAGCCCTGGCCTTTACTTTGAACTCCACCGCAAAAAGGCGGCGCGGGGTTTGTGTGCTGCGCACTGCGGGCTCTGTCGGGAGAAATTGTTGCCGAGATCTACGTGCGCAAAGGACAGCCTTGGCTGCATGAAGTGCCTTTCGGACGACTATGTCACCAATGGGGCATCAGCAACTTTCAACTACTGGATGGGCACGGAATTGTGTTCCCTCGTCCTCGGCTAGCAGCATTGGTGCCTTCAGACAACAGCTGCAACTCCGTGACCTTGCAAGTCTTGATCGTCAACGAGCCACCGTCAAATTTGTGATAGCAAGAGCATGTTTCGCATGCCATGCAGCGTGCAGGGACCGTCCCACTATACGAGTTTCGCTGGATGCGAAACGGAAGCTACAAATGCTTTGGATGAACGTGGCGACAGTTGTTTTTCTAAAAAAGCAACGAATTCTACAGCACATTTTGCGGGGTGAGAGAGGATGATGCGTATAGTATAGGCCGACCCTTCCCTGGAACATGCGAACCACCCTTGCAGGGATTATATACTCTATTTGTATGTATTTGTCATTGAGAACAGCAATTTCTTATGATTTGTTTGATGGATATACAATTTTGGTGTTGATTCACCTGAAGTTGGAAGCTGGAATCCATGTATATGTCTTGGGTGAAACCTGAAGTCACAAATACAAACCATTTAGCCAACCAACCTGGCAGCACTAGAGATGAATTACATCCATATACATGTTCATCCATGTTATCCATTTACAGATTAATTATCTATCTATATATCCTATCCTATCCTATCCTATCCTATCCTATCCTAGCCTAGCCTAGCCTAGCCTAGCCTAGCCTAGCCTATCCTATCCTATCCTATCCTATCCTATCCATCTATCTATCTATCTATCTATCTGTCTATATTTGTGCTATCTATGATCATTTTTTGTGTTTTTTGTCCATGTGTTTAGAAATATGAAATATGATAGATGATTTATACCCACTCATAATTGATGTGTTTCAAGTTGCTTTGCAAACCCATTTTCATACTAGTTCGTCAAAAAATCTCCCGTTCGTCCACCCTTCACTGGTTGGTGGTTTGGAACATGAATTGTATGACTTTCCATATATTGGGAATAATACCAGCTGACTTTCATATTTTTCAGAGTGGTTGAAACCACCAACCAGTTAAACATTCACCGTTCGTTTTACGCGTCCAGGCCGAGGTGGACTTCGACTGGGCCCAAGCGGTGTCGGATTTCCGGGACCGACTCAGGGGAGACCTCACCACTGAGGATTTAGGCCCCTGGGGAGCGCTTGGGAACCCTTAAACCACGGGGAAAGCCCAGGAAAATCGTCTAAATGCTTGATGTTCCACATTTTTCTGTAAACGTTTACCCAAATGGGTAGGACATTTATGGATGGGGTTCTATGAAAAATGGGAAGTTGCAGACATGTTGGCAATGAATTTGCTGGTTTTTAGAGGTTCTCCAAACAAAAATAATGGAGTTTATGTGCATTTAATCAATGAACTTGACGGTGGTGCGAAGATGGCTCAGAATCATTCAGAATCGTTGTGGTCAACCCCACCAGTAACTGTAACTCACATTCAAACGATCCTGGTATGCATTTCATTCCATGTCATGTTCAACAATGCCTCCACTTTGAACAAATCCGTATATCTTATCACATCCTATCTATAGGGTTATGCGATATATGTTTATATATATAATATAATATATATATATATTTAAATATGCATTGTGTTGGTCCAAATGCATTGTTTCTGCTCGTTGATTCCATTGAAACATCTTTTTGGATCCTCTTGATGTGATGCATTCAAATATTTGAATCCATTGAAACCACATTGTTTGATTGTTCAATCAAAACCATCTAGGTATTCTGCCCTAAATTCCTGTTGGGTGAATTGGCGGAAGATCGCATTTGCAGGGCCCCAATGCTACTTTCAAATGCAATCGTAGAAACTTCCCCAGGGCGGGGGCCCTAGTCAGAGGTTGGCTAATGGGTGCACCCATCAATCCAACAGATATTGCACAAAAAAAATTGGACGTCAGAAACTGATCATAAAATAACAGCTTATATATACAGTATGTATCACCCTTTTTGTTGATTTTCTGCATGATTATCACACTTAAAAAATCTTAAAGACCTACTTCGGCAAAGCCATCAATAAACAATCATCTCTTGGAAGATCATTTCTTGCTTTAAATCTCCGGGAAAACCCAAATTTCGAGGCGGTTTCTGCCTCTTTGGGGTGGTCACGGCCTATGCCGTGCTGGCATACCAGTTGGTGAGGCCGTCCTGCTGATGAATAGATTGATCCCAAACATGATGGGAAAATTATGGGGATTCCATTAGCAAAAATGATATGTTTTGAAGGTTTTAATAGGTTTTAAGGCATCAAGAATCGGGGGTTATGATGTTTATGGAGATTAGGGGTCTACAACCAACAAAAACAAACCGGTTTCACTTTTTTTTGACCTGCAAAAATCTGGACTGAACCACCCAAATATGGGTATTTCCCCAGTAAGACTTGGGATTGATGGGTATGTTCAACGCCGCAAAGGAATGGAATTTGCCGACATGATATCCCAGCCTGCGTAGGTCAGCAACGATTAATAGTGTGCTGCGCGAAAACGTGGGTTCTTGCCTGCGAAGAGGTTTTGCAAATGTTAGGTTTTAACCAGCCAAAGACTGGACCATATACGAGGAACACGACTATCACAAGTGGAATATATATATATACATACATACATATGATATATACATGTATACTATATATATATATACACATATATTTATGACGGGGATCCACCCAAAAAAACACCAAGCTTGAGGAAACCAACGAAGCCCTTCGGTTCCATCAATTCCGTTTTGTTTTTTTCCATCAGCTGCCAAGTAGCAGACCACATGTCCTGTTGAGTTCAGGTGCGTGTTCGAACACAATATCCCTTGTTTGGAGAATCTCCCGAGGCTTCCCCACATTCTATAGCCCCACATTCTATAGCACCTCCCAAAAAGATCGAAATGTGTTAAATTGAAATTCCGGAACTACTGGTGAAACAGCCTCTTTTTGGGGTTGCTAATGTTTCTCTACGATTTCTCCTGTAGCAATGTGTTTTCATCTCCAGGGAGTCCCAAGAAATCAAGTCGGATGCCAAGAACCTCTTGGTGCGCGCCTTGACGCTCGGCCGATCTTCCGGATCCCGTCCGAGCAAAGGAGATGGAACAGAAGCTACCCTTTGCTAAAAACATAGCCATAGAAAATCACCAATTGTGATAGGTAAATCCATCTATAAGTATGATAAGTGTGCCATGTTCGATAGGTGAAATCACAGAAGGGCATATGATGTATATCAAGTAGTGACATTGTAGTGAATGTTCCAGACATGGTACACAGTTTCATCAATTTCCTGGTCATTTGTATGAATAGGAAACCTATTTGCGAACACTTTTCTGAGAGGAGGTTGTTTGACCATTTTTCGGGTGGGATCATCCACGATGATCCTCCTTGAGGATGGTGATGGCAAAGAAACAGGCGGGCAGATGGTTCCAGAAGATATCGAAATATCGATCCAGGAAGATATAACATAGGATAGAATGGGACAATGATTGTGATGGGATTATGATTGGATTGTAGCGGGATCATGATGGAATTTGCAGCCAACCAACTTTCATTTAGGTGTGACTGAACATTTGTGATTCAACCCCCAATAGATGGCAATTCTATCCGGAAACGTCATTCAAGATATTCAAGAATAGGGGGACCCATTTTTAAGAAAACCCATGTCATCAATGTAGCTTCAGACATGAAATGATAAAATAGATAAGATCAACGCACTTTCATGCAGGCTCCACTTCTTGATCCGCATTTGCAGTGATTATGTTCAGTGTTTGTTCACTGGAATGAGCACAAGCGCAAACGTCCACTGTGCCAAATCATTTCTGCTTGTCAACCCCCCTTGTTTGGAGGTCATTTACAATTTGTAAACGTTACACAACTTCCAACATTTTCCAGGTCACACGTGTTGAAAATTGGCTAGTAGGTCATCAAGAGCACTTTTTATGGTTACATTATAGTAGAATCTCCAACATTATTGTCATAAGATCTCATTCTATGGTGCTTTTCCCAATTTATGGGGGTACCCCAAAAACGCTGGATGGTTTATTTCATGGAAAATCCCATCTATAAATGGATGAAGACTGGGGGATACCCCCATGGAAAGCTCCTGAAAAAAATTCGCGCCGTTCGCCGGCAGGTGAACGACTTCTTGGAATCCTCCGCATGGCCGGTGCGTTCCATGGACATGGTGGCCTTGTTGGAAAAGGAAGACTTCGCCAAGGCGGCTGTTTTCAAGGGAGATGATGGGCCTGGGGCGGGAGCTTTTCTGAGTTTCAGATGTTATAATCATGCTGAAGTACCAGTAGATTGATTATGGGATGTTCAAAGATATTCCCATTATTCTATCTACTCCAGGATGACTATATAGATTGAAACCCGGATGAAGTGATAATTAGCGTGCGGAAGGTTATTTCCTATGCGGGATGGAAAATGATGCATAATTACGATTCGAAGTGAGCAAAGATTGTGGTGTTGATCATCTACACCAAACGAAGCCCTGAAACTACTTGGGAAACTTGCAAGTTTATTGAAAAAGTCCTTGTTTTGCCTGGAGAATGTAAGGAGACCCTTCTACAAGAGGCGTGAAACATACTTGGGGATGGATATTGGGTACCACCGTACTCTAAATCATGGTGATTTCCCGCCGGTTGGGATGTAACTTCTTTCATTATTGCCATTTGGGAAAGAGAGAAGTTGAATCAGAGGTATTATATACTGTAATGTGGGTAAGACAAGTTCATAAACAATCCCCCAGTCATCACCATTTTGATAGGTGGTATGAAAAAAAAACATTCCCAGCTTTGTTTTACCCTAACCTTGGTGATCTCGTGTATATAGGTAGAGCTTCTAATTAGGTGTTTCAATGACTTGAGAGGTGCACCTCCCTGCATTTTGCTGCGCCGGAGATAGAGAAGCGGAGATGTTGCGGGATGGTCCCAACTGGTTGGTGGTTTGGAACATACTCATTAATGATGGTAGATGATCATTAACCAATGGCAATGGTATTAATTGATGGTTAACCAATGGTAATTTTTCCCATCATGTTGGGAATGTAATCATCCCAACTGACGAACTCCATCATTTTTCAGAGGGGTAGGTATACCACCAACCAGTCTTACTTGTCTATGGCTGATTTTTTTGTGGCATTGTTTACCATGTTTGGTTAGCATTAGCCATCCCAGAAAATACGTCAGAACTTTCCTGCTTCCTGATTTGTTTGTTGTCCTTCATATTTCTTGTTTCCCCCAGGTATAGTGCAGATGGCTATGGTTTGTGGCATTGTGGCGCCCATATATGTCGCACTGGGTATGTAGCCATTCCAGAAACCAGTTCAAAAAATGTGTAAATTATTGTTGATGTTCAAACGCCGTTTGTATTTGGTACTGTACATGATTGTTTTTTCGACAAGCTGTTGTAACCACAAGTCAACATATATATAGAGATACAGATTTAGGTCATTTGATACCTACATGTAGCTGATATTCATTGCTGAGGATTGGCACGGGTTGTTTTTGATTTAAACTCCACTTGAGATTTGATGTCATCGTCATTGTTCTGCTTTCGTATTATTCTGATCAGAGTTGAACTTTCACAATGACATGTTTCTGGTTGGTGGTTTGGAACATCCTGAAGCCCCCAAAAGGCAATAAATTTTGTACCTTTTGCCTTTTAGGTCGTTTTCATGAAGAAAAGGTCTTTCTGCCGCGTTCGCATTTTTTCTGCCTCGTCTGGTAAATTTCTGCCTCGTCTAACTTACCAAAGAAACCATCACTTGAACTTCTCCAGTTGTCGCATGTATAGCGACAAGACTTTCTGTATTGTTCTGGTCGATGTAAGTAAAGGATGGCACGACCGTGAAACTCTGGAACACCTCCCTATGAAGTCCTCATCCTGCCAGCAACCCCAGCCTCAGCTGAAGTGAAGACTTTTGGATTTCGGGGTGGTGATTCTTGTTAAAAGAGCATAGGCAACCCCCAAAAATGAAAATCTTGAAAGCTGGTCTAGGAACATATGGGGTTGATGGCAGCGTGTTTGCCCGCTTTCAAGCTCTGACAAATGTGGCATCCAAGGTGGAATTTTGGACGGAGCTTGTAAAGATGCCACTGTCTTTCATAGCACATGTATGCCAAGCGGGAGAAACCCTCCTTAGTAAGGATATCACCACAGATAGAAAGAAACTGTGGGTTCAAATGTTTGTTGAGCAGCAGAAAGACCTTTTCTTCATGAAAACGACCCTAAAGGCAAAATGTACAAAATTTATTGCCTTTTGGGGGGTTGAACGGATCCAATTCTAAATGGTTAGCAATGGGTAGTGGATGTTTCTTGGTAACTCAACAACAGATCAGAATCATTCATGTCCATCCCAGCTCGCAGTGCCAAGCGCCGCCGCCGTCCAGAAATGAACACTCCAGAACTGCGAAGGGTTCTGAAGAAAGTGTTGGCACAATGCACGGTGTACTTTGCCATCTCAAAGAACTGGTCGCCCTTTGGGGGAGCTAATGCCCATGGAAAAAAAAAACAACTCACACCACAAGACAAGAGTAGACCCTATTTTTTGATACTGTGTGGAGCGTTCAAATTCATATCAACAGCATAATGTTCTTTGAACTCTGTACTCTATATATTTCTCCTAAAATAGGGGTACCCCTAAATCATCAATTTGAATAGGTTTTCCATTATAAACCGTCCATTTGGAGGATGCCCCATTTATGGAAACCACCATATATCCAAGGCACTGACAAAGAACATGGAGCAGCCATAGCACTCTGCAGCCATGCCAACACCACTGCTGTATCATACGCTTTGCCGTTGAGGCTGACTGGGAAGGAATTGTTCCTCGGAACTGGAAGGCCCCAAGTCTATTGATGTAATGGTGGACAAACTCTTTCCAAATTTATGGCCAGGGATGACCCAAAAAAAATCGAAAAATATGTCATAAACAAAAGATAGTGTCAGGGTCATGTCGAAATCCAACTTGCTGAACCGGGTGATGCTTGTCACTCTGTGATTCTTGGCGCACCATGCTGAAAACTGACCATATGCCACTTTAAGCTTTTCATTCAAAGACCGGTAAGTGCCAAAGAAGTTCAGCTTGGCCAATAAAACTATTGTCGACGCTGCCATGTCAATGCCATAGCCTAAATGAAAACAGTGGCAAAAATCCAATTGAGTGTGATGGGGTAAGTTGCAACCCGGCACACCCAACAAAGGGCTGGAAGGGCCATCTTTGTAAGGGGTCTGGCCAGGGCCATTAGTGTTCCACGGTGCCGTTTCCCGAGGGTCATGCCAGTTGTCTGCCGTGCAAACATGGCAAATGCGAGTGCACTGCCAGCCAGTTCGAAGATGCATTGCCTTATGCCCAAATGGGAGCTGACAATATCATATATATATATATATAATAATAATATATGTGATAGATATGATTATATTTATATTACATAAATTGTTTTCTTTACCCATGTCCAAATGTCTACATCATCATAGTATGCAAGGATCTATAACCCATACATATATACTGTAAATGATTCATATTATATATATATATATATACATGTATATATATTTGGGATACAGAAATGTCCTGCACTCTTGTCAGCTAGCCCTCCAGTCTAATATATTCTAAGACACTTTCCGGGCAAATGCCCAATCACCCTTTACTCCACAGGAGATGAAGCGGAAAGTATCACCAGTGCCAACCTTGGAGGCCAGGGGAAAGGGAATGGCAGCACCAACAAAATCAGGGTACCAACCACCTTACATTTCGAAACAGGGTACCAAACCAAAATATCAGGTAGGGGGCTGTGATGCCCTTTGTTGCCAAATCATTGGCTTGACGGGCAAACTCAGCAAAAAGATCATCAGTGGTTTCATCTTCATGATAAAGTTTGCTCGAGATGCATGTGAGCAGGAGCCTGGTAGTGAAGCTATGCCTTGGTTACTCATGCGTTTCCAAGTGTGTAAGGGGAATTGTTTAACCAACAGGACCATTTCTCCAATGAAATGACAACTTAGAATTTGTTGAACAGGGGTCCCATGACTTGGGGAATAAAATTCATGCCCAGGGGAACATCAAAAGTTAAAGTACAGCTAGGGCACGTCGAGTCATTGCAGTAGTTCAACACCAAGTGCGAGATGATGGGTTGGAAGGAAAATACTAGGAACGGGGATTTGCCTTTGCCCCGGCCCTCGTCCCCATGAAAGCAGTATGGGATAAGGTACCGGTAGTCCATGTCCGACGCAAAGACCGGATGGTGAGGATCTATGCTCTTGTAGGTATCCCAAAAATGTTTGAAATCCCGCTGCCACCCCAGACGGTCTTCCAACACATGTCCTGCCAATAAGATTTTTGGGTAATTCTCCAAGATATGTGAAGCCCATGATTCCATGGAGAGGGTAGGCCACCATGCGTCACAAATCCTCACTGGTTTTAGACGCCGTATTCTACAATGGACTGCTTCAAGTGGAAGATGCAAAGTCACACCAGCCCCCTCCACCAATCTATGTAGCCTTTGGCAAGCATGCTTCTTCGAATTTCCAACCGAAGATAGACGTGACAGCAAGTCATTCCATCCTGGGCAGGGCCAGAAGTTCAGCGGCATTTTCGGGCCTATGAGTTTCGATATGTTATGTTTTTGGATGTATATAATTATGTATAATTATATATATATTAGATATTATAGATGATATATATATACATGCATATGTATAGCTTGTGAGTTAGAAATTCTACGAGATATATTCCAGATTGATTCCAGTATATGGTAGCATTTGGAAGGCAATGACTGCCACATTTGTAGTTGCCAATGGTATTGTGAAATTTGGGGAAAATGTTTAAGTCCATGTGTTAAAGAAACCACTCCAACCCAAGCATCTCCATGAAGGTATTCCTGGAGGCATGTTGGAAAAGTTTAAGCCCAGCCACGCTTGTTCCGGATGGAAGTCATCATGCCAGCCAACTTCCCAGTTCTGTAGGCAGATTCCGCCTTGGCTCCATGCCCCAAAAACAATAGGCCAAAGTGTGGCTGATTAGAGAGAGTTTGGAATGTAAAAGCAAGATGTTGGTTTCCTAAAATGGTGGTACCTCCAAATCGTGCATTTTAATGGGATTTATTGTCATTATAAACCATTCATTTTGGGGATCCCCCATTGCATGAACCCCCCAGATTGGTCATGGTAGCAAAGCCAAGGGTCTCCTGACAAATAGTCAGCCATGAGCTCCTTTGCCAGGTCATCTGCAAGAGCATCTTCGTCAATTTGATCTTTGGACAGACCACTGAGGCCTGGCAACAGACGGATGAGGGATAAGGCTATATACGTTGGGAACAAGGCGCAAAGACCCTTCAATTTGGAAAGCCACCTGCCCATAGATCACCCCGATCAGCTAGCTCACCTGGCCACCACATTGGGATTTGGCTTATGTTATTTGATCCTACAAACATCTGCAAACCAAAGTAAGCAAACAAGTAGGCTTTTGTGCACGTACTATTTTCCCCTGGTGGCCGCAAGTGGAATCACACAGCCCATTTCGTCTACATATTTCTCCTAGGATTTGTTGCCACAAGCTGGCAGCTGATAGCATGGCACAGTGCAAAAAACCCCACACTGCTCAAAAGCTAGTTGCTCTAAGCGAGTGGGCAACGCCCAGGACTAAAGGATCTACAGCTGATCTAAGCACTTTTCCTCCCCTTTCTCCTTTTTGGAGCAGGGACCACCGGGGGGGCTGGCTCATCCTCCTCCTCCTCCTCATCATTCTCATCCGCACCATCCTCTTCATTCTGTCCCTCAACCTTCACACTCTTAGACTTGCGCTTGCGAGAGGCCGATTTGGCCTTTGGCGCCGCCGGCTTCTTGACCGCCCTGCAGGCCCAAGAAGGATTGGATATGGATAACGGCCGGGGTGAAAAAACCCTGACAAATAATATCATATGTTGCACTAGCTATCAGTTGTATTTGATCTGATGCACTTGGACATTTCTAGAATGGCCTGGCTCGAATCAGAACATTGGACAATGCACAGTCAGCTTTCTGAAGCTCCACATAGGCAGCCACAACCTGATCCTTGAGCTGCCTGAGCAATGACAGTTGTTGGAGTTAAAAATGACAAATCATGTTGACATACAATATCGGAAACCACTGTGTGCCCCACTTGGAGGGAGTTTCAACTTCGCATGCGTCAGTCTGTAGCTTCAGAATCTTCTTGTGGACCACTTCAAACGCAGAGAGCTTGGTGTCCAGATCGGCCATTACCCTGAGCCATACTAGGAGAATAAACGAGATTTCCATAGTTTGAAGATCAGAAATTTAGGACCTGATCCCGACCACAAAACCACTGAGAAGGCTACGATTTCGCACGATCTGTTCCGATGGCAGCAAGCTTTTCCTGTCATGTTAGTGTTGACACAAAAATGTCATGTTGATTTGATTCTTGTGGCCTTGGCATCTTCTCCCTTGTCAAGGGCTCGGCCACCCACGACAACATACTGGTTAAGTAAGCCTCGGCTTGCAAGGAAAGACAACCCAACCGTTTGCTTACTTAATTTTGTTGTTAGTCATCCATCAACCCAGTAGCTCATGGGGCAGGCTCCCTGCTGAAGAATCGGTAGCTTGTTCTTTGCTTGTCCTTGTCCAGGAACACCAGGTGTAGGAGTAGGCCTTGCAAGACACCAACATCAATGAAAGGAAATTCATACCTTAAAACTACACCCACTTACTGTATCCAAGTCAACTGATACATACAATTTGCAGCCAATGTTCTCTTGGTTCAAAGGATCATTCTCTGCACTGAAGATGTCCGCAGCATCCTGCAATTAATATAAGATACCGACAAAGACTCCATCATACGTAGTTAAAAAGAAACCTACTGGGCTAAAGGAAGACCCTCCAATGTTTGGGACATGATGTATTACATGTTAACTACGCCCTTGGACAGGCAGTTTGGACGAAGCTTTGTGGTCCTCAAGCACCACTTCGGTCGAAGCCCGAGATGTGGTCCTGTTCACATCCTTGTGTTGGAAGGACTCAAAGGTTGCTAACCTGAACTCCTCAGCCCCATGAACCTCATTGGTTCGAACTTTCTTGTTCGCACGGGCCCATGCAACCGCATTCTTCACCATTGTCCTGAACAGCACATGTAATGTGAACATATTATATGTTAAACAGATTTTGATGATTTGGTTGACAATCCAATTCCCCTGCTATAATGTGCCAGGAGATATTTTTTTTTGGAGTGCAACTCATTAGCTTATATGATATCGTATGTCAGGGAATGGGATATATAGTTAGAAAACTGAGTTTCTTACGCATTCCAACCTGGAAGCTCCGCTAGGGATCCTTCCGTGTGCCAACCACCTTCTTGGTTATTGGCTGCTTCTTGAACACTTTCACGTTCTAGGCAAAGATTGACAGCTTCCATTGTGTTGTGCTGAAGTAATAACTTCCGAAGCTCCTTTCCTGGGGCGAAATAAATGGGACCAACCAAGTTGCAAAACTGTTGGACATGCCATGTGCTTAATCATTTGATCATTCTAATTGATGGGTTTCCAATCCAATATCAATGTTTCTCTAAATGAGCGATGCTCGAATATATTATACATGTATAAGTTATATAAGTATTCGAGCATCGCTCATTGTGAGAAATACCCATATCGATAAGATTATATAGCAAAGGAGCTCCCGGCTTCTGTTCCCCACATCTTTGTTACCTCCGGATTCGCTTTGACCTTCTTCTTCTCTGATGCATCAATCCAACGCTTCATCCTTAGGCTAGTTCCCTCAAGCCCAGTGCACGTGACCCCACCATCACAAGAATACATCAGGTTTTGTAGTCAAGTTTAACTGGGTACATCTCCCCCAAAATCAACATTATGGTGGTATAAACAATTCCCAAATGAGTGGTTCGCTTTATTGTTGTTTTACCCACATTACTGAATATCATAGATTTCGAAATATCAGCCTCCGGAATGGGATGAATAAAAGCAGGCCAACACAACAAAATATAATTTGAAACTAGCATCTTCCAGTAAGTCCCGTCCTCGTACATGGTGAGTTCTTTGGTAGGTGCTACCCGAGTCCCTGCACCCCCTGTCGCCTTGTTGGACAACCCTGACCCTGACCCTGGTGTGCCCTCGGTGTGAGAAGGTGTAGGTTCCCCTGCCTCTGTGCCATTCGTCTCACTGCTCACCTGTGTTTGTTCTGGTTCCGTGCTTGCCACGACTGGCACCTGCGTATTCTCTGCCATGGGCGGTTTGCCCTTGATGACCCGAAGGGGAAAAGACTCTGGGGTGGGGTCTGGTGAAACTGTGCCACATCCATTGAAGATGAAAATTTCATCCTTGGGCCCTGAAAGCCAATGATTGTCGAAGTCATCATGGTTTTTGCACCAGCTGTCCAAAACATACGTCCATCCCGGGTTAAAGTCAATTGTGAAGACAGGATCTGGGATCAAAGGAGTAAAGGGGGTGTCCGGAAGCCGGTCATGCATCCACTCAGCACTGAGGGAACGGGCCACATGCTTGGGTGACGGGGTCTTCAGGCTTGCACCACTTTCCCCAAGGTGGACTTGCAGGGAATCGGTTGAAGGATGGGTGTCATCCAACCTCAAAGTTTTTGAACGGAGTAGGTCTGGTTGGTTCACATCACCAACCGAGGCTAGAGCAAACCCTGGACAAAACCTTCCAGCTGCGCGTGGCTCCACAGAAGTGCTGCCTGTGGCAGGGGTCCAACAAAATGCAAAATAAGGTTTGCATGGACTGGACATTTGACATGTTTAGGTTCCTTTTTTGTTGAACACTTAGTTTGTTTCAAAAAAGGGTCTGCTACCCCTATATAAATCCACCGGCATAGGTACGTATAAACTCATACCCATTATTGTAGGTGTTGGATATTTGATAGATATATTATATACATAGAATATACCCCATGCTCAGACATACCCATTAGGTGTTTGATGATGCATCCCCAAACATCTCATAGAGTCACAGAGCTACCCCAATCACCTTCAGTGGTGGTAGGATCCATCCCATCAGTTCCAGCAATCTGACGCTGAAGTGACGCAATGGCCTTTTGAGTCGCCTGGGCATCAGGAAGAGGAACCCCTCTATCCATTGGATGATACTGATCAAAAGAAATTTCATAATTTGAAGCCTCGGAACCTCCAGTTGAGCTTCGATAATCTTCGGGTCAAGCATTTCATCATTCATGTTGGCAGTTACAAGAGAAACCCCTTGGTCAAAGGTTGCACAGGTTCTCATACTTCCCGCAAGTGGAGCCAAATGCTATGGCAATGCTAGCATTCAAAAAGACATCAGATGGAAGTGCATGCAGCTGAAATGGAATTACAGTTTGTTTTAACCAAAACGGACCGTACGAAGCTAAAAGTAAAAACACGACAAGGCAGAAATCAGGATTTGCGCCTTTTTGATGGTTTTTGCGCCTTTTTGCTGGGTTTTTGCGCCTCGTTTGCGGTGTAGTTTGTTCCCTGAAAATGCAGTTTGTTCCCTGAAAATGCAATTATAGTCCAAAATATTTTTGCCTCGTCGTGTTGAGATCTAATTTGCAAAATGGCTCATGGGTATTTCTTGAATATACTGATATTTTTTGGGGGACCATAGGTTTACCGGGTTTGTCTCACATGAGCCCTTTTGCAGTAAGTTCTGCATCTAGTTGGGCCATTGCTTCATGCCAAGTATCTGGCACTGAGACCCCTTGACGTAAGTATTTGTAGACTGATACCAGGTCAGCATCAGCCCACGCATCTCTCAAATCCAAATTTTGGAAAATCTGCACATCAGTTGATTTGGGATCTAGTGAAACTTTCTGGCGCATAGTTGCTGAAGGCCTGTGTTGGGCAGCGGCCTCCACCAAATTGAGTCCAAATTCCTTCGTGTAGGCCCTTAGCTACAAAATCAAATTAATGGGACAGTCCAAATTAAGGTTAACACCAACCATCCACACCAAGCCCAGCACCCCGAACTCTTCAGTTGATCCGTTCCTTGAAATCGGAGGTGCCCACTGGCATCGTAGTATCGGCCTCAACAGAACCGGCTGAAAGGGGAGACTGAGGGAGCATGAGGAATCACCCATCAACTTAGGAACCAGCGAGTTGTTGCAATGGTGGTGATGGCATCCTTTTCAGATTTGACCAATGTCCCCTTGTCCTAAGTACAAAGACATGGATCGATATTACTACATTATATAGGGAAAGGTTCACCTGAGTTCGGGGCTAGCAAAGACGCAACATGGAAGTCGTTGCACCATATACTTGTTCTCTTTGGACAAGCACATCCATGTAACCCCATCCAGAAATCATTTCGAAAAACCTTGGGCATTCCAACAAGGGATCAGGTATAATCACAAGCACCACAAGCGCATTTCATATTTTCACTTTGGCTAGCTCAGAAAATTGACCAGATCAGATCTATAAATATTATCCCTTTTGAATAGTTAATGGTTCATGGGGTCAATCTTCTGAAGCCATCCAAAGTGACAAATAGTTCTGTCGTAATTTGCATAGATTTAGTTGGGCCCAGCAACATAAGAAACTTCGTTGGTGAACCAGCTGAGTCGGGGATGAAGAGGTAAGACATCAGCCGAGCCCAGAGGTTGCTCCAATAGCCATACACAGAAGTGAAGTTCAGCTAGAAGAATAAGCAGAACACACCTACATCAGAACCAGGGGAAAATTGGAAAATAATATAATATATATATATATATATATATGTCCATAAACTGCACTAAATGATTTTGAAATAAGTGCCGGCCTGGAAATGAGCCGGTTGGCATCCTGAACAAATTGGAAGCAGCAACCCATCGGATTAATTTGCGTTCTCATAGTTGTTCCACGACATACTCGGGACCAAGATCCGCATGGTGGCGCAAGCAAAAGCATTGCACCCTGTCCTGCCAACAGTTTTGATTGAAGCCTACAGCCACCCAAACTGAAACTGAAACTGTCCTAGGCCCATGCATAACCATATGGCTAGCCTAAGAAGACACACAAATTTATGGAAGACACCACCTTCAGAATGGAAAAGAATACCAAACACACAATACCACATAATATAAGTAATAGGACTATATATGGGAAGATTGAGGCAGCGGCGCAAAACCACCATTCTCCAGGATGTTCATAGTCTTGCCGCAGGTCAGCATGTCATATGAAGCAACACGTAGGCCACACTCTTTGAATGCAGCACTGACTTGTCCACATCCACTAAACAGCTCTACCAGGTTCCACCCAGGCAGGTCAGGTTTGGACCAAAGTATCAATAGCACCTAAGAGGTATCAAGCCATTAGGGGAGGATGCCATCAGCTGAAGACCCAAACCAAAGCTATACAGATTGACAGTGGTTGAGGAGCCAGCTATGGCTATGAACACCTTAGCCAACATAGCACACAACCACAAGTCCCATTTATGAATGTATACGTACTTAGGATGGGACTTTTGGAGCTTGCAGCTGCGCCAATCGAACCACAAAGGAATCTTTTGTGTTGACAGGCATTGGATTGTCACCCCGGACTCCCTAGAAGGCTGCAGACTTCCAGCCAAAAGGCTCTAAAGATCACAAAGGATTAAGTGAGCAGGTTTGCAGGCCACAAAGTATCAGCTCACCCAGGCGTCCAACATGGCCATGGCAAAGTAACCATGTCAGCCTGACACCCCGAGGCCAGCCGAGAAGCCCATCGCTCAGGCATCAAACCTGCTACAATCTTGTACGGGCCCCTGGCCCGGAATCTGGATGCAAAGTGTGGTATCAACATTTAAATTTTGTGGGCATTTATGAGATTCAAAATGAATAGGTTCCGAATGTCGAACTGTGGGGATTGAATGCGCACTCAAATTATTTGTTTTTTCCGGCACATCGACACAGGTAGCTCCCAGCAAGATCTCAGATGCAAAAGATCTTGTTATGACCCTATTAAGTAAAATTATACGGCAACAACTGCCCTTCTTCGGAGCAGTTAGTGCAGCTGCTGGAGTATTCACCAGCAGCAACCCCAAAAGATCACCAGGCTCTTCACGTTGTGTTTTTGTAGGCCTGAGACAGGCTGAAAGTAGTTTGTGAGAAGGGTGCATGATGGGCACCTCAACACCTCAGCATTTCAGATGGGTTTCTGACATGTTTGGGAAATTGGTTTTCCAGTATGTTTATTGCCGTATAGTACATTATGTCATATATAGCTGACCCTCATTATGTATATATATATATGCCATGTGTTGAGTTTGGGCAGGCTGTGGATGCACATGAGTTTATCTTTAAGTTCAGAGTCATATAGATAATACCTTCAACCTTCTACCTTCTACCTCCCACCTCTTCCATCCAACCAAACCACCCTTGCCTCAGAAGCCAAAGCTTTGGCTTCTTCATCCGTCTTTCCTTCTTTCATGGCTTTATTGCGAACCTTTGAGTAAGCACAGCACTTTCGGCTCCTCAACTTTCTGGCTTCCTCCTTCTCTTCATCTGTTTGGGCTTTCTTCCTTTTGGAGCGCGGTGCTCGGAGTTCTGCTGCTTCTGCAGGTGACATGTCATCCTGAGGTGGGTGCGAAGTCTCAACTTCGCCATCTTCGCCATTTGCCTTGCTGTCACGCATGCCCCATTTGTCCATGAACTCCCTGACCCGATCAGGGTGGGAATCTAGCGGAAGGGATGGCCCAGGGAGAACCATCTTTGCCGAAGAGGCACTGGAAGTTGCAACTGCACGGGCCTTTGAAGCCGAAGTCTTTCTCTTCCGAGAAACTCCTTCATCATCATCATCATCATCATCATTTGCTGCCTTTGCTCCTCTGGCTTTCCTTACCTTCTTCTTGGCACTCACTGTAGGAATTGTATCATCCTCTTCAGCCTCCTGTTCCTCCTGCTCTTCTCTTTCTGCTTCGCGTTTCTCCTTCTTTTTTGCCCCTTTTGGCTTCCTGGGAGCTTGGACATTGGGATTGACAAACCTGGGCTCCTCTTCCCAACAAGGTGGCCTCACCATGATCATTCCCCCCTCTGTCTTTTCATCTTTCTTCATTGAATCCTCATCCTCCTCACTTTCTGCCATCATCTTTCTTTTTCCGTCATGTTCCCGTCTCATCTTCCCATCTTTCTCTTCTACTGCCTGCTGCTGCTTCTTCTGCCTCATCATCTCCTCTCCTTCTGCAGCCTCCTTCTGCATCATCTCCTCTCGCTCTGCTGCCTCCTTCTGCCTCATCATCTCCTCTCGTTCTGCAGCCTTCTGCATCTTCTTTTCCTCTCGTTTTGCAGCATGCTTGTGCTTGATCTTCTCCTTTCGTTCTGCAGCCTTATTCTGCCTCATCTCCTCTCGTTCTGCTGCCTCGTTCTGCCTCATCATCTCCTCTCTTTCTGCAGCCTCCTTCTGCCTAATCTTCTCTCGTTCTGCAGCCTCCTTCTGCATCATCTCCTCTTGTTCTGCTGCCTCCTTCTGCTTCATCATTTCCTCTCGTTCTGCTGCCTCCTTCTGCCTCATCTCTTGTTCTGCAGCCTCCTTCTGCCACATCCTCATCTTCTCCTCTCGTTCTGCTGCCTCCTTCTGCCTCATCATCTCCTTTCGTTCTGCAGCCTCCTTCTGCCACATCCTCATCATCTCCTCTCGTTCTGCAGCCTCCATCTGCCTCATCTCCTCTCGTTCTGCAGCCTCCTTCTGCCTCATCTCCTCTCGTTCTGCAGCCTCCTTCTGCCTCATCCTCATCATCTCCTCTCGTTCTGCAGCCTCCATCTGCCTCATCATCTCCTCTCGTTCTGCTGCCTCCTTCTGCCTCATCTCTTGTTCTGCAGCCTCCTTCTGCCACATCCTCATCTTCTCCTCTCGTTCTGCAGCCTCCTTCTGCCACATCCTTATCTTCTCCTCTCGTTCTGCTGCCTCCTTCTGCCTCATCATCTCCTCTCGTTCTGCAGCCTCCTTCTGCATCATCTCCTCTCGCTCTGCTGCCTCCTTCTGCTTCATCATCTCCTCTCGTTCTGCAGCCTCCTTCTGCCACATCCTCATCTTCTCCTCTCGCTCTGCTGCCTCCTTCTGCTTCATCTTCTCTTCTCGCTCTGCAGCCTCATTCTGCATCTCTGCGGCTTTCTTCCTTCTCTGCAATTCTTCAAGCAAATTTTTCTGTTTCACCAACTCTTCAAAGGTTCTTTCCAATTCCTGCCTCTTACACCTTTCTGCTTGTTTCTCTGTCGCCTCCTTTTTCATCCATTCATCCCATCGATCCTTTTCTTCCTTTTGCCTGATCTCCTCCAATTTCTTGGCAGGTTCCCTTTGCACAGCCTTGTCTGCAGGCTCCTTGTTCACCTCATCTGGTCTTTCCGCAGCCTTCTGCTTCTTCGTCATCTGCTCTTGTTCTGCTGCCTCCTTTTTTTTGCTCTCTTGCATTCTCTCTGCAGCCTCCTTTTGGCGTCTCAACTCCTCAAGTGTTCTTTCTGCGAGATGCTTCTTCCTCAACAGCTCTTCAACTTCAATCTGATCAGCATCCTTTCGCTTCAACCCTTCCAGTCTTTCTGCATCCTCCTGCTCTTTTTCCAACTTCCCTGCGCATTTTCCCTCCTGGCAGAGACCCACATGAAAATGCCAGATCCTAAACGATTCAAAGAGGTAGAAATCTTAAGGGCCACTAGTTCATGGAAGATATTTGGCACATGAAAAAATAATGCTAGAGTGTGCAAATGGTGGAGCTCCTTGTTTGGGACTCTGGGCTCTTCAGCTTCAACTTCGGGAACCTGACCCAAACAAGGTGATCGTGTCCACATTGATCCAGGGGAAGCCGTGGGGGTCCATTGGCCCTCAAGCTCTTGCACTGATACCTGAACAAGTTGAATGATGTAACAGTAGCTAATGTTTAACTGAATAAACTAACCAGCAAACAAAAGGAAAACATTCCAGATGCAATGCAACTGCAAGATGTCTATGCATAATTCCAAAACTTGGATTGTGTTAACCTGCCTTGACATTCTCCAATTCCATATCATATGGAGTAGGAAGTTCAGACTCCAAGGGCAAAGTGTCCACGTTGTCTGGGTGAAGACCCGAAAAGGGAACCTCCTTAAAAGCAGGCGGTTGGGATTTCAGCCGATGAAGCTCCTGGAGCTTCTTGAGCTGAACCAACTGGCACTGCAATTCCGTAAGCTGCTGGATCTGTTCCCATTTCTGTTTCTCCTTGGCACCACATTGGCGGTGCGTTTGTTCTTTGATTTGTTCTTTGAATTCAGGGCCAACAAAATTAGGCTGGTAAGCTCTTCCCTTATATATACAACATATAGTACAACATATATATATACATGTATATAATATGTATGAAATTAATGAATATATATTGATTTTCCTTCAAGTTTATTATTGTACAAGTGGTGACTTCAAAAAACACCAACCTGATACATCATCAGTAAAGGGACACTTCGATGTCCATCCGGATTCATTGGCGTGGTTTCTGCAGGCTTGATTCCTGCCAAGATAGGGTGCGAAGGTGTACATATAAGTGATCCAACAATAAATGCAACCTTTGAATATTGGCATATCAAAATTGGGGCACCCCAAAAGATGAACATATTGTTGTGGTCCCTATGCGGTCCCTTAACCCATAATATCCCATAATCATATCACCCATATAAAACATAATTTTCAGTAATACAGGGGCCCTCATAGTGGTTACAGTAGTTGCTTGTGGGAAAATTTGATTTACTACATCCTAGGTCCCAGGTCCATCCCCCCACCTTTGGGCGGCGGGGTGACTAGCTCATCCTCCAAGGCCGAGCCAGCTGAAGGAACCTTGCACTTGTCCACTGTGACGGGGCACCCAGTCACCAGTGCAGGGGCGTGATGGCTTTCCAATCCACCTAGCGGTTGCTGTGCCAACACAAGTGGACAGGGCTAAAGATTGGTGGATGGTTTGTTTTTGAATATGTCTGGACCACCTGAAAACCAATAAAATTTGACCTTTTGGGTCAGTGACCCTAAACGACCTTTTATTGTGCAAAACGACCCAACATGTGATCATGATCAACTTAAGTTTTCTGATGAATTAATATGGGGTCTCCTTCCCAATATTAAGTTTTGATGTTTTAAATCACCAAACCCTTGACCAGTAGCTGGCCTCCTACATCCACTTCCTCATCATAAGCATCACTTTCAAACTCACTTTCCGATTCTTCATCCTCAAAGGTAGATTCTTCTGACTGGTCAAAACTTTGTTTGTGTTCCGGTTCTGGCCATGTAACACCAGCAGCCGCACAAAGAGCCCGAACATCCTGGTCCTTCGGACGGTAAGGACGGCCACAAATCCTGTTGACGTTTGACAGGCATCGTCGTAGAACCCATCCTTGCATCTCAATGGTGCTGCCTGAGCTAGGAATTAAATGGAGAAAATGTCAGAAAACATCCACCTTCACTTGACATGTTACCTTCAAATGCAAAAGACTGCATACCAGAAAAATAGTAATTATGTTTTGACTATGTTTTGTCAGTGATCATTTTTAGTTTTATATAAACGATAAAGTGCAAAGTAACGACGGGCTTACATGTAGACAAGTTGCTTGGGCAAGGAATTTCCATGTAGCGATAGAGCGCTTCTAGGTGGGTCTGGCATGTGGGGACAGAGACCCTGGTACCCAAGTACTTGATGGCCAGCTCGATCAAATATCTATTGGACTTCAAGGTGTCCCGGGTGACCTGCTTGCCAAAGACATTGACCTCATTGAGAAAATCGATAGAATGATATGTGAACATTTTAATGGGCCATGTATCAAGCCTTGAACATACCCAGATTTTTTCACTAAGAATTTGCAGTACCTACATTCTTGCAGTGGTGGCAGTTGAAGCCTTTCACGCTGAGGCCCAAGAAGTTCAAGTCTGATGGGGCCGAGAAACCGCTCGGAGTTTGACAGCATTTCGGCGAATGCTAGCAACATCTTCCCATGCCACAGCAAGGGCAGAGGCTGACAGGTTAGCCATCACGGGAAAGACCAAACAGTAAATTACAATGATCAATCAAATATATACTGAACATATTCATTATATAAATTGCACTTCATTCCATACCTTTTTGAGCCTGAGGGATGCTGGAGAACTCACAGCAGTGCTGGCTATAGCAGGGTGTCTCCAACCACAATTCCAAAGAGCAAGTGATGCAAAAAGTGAGCCGCAGAAAATCAGGCCTGGAAATCTTTGGGCTCAGCACACCACATTGAGCCAGATGAGCTTTGAGTGATGATATATCACCTTACCCTATGTTTGGACCATTTTGGGTCGTTTTGCCTTTTTGGGTCGTTTTGCACAATAAAAGGTCGTTTAGGGTCACTGACCCAAAAGGTCAAATTTTATTGGTTTTCAGGTGGTCCAGGATTGTTTATTTTTTCCTTTTTATTTTTCCATCTATTGGGAATATTTGACTTTCATATTTTTCAGGAATATTTGACTTTCATATTTTTCAGAGGGGTAGGTCAACCGCCAACCTGTTTTTTATTGTCAAATCTCCCCAATGCCTATTCGAACATCCAAGAATTTGCCAGGGTGATCTGACCCAAAACAGCATCCCATCGTCCCATAATCCAAAAACATACACCAACTTCATGCGGAATAGATGTATATACCCCGTAAGAATCCATAAATGTGGATCTCGCAATTGTTCTTCACCTGCAAGGTGGGTCCCCCTGGTAAGTTGGTTTAAATGTTGGTTTATAACTACAGTCACCGACAGAATTATGGAAAAAAAAACGTTTCAATTTACAGGCGCCGCCTGTCTATGATGGAAAAGTTACGAACATTTTTTTTTTTCATAATTAATGTTTCCATATGTTTTTTTTCCATAATTCTGTCGGTGACAGTATGTCCATCGATTCGCAATTTGAATGCATTTTAAGGGGGAATATTGAATTATAGAAAATTTGTGTCTAAAGATCTGGTATATGCCCCTAAGTCTTCCATTGATATACATAATATCATGTGATGTTCGCAATTTGAATGCATTTTAAGGGGGAATATTGAATTATAGAAAATTTGTGTCTAAAGATCTGGTATATGCCCCTCAAGCCTGCCATTGATATACATAATATCATGTGATGTTCGCAATTTGAATGCATTTTAAGGGGGAATATTGAATTATAGAAAATATGTGTCTAAAGATCTGGTATATGCCCCTAAAGCCAGAATTATGGAAAAAAATAATTATGGAAAAAAAAAATATGGAAAAAATAATTATGGAAAAACCGGTCAATCTGCCCTAGCCCCCTGATTTCACAGGAAAAATCAATTATGGAAATAATGTCCACCTCCAAGAATTATGGGAAAAAAAAAAGGTTCGGATCACTTCCGGGATATTTTGAACCCTTATGGGGAAAAATGCAATTATGGAAAAATCGGACGCAGGCGCCGCCTGTCTAAGTTGAACGTTTTTTTTTTCCCATAATTCTGTCGGTGACCATAGGTGTTTGCTATATTAGATAGTTGTTAACAGGTTACTATAGTATATACAGTATAATACACTTAATCAATCTTAGTTATATAACAAATGTTTACAAGTATTTACTATAGTATACTACAGGTATGGCCATTTTATTAGTTATAACTAGTTATAAATGGGATTCTACATTCTATAAATTGGTTTTCTTTAGTACTTATAACTGGTATTTCGGGCCATAACTATACTTCATGAATGGCTGGTTGGTGGTTTCAAACATTTTTCCATATATTGGGAATGTCATCATCCCAACTGACGAACTCCATCATTTTTCAGAGGGGTAGGTATACCACCAACCAGATGGATATGCTCACTGCTTTTCAAAACCAACTTTCAAAACGGGCACGTCGCAACGTCTCCACGTCTCGCAGGTGCGAGGCTTTCGCTTGGAGATGCCGTGTTGGCTGCGTTTGGGCTGTCCACGGCCAAAGATCCAGGCGCCTCGCGACGATTGGCCAACCGTTGAAGGAAGACGTCAACAACAATATGGAAGAACGAACTATGATGAACTATGGAAATACTATGGGTATACTATGGATATATGATGATATATGGTAATAATCAATGGATATTGGTAATCATTGATTTTACATACCCTCAAGTTGGAAGGTTCTAGAATGCCCTCCCCTGGGGATAAACACGGAGGGTTCTAGAATGAAACATTGGCATTGTAGAACCTCCGGTCCCGTAAGCATTGTAGAACCTTGGAAGCTTCTATAATAGCATATGATGATAAATGGTGCAGGTTTTGTGCAGGTATTTGTGATCCCTAGTGAGCCGGTGGTTGAAAGCAATTTGCCAGTTTGATCTTCCTGTTGAAAGTATGGTTTTGGTGATTTGCAAGGCTCGATTGCACAATGTCGCAACAATATTGCATATTGCCGAACCAATGCCATTCGGCACAAAAACCCAGAAGGATTATATACAGATACACGGTAGAAAAATTGACAAAATCACAGTTCAGTTTGTTTCTTGATCTCAGTACATGGTAAGAACATTTCTGACTGGGGGAACTTGTGGGTTCAGCTCAGCTTTGAAGTGGTTAGCTGTACCTTTACCTTTGCATTCACCCCAACAATGCATGTTTTTTTGAGTTTATTTTTTGCATGTTTGCTTCTTTTGCCGTCACCTGAGACACACATAAAGTGGCTTTTGCATGTTGTGTCACAAGAGGCTGCAAAATCCCGCGTCGAAAATGTACGTGCATTTGCTAGAGATTTGCATGCATTTGGGCTGTTCTTTTGATTTAATTCCGAAAAGGCGTGGGCCAAATATTGTCTAGCTCCACATCTCTGAACGAAAGGGCCAATAGGTGAAGTGAGCGGCAAATTGGTAGGTAGAAAATTTCCCCACTGGAAACAGCTGTAGTGACACACAAACGAATTTCAGGGATAATCAAGTCAGCTAAAACTGTGCCTGCCATCTTTTGTTCTTCTACAAGTAGACGAATGCCTGTGCAACAAATGAGCATATCTAAGCTATCTAAGCTATCTAAGCATACAACAGTTCTAAAATGGTTTCCCCTTGCAGTAGCTGGTATTTCACACGTTTGGCCAAGCAGGAAACCATTCCAGAACCCTTCCCAAAGATAAATACCTCCAGGGGTAGGTAGGCAGGTACAACCCAATGCTAATGAATTTCAGTGATAATCAAGTCAGCTAAAACTGTTTCTGCCATCTTTTGTTCTTCTACAAGTAGACGGATGCCTGTGCAACAAATGAACAAATGAAAGTTACCTAAGCATGCAAATGTTCTAAAATGGTTTCCCCTTGCAGTAGCTGGTATTTCACACGCTTGGCCAAGCAGGAAACCATTCCAGAACCCTTCCGAAAGATAAATACCTCCAGGGGTAGGTAGGCAGGTACAACCCAATGCCAATGAATTTCAGTGATAATCAAGTCAGCTAAAAACTGTTTCTGCCATCTTTTGTTCTTCTACAAGTAGACGGATGCCTGTGCAACAAATGAACAAATGAAAGTTACCTAAGCATGCAAATGTTCTAAAATGATTTCCCCTTGCAGTAGCTGGTATTTCACACGTTTGGCCAAGCAGGAAACCATTCCAGAACCCTTCCCAAAGATAAATACCTCCAGGGGTAGGTCGGCAGGTACAACCCAATGCTAATGAATGTCAGTGATAATCAAGTCAGCTAAAACTGTTTCTGCCATCTTCTGTTCTTCTACAAGTAGACGAATGCCTGTGCAACAAATGAACAAATGAAAGTTACCTAAGCATGCAAATGTTCTAAAATGGTTTCCCCTTGCAGTAGCTGGTATTTCACACGTTTGGCCAAGTAGGAAACCATTCCAGAACCCTTCCCAAAGATAAATCCTCAAGGTGCATTGTCTAGGGTGACATCTCTGTGCCCAGCCCCCCCAAATATCCCAAAAGAACAAGTGTCCAGTCAGTGGTGTCCTGATGAAGGTAGGCAAACTTGCCATTTTTTAAGTGACAGCTGGACAGCTGTAGTTCGATGGACAGCTGTAGTTCGACACACAGCTGCTTGCTGATTCCGCATGTGATGATTTGTTCCTTGTTTTTCTCCTTTGACGCAAAAATACAACTGTTTTTTTGAAAACACTGCATGTAGGAGTTTGCTGTTTTATTGATTTTTTTTCTGGTTGGACATGTCTGCATAAAATTAAACAAACAGTCGCACGGGAAATGGAACGAGTCCACAACTAAATTCGTTTGAAAAGGGGTGACTTACGGGACATTCTGAAAGCATTTGGGTTCGGGTGTACTTTAATGGTTTGGCAAGAAAGGAAGCAAAGAGCGCGGGCAAAAACCTGGCTCCATAGGTAGTAAATGATACGACCATCTGTGGCCGGGCCGCCACCCATTGAAAAATGTTGTGGAGTATCATGGAGTGCTCTTTGCAGTTTTTTTTTGATTCGCCTCATGTTGATCTATTTTTTGGGGGCGCAGATTTCCTCATCGTTTTTCCCTGAAATGCGATGGTTTCAACAATGGTTTTTTTAATGTTTTTAAATGTTTTTTTGAGGGTGGAAGATACCATTTTAGAACCCATTTTAGAACCCAAAAACGGAATAGCTGCCAAAAATTTTGGTTCTAAGACCCCCCTGGTAGATTCCATTTTAGAAACCATTTTTGGGTTCTAAACTGGTCCCAAAGGGGGTTTGAAGCAACTTGAGTATATATATATATATATATTTACGCAGTTTTTCTTGCCCAAATACACCTTTTTTTTTTGCCCACCACGTGCCATGTCTCGGGATTCTCGAACAGTCTCGGGGGTGCGGGGAGCGCGCCTCCTCCACGGCGGCAAAGCACCGCCGTTGGAGCCGCCGCCCGCCGCCATTGGGGCCGCCTCACCGTGGTGGCAGATGTTGCAGAAGACGATGGCATCGAGGGCATGCTGGAGCAACCACGGCCAAAGATCCAGGGCGCCTTGCGACGATTGGCCAACCGTTGAAGGAAGACGTCAACAAACAATACGAACTATGATGAACTATGGAAATACTATGGGTATACTATGGATATATGATGATATATGGTAATAAACAATGGATATTGGTAATCATTGATTTTACCATATATCCATAGTATACCCATAGTATGATTGTGGTAATAATTATTACAAATATGGATATATATTGGTAATCATAACTATGGATTGTTCACCCCTTTCGATGCATTTTTTATCCTTCGAACATCATGCATTAATGGCATTCACTATCCCAAGCAAGGCGCCGCAAGGCGGATGCGAATGGTCCAGCAATGACAACTTTTAATGTAAATATAACCACCAAAAATACGTCAGATTCTGATTTTGCCATCGAAATGATGGTTTAAGCATGTTGAAATATATATAGTCATTAAAAATACTTTACTTCGAGTTATCCCCACCATGACATTTATACGTTTTGTTACTGGCAAATCTTCTGGCATTCTATCTGACATATCTTCTGGCATTTTATCTGGCATATCTTCTGGCATTCTATCTGGCCGTTGAGGTCCAGCGGTGCACACTGAGCTGGGAAGGTCCCAGGTTGAGGTCCAGCGGTGCACACTGAGCTGGGAAGGTCCCAGGTTGAGGTCCAGCGGTGCACACTGAGCTGGGAAGCTCCCAGGTTGAGGTCCAGCGGTGCGCACTGAGCTGGGAAGTTGGCGAAGAGCTTGGCGAAGAGTTGGCAAGGCGGAAGTTGAGGTGGAAGTTGATGCAGACATGGTCGGGGAGAAACTGGAGGAGGAGGAGGCGAGGAGGAGGAGAGGCGAGGAGGAGGAGGAGGATGGCGAGGACAACAACTCTGATAAAGTCTAACAACTTCAGCTGGCAGGTGGGGAAAAAAACATCAGGTTCATGCGTTCTCTAAGTTGGGGATATTCCGATCACAATTGAATCTGAATCGGGTAATTCCGTGGCCCAGTCATCAGCTTCTCCCAGTTCCAACCACCATTTTACTAGGGTTAATGAGGGTGATGAGCTAATATGGAAGGCACAAGGATAACAAGGGTGCAACTTCTTTCATGTTTGAGTCGGCAGGATTGTGCGATTGGAAATTTCACAGGAAGTTCTGTCTGTTATAAGGTAAGGTTTTCACTATTTTTCACTTGTTAAGTTTGTTTGTAGGGATTTTTCCCGCAAAACCACGGGGTTGTCTTTTGGAGCAAGAACGCAACCTTCCTTGATTTATGGGGTTTCAAGATTGCAAAGACAGAAATGCTTGAGAATGATATCCTCAGGAAACTTCTATGGTAGCAAGGTTTTTCCAGCACATTAGAAACTATGCAGACTGTACCCCTTGGACCTGTTTTTGCTGCCTTCATGGGCCGACTTTGGGGATGTTAGGATGACCAGAAAACATGGCAAGTGGGACACCCTTGTTGGTGCTTTGTTGTAAAAAACACTACGTTTCTCGGCGGTTTTTTGAAGCAATTCGTTGAAAGCCTCGAGGAACTCGGCTGTATGGTTGGTTTCTCCATTTTATCCTGACTATTTGCTATATTATATATACATATTCATATTAATATACTGGTTGGTGGTTTTTCCATAATATATGGGATAATCCTTCTCATTGACTTTCATATTTTTCAAGATGGTTAAAACCACCAACCAGAATATATATATATATATATACAATGTAATTAGATGATGTTCCCATAAAGATCAAAAAATCATCCATGAATTCGCTTGGGAGTTGCTCAAGTCATTGTGAAATTCAGAGTTTTGGGAGTGTAAAGTGTAGAGTGTTCAGAGTGTTGTGTCTGAAGCGTGACGCGTCGATTTTGGAGGCTGAAGTGTAGAATTGACTTCAAGGATTATATAGTCAATATATGTCAATATAGTCTCCAAATAGATCCAAATAGATTGTGTTTTTCATGTTTTTTCAATATTTTCTGGTTGGTGGTTTGGAACATGAATTTTATTTTTCCATATATTGGGAATAGTACTCCCAACTGACTTTGATATTTTCAGAGGGGTAGGTATACCACCAACCAGGGAGATCTGTTTCTTGTTCCTAGGTTCAAGCCTTGATACCTCCATTGCCGCCCTTGGAGGCGCGATCGATAGGAGTAATCACAACCATGTTGATTGACGGGATTTAAAAAAAAAACACATACACCCAAATATGGGGGTTCCATGGGGTTCCCAAACATAGTGTTTAAAAAAAATAAACTTTCTATGTAGTGGTTGATGAATGGGTTGATATGTTCATCCATTGTAGCACCATTTTTTATGTTTAAACACCATTGAAATAGCACACACATTGTTGCCTTGATACTATGACAGCAGAGGTATGGAGTACCCAGCATGACTTGATAAAAACATGTCAGATTTTTGTACAACATGTTTGCCATGGGGATAGCCAAGCCATGTTTGGTGTACCCTCTGGTAAACATACAACAATCTATTGAAAGTTGCCATTTATAGTTGATTTACTCCATTAAAAATGGTGATTTTCCGTAGTTATGTTAGTTTACCAGAGGGTATATCCGGACACACCCATGCATTAGCCATCCTATTTTTGTGGACCATATCCTTCTGCTAAGAACATATGGGAAACATCGACGACTTACATGGAGGATTTTGATGGGAAAATAGAGGAACATCAATCAATGGAGGCTTCAATGGACAATCAAACTATCCTGCATTTGCTGAAGATGGTTTTGTATTTTCCATCCACTACTGGGGGAATCGGTGGTTGTTTGTTTTTCCGATGGACTTTGTCAGCAGATCCTAAGTTCTGGTCAGAAAAGTCAGATGCTTGCCACCAAGTCGTGGCCCCATAAAATGGTAAGGTGATGGGAAAAATCACGGGTCATGAATTGACGATCTAAGGATGTTTTTCAACTGGCATGCACCAGATGAGTTTCTTTAGTTTCTTGAACTTCAGGGGTGATCTCCCAATTCATGTGGGCAATAGCAATATATAGCAATATTCATTAATGGCCTCAAGTTCACGCCCTGTGCTTTCCAAAAAAGGAATGAACCGTTTCATTTCTTGGTTAAAAACCACGATTTCAGTTGGGGCAAAACGCCCCCGACCTCTCGCTGGTCACTCGCACCTCGCTGGTCACCGGCGAGTTTACCAAAGGTTCAAAGGTTGCACCGCTGGCTTCGTATCGCCCGAATAGTTCTAATTGTGCAACCAACTGAGTCAGAAACCATGGTAACCTTTTGGTGATTAAACTGTGAAACCAAGATTGCTGTTGCGGGTAACTTAGCAAAACCATTAAATGAAGCATCAACCCTTTCTTCTGACTCTTTCTCTTCTACTCTTCTCTCTTCTAATCTTTCTCTTCTCTCTGCCTCTGCCCTGCTCTGCTTTTCATCTGTCCATATTGTCAGAAGTTTGACTTCTAAACTTCCTTCGATAATCTTTATACAATAATTATGGTGATGTATATATATATATATAATGTATAACTTCTGGGAATAATAATTTCTGGGAACAATTTAATCAGTTCCCATTTCATTGTGGTTATATATATATATATCATATTACTAAATATATGGTTATACTATTTATATTAGTTCAAATAATATAGTAATCGGAAACCAACACCAACAATAGGAACATTATGTTTTTTTGAAAAACATGATCAACCACTGGAAAGTTGCTGATGCGCGAAAAGGTAGGAAAGTCGCGATTCACTGTAATTTTCCAATGATTTGTGGCTCTGGAGGGTCGAAAAGTAGGCTCGCTAAAGCGGCGGGTGTGGAGCCAGCTGGCCAGATGAGAGATGAAAAATTGCACGCCGTTGTGGCGCGAAGCACATTTCCAAGTCAAAATGTAGAAAACACCACATGTCAAAATGTCAGGTTCGGACCACTTTTGGAAGTTTTGGCAGGTTGTGGCGCGAAGCACATTTTGAAGTCAAAATGTACAAAACAAACCAGGTTCGGACCACTTTTGGAAGTTGAGATGTCGAAAAAGTGCACGCCGTTGTGGCGCGAAGCACATTTCACAAGTCAAAATGTACAAAAACACACCAGGTTCGGACACACTTTTGGAGTCAAAATGTAGAAAAAACCACATGTTCGCACCACTTTTGGAGGTTTTTCGAAGTCAAAATGTGCACGCCGTTGTGGCGCGAAGCACATTTCCAAGTCAAAATGTTAAAAACACCAGGGGTTCGGACCACTACATTACACTATCTTCCACTACACTTCACTACATTACACTACACTACACTCCACTAGACTACAACTACAACTGCAACTACACAACACAACTACACTCCACTACACTACATTACATTACACTACACTACACTCCACTACACTACACTACATTACACTACACTACACTACTCCCACTACACTTCACTACATTACACTACACTACACTCCACAACATTACAATTACAACTACACAACTACACTCCACTACACTCCACTACACTCCACTACACTCCACTACACACCACTACACTACATTACACTACACTACATCCCACTACACTACACTACAACTACACAACTACACTCCACTACACTCCACTGCACTAAATTACACTACACTACACTACATAACACTACACTACACTCCACTACACTGCATTACACTACGCTACACTGCCTTCCACTACACTTCACTACATTACACTACACTACACTCAACTACACTACAACTACAACTACAACTACACTCCACTACACTCCGCTACACTAATTTACACTACATAGCAATAATACACTACACTACATTACACTGCACTACACTACATACCACTACACTACACTACAGTACACTACACTACATTAGACTGAATGACACTGCACCATAGTTAGACAGGTAGACAAGTAGACAGACAGACAAACAGACAGATAGATAGATAGATAGAGATAGACAGGTAGACAGCTAGACAGATAGACAGATGAAAGAGAGAGACAGAGAGAGATAGATCGATAGATAGATAGATACATAGATAGATAGATAGATTGGTAGGTAGGTAGGTAGATAGTCAGAGAAAAAGAGAGAAAGAGAGGAGACCTCAAGCACCTTTCGGTCCATCAGTGGCTTCGCTCTGCCATCCTTGATTCACAACAACCAACCTCTCCTATAGGTTTCCTATTTTTGAAACTTCCGCCACCGCCTTGTGCGGTTCCAGTGGTAAGTTATATGGTCATTAATTATATTTGCACATATGGTATCATAATTTTTTTTTAAAAAAAATAAGTTATGATATAAATATTACTTATACCACATACCACATTACTGTTTATCTGATTATATATATATATACACACCACCATTATTACAGTATAAATATTATATATAAGTTATATGGTTATATTTATACAATAATTATATATATATTATAGATTATATAGATCTGCCAGATCTGCCACAATGCTGCCAGATTTGCCAGGCTGCCTGGCCTTCCAAGGTGGTGGCCGTGGGGCTACACACCACCTCCACCTTGGAGGTGCCACCCGTGGTTTTTTTCGCTTGTGAATTCTGAATGGATGGGGGCCCAAAGGAGGGACTTTTTCGGATTTTTTTCGCATGTGTTCACCGAGAAAATGTGTGTGTGTGTGTGTTTGCGGTTTAATCATGACACATGAGAAAAACCTGGTGGTTTCATGAGATTTTGTTCGAAATTCATGGTGGTTTTCCATGGTAGTTGAATGGAATCTCACCAAGTATTTGATGGTTTAATAGGGATTTCACGGGAGCACATGGGAACCTGAGTAGCTTTCAACCAACTTACGGTGATTTAACACACCCTGGACCCACAGACGATCCGTAGGCCCGACTCATACATACTCACGATCCATACATCTCTAAGGGATATGGTCCTTGATCCATACCCAACAATAACAAGTTGCACTTTTACCAGGTCATTAAAGTATATCTTCTCAATAGGTCCCGATCAAACCTCTTCTGCGTAACTCACTCTTTCCATATGTCCAGATCACCGCGGAACAATCGATACCCGTTTCCCAGCCCCAAATGGAGATTTATACTAACGTGGTTAAAACAATAATAAGCTACCCATTTGGGAATGGCTTACACCACCTATTTATGGTGATTTGGGGGATTGTTGATTATTGTTTTAACCACATTAATGTGGTTTTTCATGTGGTAACCCAACAATAAACCATCCCAAATCGACGTTGATTTGCTCCCCGAGAGTCATGGAATGATGTAAAATGACCCCCCAGTCATGGTTGGTTTCAAACGTGTGGTTTATGACAGGTTTCCCACATTAAGCAGCTACAAGTCGAAGAGTTTGAACAGTGGAGGAAGGCCTCCCCAAACGATAGGTTCAAGTCTGTTTCTAACTCGTTAATAACGAATACCGGTAGGTTAGTGGTGGATATATCGAACTCAACAACGATTTTTTCTGCAACCAGGTGGTGTCTGCCTTGAGGTGCAGCGGGATTGATGACCCCTAGCGGTGACTAAGTCATTGTTTGGTGTCCTCGGGGGTTGACACCACCAACCAACCTCATTTTCAGACACATGGATCATGTATCCCATGATATTCCAGTAATTTTGCCGAGGAAATTGTTCACACCAGATTGCATGATCTAGATGCATGATGATAAATTTATGAGTTTAACTGCTTACTCTGCAACAGATGGAAAGTCTGTTCATATCGACCAAGTAATGAACATTCATGATGGTGAGGAAACCATTTGGACACACTGCATTGTCGATTATTAATCACAATGTGGGTCCTCGCATTTGTAACTTGGTCTATGTTCACCCTACGTATTCTCTAGTTCGGTAATGTTCGGTATCTACCACAAACCATAGAATTCACCTATAGTTACTAGTTGGGTTGACCCACTTAGCTATCGGTTGGGCCCCCACCTTCTATTAACATCCATTGAACATCTTCAACCCAGCCCTTTTCCTCGATTTTTCAATGGTATCATGACTGAACAATCACCAATCATGGTTTTTCTCTGGTTTTCCCGTGGTTTTCCCATCATCATCATCATCATCATATGATTCATTAAAGGAGACCATGCCGTGCACCAGGGATGCTCTCTCCGAGTCCTGGGGTCGAGGCGGAGCAGCAGGACCGGGGGCCCGCTGATTTCATGACCCATAGGATCCATGGTGTTTTTTTTTTTTATATGCTAACATGACTGGGGTATATTGATGGGATCCATGTTACCATATATGGCAGCACCATGGATCCCATGGGTGATATGTTTATAGTTCATCTGTGGTTTATACACCAAAATGATTGAATGTGGTTAAAACAATGCCAAAAACAATCCCCAAAATCAGCATTTTGATAGGTATAAACCGTCAAACATGGGGTGGTTTATGGCTTTGTTTTAACCACATTAACCTCTTATAAAACTGGGGCACCAACTAGTAGGATCAAATGGGATTTTCCGTGGGGATAGTTCATGGGATATTTTGATGGGATATAGACGATGTAAAACTTAACCAAGTATATGGGGGTTTCTGCTGGATCAACTGGATTTTCATGGGGGGTCTCGTGTCTGAGAATGGTGTTTTTTACTTTCAACAAGTGCAATTTTGATAGGATTGGAGACATGTTCTGGGTGAACCGCCGACTCGTAGTTTCACCAGAAAAAAACGGGAGGTTACCCAGTAAACGTGGGGTTAAGCCATTATTCTAAGGGTTTGCGAAAGGCGGTTTTGTATCGTTTTGTGGTGTAAATATATAATATATAAATTATATATATATATATGTATATATATTATATATATATATACACATTATATATATATATATACATACATACATACATTGTATGTGTATATATATATATATATGTATAACTATATATATATTTACATATATATACATATTTACATATTAATATATATATACATATTAATATATATATATATATATATGTACATATGTTTTTGCTAAAACTTGGGCTGTATACTTATCAGTTTTGTGTGTTTCCTTCTGAAGGTATCTAAAATTACCCATGACTAGAGTTCCCAATTAGAGCCGGTGTCTTACACATCTCAAATCATCCCAGTTTGATACCTGGCTCGCTTTCGGATGCGAACTTCTCAGCCATAGTGATACTGATGGACTTTGTGGCCGGCGATTGTAAGGATGTATGCTTGTTTAACAGCTGAACACTATCTTCTGCAAGCCGAAGAAAACATTTTGCCTACCACAATATAGTGATCATCCACCTTCAGCCCACAGGTAAAATTAGTGATTGGATTTTCTGGACCAACCTAAATGGTAGATGTTCATAAGGAATGTTGTTGCTTAGCAATGTTGTAAGCTTATTTGTTAGCCGTACAGTACAACGTACCACAATATACTTAATTTGTTGGGTCTGTTGTTTACAAGTCGTCCCTTTGTGAGAGATTCATAGTGATAGCATGTGATAGCTGATAGCAAATAGAAGAATCAAAACAACAAAGTTCAAGGAAGAAAAGGCGCGACTTTTCGGCGTAGAAATTGCATGCCAGGCAAAGGAGATTGCGCGCCTGGAGCGCGGCGCAGAAGGGGCCCAGAGATCAGTGACTACGTTGCGAAAATGGCTGGTGATACCATAGCCGTTTGCGGAGAAAGGCGCCGGTGCCGCTTCGGCGTCTGCTCCTGGAAGAAAAGCCACGACTTGACCCATGCGCAACTCCGACAGTCGTGGTATTCCGGTGTCCCTTTGAATGGTTTATGAAGACTTCAATCCACTTTCAGCGACAGTAAAGCGAAGCTCGCTAATTCTTGGGGTCTGTGGCCTCACATCAATTTGGAACTCGAAAAGTACTGAGATCAGATGGCTTTGGGGCACAATCAAACTGAAAAGGATTCTGTGGAAAACCTGGCAGAGATGATCCATCAAATAAAGACCTTCAATCTACCCGTCAAAAGAGAAAACAAAAACCACATTTTACCCCCAATGACTGTGCGCATTTTAGCCATGAATCTCTGTAGAGTGAAAGTCGTCCAGCTATTCGTACAACTGCGGGTTGCAGTTCCACCTAAAAAAACGTGTGTCTATGGTCAAAATTACAGGGCTTATATCCCAACTTATGGACGTTATGGACGTGCCATGGATATACAGTCTGGTTGGTGGTTTGGAACATGTCTTTTCCATATATTGGGAATTATAACCCCAACTGACTTTTATATTTTTCAGAGGGGTAGGTCAACCACCAACCATTTATAACCATTTAAAAATCGCCCCAAATGCACAAGTGTCGGATCTATGGATTCGAATATACCAATTAGTAATTAGCGCATGTTGTTTGAATCACCGCCCGATTCCCTTGTGTGTCTTGGTAAAAAAAAATCTACCATTTTCATCCATTTTCCATTCACCAACCATGAAAAACAACCACTAACCAACCATTCGTCAGCTTGTTTTCAATTTTTTTACATGGAATCTGGGGCGATGTTCCCATAGCTGAGGCTGTTCAGTGATGTTTGTCGCTTTATAAAACCATAGATACTCGTCCGTTATATCCCCTAAACCCAAGCCTTAACCAAGTTATGTGAGTCAACTTAGCTATCTACAAGGTGGTGCCCCCAGTTACAAGTTGCTTTTGTAAACCATAGTAACTATCGATATGTACAACAAACCCTAGCTATTGCAGTTGTGTTCCCCAACTTAGCTGATGAAGTGGAGCACCACCTTGTATTGGGGGCCTCTTGTCGTCGTGTGTCGTAGGAGCTCCCTTTGAGATCCAATATGCCGGTCATCCGTGCCCTTCCCATTCCGGGACAGCCGTTTTTTTGCGGGGGATATATGAGGTAAACCTGGGAATCATGGTGAATTTGACTAATTTGACCAATGATTGTGTGACTTTCATGTGACTTTCATGGATGTGTAATGTATATACAAATATAATATTATATACTATAATATAATATAATATAATATAATTTGATTTAATATGATATAATATAATATAATGTAATGTGATTTAATATTATATATGATATAATATAATATATAATAATGTAATATAATTTGATATAATATAATAAATTATAATATGATATAATATGATATAATATTATATGATATGATATGATATGATATAATATGATATAATATGATGTAATATGATATAATAAATTTTAATTTAATATAATATATTGTATATATAAGTCGTCTCTATAGATGTCCGGATGTTGTTTGTAATGTTTTTTGATTGCATTCCATCATTGTGTTTAAAGTTTAGCTAACTCTCATGTGACTGTGTTGCCGAAATCCTTTTGTTTTCTTCTTTCGTCCTTCTATCCCAAAACTACTGTGAAAATTCAATGTGGACACATATCCCTCCAATCTGCAAATGTCCAAACTTTAGATCCCCTCAAACCACCTCACAATCTACCTTTCCCAGGCTTTTCTATATACTAACTAGTACTTTAATCTTTTCGTATCAATGGTAAAATTGATCCATTCACCGGGTGAGAATTATATTTTTTGACAGGTAGCCAAGATTCACCATGGTTTTTCCATATCAACAAATTTAGAATATATCATATCACAACAAATATCTATTTTCATGCTTGTTCTATCACCATTTTAGGTTAATGTTCCATACTTAGATGGGCCATGGGATTAGCGTTTCCTGGTTAGTAACTGGGGATATAGCCCCCTCTATCCCAATTATAATCCATTTACTGACTAGTTGACTAACTCCATGGCCCATCTTAGTATATCATGATAATTCATGATATATCCTCCAAAATACTCTAGAAAGTGCGAAGCATTGATGTTCCCCGGGAGACATTTTTACAAACCCCTAAGAATGTCAGGAGATTTCCCAGTGCCCAGTTCCTTCAATCAAGGTACCATACGTCCACCGGAGACCATCGTTTTCCCGACGTTCAAACGCAGGAGCGAACATCACTGCGCCATGCGCTGCGAGCTGCTGGGTCTCTGCAGCGTCCAGGAGGATGCAGCGGATCCCCTGGCGGCACCTTGGTACAGTGTGAGTGGGCGGCCTGGAGGAGGCCATGGGAATCATAGAGTCTTGGGAATGTAGTGTGATTTAAAGGGTTTTACCATGATTTATAGGGATTTACTCTGATTTATAGGGATTTTCTATGATTTATAGGGATTTACTATGATTTATAAAGATTTACTATGATTTATAGGGAGTTACTCTGATTTTTTGGGATTTACCATGATTTAAAAGGATTTACCATGATTTAAAGGGTTTTACCATGATTTATAGTGATTTACTCTGATTTATAGGGATTTACTATGATTTATAGGGTTTTACCATGATTTATAAAGATTTACTCTGATTTATACAGATTTACCATGATTTATAGGGATTTATGATTTATAGGGATTTACTCTGATTTATAGGGATTTACCATGATTTATAGGAATTTACTATGATTTATATGGTTTTTATAGGGATTTACTATGATTTATAGGGATTTACTCTGATTTATAGGGATTTACTATGATTTATAGGGATTTACCATGATTTATAGGGATTTACCATAATTTACAGTGACTTACTGATATTTATAGGGATATTCTATGATTTATAGGAATTTACCGTGATTTACAAGGATTTCATAGGAATTTACAGGGATGGACAACAACTACTAGGGGTTGTTATAGGGATTCAAGCATTTAAACCACATGAGGACAATTATCATGGTGATCTTGGATAGGGATGTAACCCTCGAAAAGGATGGGAAAAGGTACTAAAATTGCACTGTTTTGTTTGATTTGGTTCGGGATTCATAGGTATATAGTGATTTGTTTGGTTATGTTTTCCCTATATACCGTCAGTTTGGGCAATTTAACGTGTGATAATTTCTGTGGATATCACTCGTAGCATAATGAGGGCTATATTGTTTGGTATGCAGTATACTGTCCCCAAACTGAATTGCATATTTTTACGAGGATATAATGTGTACTTAGCTTACTTTCCCCATGTTTAGGGTATGGGTTCCCCTAAGCGGTGTACCCCAAGGTCGATTTTTATAGGCCTTGCAGCGTGGCAGAAGACCGAAGTCCAGGCTCGGCTCAACCGGCGCAACCGGATCCCGGAGGACCATGTCTACCTGGTGCAAGGCGGTGAGGTGCACCACGTCTCCAATGTTTTCGTCACCAGCGTGCCAGGTCTGGCTTTGAAGCCATATCTGTTCGTATTCTCACCATCGCAGCGCTTGACAGGTGGTCGGTGCAGGCATGACCTCCAAACGCGCCGGTGAGGTGCTTCATGACCTCCAAGGGTGCTTGGTCATGCAGGGCGCCGGTGAGGTGCTTCCGCCAAGAGGCAGTCAGTGAGACGTTCGTCTTTGTTGGAAAGAGTTCGATGGATGAAAAGAGCCATGTCAGCTTGGAGAAAAATGAGGACAGGAAACTGTGTGCGAAGAAGAAACGTCGTCATGAGAAATCCGACAGTGACCCCGGAACGCCTGAGACGAGATCTTGTGACCATGAGAAAGCCGAGGGATGATTCCCAAGCTGTCATGTCTTGGTTTGGGGTAGATATATCGAACTAGAACATGGGGTGAACATGAACCAAAAGACATAACTAATGTGGGTAAACCAATGCCATAAACCATCCCCCAGTCATCACCATTTTTAGGGGTGATATATACACTCAAAAATGGTGTAGTTGTTTATTATTGTTTTACCAACCGGGGGTGCCCACCTGGTAGAACAGAATTTGAATGCAGTTGAACGAAAGCAGATCATATCAGCCACATCAGCTCAAGGAAAAGACACGGGGCTCACCGGGCTCACCCACCTATTCACCATGTGGATCACTGGGGATGCCGGAGATGATTTAACTGTGTCTCTTAGGAGCTTTCGAAAAATATCAGGTCTGACGGTCTGATGAGCTACCCAACCTGGTTATGACTAACATAGCCATGGAAAATCACCATTTATAATAGGTAAACCATCTATAAATGGGCCGTCTATACCATGGCTATGTTAAATAACCAGAGGGTATGAATCCACCTTCAAGATGGTCATGCGAGGACAGTTGACTTTCCGAGGATCAGGGATTCGACTCATTCGACCCATGGTGGCCATCCGGTGCCAGTGTTTTGTTGTCCATCTCAATGTTGTTGTTGATTGGGGCTTAACACGATAGGGGCTGTATTTCCCATATTCCATTTATCCCCCGACATGAGCTGACCATGATTTTGATGAGTTGCCCTATTTGCTCCATATTATGGGGGATTAGAATTCCCATAGAGTCATACAAAATTCGATTGAACTTCATTTAGAACCCGTTGAAATCCATTACAATCCACTAACGTCCATTAAAATCCATTAACATCCATTAAAATCCATTATCATCAATTAATACACATTAAAGTCCATAAAGCCTACTATTTGGAACCATTCGCGACCCATTTTCCAGTGGTTTCTCATCATACCATTGGGATCCTAGGAATGGGTGGCGGGAGCCGTGGATGTGGCGAAGTTTGAGGAACGCACCTCGGCGTTGGTGGCACAAACCTGCGTTTGTGCCCCAGGTCGTTAGGCCCTAAGGCGAAGTTGATCTAGTTCAGTATGTTAACCGTGATTTTATCATGGTAAACTTTGCCTAATGGTAAGTTGATATATACAGATAGATCATGACAGATCTATAGCTAGCCTGCTGAAGATATATGGTCTGACTATGGAAGTGTCACGCAGGCGCTCAAGAATGCAGCTGCGTGCTGTATCGGGAGACTTCTAAATGTGGTCCGTGTGACTGCCAGTCTGACCAAGAGCGCATAGCCCCTTCCCCTTTTCGTTCCAGAATTCAGGCGCCGTCCGTTGGTCCGCCGCAGGACGACTTCCAGAGTCCAGACCAGGTTGCATATGCCAACTTCATGCAATGCTGCGCCAAATATGACATCATGATGTACCTTCGTGCCAAGCGCCAAGTGCCAAAACTTTCTGCAATTGATTCCGAACTTACAGCTGATTTGGAAAAAGCAAGAGAAGTGTTGGCTAAAAAGCTTGAGAATTCAGAAACTTCAAGTCTCGACATCGGCGAAATTCCAGACAACATTCGTCTTGACCGACACCAAAGATGGTACAGTTATGGTGCGTTATGGCACATTTTTTCCCAGTCATGGCAGAACTCCAGAGAAGCAATCTGGTAGTGATAGTGAGGATCCTCGTCTATGGCTCTCAAGCAGTCGTCCAGTTTGAAGCCTTGGGCTGGCCATAGATGGCTTTTAGGCAGTGGACGTGTATGCCAGAGCAGATTCAGCACACTACTTTTGCGAGATAACATCAAATCAATAAGTAGGCAACATGAATACGTAGACAACATCAATACATATCTAATTGAAATACACAGATAACATCAATAGGTAAATAATCTAAATACACAGATAACATCATTATGGAGATAATCTATAATTTGAAGATAGTGTTTGCCTCGTGGTTCGAATTGTTCAGCACGCGAGCAAGAATATCCCCCTGGAGTGCAGAGTTAGGAGAGTTAGCCCTTGGCCAACTGGTAAATTGATATAGATAGATCTATCATTGCCCTACTGAAGATAACTATGGTCTAATTGTGAATTGTGGACCTAGTATTTCAGATCATGATCATAATTTAAAAGAAATGGTTTCAGTAGTTAATTATGATTTGTTTCAGATAGATTTGCAATTTGTGGGATTTATGGTAGATATATACATGTATACAAATTTTACACATATATATATATATACGTATATATATACAGTAAATCATGTTGGTTTGTGGTGTTTTGAATTGTGGTTGGTTAGACGGGTATGACTAGGGACAAGCAGAATGTAGCGATATGACAGCAAAGGGGTTGAGCCACAATAGTGACATGCGAAATAGTGTTGGGCTGTGTTTGCAGAAAACTGTTGTTGTATGTTTGATGCTCATTATTTCGGTCACTTGCCTTCTGACTAGGATAAGCACGGCCAACTAAACCCTTCAGGTGATTGAGTTTGGGTATATATAGTAAAAAAATATTATGTTTCCCTCTATTCATTGTATATTATACTATTGTTCGATATAGATATTACTATATATATATGTATGTATAGCTCCATTTGGATGGGTGAACGTAAGCCAAGTTACAACTGCCACTTTAAATGGTTTTGTTCCACTTCTATGTGAGGGCTCTCTGTGGCCTCAATGTATAGATCGAACGAGGTGATTCCTGCATTGACAGTTACCAACACACTTTTCCACTCTTGTTCCATGTGTTTGAGGGTCATAGAATTTTGGCGACTTAGCAAGTAGATCAAAACCGTGGTAGTATTTAGTGGCAAATCTGCATATGTTTGGCTATCACATCCAATCTCTTATCATTATTCTATCCCGACACTCGATGTATGTTCTATAAACCCCATTATATGACTCTATAGTTTGATTGCTATCCCTATCATTCTCCTATCACTATCCTATCCTGACGGTTCTATCTCTCTATTTGTATATAATTATTTGTATATATATATCTATATCTAGTTCAATAGATATTTCTCCCTACAGGTTATAACCCCTTATTAGCTAACTAGTTATATATATACACTATATATATATATACATATATATATATACATATCATAAATAACACATTTTACTGCACCAAAACAACTTCGCGTTACGGCACTTGGTCGCGTGGCGGCATCTCAGCCGAGGCGAGTCCTATAGCCTTAACGAAGCACGCAGCGCCTTACGCTGGGCACCGCGCAGGTGAGCGCGGGGTGACCGTGGCTCTTGGATAATGGTGAGATTGGCGATGTTTACAGCCTTTAACAGTTTTAAATGGGTTTATAAGTTATGATGATAAATATGTATATATGTATATATATATCCTGGATTATAGAAATTATCTTATTTCCATTTAGTTATAATTGTTAAGGGCCGTAACCGTGACTTTGAATAGCAACAATTGACTGGAATAATGAATTGGGAGAATGATTTGTGGGACTTTGGAAGGCAACTATTGATTGGCCCATTTATGATGTTTATGAACCATTGGAACATGTTTTGACTATTGATGGTATAAGCACTAAGTGGAACATTTATAAACACTAGTATCTGATGTTTACCAACATTTATACCAATACTATTTATGATCTGTATGAACCATAAGTATCTCAATTAGTGGTTTAATGATGTTCGATATTGTTTCTATTCCAACTTGGGATGTTCCCAAAAGATTTCTTTCTTGTTGATACCAACAGCTTGTCCAGAGGTGCCGCGTGTTGAAATGTCAGAGAAGTCATTGGTCATTTCTTAGACTTCATGTAGAACCCACAGTCAGTACCAAATTTTAGTGTTTTGTTCCTATGCCCGCTGTTTTTTTCCGTTTGACAGCAGCATGTTGGACCCCCAAAATGATGTGGAACAAGTACTCGAAGCCGATGTTGGATCCAGGTCTTGAAGGCAATCTCGCAATGGACATCCGAACTTTTTATTGGAACTTTCAATGGATCATGATATATATACATATATATATATATACACTCCTATAATCTAACGTAGCAACCCTGGGCCAAATTCAGGAAAACAAACGTGTACCTTGCACAGGTCCTCCGAATATATGTGAACATGATTTTTTCCAGCAAGCCAGATGAACATAGTGGATCGGATCATCGGTTGGGATCGTGGACCCTCAAGAAGCCTCTGCTAATCGAACAAGGTATATATTCCCATTTTTTTGGCGGTTTCCATAAAAGGGGGTACCCCCAAATCATCCATTTATAGATGGATTTTCTATGAAATCAACCAACCATTTGGGGGTACCCCATTTATGGACACCCTATATAGATGATGGTTCTGTAGGGGTGATGTTTCCCACTTCAAGTGTTGACTTCTCATTGACTTGTTTGCCACAGGGTAGCCAACAAAGATGATCTTCTTTTCAGCAAGCAATAGAAATGGTCTTATGATGTGGTACCCTCCGGTAAACAAACAGTTTGCTATTGAAAATCGTCATTTATAGTTGATTTACCCATTAAAAATGTTGATTTTCCATAGTTGTGTAAACGTTTACCAGAGGGTATAGCCAGCACCACCATGACATCATACCCAAAACGTAGGGATGGCTCCCTGTCCACCGATTTGGCCAAGAGTAGGCAAAGCTGATGGCGGATTCTTGCGCCCTGCAATGCCACATTTTTAACAATTCACCAATATAGGTGTGTCTGAAAATGGAAGGCAACTTTAATCTGGAAATTGAATATGAACCTGTGCATACAATGTGGAATGGAATGGGGTACCCTATTTTCAGACAAACCCATGTTGAGATCCACACCCGGTAGGTAATTCTTCACTCCCAGGGACCTTCACTCCAACAATCGAACTTATATATATATATTATTTATAATATGTATATTATATATCTATCTATTATTTTTATTATAAGATATATATATATATATATATATGTACTATCAATATATATATATATAAATATTATCAACATATATATATATATACAAATTATCAATATATATATATATATATAAATAAATGATCAATATATATATATATATATATTATCAATAAACATATATATATATATGTATTAGATATATGTATTATATTTATGTATTATATATATGTACTATATATATATATGTATTTTATCAATTTAAATATATATATATTCAATATATATATATATATATATTTATTTATTATCAATATATATTTATATATTATCAATATATATATATATTATCAATAGATATTTATTTATATTATCAATATATATATATATAAATACATAAATTATCAATATATATATATATAAATTATATATATATATATTATCAATATATATATATATATATTCAATATATATATATTATCAATATTTATATATATATATATGTATTAGATATTTGTAATATATTTATGTATTACATATATGTATTATATATTATATATATATATGTATTTGATTTATATGTATATATATTTTTATATACATACATATTTTTGTTATTTTTATATGTGTATTTAATATGTATATATATTATAATTTATATATATATATATATGTATTATACTATATATATATGTGTATTATATATAATACATATAATACATATTAAGTCGAAAAAGTATGTATTTAATGGATCTACAAAAACTGCCAAGTTCTGTATACTGAAGAAATGCGAAATCATTTGGGGTTGTCTGAAAGTAGGGTACTCCATCATAATTTGTCCTATCAAATGGTCGTCAATTGGGTTTCTTCCCCATTCTTAGACACACCTAATGCCAATCAGTTGGCTTGTTATATTCCATGACAAATCATAATTTTCTGTCTCCGGATATTAGATATTGTTCACCTATTCCATTTTATATATATAAATATATTTATGTATAGATATTGTTATATCCCGTATATATATACATTATATATAGATATTGTTATTTCCGAAAAATATACATTATATATAGATATTGTTATATCCCATACAGTATATATACATGAACTATCCCATATGTTGGTTCAATCTCCATCCGATAGCCATCACAACAGTGGCTCCACCTCAACTTCACCAGGTTGGAGCCACTGAGACAAGCGGAGTTGATCCTCTGCACCTTCCCCACGGTGGGGATCTGCTGGGATCGATTGGCGAAACTATGATATCAACTCAGGACTGGGAATGGTAAGTTTATACCACCTATATATTCATGGTGATGACTGGGGGATGGTGTATGGCATTGTTTTACCCACATTATATATTGGTTTATATATGCTTTTAAGCATCAACAACAATGGGGGGTTAAAATGATATAAATGATATCAACTCAGGAAGCATCAATTTTAGGGTTGTTCAGTTTTTTACCCTGCAACTTTGGGGATATTGGTATAAGATGGTTGGTTGTAGAATTTACCGTCTGGCAATGACCAACATAGATATTGAAAATGACCATAGAAATAGTGAGTTTTCCCAGCTATAAAACGGGGAGATTTTCCATAGTTATGCAAACGTTTACCAGAGGGTAAATGATATCAATGGATATCGTGTTTAACGTCTTTGATTGATTTTTGAATGTGGAGTGAACCAAGAAAACCAAGAAGAGATGGCAACATATATTGTTTGGGTGGAAATTTGGTGGCAATATTCGATGGAGTATCACCAACTATAAGGGCAATTCAATGGTGAAATTCAAGGGGAAACCAAACATGGTTTATGGAATAGTTGATGGGACATAACTAACGGACCAACAATACCTGCATTTGGAACATGGAGTATATCTGGGCGGGGCGACTGGAACTTCGAACTTGCAAATGGAAATCTCATTGGGTTATAATGGGAATAGAGAAACATTGGATATAATTGGAATATATTAATGGGAATATATTGGAAATATCATTGGGTATCTGGAACTTAGAAATGGAAGTATATCATAGGGATATCAAATAGTAGATAGATAACCAGCATTATCCAACTCCATTGATATATACTTTGTTTGAACATGAAGTACCCTCTGGTAAACGTTTACATGCTATGAAAAATCAACATGTTGAATGGGAAAACTCACTATAAATTGGCATTTTCAAGTTCGCAAACTGTGAGTTTACCAGGCCGGGTAGATTCCCATTCAAACCACCATTTTGTTGGTTAAACCACCATTAAAGCACCATTAAACCACCATTTTCCAGGCCATTGTTTGGGGGCAAACAATCCCCAATCACTAACCAATCACCAGCCAAGAATCACATGGAGCACGCTGGAGCTGCAGCCCCCGGGGGATGGAAGAATTGGTGCTTTGAGAAACACCGTGTTAGTTGACAGAAGGGTTAATGGTGATTTATAGTGATTTAATGGTGATTTAATGGGGCTTTAATGGGATTTAATTGTGATTTAATGGAATTTATAATGATTTAATGGAATTTATAATGATTTAATGGGGCTTTAATTGGATTTAATGGTGATTTAATGGCGATTTAATGAAATTTATTGGTGATTTAATGGAATTTATAGTGATTTAATGGTGATTTATAGTGATTTAATGGTGATTTCATGGAATTTATAGTGATTTAATGGAATTTATAGTGATTTAATGGAATTTATAGTGATTTAATGGAATTTACAGTGATTTAATGGTGAATTAATGGGATTCAATGGTGATTTAATGGAATTTTTAGTGATTTAATGGAATTCATAGTGATTTAATGGTGATTTAATGGGATGTAATGGTGACTTAATGGAATTTATAGTGATTTAATGGGAGTTAATGGTGATTTAATGGAATTTATAGTGATTTAATGGTGATTTAATGGAATTTATAGTGATTTAGTGGTGGTTTAATGGAATTTATAGTGATTTAATGGTGATTTGATGTTAATGACGTAAGTCCTGGGGTTCCACAGGTTAATCATTAACAATCATGAGCAGAGGGCCATGTCAGTAGACTTTCAGTCCGAGTTTTGAGGCAATCTACTGGAATGGTTTGGGATGCAGATCGGAATCACCAATTATCTTGTGACCTCACTAGCCAACAAAGCCTTTTCAATGGTGGTTGAAAGAACAACAACATAATGCGGGCAACCCAATAATAAAACTTACCATTTGTGGATGGTTTATATCAACCATTTATGGTGATTTTGGGGATGGTTTATTATTGGGTTTACCACGCTAGCCAGTACTTCAAGTTGAAATATATGGATGAATTAGGTATGATTGATTTTGATTTTATAACGACCTCACCATGACGTCACTGGAATGATTGTTAGGCTTGGAGTAGCTACCCTTTAATGCCAAACTTTTCAGGTTCCTGAAGTGAATTACAATGTTTTGTGTTATAGGGAAGGTGAAGCAATCGTGATGGCACATTCTGCATAGCTTTGCTTGCGTACCTCACTTACTCACACTGCGACCACGTCTTACCTGCCATTGCATTTTGCCTTGGGAGATCGCGTCCAATACGAAGATTCTCGCGGGAATTACCATATCCTGACCATCTACAGCACACGGCTTGACGGATCTTACCAGCTCAGTCAGAGCGCCTCTGCTGCGTTCTATTCGGGTTTATGAAGCAGGTGCTTCATAGTGACGGATGCCTTCACTTCTCCCTTGTTCAAATTGATCATACTCCAATGACCGTAACACACCACCGCCAGTTTCACTACCAACGATCCTCTGTGGCACCCGATGCCGGTAGGTTCTCTGTGTGCTTCTGCATGAACTTTTCCCAGAGTGCTTTGGATGCATTGGCGACAAGACAGTCCATTAGATACTGGGGGAAGTTTTATTTGTTTAGATTACATCCATATTACCCTCTGGTTGTGTAAGATAGCCTAACATCGCCATGAAAATGGCCCATATATATAATTATATATCTCAATTGCCAGTTAAAAGTGGTGATGTTCCATACAATATGCCCCTCCTCAGTTTTAAATTGCTTCATAAAACTTAGAAACAAACATAGTTGTAGTTCCAAGTACCATAAACTATCATAAACTATAGTGAAACTGGAGTTGCAATCCAGCTACCAGCTATCGTTTGAAGGCTCCACCTTCCAGCTAGAGATGCCAACTATTTGATCATCATGGTTAGCAAGGCCATGCATTAAGCTCCTAAGTTCGTTTGGAAAATTGAAGCGTTTTCCAAGGTGTTCCATTGCAAAGGGACTGTATACACTGCAAGTATATTTGAGATTCACTACAGGGAACACCAGACAATGTGGTCCCCAAGGTCGCCCACGTTTTGACTCGATCTCGTTTCGGTTGTGTCTAAATTCGGTGATTTTGGGGGTCACCAGATTTTTTAATATAGATATATAACTCATCCTTGTACTTTTCACGAATTTCCAAAACGGTGAGTGGTGTATCACAAACTTTGCGAACGCCACAAGACTTGAATCTCCAATCCTTGTGGGGTCCCTGGGTCTTGGAACATTGGGCATATCCCCATCTTTGGTGAGTTGAATCATAACTGGAGCACCATGTGTGGTCGTTGAATAATTACCAATGTTTAATGGCGAACGTATGTTTCTTGGTGAATTTCTCATACTTTTTGAGTCATCCTTGCTTTGGGGCGATCAATACCCTATTGTCCATTTTGTGAAACTCCTTCTTCTTGGTTGTGAATTTCCAGATCTGTTGAATTTCCGACAACCCCGGATCCCACTCAATGCCTATCAAATCATCCTTCAATCCCAATAAATATCATCGAACATCTGGTGAAAAATAATGAACACTAGTCGTTATAATCATCCAAAAACAGATATCTCTCATGGTTTGATCCTTCAACAAAACCCATATTTTTCTATGGTGAACTCATGCTTGGTGAAAGGCCAGATCTGTTGCAGCAGGACTCCCCAGCTCTATGTGGCCATCGCCAATCCTCTCTTTGCAGCACCTGGCTGCACCCAACAAGAGGCGGTCGGATGGCTGGAGTGATAGGCAGGCTGCCTTATTCGCTTCGATGACTATTGACTTTAGGATCCAAACAGTGTATTCCAATGTATTTCATAATATATATATATAATATTATGTGATATGTGTGTATATATATATATATATGTTTGTTTTGATTGTTTTGTTTGTTTTAAGAATGGGTGAACATCAACCAACTTATCGCCGAGTGTCCTCACCGTTGTGGTTTCATTGTTTTGTTTGTGTTGTTATATGACTCCACGGCCGCCATAGAGCATCAAACATCGCGTGCCCTCCCCAAATTAGCATAGACATTGAGAATAGCCATTTTGAGTGGAAACTCATCTTCCGACCCCCTATTTGCTTTAGCAGGGTCGTCATGTTCAATGACTGGAGGGTAAATATCTGGCCATAAATGATATCGTTTGGTTTTTAGACTAGCGTAGCTGGAAAATCACCGTTGTCCAAAACGCGACTTCATCATAAATCCTCGAACTAAATCAAACGCCATGGCTTCAATAGCCATATCAAATATCCAAAGGCTACCCGCTGGTAAACCAACATAGCTATAATGGCCCATAGAAATAGTTGATTTGCCTATTAAAAGTGATGTTTTTCCATCATGTTTTGCTTGTTTACCAAAGGGTAGCTGCTAGATTCCACCGTTTGCCCCGGGCTCCACAGCAGGATTCCACGGTGCGCGATTGCGAGACACCGGAAGCTCAGGACCGCCCCGTGTGTTTTTTTCCGTTGTTTCCTGGGATTTAACCATGAAAAATGGAGAAGTGGGTGGTGCCTTGATGGTGATTTCGTACAATGTGGAGCACCCCAGTGCTGCTTGGTGGTTTATAAACCCCATTAACTATAGTTATAAGTATCATAAACCCTAGTTATTGAAGTTATAAACCAACTTAGCTATCTAGGGGGCCTCACATTGTAGGGTTTTAAGCAACAATATACGTTGATCTTTGGTGGGAGATTGGATCACAACTCAATATGGGTGTTTAGTGGGATTGTCATAGGGTTCTTAGGGAAACCAACCATGTTTCAGGAATAGAATGGGATAATAACATGGAATCCAATCTCTGGATAATATTGAGTACGGCTCAATTGCGTGAATCAAAACGAGGCGGTACCCTTTGTTTTCACAACCAAATTTGTTGCTAGTTATAGATGCTTATTCCTCCCCAAATATGGCATAATTGGTTTGATCCTCTAAATGGGTTTATATGCTTCAGTCATTTGTACTTGGATGGTTGCAATATACATATATATATATAGATATATATATATATAGTTGCTCTAGCGATATTATATATATATATCTTATTTGTTCAGTATATTGCCTATACCATATCAAAAATCACACTACTATGGTCCCAGGTGGAACCAGAACTCAATATGGGTCTGTCTGAAAATGGGGTATACCATCTAAGTGGCAATTTTTAATGGGGAAAATTATGACTCACCAATGGATTTAGAGGTACCATCTTTTCAGACAAACCCATATTATATGGGGAAACACAAGCCCATGATAACTGGAGATTCCCGGTGACCGGCTTCGTCCCAGCCTCCAGGAATTTTTAGTGGCGTTCCGCTCGATGCTGGCCAAAGATGCTTGGCGTTACTGTGTGAAGCGGTTGAGTAGGCCTGGCTATCGTGGCTCTGATTTGTTTGCCATAAATCGATCTACTGTACTGATTGCATATATACATATATCCTATATGTACATTCAAATGTACACATGTATATCGTATATATATATATACTAGAACCAGCAACAACATGTTTTTTGTTTGCAGGGTAAAGAGGGTGATGCACTTAGTACATGAATGAAACTCCAGATACGAACTGTAGCCCTGCACTTAGATCTGTTTTGGCAGAGGTACAAACCACCAGGATGACCATGACTATGCCATAAGTAATGGCAGCCTGTTTCAGGCCCTTCAAGTTCCATGGTGTTTGCTATGGTAATGTTAATCGCGGATGAATGAACCCTTATGAAGTAGGAGCTACCCTAAATCATGATAATTAATTGCGCTACTAAAATGTTACTCCCCCAAGTAAGCCTTAGAGGTTTACTAATCCTCGGTTGACAGTATGTGGGGTATAAACCCGCTCATAATGGTGTATTGTGGATTCTGATCTCTTTGGGCGTATTCCCAACGAGCATTTGATTGGTCGGTTAACTATGAGGAAGTCTCCAACAGCCTGACACTACTAGCACTGGAAGGATCGTCATCCCAGTAGTCAATACTATACAAGTTGATGGCACCCAGTTCGAAAGTGGTTCTTCTTTTAACCCATCATCCAACTATAGTAACATATAGTAACAACAAATAGTTCCACCATAAGTATAAGTTATGGTGGTTATAAACCAACTCAGCTATAGCTTGCGGGGCACATTAACTGTGCAAGGCAATGACCCAGCGATGGCTACCTTCTTTGCGCAGATGCAGAAATGGTTGTTGAAAGCCTCTTCGAAGAGTTGAAGAAAAGACCCGGGGTTGCATCCCACATACATACCATGTTGATGGCCGGCGGGTTTGATTGCATCGACAGAGAGCCAAGCAATGCAGATGTGGACATGCTGCCCCGGAGTTGCAACAAATTCAGCCTCTTGAGCAAACACCATGTTGTGAACTTGCTCGCAACGTTGATGCCGTCGCTCCGGGAATGGCACCTCCCCAGACAGCGCTTTGCCGACCAAAATCTGGACCGGAAATGCAGCCTATGGTCCAACCTGGTATGACGAACCAGGGCCACAGCATGACTAACCAGGGTTACAGCATGACTAACCAGGGTTACAGCATGGCGAACCATGGTTGCGGCATGGCAAACCATGGTTGCGGTATGATGAATCTGACACCAACGCCCCACATGCAGTTCTTTGTGCAGCAGGGAAGGGGGTCGTGCCAGGTCATGCCAGGCTGCCTTCTGTTCATGGTGGGTGAAAAGAAACAATGGGTATTCACCTGACGCTCAGCATGGGACCTAGTTGCATGACCATGTCCACCTAAGTCACCTGAATCTTGAAACAGAACGGTTGTTTTCCGTTGAATGTGCACAATTATAGTAAGCCCCAGACAGATAGAAAAGCACAGTCTTACTAAACGAATGATTATTTATTTTTTCTATTTGATGCGGGATAATTATAGACAGTGGATAATTACACAGTTGCCTGATGGTCGACACCAAAATGTGATGACCCGCACCGAATGTGATTTGGCCGGCGATCAATGAACTCCGTGCTATACTCAAAGTGTTCATTCATATTCTCTTCTTTCATAGGGATAGCCAATTGCGTTTACTGCAACAATCTGCAACAGGTAGCTGCCTCACCCGAAACATCAGTCCTGTCATTGATCCTGGCCAAGGATAAGCCAGTCAGGGGCATTTCTGCATACACTGTCCCTTGGCGGCATATGATATGTGTTCCTTGTTTTTCGAGATATGATATTGTCAAGAAATCACAGCATCAACTTGCAGTTAATAGATGTTCATAGTCGAGTTTACTCTGGGCTGTTTTGTTTGGATGATTTTGGGCGAAATCAAATGAACTACACATGAATGAACGCCAAAACCGTGGAAACTGTCAAGAACTGCCAAGGTGACCACTGCGCTAGTGGCTTACCAGGCCGCGGTTCAACTGGCTGAAGTGGTGGAAACCAATTAAGAATGGTATGTTTAAGCTTTAAATATGGGAGAGTGGGGTGTTTTCTCAGTGCCTGAAAGCATAAGATGATATAAGCTAAGATTAGTTAAGATGAAATTGAGCTACACATATGGGATCATATCGGGGCTAATCAAACCAAGCGATTTCAATTGCTTCAGGTTTTTTTTCCGCCAAAAAATTCGGGACGTTTGATCATTTGACCCGTTTGCTCAACAATGGGTCTGTTGGACCAGCGCACCACACATTACACCTTGCGGCTTTGTGAAATTATGAGACTGTCTTAGGGTATTTGTTTAGTGTGAGTAATCTTGAAAACCATCTTGGCACAGAATGATGCATCGTGTTTTGTCCCATGCCCCTTGAACAAGTGTGTGTTCCGGCTAGATAAAGGAAACCAGAACGACATGGGTTCGTCTGAAAATCAGGTTTTACCAAGTTATACCTCTAGAAGCAGTGGTTCACCATCTTCCCTATTAAGATAACCATTTTGCGGCATACTCCATTTTCAGACGCCAAGGTGCTGAGGGTTGGATAGTTGAGACCTCATTCCTGGTGTCGGTTTTGAAACCTCAAGCTTCAAGGAACAAAGAAACTATGTTTGACAGCTATGGAACCCGAAAATATGCGTATTGTTCTTATGATGATGTATGATTTATGATGTGGAGGTTTCCTAAAATAGGGGTACCCCCAAATCATCCATTTTAGTAGGATTTTCCATGATAAACCGTCCATTTTGGGGTACCCCCATTCCAGGAAACCTCCATGTAGGTAATTGTAGGTACATTTTTATGGACGCCCAAAGCCCCCTAACCCCTGCTGCAATGCGACGTGGAGGCTGGCGTTGTGTTGCCGTTGGCAGGCGCGGCAGCCTGGGTTTGAAGTTCATGAGAGACCATGATAAGATGTGTAAAGGCGTGGACGCGAATTTGTAAACCCGAAAATGGTTTGAAAACATAATTGAACAGAACAGAACAGAATGTATTGAGGTTTCAATTTATTTGAATTTGAACATGTCCAATTTCAATTTCGATTTCTGTAAGAATATTTAAGCCCTTGGAAAAATAAACTGTGATGAGCACGTTTTAAACATCTCTGGGGGAGCCAGGAACCCACGCTTCACCAGCAAACAAGTTGAAGATGTTTTGGGCTGATGCAAACGTTGACAACGCCTGCATCACATCCCTGAGACAGGATGATATTATTTGATTTGGTTTTCAAGTCAAGAATAAACAGAAGAATTGTTTGATGACCTAAGCACATTTTCTGCAAATTGAGATGATGTATATATAGTTTACCACTGTATCAAAAGGAAAAGATACATACCATACCGTATTTGTTTCAGCATGGTCATTCATGCCAGACACAGTTATGGCCCGAAATACCAGTTATAATTCAGTAAGTCACCCCACGTATGGAATGATCAGCCCATTTATAACCATAAAGAGAATTGGTGAAGGGCCATAGCTGCACCTCCGAGTTTGGCAAATATTCAGGCGCAAATCTCTACGGATTTAACGGTCATACCAGTCAGTTGTACAATATGTGTTGTAATATACCGCCACTGTATCATTCGAAGTTGATACCATTTATGTATTATTTTTATATTTTCATCTCACACACACTTTTGCCGGCTGGCCCAATTAGTTCTATCATTTGCACAATACAAACTGCCAATTCATATTGGTGATCTTGTTGTATCGATTTCACTTGGATCTCATCTCACGTCTCAAATGATGGTGCTGGAATACTTGCCAATATTTACTCCCAAAACAACCCAGTTACATAGGCGAATATGCCACATGATAGTGTTATCCTCACAGACTTGCTTCAAGGGAATAAATACAGGAAAACCCATATATGTGGTGATGAACCCTGATTTCCTGTAAAATGTCCCGATCACATTGTTTTCATTTGGGATATACTCTCCTATAAACTATCCTAGATGTGGAACATCCAGCATTTGTAGATCATATTCCAAGGGAAACCATGGTTTTTTCAACATCTACATGAGTTTATCCGGGTATTTCCTGGGAATCCTTCAGCTCCGGCGCTGACAGGAAAAGCTGGCCGATACTTGCCAGCCCAGGCAGGGCCGCTGACCAAGAATTTGGATGCAGAGGAGATGCTGAGAAGGTGGACCAAAATCCAGGCAAACCTTGGAAAACTGTAAGAAAACGGATATGACAGGGGTCTTCGCATTGACAGTTCAGTATTATACCCTGGACCTATAGGATGTAGACAGCTGGAATCTCCAGATCTCAAGAACTCCCCACCACATCCCGAAACGTGAACGTCCTGCAGCCGTTTCTTGTCTCAGTTTCGCCACCGATTTCTGGTCCCCAAAGTTCCCGCGTCTCATGGCCGTGGCGCCCATGCCCGTGGTGCAGGGAAAGGTGGTGGGAAATGCTCCCAATCTGGCGGATCCCGAGTGTCCTGTGGCTCGGCTGAAGTTTAGCACATAGGCTGATGATTGATGGTTGTCTCAAGGTCCTTTGAATGGATTTGAACATGGATATAACATTGATTTAACATCGTTTAGCATGTTTTATGGATGTCAAATGGTTCATGTTTGAATGGATACTTTCAATGTGGACGTGTCATGATCTCTCCATACAGAAACATAGGACATTGGGAATATGATAGAGATGTATCCGCCAGCTATGTTGGTGTGCGCTGTTGATATCCATCTGAATCTGTGATGAAAGGTGCTTGTTCTTGTCATACATGGCCTTATGGGCTAAACCAATCGTAGTTATAGGGTTATATCCCAACTTATGGATACTTCTGGGAGCTTCGAACCATGGTTCTACCACGCTCTACCCATGTGTAACCTCAACTGGACCCTGTTGGCAGCCAGTTCTACAGCCTTGAGGCCTACCCAGCCTATCCAGTGCCTGCAGCCTGCCCACCATACACCGGTGCTGCTGCATCCACCCAGCCGCCCCCGGGTCGGCCAGCGCTTGAAGTCCTACAGCTTTCCTGTCGACAAAGCTGCAAGAGATGGGGAATGGGTTGGAGCTGCTGAGGTTATTTTTGTCGGATTTGGCGGGTTCTTCAAGAAACAAGAGAACCAACATCAACCAACTTGAACCAACTTGAACCAACTAGTTTTGTATGTTTGTGTGCTGTTTGGGGCTAGTTTTTTGACGTTTTTTTGGGGCGAGGTTTCACTTGAAGAGTATTACTGTGCTTTAATGCGTGTTGCCTGTTTGCAGGGAAGAAACTGAGAATGTGAAGGCATATGTAAGCTCTGGGAAACCAACATAGCTATTGAACAAGTTTCATTTATTGATGACGTACCTATTAAAAACGTTGATGTTGTATAGCTACGTTAGTGTACAGGAGCCGACAGGAGCCTTTAGTTTCTAATTTAATATATATATATATATATCATAACATGGACCAGAGATGAGGATAGGTAGCAGTTGTATCTTAGATATTGTCCCATCCAGAATCATGTTGTATAGTATGATAAAGAAAGATCATTGCATATCAGTGTTTTCATAAATGGTGGTACCCCAATAGCTGGTTTGTTTAAAATGGATGATAACTGGGGGTAACCCCATGGATTGGAAACCTCCATATTTTGTAAACCCGGTGGATTGGTTTATAACCCCAATAACTATATGGTCTATACATACTTACATCTTATACTATAGTATTCATGGGGTTTAAAAACCAACAAACATCGGGGGGGCCTTAAATCCCTATGATATCCCATGGTCGAGGTCGAGACGCGGATTTGCCGCCCGAAATCCGCCTGAGATTCATCACCAAGGCCCAAAGAGCCGAACAAAAAAGGGGAGGGTGAAAGGTACGTTTGGTGAGATTTTCCCATTTATATTAGATGATTTTCCCCTTAAAACCTCCATTTTGTTTGGATTTTCCGGTGATATTTGCTGTTTTATAAGTTTTATAACGCAATTATTGAACAATTTAAGTGATATTTCCCACTGGCCCTTAGCCAAGCTAACAGTCAACTTAGCTAGGGGGCCAGGTCTCACCTTGTCTGAGTAGCCTGGGATGATGATCCGCAGCTTCACACACGATGCTCCGAAGAGCAGGTCTACGGCATTTTGGGCACGATGCTCTTGATCACCTTTGGCATTTCAACACCCTTCATCTTTGCGACAGAGGCGGGGCGGCGGAAATCGGGAATGTGTTTAAACAGATGTTAATGGTTTATCCCTCATATGTATATTTATATATATATATATATGTACTATGTACATATATATATATATATGTACATGTGTATATATATATTACATATATATATATATATGTATATATATGCGGAGAGTAATGATGTTTTAATAGCACTGGATGATAGGATACCAAATTCTTCTGCAGCCGCTATGGCATGTCTTGAGAGATTGAGAGTGTTATGTTCAAATATATGTGTAGTTGTCTATCGACTTGATAGCCAAAGTTCACCATTGATGATGCTTGAATCTTAGGGATTCTTAGGGGCAGATGGTTTGACCATTCTGTTCCACATCTCAGTGCTGGTTGGGGCGTGGTTCAAATGGTCATTAGATTGGCAGTTGAGTACTGACTCTCAAAAATATGTGGAGATGTTGGAGAAATATAAAGATATATGATGTTTGGGCATGTTTTGGCCGTGTGAGGTCTCCCATGTTTGTTGTTGTTGTTGTTGTTGCTGTTTTGTTGTTGTTGTTGTTGTTGTTTGTTGTTGTTGTTTTTTGTTGTTGTTGTTTGTTGTTGTTGTTTGTTGTTTTTTGTTGTTGTTTGTTGTTGTTTGTTGTTTTTTGTTGTTGTTTTTTGTTGTTGTTTTTTGTTGTTGTTTTTTGTTGTTGTCGTCGTCGTTGTTGTTTTCGTTGTTGTTGTTGTTGTTGTCATGGTTGTTGTCGTGGTTGTTGTTGTTGTTGTTGTTGTTGCTGTTGTTGTTGTTGTTGTTGTTGCTGTTGTTGTTGTTGTTGTTAGTAGTAGGTGAATTCGCTCGGGCGATTCGAGCAGAGGTCCCACTTAGGACTGCCTCCCCGGTTCCAGCGGCTTCTTCGATTGGTCATGGCATATCATAATAGCTCATGAAATTGATATCTCTATATTATGTATATACATATATATATATATATATTATTTTATATGCAATATATAAATATAGTTTGGTTATACTCCGCTTTGTCAGAGATCCAGGCCACTTTGGGGTTCTTTCGCCAGAACACCTGGATCCTCTACGTTGCTTGTCATGGGAAAAACGCGAGCCGGACGCCGCCAGGAAAAAATGGAGAATCCTGGTAAAAATAGTTATATCTTATATCTATAGATTATATATGATGCTAATGGGATTATATATGGGATTTTATTTATATATAGTTGATCCATAGCTATAGTAGAATGATTTATTTTTCACAACATGATTTAACAAGGGATTGTAATTTTTAATGGGATTTAAGGGTTGGGAATTTCATGGGATGAACAATGGGAAAATATTGGGTACGATCCACCATCAATGGAGGGCTTTTTCATTGGAAAGTCATTGTTAGGATCCAATATCATTACTGTATCCGTTTTATCCCTATGTTAGGAGATTTTTTCATAATAGAATTTTATTGGAATCCGAGAAGGGGATAGTTGTCAGCACCATTCGAAGATCATGGGGATTCCGATTCCAATTCTGGGTGGACCAAGTGGATCGGTGAATTTCCTGATCGTTTGCTGATGAGATGGAGATACAACGAGGCCTTGCAGAGTATCTTTAGATGTGCAATGGATAGTTTTTTTGCAGCTGGCATGCTTAATGCTTGTCCAATTTTGCCTCGTTTACGAGAATACATATGCCACATATTGCCATCATATACAGCTCCCCTGAGTGTGAACCTGAATCCAAGGCATGTCTATTATTGCCTGGAAGATGGGTGGGGAAAGAAACTAAGTTTGCTCTTTTGATTTGAAGATCACCTGGAGGTTTGAGCCAGCCTCTACTGATTCTATATCTACTCTAAACCAATAACTATGGACCGCATCACCAGAAAAAATGATGGGTTTAATTAATGTACACCCTTTCAACACACCAATTATACCATCAAACGAAACTGCCACTGTCAAGAAAAGCGGATTGTCAGATCATCTTCGGCATCGTCATTTGTCAGCTGATCTTCAACTTCGCCATGTCGTGCCAGATGTGCTGTGGAGGCACTGGCTTGTTGCAAAGTTGCTGTGGCTGCAGATGGGGACTGGGGACCATCCAAACTCAATCATCAGTCTTAAAACCAATGGGGAAACCGCGAGTTTTGGGGTGCCTCTATTTTTTGGAAACATGCATGTGGTCCATTCGTTGTGTTGTGGTCTTGTGCGGAAAAGAACAGATGTTGGTGCAAATCTGAAGCCAAAGTCGTGGGTCACAAAGCCGCTCCCTTGGGTCGGTTTCCGAGGCTATCTGTGGATGATGAAGACATCCCCGTGGAACTACTTGTACCTCATGACCCCTGGTGCAGATGTTCTGACGTTTGCTTGGGAGAAAGTGTTTGAAGATGGGGTTATGGGTGTTGAATGGGTTATTTTTGTTTGACCCAGGAGACCATTTGTTTTATGTTAATCATTTATTTTATTATTAACTAAGCGGAATATATATATATATATATATTTGCCAGTCGAAAAATTGTTCAACCAATGTGTTTTTTTACTTTTACATTATACAACTTAGTCTTTTGTGTATGCTGCTTTGATCGGTTATTTTTCCGTTCATGAGGGCCTCAAGGTACCACAAAAAGCCTGTCGATCCCCAAATGGCCGACCCAGATCCCTGGATTTCTATGCTTTCCCATAAGTATACTGTATATATATATATATATTATATTATATATTCATATTATATACCAATAGAGAACAACCATTACAGAATAACTTATAGAAAAACCAAGCTGCAAGCTATAGTCTTAGTTATACTTATGGTTGGTTTCTGAAATCCCAGAACCCTCCAGGACGAATAGCTCCGATCTCCTTAGGACCTTCTCTGCCTGCTTCGGTGTGATGGTGGGCTTTCTCTGTGCACAGAAGCTCGACGAGAACTAGCATCGATTTGATCGTTGACGAACTACCCACTTGGTGGTTCATCCCACTTAGTAAGTGGGTTATACCCCCAGTTATAAATGGGATAAGTAGGGTTAATCCACTTATAACTGGGGTTATAACCCACTTACTAAGTGGGATGAACCACCAAGCAGGGTCTATGCTAATTAAAGGTTCAGAAAAATCGCCCCCTCCAGTAAATTAAGAGTTCGACCCTGGCAGTCATCGGGGTTGGAAGATGAGTTTCTACTTACAATTGGTGATTTTCAGGGTCTATGTTAATTTACCACATGGTTAGGGATATGATGGGAGATCAAACCAGCAACATATCAAAATGGGTATTTTTGCAGCAGGTGATGGATATTACTGTATGGGCTGGGATAAGTGGCAAAACCTAACACGTTGCCATGTTGAGTGGGATATACCAAGCCAGGTAAAACAGTGATTCTTGATTGGTAACCGAATCTACAATCTATGTATAATTGACTCAAGCTCCTATATTACTGTTCTTTTCTACCACTCCAATCACTTGAGTTTCGAATATGTGCAGTTTATCGTTTGCTCATTCCCAGGGTTCCAAAGCTGTGTAAGGCCTCAGCATCTGCAGATTTGGATATTGTGGTTTGTTTTCTTATCAACAAACAACTACAGTTATGGCCCGAAATACCAGTTGCAAGTACTAAGAAAACCCCATTTATAGAAAGTATAATACCATTTATAACCAGGCAGTTATAGCTAATAAATGGCAGTAATTGTATACAAGTTAAAGAAGACTGGGTCCATTGGGTCCATCCCCATTCTTGTTGCTTCATACACTGAACGCTAGCAAAAACGAAAGAAGAAATAGTAGGCAAACTCAGCACGCCCAGTCCAAACTGGCCCAGTACAGGTTCATTTCTTGGCCCAATCTATTCAAAACCTTCCCTGTTTGATTGTCTACGCTTTTCCACAAAATCCTGCTTGATTATTGTTAATTCACCTAAATTATCCATTTTAGGAGGATTTTCCATTATAAACCATCATTGGGGTATCCCCATTTCTGGAAAAACCATTGGTTTGGGGAACCCCAAATTCGCAGGGCCAGCCACAGCTCCATGGTCTGGCGATTGCAGGTATACTGTGCAGTCGGTTCTGCTGATCTTCGCGTTGACCTTCGTCCTCATTGTGGCGCTGACGATCTATGCAGTGAAGACCAAGGTGGGGTCCCGGGCACCGTTCCCGGTGGATCGGGTATTCGAAAAAGGAGTTCTTAAGGTAATAGCTGGTTTCTTAGGGATTATGTATCATTATGTATCCCGAATATTCCCGAATGTAACCCATGGTGCTGGTATATAAACGCCAACATTTCTAAGTGACCCACTTGTGTAGGTAAATATTCCATACATGGAGCATATGGGTATTATCATACATTAGTCATTAGTGGCTCATGGAGATATATGAACCCGCCAGCATGATGGAATGGGATAGGGGAATAATTAAATATTTCATGGCTCTCTTCCGTGAGGTTGGTGTTGCTGGGGAAATAGGCCGGCCGACTGTTTTATTTGTTTGTGTAGGGTATCGAAGAACGTGATAGGTCCGGAAAAAATGTCATTTCAAGTCCATCGAAGATGGGAAATCAATTTTATTAATTGGTATTTAAGATGATTTAAGCATCGACGTATATGAAACAAACTGGTGAACAAGTTTGTGCCATGAATGGATCACTTCATATTTAGCCAAACTGGTTGGTGGTTTCAAACATGTTTTATTTTCCATAATATATGGGATAATCCTTCCCATTGACTAATACTTTTCAAGACGGTTAAAACCACCAACCAGCAAACAATGCTTAAACATGATCAGTTGTGAAGTATAATCTTAAATGACAGGCAGACGCTGCCTAGATAAATTGGGAATGCACGATGAATGCATTGAGGTTGGCCATGTTGGCAGCCAAAACCCCGCAGAAACAAACCGCAGAAGTTTCAAAAAGTATAGGGTTTCACCAGCAGATATATATATATATACCATTATAATGCCATTATATATCTGGAAAACCATAAAGAAAAAATGTTCTGTCCGTACGGGTTTGGACATGTTTTTTGTCCGTTACGTGTTTTTTCCAAATACATCGATAAACAGATAAATATATATATATATAACCGGACATGCCGGTAGATTTGCAGGAGTCGTATGATCTCCGACTATGAGCTCTTATCGTTCACTACGGAAACTGTGAAGATGATTTGAAGTCTTGAAGACTTTTGTCAAAAAAAATGAAGTCTCGAAAAATATGCCGTGCCTCCAATCAGGAACTCCAGATGTTTTTTATTCCCAGTGGCTTCAGTGACTTTTGCTGCTTTTTGGTGGCTTCTGAAGGCGGACTTCACAGGATGTGGTGCGTACATCATGGTGGCTCTCCTGGGTTTCATCATGTTATTCCTGGTGTATGCACCTTGTCCTCCTTGGGATCATGGGAAACCTTTGGGAAACCAACCGTGTCCTTGGCGCCAAGTGGTTTAGAAAACCAAATGGCACCCTGATGGATGTTGGTCATACCATACCATACCATACCATGGCGGAAAACAAACAACTGGTTTCTATGGGATGATACATAGTAGCAATGATTAATGATGGTTATAACTGGTGATTTCTAGGGGATGAGAAACATTCCATAAATTGGGTGACTTCTTAGTACTCATAACTGTCATTCAGCTGCTATAACTCGGGCCATTTCTGTGGATCTTCGGGCCGGATCTTTTCTGGACTCCCCAGAAGCGGACGACCAATGTCAGCGATACACGGGTCGTCCATTTCTGGGATGAAAACGGGCTATATTTGGCTAAAGCATGGGCCAGAAATAGGTTCAGCAAATATACTTATATATATCTATTATATCTATTATAAATATATGGTTCTATTATATCTATTTCTGTAGCTCATTGTCAGAACGATGGCTTCCGGATCTGAACCCATGATATACTCACAACAGCCAGCAGTGATCAGAAAAAAAAACTCCCCAGCAGCCGATGGACTTGGCATCCATGAGTTGGAACTCAGCAACACCATGCCATTGGCACCACCCATGACTGGGAATGGTAACCATACCACATATATATATATATATGTATTTATGTGATGACTGGGGGATGGTTTATGACATTGTTTTACCCACATTATTCAAATTTTGTTGAGTCTTGGAACGAAATTAGAATAGGAGAAGCTAGGGATTTAGGATTGGATACATTCATTTGGGACTATTTGGAATTTGGATGGTATTTATTTAATATTAGGGAAAGGGGGTCGATTCCGCGCAAGACTTGTTTGCCTAGCCTTTAAGCACGGGACTGAGCCAGCTAGTGACACGCCGGATAAGATAAGAGAAGATCAGATGCGGGAGAACGAATCTCACTTATTTTTTGGGGGGCTGGGGTATGTGAAAACCTTTTCTACCAGTTCGAACTAGATTACGCTGCCTTTTTGACGGGTACATATACTCCCAGTTGGGATAGTTGCCAGCCAATAGCATCGATCGATATCGATCGTAAATGCTCCTCCAGTTGGCCCACTATCAAAAATCTGCATTTTGACTGGAGAAATCTTCAATTTTCGAACCTTTAATCCCAACATTTTCGGGTAAAAAGGAAAACATGCTTCCTTAAATTCCCTTCCTAAATATGCATGTCGCGGCTCAGATCCCACTCAGATCCCAATAACTGTTAAACTCCCCTTTGTATCCCTTTGCTTGATGAGATGGAGGTTTCCAATCCACGACGGTACCCCAAATCATCCAAATCGCTAGACCATGACTTACTTAGATGGGCCATGGAGTTAGTTAACTACGTAGTAAATGGATTATAATTGGGATTTAGGGGGTAACAAATCCCCAGTTACTAACCAATTAGCTAATCCCATGCATGGCCCATCTAAGTAGTATTGAAACCCAGGGTGACTTGGGGATCCAGGGATCCCCAATTTCGAGAACCCCCCATTTTTTTGTGCACATATCCCATCATATCCCATAGATTCTTGGTTAAAATATGTTTAACTTCATTAAACCACCATCAACCACCATTATTTCGGCACGCGTCATTTTCAGAAACCCCAAGATTTCCGGTCACTGAGACCGACCGCCGGAGCAGCCCCCGCGCACTGAGACCTTTTTCCCTGGCAGCGTGGTGCTGGCGAAGATCGTGGCGGGAGCGGGGGCAATGCTTTTCGGTGCCTTGGAAAGTGGACTCCACTGGGACGATCCGAATCCGTGTACCTGGACCGTTCATTGTAGCTGGATAGTAACTGGATCGTGTCACATAATGGATATATATATATATATATGTATATAACTGGATAGTGGGATAGTAAAAGCAATATAATCAGAAATACCGTAACACAAATTATTTATATTTATTTAATGTATATACTATTCACGGTATGTTACATAAAGAAGCAGTTATTGCCAGTTGTGCCATGGGCTGTGCAGAACATGTGATTGATGATGAGGAAGATGCGCATAGGGGATGAGGAGGAGGATAAGAATTACATATAATTACAATAGTATAGTTAGTATAGTTAGTATAGTTAGTATAGTTAGTATATTAAAATAATATAATGATATATTACTAATATATGATACTGAAAACAATAGTTAGTATGTATATATATATATATGTATATATTGAACTATATATGCTGATCATGATACAATGTGAACATGATGATAATAACTAAGAAGCAGTGTACCATTATGGTATACAGTATATCACGATAGTGATAATCGCAGGATCGTGAGCCGCGATCAAAGAATGCGAGCACAAGGCGACTTCAAAGTTTAAATGATTTTGTTTATCCATAGTTACCATATAGTTACCATAACTATGAACTCATTTAGGTGAAACTAGAACTTAATGATGTGGTGACATCATATGGTGATATTGACCTGTCACATCTGATCATCTCATGCGCACAATGGCATTTTTCCCGGAAGTTGACTGGGATTCAAAGCCCATAGACCCAATAGAATTCAAGTACGGAAATGTGTCAAGTACTAAAGTGTCAGGGCAAAGTACCGATTCACGGGTAAATTCACAAAGGAGTCCAAGTACTGTCCAGAGATACTGGAAAATCCTCGTTGATCACACCAAAACCACTTGCTTATAGTTGTTTTTCGCAGAGGTAATTACAATGTCCGCCGAAATTGCCCCCTAAGAGCAGTAAATGGGTAAAGTAGCTCCACTTTAAACCGCTATTCCTGTAGTTGGAAACCCCAGTTCTCTTGGAATCTCAATGGTATTAACTGGTATTAACTGGTAGATATTGGTCGTTTTAGCCATCTAAATCCATCTAAGTTAAAGGTAAAATAGTGATTTTGTAATGAAAGTCCGAGCAGTCACCGCTACGGCTAAGGCTTCCTGATTGTCTACGACACCCAGCAAATCTTCGGTTCGGCATCGGCGACATCCTTTGGCGGCGGAAACAGGGAGGTTGAGTACACCTTGGACGCTGGGAGACGGGGAGAGCTGAGGAGTTTTGTGGATTGTGTATACATTATATATACATATACATTATGTAAACATTTACCAGAGGGTATTTTGGTATATTTTGGTGTTTACCTGGGCACCAGGGTTTTGACTTTTGATGGACGTTCGGGCGTTGAACATGCAGGTTTCATGATTTGTTTCGCATAGGCTAATGACTATACCAGACTTCTCAATGAGTTTAGTCACTTGAGGCATTTTCCACCTTGGGTTTCTGCTATGTTTACTTGCATGTGGCAACCGGAAAGCGTTCAACAAGAGCTCTAGCTTCACTCGGCGCTCCACTGCGATGTTGTTTCTGTGTTTGTTTGGAATTGGTTGCAGCAAACAAGCTAAGGACATGTACGCATTTGCCGCTTGGAACTTGTATTTGGATTTCCTGAATTTCTTCATCTACTTGTTGCAGTTGTTCGGCGATCGGAGGTAGGCGAACAAAACAGCCTGTGCGCAGAGTGACATAGAGAACTCTGTCGCGGAAGTATAGGAAGTTCCTCCATCTTGTACAGGCAGGACAGCTGCACGGACATGTCGTCATGTCTCATTGCACAGATCTAAATTCAGGAAAAATTCGCCAGGACCGCGTGGAATGGGTCCGTGTACAGGGTGGCCGTTTCGCTCGCTGCAGATCTATGCATATCTGGTCCATGGTGTACAGGATGGCCAGGCTGAATTAAATCCAGATGCTCAAAGCATTTGGGAAAGCCCAAACAGTGCTGTCGAACGCCAAGATGCTGCGGGCCTGTGGTCCCAGTGGCGACAGCACTTCTTTTGGTGGGTCGACATGGGGCCCGCGCTTGTGCTAAAAGTTGCAGCCAGTGAGGATTGTAGCTGGGTGCCACATGTTGCTGTCAGCTGCTGTGACAGCAACAACTCACAGACCAGGTTCCTTCTAGGAAGATTAGCTTAGATTTATGGCATCCAGCATACTAAGCATTGTCACCGTGCTGCTCCACGTGTCACTTTCTACATTTACCTTTCGAAGTGTTATTAGGACCGTTTAGATGATCAGATTGGCGACACCCAGTGATTACCACCCATTAAATTCTATGCACGTTTCTGTGCTAACTTGGTGGAGGATGTGGATAAACAAACACCACAAAAGATCATTATGATCCATCCTCCGGTTGATGAGGCTTTGTGAGAAAATAGGGTCCCATGAACCCTAGGTTATATTGCGTTAATCCCCATTAATCATCATAAATCATCACTAGTCATCATTAAAAGAGTCAATTCATCTCTATAAAAGTCCATTAATTCCTTTCAAAATCCATGAATTCATCAATTGATCCATTCTAAAACCTAATTAATCAGGATTAATCCCTACAAAACCCATCAAAACCCTATATTTTTCCACGGTTTCGCCACGCTCCGCTGGAGGCCTTTTGGCGCGGTGCACAGCGGGAGGAGATCCTGGTGGCGCGGAGCCGCTTCCTGGAGACGGTGCCGGGACGACGTCATTTTGTGGGAGATCTCCAGTGGACAAAGCGCGACAAACCCCTACAGCTCCAAACACCTTCTCAGATGGTATTTGGAGCACTAGGGAACAATTAACACTATTATTACTAATTACTATTGTGTTTTTTGTGTATTATATTTCAATATATATATATAATATATTATATAATTATATATATATATATATATATTTTACATATATATGTATATATTATATATATATATATGTTGTATATATATATATATTACTAATTATTAGGTACACGTGTGTTTTATGTATATCATCGGGATGTTTTTGTTTCGGTATAATCATATGATTTTATTATAATATATTGTATCTGTAAGGATATAGATTTATCGGGATTATTGATTGGGAATTATGGGGACGTATGGCTTATAAACCCCGTTAACTAGTTCGATATATAAAAATGAGGCCCCCGTTTACGATAGCTAAGTTAACGCACACAAGTTGGTTAACGTTTTGGTTGATTAGCGGGATGGTATAATCTATACTTAATGGGTTGTGCCCGCTTGTAAATGGCTTAGAATATGGTTATTACTTATTACATGTTATTGCCGCCCAAAGAATATTGTAGTGTAAGCCATTGTAACCCATATATACCTAAATCCTCCAACTACCCTTCAAAATTGTGTTTTACAGCATAATTTCAATACTTTTACCATTCTTTTGGGGTATGAGGAAGGTCTACGCAATTAAGACATGATTATCTACTGGGATTATATGGAATCAACCGTATGAAATTTTGAGGTTTGTCATAGGGATTTTCACATGGTTTGACATGATGGGAACTAGGAAAACAAGTGGGATATATCATATAGAACAATGGCCAACCCCAATACCATGTATGATCTTGTTTTCTTGGGGTGATGTAACCCCATAACCAACAATAGTTCGTAGTGGAATATGTCCTGTGATGAATCAACAAGAATGAGTACGAAAACATGTTGGTCTAATGGATATTTAACTGACACTATGTAGGGATATTTGACGCGGATATTTGCTGCGATCTGACGGGAGACTCGGTAAATAGTCAATGAATAGTAAATTAAACATCAAATACATCAACAATACTTGGTGGCTCATCCCACTTACTAAGTATATCCCTCGTTCTAGGTGGGACAAGTCGGGTTAATCCACTTACAACTGGGGTTATGAACCACCAAGTAGTCAACACTACACCATATGTTTTTGGCCAGTGGAGGGGAGGAGCAGAGCAGGGTTTAAGCCATCAAACATGACAGTATGTCATGGGGATATGTGCTGGGAAAACAAAGCCTTTTGTGGGACACCGGGACACCAACAAGGTAGGTGCGTCTTAAAATGAGACATGCCCCCAGTTATGGTCACAAAAATAAGAGGAAAATAATAGGAAAATCATTATTATACATTGGGAACATTGCCAAGAGGGCTAGGGAATAAAAGACCGAGCCAAGTGTTGTTTGTCATAATTCTCAAACGCATGATTATTAACCCATTCATTTTGGGTAAACTATAACCACCTCACAAAAAGGTCACCAAAATGATCATTGATAGATATTGATAGGTATTGGTAAACCCGTTGCATGTTGATTTTTTGAATTTTGGAGAATCAGAATCAATATTTAGACGAATTCTTGGGGAGAACATTGACGTTTGATACTCCACTTTTAGAGATATACACATCTTCTGCAAAAGTCGAGTTGCTCCTGGCCCTCCTTCGGCATTGTCTGGTGGACGACGGGGGCCGCCATGGCAGATGCTATGGCCGTCGTGGCGCCGTGCTGCCAAGATGGTGCAACCATCAATAGTGAACTCCACTCATAGCTGGATTCCACAGATGATGATGACACATGGTCCGAAGAGAGCTTTGGAAGGAGCTTGTAACTATGGGGCATCTCAATACTTCCAGGCATTGCCACAGAAATTTACGATGATAGCTTTGTGCACTGCCAGCTGCCTCGGGATCCGAGTGAGCTGAATGTACCAAAGGTTGCAATGAGTTTCTAAATCTGGGAAAATCCAGCTACTTGACTGTATTGGTTTAATGATTTTCTTGTACTAAGTACGTCTTAGAAAATCATCATATCCAAGAAAGATGACGATCCCAATTGGAATGCAACCCACTGCACCAAGCTTGATTGGAAACTCTTCAGCGAGGCAAGGTGACCCCTTGATTTTTCGCACGGTGATCATATAAAAAACAATTTGGCAATGTTAAAATATGGTTGTTGGATGTTGTTTGTATTTAGATAATTGTCATTGTCGGGTCACATTATGATACTATTCAGTATTAGTAAGTGTTGAGGATTTGTTGCTTCATTCAGATGCTTGGAACAAATCATCACCAACAGTTGCCATGTGTGTTTACCAGGTATGTGTTTGTCTATTAAATGCGTCCAATCGTAGACATCCACCATTCTAACTAATCCGTTTGCTTATTCATTTGAAACTGCCTCAAGGTAAATCATAGCCACTTTTGCGCTGAACATATGTATTTTTCACAGTGGGACGCTGTGGAAGGAACAATTTTAGGGTGTTGTCTGCCTTTGTTGATTAAATTTCTATTTAGATGACTTTGTTTTCCTCCAAAATCCTCTAAAGAACTACAAGTGCTTCCCCCAAAACACCAAAACATACGGTGGATGGAAGAAATCCTGCACCAGTTGGTAGATGTGTTTTCCCATTTTAATATTTTAATCCCATTATTTACAGTGTTTCATTCATAGGTACCAAATAGTTCCCATTTGGTGCAGAGTTTCGGAACCATCAGGGCTTCGGCGCCGCCTTTCGGAACCTGCTAGCAGAGTTCAAGGTGCGGATTTGCGGATTCAAGTTGGCGGATCATCCATGTAATGGGATGTTGAATGGATTATATAATTATATATGGATTATATACATATATAGATTATATATATATATGTTATAATATAGATTATATTACAATATAGATTATATATTATGTACATGGATGTTTAATTATTAATTAGATATGGATTGTATGTGTATATATATATGTATATATATATATATATGACTATCCCAATTTCTTTAATTTACTGGGATATTATGATATATTGTAACTTCTGGATGTTTTTTTTCATTTAACCCAACTTAATTAACCCAAGTGCATGTTCCAAATTCAGGGCACATACATACAGTAGATGTTCCAAAATCACTGCAGTAAACCTGGCTGGTTTTGGCCGCCTCTTTTGTGACCCTGCTTGAAACCTTATGTCCACATTATGTGACTCCAACCCGCATCCATGGGGAGATTTCAACTTGGGCCAGGAGACCATGCAATCAAGCATCTCCTTCACGCTTCAGCAAGAGGCACGACTTGCTGTGTCTTGGGGTCATCGGATCGCTTGATTTGTTTGATGCGTTGAATGTGAGTTGGTACCAAATGGCTCCCATAGAAATGGTAAAACTTATGAGTAAACCTATACCAAAAGAGAGTGGTAAGAATAATCGAGAATGAGTTGGTCAAGAGTCAAAATACCCGCAAAAACCTTGTCCGATGGCGGCCACAGGCTGGCACCTACCTTAGTTACGAGGCCCTCGTGGGTTTGGTGGGTCAAACAGCTGTTGAGCATTGCTACCTTGATGGTTGATGATGAATCATTATGTATAACCACACAGAATGGGGATATAGTTGATATATAAACAAACGATGGTTGGTTGATGATAAGAGAGGGGCCATGAACTGTAAACCTACCCTTTCTATCTTGGCGATTGAGGTGGTTCATGATATGGACCTCCCTGTCAACCAACAGAGGGTTTTGAACACTGATCAATTCTCTAAACCCTACCGTCTGGTAAACAAACATAGCTATTGAAAATGACCATTTATAGTGGATTTTCCCATTAAAAAATGTGATTTTCCTTAGTTATGTTAGTTTACCAGAGGGTAAAGGTTTGGTTCCATGTCTTTTTTTTGGGTACTTTGAGGTACCCGATCGTCAAACCACCCCCTTGTTCATGTTGGCATGATCATGTCTGCTTTCCATCGTCTGAAATCAGCGCTTGCAAGACCGTTTGGCTTCAGCGAGCATCAGTGCAGGCTGTGTGCTGAGTTCTGGCGGTCAGTGGACGCCTTAGAAGTGGATCCGCCTTGTTCGGACGTGGCTGCCGTGGACACTGAACATGGGATTGCGCGATTGCGTCTTGTTTTCCATCGTGACATCATGGGATATGATGGTTTGGTGCTGGTGTCTTCAGATGAAGAGCTGCCTGTTGAAGAAATTGCAGTGGCGTCGGACGAAGACATGCCAGTTGCCACGGATGCCTCTTCGTCTATTCGCCGTTGGGCTTCTGGTGTTCTTCGGCCTGTGGCAGGCGTCGAAGTGGACATGCCGTTACCACAAGATGTTGACGATAAATTCGTGGCCGCAGGCACAGTGCTCAGATGGAAGCTCGAACAAGATGATTGAGAAAGTAAGTGTCTTCGTTGCTGCTTCGTTTATAGGGTGATTCAAAGGAACTCTATTGGGAAGTTTGATTCCAAAGAAAAAAATCAATAAAAAAATCCAAGATTGTATGTTTCGAGAAAGACATTTCGTATGGGAAAACACAGTGTTTTCATGCATGGATCATGATTCGCGGGGGTGAATTGCAATCGCGCGCCTACTTTGACTCCTCTGCAGGACTCGCTATTTATGGCAATTGCAGGTCCAGTCGTTTCAAAGAGAATCTGAGTACCTTCTGGTTATTTTAACCGTTTGCAATGAAAAATCACATTTTTTGATGGGTAAATCGTTGTACATATTGTGATCTATTTTCAGCTATACTGTTAAATGACCAAAGGCTAAGACTGATGGTGTTCTTGGATGGTTCTTCCCTGGTTAGATCGCCAACATTATTTGATTTTCCCCAGATTACTGGGGGTCCCTAAGCAGATTGACATTGAGATCCCGTATAATTTTTGGTTCTATGCCGGGGCAGCTGCAGGCTGCTTATTGAATAATGCTGGTGGTTTTCCTGGCTATATCATTGGGTAGAACTGCTTGTTTTTTGATGAAATATGTGTGTCTGCGGCTTCTAGTTCCATGTCGATGGTCAGTATCCTACTTGCGTTGCTTACCTCCCCAGTGTTACAAGTCACACCCGTATTTATCGACTGAACCACGAAAGGTTGCCGAGGTTTTTGAATTCCATATACTTCAATACCCACGCACTCAGATACGCATATTCACATGATTTTACATGTATTTACATATAGTACATGTGTCTTACATATAGTTCATTCATGATTATATATATATATATGTATTCAAATAGTTTACGAATATAGACTGTACAATTCGCTGCATTTACACACAATGTTACACAATGTTTCATATGTGTACATGTCCAACACCTTATGTCCCACCAAGACCTCAGAAATCGTGGTATCCAAATTCCGCAGTGTCCGCCATGTCTTTGCGGTTTGCGTGAGGCATTGAGTGAGTTCCGCAGCGCTGTAATCTTCGCGCAGGTGTCAAATGGCCAGTTGGAGGTTTTTTTTTCAACAACTGTTCAGGGACCAATTGGGCGTGCCCGGAAATAGAATAGTTTATACATCAAAAATTGCAATTTTGTATAATTTGGTTATTTTTTAGTGGGGAAACAACCTTTTAAATTTTAAATGGAGGTTCCCAAAGTCATGGGGGGTATCCCAAAATCAAACAAATCATGGATGACCATGATTTAGTATCGAAACAACCATGGTGACTTGAGATACTTGAGGATGCCCCATTTGGAAAAAACCTCCTGGGTATGAATCAAACATCACACATGATCACGCAGATATCATTGATAGATGATCGTACTTATCTACTGCAGGTGGTCATGCTACTTGGTTTATCAGCAACAAAATGTGATACATTCTGGGAAAACAAACATTGAAATGCTGGAATCATGTAAGTTTCTGGGTATGATATCCCTGGGTCGCTGGGGTTTAGAGATGTTTGATGTTGAAGCCTACTTCTCGTTACTCGGAATGCTGATGAACATGATTGAAACTCCCTCGAGGTCACCAGAAAATGAGATGCTTCAGATTTACCATCAGCGGAGGTAGTTCTTATATGTTATAACTTGATTAATGAAGAAACTCAGCATAATTTGAGTTTATAATAGTTTATAAATTGAGGCATCTTTCTAAAAATAAACTGAAACACCGTTCTGGGCCTAAAAAGGGGCTGAGGTGAACAGGTGGCCCACTTGGCTTTGTGTTTCAAAGCAAGACAGGCGCTCCTTCAGCTGCACGAGTGCCTTAACCTGTACCAGATCCCCCGTGGCAGGACCCACCTTGCAACCTTGCAATGAGGAGGCGCTCCAGCCTTCGGATCCGAAGGATTTTCCTCCGGCCTGGCTGCTCCGCGGCGATCAGCGCCAGACACCGAGGCCAACTGGCACCCTGGGCCCGCGTGCGTTGCGAGAGCTGTTTCGAGGGGGCAGCCCTAGCGGCTCCAGACCCCATTTTTTCGACAACGTTTTTTTTGAAATTGCGCATCAAGCGTTTGTCTCTTTGGATTGATTTCACAGGACAACCCCCTTCCTATTTGGGTGTGTCTAAAAATGAGCTATACCCCAGCCTTACCATGAACTTGAAATAATGACGCTAACTACATGATAACCATCAAACGTGGAGTACGTTCCGGTAGTTATATAACCATGGTTTGCTTGACAATCCACCATCGATAGATGTTTTCCCCAGCTCAAATCCGCCATTTAGTTCCGGGATTTCGATCCAGCCTTTGACTACCAATTCGTTAATGAATGTTAAGCATACATCTCATGATCTTCCTATATTTCTCCATGAATTTCTCTATGTTTTCATTAAACCACCATTTGAATCCATTTGAGATAGGACCTGGGGCTGCACAAGTTCACGGAGCACTATGTCGGATGACCCAGGGGCGACTGTAATCTGAGCTTGATTTTCTACTGAGCTACACAAGTACGTAGTATGTATTAATTGGTGGAATATTTGATCAATCTGATCTGTTCTTGTTCTAATCTTAGTGGACTGTGTTTGAGATTCAGCACTGACCCAGATACCAATGGCTCGTTCGACGAATCAGCAAGGAAACATCATTCGGATAAACATTGGAGCGCCAAAGATTGAGGGCAGAGTGACAACGGATTTTGAATCCCTTTCCACAAAAACACCTCTTTAAAACATATTTGATCCAGTCATTTTGGAGTACATGCGGGAAGAATCTTGCGGTCTTGATGACACGTTTAACTTTAAACCGCCCACTTTTATGACTTAAATCCCCCACTTTGTTGGAAAATCTCAGGATTTTCCCGGTTGATGGTTTCATTGGATCGATTAAATTCGCAAAAAAACACACTGATTTGGTGCCTTGAAAAAAGAGAGGTGGGTCTCTTTTTGAATGCTTATGCCATTTGGTGAGAGATGTATACCCGATATACATATCATACATATCATATATATACATACATATAATTATATATATATGGGTAAACTGTAACCACCTCACTGTTCTCCCTCACTGCAATGATGTTTGGGATTCCAGGAATCATCCCCAGTGGTGGCCGCAAGTTTCAGGTGAGTGAACTATTCATCCAAAATTAACGGATGATGAGCAAAGTGGATTATGGTAGGTGGTTTGGAACAGTTTTGATGAATTTCCATATATTGGGAATGTCATAATCCCAACTGACTTTCATATTTTTCAGAGGGGTAGGTATACCACATGAAACCACCAACCAGATGGCCAGCTGGCTTATCTGGTTATGGCCCACTGGGATGCGGCTCGAAACCAAGGCGATGGGCATGCCCATTTGGGTGCCTTGCAGAGAAATGGCTTACAGGCAAGGCTAGACCGCTATACACTATACCTGAGTCGCCAGGTGAAACCATGTGGATCCACTGGAATAAGGATTGGTAGCTGGTAGGGGGTAACTATTCTAAGATAGCCGAAGTTTTCAGGCTAGTGACATGTTATAATTTGCTCAGATCATCTCTGCCTACTACTCCCAACTGCCCAAGTCGTGGCGAAATCCCAAAAATCTTGAAATTAGCTAGGGGGAAGGCTTTTGTGGAAGTCGTGGCGATGCGGTGTTTAGCTTGTGTTTAGGGTAGGTTGCTGTCTTACTATCTCATGTAGACCTAAAGTGGCGAAGCGGCGTTTAGGTTGTGTTTGGGGTAGGGCGTTGTTTTACTATTAGCATAGTGCTTTAATCTTGCTAGTTGCGTTCTCATTGTGTTTGGGATGGTTGCTGTTGGGTTCTGCAGCTACTGGCGTCTTGCTGTTGCTGCGGCTGCTGGTTCGACGGCTGCTGCTGTTGCTGTTTCCGGGTACTTCTACACAACGCTGGGATTATCATCTCTACACTGCCATGGCGGTGTGCTGGGATTCTGAAAATTGTCATTGTTTCGCTACCAGTGATCCAAGGAAGGGCAGGTTTGCGGCTTGCGGGCCAAAGTCCATGTGTGTAGATGCGGGGCTTTTTCCGTACCTCGTTTTGACCTCGTTTTGGACCTCGTTTTTTTCCTTTATCAGAACCCATCCTGCAGTATACAAACTAGGAAAAGGGCCTGCTTCGCGTTTTTGTTTGTGGGCGTCAGCAGTGCCCACGAAAAAAGGCCCGTTGGAAACCGGCGTTCCGATGGGATTCGATCAAAAACGAATAGAACATAATAGAACCATGATAGTTTGGTCAAGGCTTGTTAAAGCTAGCGTTTCCAATGGGGAAAGGGGTTTTGCAAGGTCTGTGCCGGGACAGGGGTCGTGGCGAGCGTTTTGATTGGGAATAGCTGTCAAACGCAAACATTGCAAGGACTTGGGCGTATGGGTGTATTTATAGAAACCATTCCAGCGATTGAAATTCTTTGGGGTGAATAGGCAATGTGTACTATCTTATGAACCATTCAATGTTTGGGGTCGCTAGTTTCGAGATATGTTGAGGCATACCTATAGTAAAGAATTGTGTCACTTGACAGTTGACGTTCCTTCCATTGATCCACTTGAGTGGCACAACTCAACAGCCTCCGATCCTAGTGGCAGGCAGGCAGGATTGCCATACAGATTCCACGTTGTGCACCACAGATAGGTTTAGTTCTTTCCAAAAAAGGCATCAATTTCACCAAGGTCCGATGTCCTTGATATACCTACAAAAGTCTTCAACCATGTGTAATCACCACTGCCCACCGGAACCCACTGTGGAGGCTTCAAATGCTGGTGCCCTGGGGCATGGTGTCCTACTCCGGGAGCTGGCAGCATGCAGGTCTCTCGGAAGACGTGGGGTGATTTGATGGTGATGGGGATGTCATGGTTTAATATGTTTATACCAAGTTGGTTCAGTGGTGTTTCTTGGTTTATAACCCCCTCTAAGTACATATAATCATATATATATATATATATATTTAGTGTGTGTATATATTATATCTTATATATCTATATAGATATATCTAATAATATATATATATATATAAATTATATATATATTATATATTATATACAATATATAATATATAATATAGAATATTTAATATGTACAGCACCCGACAGAATTATGGAAAAAACACGTTTCAATTTACAGTCGCCGCCTGTCTATGATAGAAAAGTTACGAACCTTTTTTTTTCCATAATTAGTGTTTCCATAATTATGTTTTTCCATAATTTTGTCGGTGACTGTATGTCCATCGATTCGCGGTTTGAATGCATTTTAAGGGGGAATATTGAATTATAGAAAATATGTGTCTAAAGATCTGGTATATGCCCCTAAGTCTTCCATTGATATACATAATATCATGTGATGTTCGCAATTTGAATGCATTTTAAGGGGGAATATTGAATTATAGAAAATATGTGTCTAAAGATCTGGTATATGCCCCTAAAGCCTGCCATTGATATACATAACAACTGCGCCACCAAAACTCATTGTTGTACGTACATACATATGCGGGATGTTTCCTTTTGCCAAGCCACCAATTGGGTTGATACTACATACTTGCATTTGCATACATATTTCCATAACCCAAAAAAAACCGGGTTTGAATTGTGGATCCATGACATGTCCAACAGGTGGAGCCCCAAACATTAATTATTGAAAACATAATTATGGAAAAACCGGTCAATCTGCCCTAGCCCCCTGATTTCACAGGAAAAATCAATTATGGAAATAATGGCCACCTCCAAGAATTATGGAAAAAAAAGGTTCGGATCACTTCCGGGATATTTTGAACCCTTATGGGGAAAATCCAATTATGGAAAAATCGGACGCAGGCGCCGCCTGTCTAAGTTGAACGTTTTTTTTTCCATAATTCTGTCGGTTACCATAATATATAATATATAATTTATAATATTTAATATTTAAATTGTAATATATAATATATAATATTTAATATTTAATATTCAATATATTATATATAATATATCAAATATAATATAAAATATATAATATATATATATATATATTATGTAATATGTAATATACAGTATATTATATATAATATATTTTTTTATTTTATATCATATTATATATATATATATTATTTGATATATATTATATATATTCTTATGGTATGTATATATATATACACATGGTGTATATATTGTGTATATATATATATACATCTCCCCGACTCCCCGCCATAAATAAACAATAATTAACGTACTCATGTATACCAACGTTTGCTGATCTGGGGCACCACCTCACCAGGAGATTTTGCTGCTGAGCGATCAGGACTCAGCCAACCAAAATGATGAACTTGTAGGGTTTTCATCAAATTTGTTTATAATTTATACGGATTTGTCAGGTATAATTTATGGTAAGCTACCTGATAGTTGATGAAAAATCAAGTCAGACGGCAATATTTTTCCGCGCATGTTGAGCCAAGGCTTTGGTCAGTGGAGGTACAATTGGGTTTCTTCGGGCCTAGGGACAGTGTGTTTTTTCCCCTGCTTCTATGGAAATCAAAACCACATGTTTCCCCAAATCGATGCTGGATTTTGTTCCTGCTTCACGAACCAACAGTCGTTGGCAGTAAGGCCCGAGCAAAGATCAGGACTGTGAGGGGAAAGGATGGAAGTGGCTTACCAGGTTCCTCAACAGTGGCAATGGATTCCCATAAAAAAATGGAGGTTTTCCATGGTTTTTAATCGTCGATCAATGGGGAAATGTCCATTGCCACGCCACGTTGACCAAGTTGACCATCCAGGGCCGACTTCCTTTCAGGATCATCCCCAGTAACTGGCACCATGAATGGAACAGTTGCTACTACTGTGGGAAGACCCCTTCACGACTGCGTGATTCATGATATTTAGTTATGTGAAATCTGATGCAGGGGGGGCTTGAGACCGGCTCAAAGACAAACTGGCGGACTTGAGGCCACAAAATCTACAGTGGTCTATAGTGATCTATGGTGTTTCATGATCATCTTGCACTTAAACTAATTTAAAGTGCCATTTTGAAATATGCCGGACACGTCAATATTTTTTCCCAACACATGAACCAACTCAAGATCACTCGGCCTCAACACTGATCGCCCCCCCAGACATCCACCATGAGTCTATCGCCATATCGGTAGTAACGTCACAGATTGGCAGATATGCAGTTCTACATAAAGTGGCCCCATCACCCATCTAAGATGTATTTTTTATCCCCAATATATAGTATATAGATGTATATAGTAATATATATATATATTATACCATACCCAAACCCTAGTCTACTTCTCGTCGTGCTCAAAAAAGACCTGATAGGAAGATCCCAACTGGTGGGGACAAGCTCCCAGGCGCGCAGTTTTGGGATGTCTCGGCCATAGTTTCTTAGAGAATATGACTGGTTGGTGGTTTGGAACCATGGAATTTTATGACTTTCCAGAAACAGTTGGGAACAACAATTAATCCCATTTGACGAACTCATATTTTTCAGAGGGGTAGGTCAACCACCAACCAGAATATGACTGGTGTATGATGTAAGGGAGCTTAGCCGCTTCGCCGTACCTTGTCAAGAAGTTTTGGGATCCAAAAGGTGACATATATTTCCTGGGTAAGAACTAGTAAGAACCCACAGTTTTTGCCAGGTGCAGTTTCACTTAAATAATTACCCTGTGGTAAATTAACATAGACCCTGAAAACACCCATTGTTTACCAATTTTTAGTGGAAACTATAAACTAGTCTTTCAACCCCTGTTTGCCAGGGTCTATGTTAATTTACTGGAGGGTAATCCATTCAATGTCTGAACGATCGTTTGAACGGATGCTTTTGGAGGATTCAAAGGAGAGTTAGTGCCAGACATGATGTGATGTGATGTGCTTCACGGGTGGACACATCGCCGGCATCATTGGAAACAATCTGTTCAACACATGGCAGTTTCAACATGGGTTGGTTTGAACATTTAGGATTCAACAAACCTCATTCCGAAGGGATGATCATGAATTCGTAAATTTGCCGAAGATGGGGAGCATGGCCCCATCTTCAGAGGCATCGATATCGCTATTTGGTTTGATTTCAATGAAAAATCCCAGTGGTCTTTTCTTGGCAAAGGATCCCAAACGATGATCCAAGAGGTTAAAGGCAACACTGTTTGAATGGATCGATTCCACCAGGATCTGCTGCCCCACACAAAGCCGATCTGCCATGGTAAAAAAGAATAAAAAAAATGGTTTGTCTAGCCATATTGGATCATACTATAGTCTTCGGTCATCAATCCATTCATGAGACTTTTACATATGGAGGTTTCCTGAAATGGGGGTACCTCAAAATCATCCATGTTAATAGTATTTTCGATTATAAACCATCCATTTTCGGGGTACCTCAGTTTAGGAAACCCTTACCCTCTGGTAAACGTTTACATAACTAAGGAAAATCATGTTTTTTAAAGGGTAAATCAGTAAATCCACTATTTCTATGGCCATGTTCAATAGCTTTTTGTAAGTTTACCAGGCCGGGTAGAGGTTCGTTAGGAAATCATCGTGAGCAGTCCACCTTGGCGACCCCCGTTCCGCCGTTCCGCAGTGAAGTGGGCGATGACACCGAGCCTCCAGAACTGGCCTTTCGTCCCTTCTTCCATGCTCAGTGCCTCGGTTTTATAACGGCCTGGCGAAGCCACGTGGAAAAAACGGAAACGGCGATTTAAGCATGAACCATGAAGGTTGGTGAAAGATATACCCTCTGGTAAACTAACATAGCTATGGAAAATCACCATTTTTAATGGGAAAACACTATAAATGGTCATTTTCAATAGCTATGTTAAATTACCAGAGGGTGTAGGGATTTAGAATGATCTAAAACACATTCAACAAGGAAACATTGGTAAAATATTGTGATAGAATGGGATATAATTACATGGATATAGGTTCAGATTTATAATGTGTCTTGTGGGTACAGCGGAACCGTTAGATAAGAACCGATTAAGAATTTTCCAGCCTACCCTGGGGTTCTTAAGTGCTATAGGTAAAAGAACAATGGGAATTATGAACGAGGGCGCCCTCAAGTTCTTAAGAGGTTGGCTCTGAAGGGGTTCATATGGTGAGGGTTTGCAAATTCTTAGTAATTTCTTAAAGTAGCATTCGGTATAAATAGCACCTCCAGCCTTTCAAGCAGCAAAGACGCGAAGAAGAGGAGAAAGGAGAAGAAGAAGGCAGGGAGGGTTTGGCCTGCCGTGGTATTAGTTTGTTTGAAGGGCTTTGCGGGCGCCACCAAGCACATAGGTTTGGAAAAAACTTTTTTGGGCCCCAAAAGTTTATTTTTCCACATAATTCAATAGGCATTCCTCCAACCAGGTTAAAAAACAAAAACACTATATATCTTCCCGTCTTGATTTGAGCAGCGCCCCGGCCAGGTGGAAGAGAAGCTCCAGAACCAGAAGCACCGGCAGAATATACTTTTTTTTGCTGTATATTATAACAATAATTAATGTTTGATATCCCGTTAAAGGGGAATAAGAACCAGTGGCTGGAATCCAGGGTACCCTGGGGTTCTTATTTCAATTAGCAGAAAGGGTTGAATCCAGCAATCCAGCCCCTGAAGTTCTTATTGGCAACGGGATGTCCCCGAACTAAATGGAATCTATACTCAGCATGACTCAGCAAGCCATGTTTGATTACAGGAGGGTAACCAAGAATATGCCGGGTATAACCAATTCTGCCAACATGGCAGTAGGACATAGTAGGACAGCATTGGTTGCCGGAAGGGGGGGGCCCTCTATGTGAACAACTATCATAAATCAACTCTAAATGCCAATTGTCCGCCTCCCCTACTTATTATATAGTTGGTTTATCATCCTCTCTAGTTCGAGATATGCCCTACAGTATAAACTCTAGTTATTCTAGTTATTTACACCAACGTTAGCTATCGTATTGGGTTCCCCACTGGCTGTAGATTTGAGGCTCGGATTTAGCGCCGCAGCCCAGGAGCTTTCCCTATCCTTTGGCAGAGGCCGCCTATTGGTACGAGTACGGCGAGTTCGTGCCCCTCGGTTGCCTCGTATCTCCTGGGCAAAGAGGGTGATCTAAATCGATGGGGACGGCAAAACATGGGGAGGACTCCACGGATTTCACCAACAAAGGGGATTTATAGTTGATTTATGTCTGCTAAGTTGGTTGATAGGTTTATTATATAAGTATTGCCTTTATGGGATATATATATACATATATACAGTTGTTTTAAGGTACCACCCTTTGCCGATCTTGTTTTGGTCAGGTTGCAAACCTCCAGGATCACTGGGATGAAGTCTTACCAAGTGCTCATGATGCCAAAAAGAATTTGTGAGAAGCTCACCATGGTAGTTTATTGAGTCTGGTTTGTGGTTTTGGAACGTGAATTTTATTTTTTCCATATATTGGGAATGTCATCATCCCAACTGACTCATATTTTTCAGAGGGGTAGGTATACCACCAACCAGAAAAAAAGGTGTGTTGATGTTCTCGCAGAACTCACTTGCCGGCCTGGTTATTGGAGTCATGAGTCACCAACTGAGCGTTGGTTGTGTAGGAAAATTATATATAGTTAAAATCCCGGAAATATCTGGTTTTGTAGTTAATTCATGTTAATTCCCAAAATTGTTAGCTGGCTAGTTCCAAAGTTCAAATCCAGCAACTATTTTCAGACAAAGCCAGATAATTTCATATAATTTCTCAATGAGACATCCTCATTTTGGGATTAAGACGCCCATATGTTTGATGGGTAAAGATCCATTAAAAAGTATCGATCAATATCATCTTGGTGAGATCTCCCCTGGCTAGAATCAGTCATGATCCCCGTATTTTTTCCTGTTACGTCCCCGCTGAAGCCCGGGCGAATAATCATGGTTAGACCCCCATTGATCAACAGGGATTTGCTCCCTGGAGAATCCCACGAATCGTTGGGATGAGTTCACCCTACATATGGTATGACCCACTTGAGGGACTGGCCAGGGTATCACCTGGAGTACCTTGGTACTTCACCCATGGAGGTTAAGAAGTGAACTAGTCACGAAGATTTACTAAGTACCTACTTCTCAACCTAGTAACCCTTCAAATTAGTAGGTATACCTGGTGTTAAGGGACGTCCTAAGCGTCCTAACCCACCATTTCAACGATGGCCAGGTCTTACCCCGGAGTGCAGGAGTTCGCGTCCGTTCCGCAGCTCTTAGAGACGTTGCAAAGTGCAGATCTCTGGCAGATCTCCTCAGTGATGAGGTGAGACCGGGTGGAGTTGGGGGGATACTCCCACACATGGCCCGTTGTTTCAAGGGAAAATGATGATTACTAATATGTTTTAAGGTGTTTTTGGTTGGCACTTTTACCCTGAGCACTTGTTGAACACTTTTTTGTTGACACTTTTGTTGTAACTTTTGTTTTGACACGTGTTTGACACTTCTGTTTTGACACTTGTGTGGGTTCTTTTTTTGTTTGGCAAGTTTTGTTTGGCAGTTTTTTTGAACAACCCGTGGATTCGGTAGTACCCCATTCTCAGACAAACCAAATCTAACGTTGCTGGTTCACCCAATCCAATTCGAGTAGTTAAAAAATGTCTAACCAGAAAACGTAAAGACTTTATGGGATATCAATAAGAATTCAAGGGGATTGTTCTTGTAATAATTAACAATATGATGATGTGATATATGGATTTGACCCAGAATGGAACTACACCCCAAAATGTTGTTTTTTTGCAAACATGTTTCTTCCATGTTCAATTTGGTAAAAGGGTGGGTTCTGCGTCAAAAATGTTCCTAGAACACTTGGGGTTGAGGGTCTTAGGATATGTGAAAAAATCATCAATTTTAGAAAATGTTGGTGTGCTTTGAGGTTGACATGGAAGATCAGGAATTTCAAATGCCCAATATAACATGAAACGTAAAAGTGGTTCGTGTTAAAGCGTGCGCGCTTGGAAAGTGAGGAAAACACACGTTTTTGAAAAAAAAACGATGAATTGCTAGCATGGACCTTTGAGATAGGGGGCTGTTATATTGCCGCAGGTTACTGTAAAACATGTTGAATCGGTGTAGACCAAATGCATCATATTCTGTACAGAATCTAAAGTTTTGACAGGACCTTCCAAGCTTCCACTGCAAACGTGGGATTGTTTTGTTTCTGTCTACAGCTTTGCGCTATCCAGGCCTTCTGGACACCAAACACATTGCCGAAAACAATCGGTGGCCTCGCTTCAGAAAACTTGAATTCTGAAACAGCAAAGATAATTTTTCTGTGAATGCTGAGTGATTTCCTCATCTTTTTCGAACGTATAGAATTAATCCAAACTTGGGACACCAAGTCACTCCCTTCCAGGCAGTTTCGCGCCTGGCTGTGGCACAACACCCGCGACGTCTATGCAGCGGTGCGCATTGCGATTTGCAGTTTGGTGCTGGCTAGCTCCGAAGTTGCTAAGGAAAAGTTGCTAAGTTATAACGGTACTAAGTATACTAAGTTCGAAGTTCTAATCCTAATTTACTGAGAATAAATCAAGTTACTAAGCACAACTCCTAGCTTCCAGAATCATCCAAGTCATTTTGGTGCCAGGTAATATCAGCCATCTTTCCGAGAGTCTTGTCAACTTCCTCCAGCTAAACCCTACAAGATAGTGCCCCAGTTCGTTAGCTAAATTGGTTTATGATGTTTATGACTCCAACAGCTAGGGTTCATAAAAGCATAGTTAATTGCGGGTCATTATCACTAGGGGGTGGGGGCACCTTGTATGTTTTTTTTGTTGAAGGGAGTTGATGAGCCATGCCAAGATCAAATATGGGAGTAGAACCCACTTGGATGTGCATCATCCAGGCATTGTAATGGGGTTTATAACCCACCAATCCACAAACAACCCATACATAACCCATAAATAACCCACTATTCAAACTAGACATAGTCTATATTTCATGTCTATATACAGTATATGTCTCAAAAAAAAGGGATATTTCACGTGCTTCTGACCTGTGACCCAAAAAAACGATCCCCCCGGTCCAGAGCCAGGCGGCGAGTGAGCTGGCCGGCGTTGCAGCGCAGTGAGAAAGTTCGTTGTTTTTTTGCGATCGATGATGGCTGGGAACGTCCTGGCAGGTTGTTGACACCCTGGGAAGCGGAGTTATTGATGTTGGCAAATTTATGCAAATTTAATCCCTATGGATCCAAACACTGTCTAAGAAGGTACTTAACCCTCCAAATCATACCCCAGTCCCATTTCCTAAGAAGATACGACTGGATCCATAGGGAATGATGATTAATGGATTTAATGGTTAATTATATACAGTACTTCATGAATATGTATAATATGTATGGTAATCATTATAGAATCCACATAAATAATCTGTATAATAATCCACTTATTGTTATTATTATTATTATTATTTTTATTTTTAACTTCATGAATATGTATAATATGTCAGTAGTTTAAATGTGGGATTTCCAGATTTAATCTTATAGATCTTGTCGACATAAAAAAAGGTTGCTGGCTAGATATTTCTGTAACGTGTTACTCGGTCATGAAGCACCGTGTCAATCTTATATCTGCAAAGAACATTGGAAAACGATCAACTATGTTCAACACAAATTGATTATCATCCTCACCATATCTATTCTGGGCACCGTCATTTACAGGCAGTCTTTTGTCAAAATAGAACGTGCTCAAGCCCTTGATGGAACACGGACCACCCTTGGAAGTTTGCTGGGAAAGAACATTGGAAACATATGAATCATCTATTTCTGCTTTATTTGCATATCCAGTTGTTGTGTAAGAAAATGATTCAGATAGCCACGATAGCCACAATTTCAAGCCCACCGTTTGGTGCGAACCCAGCCTGCGCTGGCCATTGCTCACAGCCGGCCGAATTTAAAGTCACAAGTCACAAGTGAAACTCAGAGTGTTCCTCAAGCCAGAAGATATCACAAGATCATCCCTCGAAACCAGAACACATCCCACATCAGCTTCGCAATGCTTCGCATCTCCCAATTTCATCACATCAACTTCCAGTTGTCGCCATGTCCGCCATGTTGTTCGTCCTCCCCTCCCAGGCCCAGGTCCAGTCCTCCCTGGCCTCCCCGACCTACCGGCCCGGGGCTTCCGCCAGCAGCGGCCACGGCGCCCGGCGGGGGGCAGACCTGGCGGGTTCCACAGTGGTCACGGCGCTGGTCACTGCGCGGTGCCGCCGAAGGTGTGGTGCCAGGGCGGCTGTGAAGGAGCTGCCGCTGCCACCGGGGAAACTGGGAAATGCCATGATGGATTTGCTGAAGTTTCTTGGAAAAAACCTGAAAAAAACAGGGATGAGGTGGGTCGATTAGTGGCGGTTCGCTACGCCGGTTTCCATGTTTGATCATGTTTGTATGTTTATATGTGTGTTGCATATTGGCAGATGCACATCGCTTTCATGCTTCGTGTAGGATTTATTCCCCTTTGAGATCCTTTGAGATATGGTGAGGGGGGAACTGAACCATGATGAAGGTTCCAGACATGGCTGAGGTATATCAAGGATCCAGACGAGTACATTGCAGAGCAAGTGAGGCGTTCTGTGTTGGCCGTGACGGGAAAGATGGCCACAAATGATGACCAATCCAGACCACCTAAAGCCTAGTGTACCCCCATGTCCACGTGTACACCCTCTAAAACCACCATGCAGCTTTCAACAATGTGGCCCCTAGAAGACAATTTTCCTATTGACTACAGCATCTGCAGATACTGCTATCTGCAGCATTTCATGCATTTTCCCAGTGCTGTGTTTTTCATCCATGGTGTGCAACAAATTGCGCAACAGCAAAACCAAGAAAATCATCGAAAATCCCATAAAATCCGATCAAAAATTCCCATGCGTTTACCATGTCAACGCTTTCACACGTCGGATGTTCCACCCTGCCCTCCAGGCTTCACGGGCCCATTTTTCAGACCAACTACTTCGGGAGGAAGACGGTGATCGTCGGTGGCGACGCTTGGAGGATGGGAAAGGCTGGGGATTCCGCTGGAAAGGCAGGGTTTTCATGGGATTTTCTCATCTACAGAATCAGATGGTGGATTTTACATATAGATATGTGAGTTGTGTGCAGACCCATAAGGTGATAGAATGTCAGATAGAATGTCAGATAGAGCGCCAATTAGAATTTCAGAATATCTGCCAAATATCATGCAAGATAGAATTTCAGAATATCTGCCAATTACAATGCCAGACAGAATGTCAGATTGCCAGAATTCATGTCAGATCTCAGAGGGTGGGGCTCAGTCGAAGAAAGCAATCGATGGGTTTGTTGCCACACTTCCTTTTAAAATTGACATCTTGGTCAGGATCAAACCATGAAGTTATATGCTTCTCGTATATTACATGTACAATGTGAGCCCCCCCCCCGTTGTGATGTTTGTAGTTCAATCCCCCACAATCCCTGCCCCCAAATTCTGAATAAATTGAGCTGTCTAAGGGGCCTAAAACCGTGTACACCGCATGGCCCGGTGACTTCACGGTATGGCGTCCTTAGGACCTGGTGGAAGATTTCATCAAAGCTGAGAAGGAGATCACGAAATCCGTTTCTGGGCGGAAAGATTTGGATAGCGCTGAGAGATGAGATGGGGTGGTTAAACATGCTTTCCAAAGCAAACACATTATATTTCTGCAGGAAAAACAACTTTTCATGAGAAGTGCAAGTTGGTACCTCAAGTCCTGAAATACATGTAGCTATTGTGATCAACACAAGTAGATTACCTGTTGGGTTTTGGTGGTTTGAGTACAGTTCAATGGGAAATTATGAACATCAACCCCTGGGATTGCCGGAATGGAACCACCTTTTGGGCGTCAGGCTGTTTCACCAGCAGTGTCCGAAAAAACAAAAACATGGGAACCCCAAAAGAAAAATCTTCCGAGATGATGCAGAAATCAATTGTGTGTATCATGGAGTTGCATAGGATTTGGCGTTTATCTTGGAGTATTGTTTTTTGAGCAACACTGGAATCCTGATAATCCTTGAAACACGCCTTGCATTTGATTGTAGTGACCATTTCAAATCTCATGAAGATCAGCTGGGAAACATGAGATTCCGTTGCAAACCAAAGTGAGCAACTAGTATCAACTGCGTCAAATGTATCCCCCGAACATGGTGCGGTTTCAGTTTCATACCATAGAAACGACCTCCGGATGTTGAGCACCCATTGTGTGGTCCCGTGACATCCCAAAAAACCTAGCACTGATTGACCTGGGTTTATACAAACTTCCACAACCAACCCGTTGGTTTTGGGGGCAAAGGATGTTTTCTCTTAGGTCGGTCGACTCCTTGTCCTTGTTCGCCCAAGGATGGAAGAATTTTCAGGAATACGGGGGAATGTGATACAACGAAAGCCATGAATCGCACCTATGTTTACCATATTTAGGGGGTTCATGAATGTATCAACAAATTGTATTTGTCTACAAGTGCTGAAAAACCATAATAGATACATAAGAATGTCATGGTCATGGACCCTGGCTATTTGCAATGCTGGATTCACAATACTAAGCTGTCCCCAATTCTCAGCCATCTGGGGTGCGGCAGCTTCATCTTCCGTTTTTTTGTGCGTGTGTGTAAACCAACTGGTCAAGGATAGGTTAGCGATGTTTTTTTCCCATTTCGATGTGACAGGTGTCCCGTTGATATCCCCTTTTGTGTTGCGCATAAGCACAGCTATGAAAATACTATATAACATTCTATTTTGACCAAAATTAGAATTGGAATATGTTCTCTTGGTGGTGGGTGCCTGAATTGATAGAAATTAAAGATTTGCATCCCAGGTTTGGTATTTCACATGGACATACATGGACCAAGTTATGGTGTTTTCTGTTTTCTAAGATGTTTACAACGTCTCAGTTGCCTAGACATCGACACGAGACTCACACTGGTGAGGCATTGCCAGACACGTTTTCACAGCTGCACACTGAGTATGGCACTATGAATCAGGCGGCAGCTTCGGCTCCCAACAAAAGCAGGGGAATCAGATTTGTTGACCAACGGAAACTGTTATTTTGGGGTGGTGTCTACTTGATTCTAAGACACAGCCAGATACTCCCCGGCAAAATATGGGATAGTGAGGCTGGATCATTCAAGCAGTTTCGTTTCCAAAAGCCCCCGAGCCGTACAAAATTCGGCCAAGTTGAGAGAACCTAAAGAGATGCACAGGATTTTCTGGTTCCATGGCTGTGGGTGGTGGATATCTCCATTGTGATAGCTTGAACCTCATTAAATCACCATTAAATCACCATTTACATCCATTTACCCAGACGTAGGCTATGTATAAATTCTCACCGCGGTAAGACCTGTGGCTTGTTGCGGGCATCCTGTCAGGCGGGTGCGAAGCACATGAACACCCGAAGCAATTTGATCAAGGGCGCTTTGTGCGTCTTGGCTTAAAAACAGGCAACCTGCTGATTGGGGCAGTCAGGGGCACTCGAAAAGGTACAAAAAACTGAGTCAGATTATATCTAGGTTTCCTGGTGTTTGCAATGGATAGACAGTTGGATGGGTGAAATTAAAACCATATATAATAATTATATGTCTATAAACAATGGACATACCGTAACATCACTTGTAAACAATGGGTGACACCAGAACGTGTTGAATGGAAAAAAACAGAAAAAAACACACCTTGAGGGGCCCAACCACTGCTACATCTCGTCCTTCGTGACGATCAAAGGACGATCCCATGATTTTGGGGTGCTCCGGTTGAAACCTCCATATAGAAGGGCATGTAGACAATGGTGAAAAGTACCATTTATGCGTTTTCAAAAATCCAACTACATGGGTCTTGGTGGGAAGCAGCATGACTCACTACGACTTCCAAGAAATATGAGTCAGCATGCCGTCAGCTACCCAATCATTACCCCTTTCGGTTCTACAGTTCGCATTGGGCCTCACAAAGCAAGTTGCCATTTGGTCATTCAACGTAGCTGTGGGTAATCGTGGGAAATCACATTATGTTTATCGTCTATAAATGGTCCATTTTCAATGATTTGTTGACCCTTGGGCGTGATTGTGATAAAGTTTGGAAACCAAGACTACAGTAAAAATGGAAATCATGTACACACATGGATTTTAACATTCAATCACCAAGTCAACAGAAACAACGAAGATTGATTGAAGTTTACTTGGCGGCTTGCTCTGGTTAATGGGTCATACCCCCAGTTGTAAGTGGACACAACCCCTGCTTGCCCCACTTCTAACTGGGCTTAAACCCAATAAGCCACCCCCAAAAGCACCATTGATGGGTTCTATAAACCATCCCCAAATGGTAGGTCTATTACGGGTTTTATTACGTTAATCTATTTACTAAGTGGGCTGAAGCACTAAGTAACTTGCAGCCAAAGTGCGGCGGCACAAGGTGAAGAAGCTTTCCAGGCCTTTCTGCCCATCATTCAGTAACTTCGCATCCGAAAAGCTGGAGATTTCCCTAACCTCCATGACCAAAGGTACAAGGTGGTGCCGCCCCAGACCATAGTAACTGTAGAAATATCTACCATAAGCCCTACTTAGTGGAGTTACAAACCAACTTAGCTAAGTATGGGGCACCACCTTGTAGAGAGAGAAGATCTTAGCAAGATATGGGTAAACCACTTGTCTATTTTTTTGGGGGGGTACAGCACTTAGTAACCCACCAAAAAGATAAAAAGAAAGTAAAATCCCACTTTAAAAATTATGATTTTACTCTTTTATCTTTGTGGGATTATTATCATCTATGAAACATATCTGGCAAACAGCAGATGTCTGGCTGCATGTTCGAAAGTAAGGTCCCAATTTGGTTAATCAACAGTTTTCTCATTTATGTTGCCTGTGTGAGTCCTACCGGTATACCCATCTTTAGACACGACCATGTTATAGGCTGCTAAGACAGGATAAAACCTATTAGTTGTTTGATGCTGGGTAACTCTAACGGTTAGCCATACGAAACCTGGAAGTGCATTTGATTTGGGGAGGTAAATCTAAGCAGAATCCTCACACTGTCATGAGGGGGATCTTGTGGTGGTTTTCGAACCCGATCTAATGGGTTTTTATTGATTTCTCGTGAGTCGTTGGGAAATGATTTTCCCCAATCACCGAATTATGGTAATGATCCACCAGATCTACATATATGAGAATACTATCTGAATATATAATATATCTGAATGATGTCTTTTATACGATTGCTATCTGAATATTCCGAGGAATGTGGGTAAAACAATAATAAACCATTCCCAATTTCACGATTTTTATATATAGGTGGTATAAACTTACGTACCATTCCCAGTCCCAGTCATGGGTGGTTTATGATTGTTTTCCCCACATCAATTGAACAACAAAACATAAGTTGGTTTATAAACCCCATGAAAACATCCATTAATTATAGTTATATCTACCATAAACCATAGTTGATTCATGGCAACGATTCCTCCGCAAAAAGGAAAAAAACCATCGCCTTCTCCGCGGGTCGTTGACGTCGTTGACCCGAGGCGAAGGTGCTTGGAGCTGGTGGAAAAGGTTGCGAAGCAAAAGACCATGAGAGTCGCCAAGGAGTTGAAGGCTGATCCATGGTGGAGGGGACCCCAGGGACCCCCAAAAAAGAGGGACTATGTGAATAGTTTAAATGGGAAAATCATGTATAAATGGAGGTTGATGTATGGGAAACGTTTCTATGACTTGGATATGAAATAAAAGTGGGGGTACCCTCTGTAATTGGATGTTTATATCGGCTTTATGGGAAAACCCTCTATAAATATTGTGTTTTATTTTATAAATGGAGGCCTAATGGAAAATGACTTGGGCATGGGAAGATGACATGTTGTTGTGTGTCTGAAAATATGTGGGGTGGTGAGCCCAAAAATCGCATTTGTTTTGATGAAATTGATGCTGAGTCAGTGGATTTAAAATAGGCACCCTATTTTTGGGACAAACCAAAGAATATCCATTGGTGAACTTGGATGTGCGAGACCCAGGCATCTTCAGTTGGTAAACCCACATGAAATAGGAATAACTCGGCTCAGTTTTTTTTTGAAATCTGGGTAAATGAGATTGACCTCACTGTGAACTCACTGGAATCATGGGTAGTAATGGGAATTATCTCAATATAGCCAAACCATTCAGGATAGTGATTTTTAATGATTTGCCCGGACAATAAATGATATACCATGATATACTCCAGTAATACAGATGTCATTAACTGGCAGAATGGAGAATAATTCAGGCTTTTTCAGAGCTGTGAAGCCAAGATGAGGAGCCATGGAGCTATGAACTGAGTTTCCCAACCATGGCTGGTAGTAAAGCTTCCAAAATGAGGATAGCTTGGTTCACAACTTTGGTTGGTGGTCATTTCATCACGGAAAACAAGGAATACCATGCAATTTAGCTTTGAAGTATGAGGATTTAAATCAGATAGTGGCTCTTTGTTGGGCTATTCTGATCTTGATTTAGTGGGGAAGACTGCAATCCACCGAGAATGGGCAGCCCACCTGGGATTGGTGCCGGGCGCCACTTCTCATGAGATATCAGTATTGCTGGGCAGCTACCCAGCAATGGTTACCCTGTAAGCAAAATGGAAGGATATGGGAGACCTGGGGGACCCATGGTTTCCCAAAGAAAGTATCCTGCAAGTTGTGGATTTTCCATGTCTATCCTGCGTAGTTTGCCTCGGTGGTTTAGGAACATTGATGACTGTGATTTTCTCTATGAGGATAATGAAACTAATCATCCAAGGAGGTTCCGTGTTTTTGCAAGCTCTTTGGAACTCGTGTTCGACCAGCTCACATGTTTATTTATATTGGCTAAATCGGCTAAATCTCATGTTTTCCTGGTTCAATCATTTAAAGCTTCCAGTTTTGCTGTCTAGATCATGTTGAAACCCCGAATTCTTCATATACTGTTTGGTGGTTTGCAACATGAATTTTATTTTTCCATTCAGTTGGGAATGTCATCATCCCAACTGACGAAGTCATATTGTTCAGAGGGGTAGGGCTCAACCACCAACCAATGGGATATAATATCAAAGATTATTAATCAATTGATTATTGATATATCCCATGAATATATCCCATTATATAATGGATACTATCCCATTAATGGATACTATTTGATGCTTAGATCCACCCGCAAAAAAAATTGGGCGTCCAGGACTGGAGTGTGAAACTCTTCTCCGAACTCTTTGCCGGTGAGCCTTTTGGGGACGAAGCCTTAAAGTGGTACCGTGGCTGACAGCGGTGGAGTTCCCCATGTTTCACATAAGGATATCATACCAGCCATGTAGGGGTGACTTTTGAGGCTTACTTTTATGGGCAGAGCCATGGTACTTTCTGCACTTCCGTTCGTATGTCCCAGGGTCCCATGGTCAAGTTCGTTGGATCCAACCATTGCAAATACGGAGGAGATATATACATGATACATGGATATACATGGGAATATGTTGGTGATGGGAAATATCACCAACTATGGTATACCTTCGCGTCAGAAATTGGATGATATACCCAGTTCCTCTGGGATGGTAACCCATTTTTATCAGGATCTCTATATATATATATATATCCACTCTGCTCGGATACTCACTGTGGGATGACCGCAAAGCACCACGTGTTGACCGTGGCTTCCCACCAAACAAAAAGGATTCAATCACCGAAAAACAGAGATTTTACAGGCGTCAGTGTTGATTAACCCAGTTACAAGGTGTTGCCTTAATTAGTTTGTTAACCCGAAACGCTCAGTTGATTTTGTTCAGGTTAACGATTGGATTTATAGTAGATATAGTTGATGGGGTGAACATTAAACCGAGAAACATCACTCGGAGGCACCTCAATATATGGGAGTTAACCAGCAAAAGCAACAATTGAAACACAAAGAATGTGGGGATGTCATCTTGATATGTGATTTAAATGAATATATACTGTAGTGTATAGTAGCAATACATTCTGGCTATATGTGGAACATTCCCGATTATTTGTGGGTTATAGGGTGGTAGTAAAATCGTACTTTCTACCGGTGATGCACATTCAAGTGGGAAACTGAGTGTATTTGCCAGAATTATAACGACGTGTGTGAATAGACGTCTTGCAAATGCCAGTGGGTAGCCTCCAGCCATAGGATCAATCCTTTCTCGGACCTGTTGGTCCGAGAAAGTGGAAACATGTGGAAATGCGTTCCGTTGTAATCCCAGATTTATGTGCTAAACATGGTTGATCTGCCTGAATAAACGAGCTATTTCAGTCACAAGAAAGCACGTAGAAAAGATGATCACCAAATTCGGCCTTGGAAAAAAGTGCATTCATCAAAACGAGGTCGGGAAAAGCAAAACAGAAGTGACTTGTGTACCCCTTCTCAATTTTCAGGCTGACTAGTGGCTTTGATTAACTGAAAGTTCCGCCAAAGTTGCCTGTTGTCTCTAACCTTAGATGTATATGTAGTATATGTGTGAAATTCAATCAAGCTCGAGAATAACTCCAACTTCAGGTAGAAAAAACGCCGGTTGTTTCCTTTGCCGCAGGTTGTACCAATACAACGAAGGCTTGTACGCCCTCTTGCCCTTTAAATTGCCGCTCCTTGGCCGATCCTTGGCCGTGCAGTTGGCACCCCCTGGTGGGTTGATCAATAGAGCGGGGGAGGCGATGTTTGTGATGGGTATAAGGGCACAGAATGGGCTGGTTGGTGATTTGGAACACGACTTTTATGCCTTCCCCAATAGTTGGGATGATGATCCAATCTGACGAACTCATATTTTTCAGGGGGGGTGAAACCATCAATTAGTGGATATTTATAGGATATTTAGTGGATATAGCCGATTTGATTAAGAAATTGGATGATCTACTACTTGGTGGTTCATCCCGCAAATCGTAAGTAGGTTAGTTCACCCCAGTTTTTGTTGCTGGATGAAAACCTTGCTTATCCCGCTGTATGAACCAAGGATATAACATCACTTCCACTTGACAATTGCAATGTATTTGAACCATTGAATTGGTTGATGAATTATGGTTGAACGTTTGCTTGCTTAAGATGCACTCATTCACAAGCCATAGTATGATGATGAGTGATGGATTTGGGGACCGCAATGAAGAGATTCAGCTGTGATCATGCCCTGACGGGGCGAAGCCCGAGCCCAATCAGCGCTCTACACGTCGTTTGACCAAGTTGCCCAAATTGGAATGGGACAAATTAGACCCAGGGAACCACAGATTTTAGATAATTAGTTTATTTTTATTATTAGCCGTTCAAGTATTGGGCTACCCAATTTTGACTCATACCCATATATATATATATATACATACAATTATACATATATATATAATTATATTATATCTATATATATATATATACATATTATTAAAGGGCTACGCCCTCTGCTGCCGACCCCTGGACACTGGAGGGTCATGCCTGCCTCTGTGTACATTCAACATCACATTTTATCATCGCATATATTTGAACAATTCTAGGAACTGATCGATGAAGGGATCAGTGGATGATTGTGTAGCATGTGGAACTGCAGAAGGAGTTTGCTTAGATTGACATTGCTACGTTGACAAATGGAACAAACGAACGTGGAGTTCACCCGTTCGAGAGAGATTACATGTTTGTTTATTTTGGTAGCATGTCTGTTATGTAGCAAGATGTTTTGAAACTGTTGTTTTTCCCTCCAGTCTGATGCGGAGGCAATCTGCCGAGTTTCTTGTCGATTCCATTCCACACCAGCTACTGTGTTTTTGTGTGACTTCACCACGCGTTTCTGGCTTAGTGACGGCACATACTCCGGGGGTTTCAATTCTGTTTCCCAGTGAGACGAACTTTTGCAGCCTCAGTGGTCCACAAAACTCTGGGAACTGGTGGTAAAAGAGGAACAAGTTTGAAATTTTGGCCTATATGACATTGGTTCTCACAAAGGGTTTGAAACAAGCAAGAGTGAACAAAGTCAGGACACATCAATTGAGGGCGGACAGAAAATCCTGCCGTTGACATGCCGCGGTACTGCATTTCATGTGGCGCTGGCGTGGGCGGATCATCGACTCCTGTCTCGGGGGTGCTGTGCCTGGACAGCAGGGCAGGGTAAGATGTGCAGGGGTGCCTTTTGTATGGGGGGTAACGAGCTAGAGAGAAGAATTCCAGGGGAGTTGGAGGTGATGATGGTGTGTCAGAGTGCAGTGAAGACAGCAATTGGGCAGGGGTGGTTGGCGGAGCAGCTGCAGGTTGCAAGTGCTGCTTTTTGCGCAGCTGGTTGAGCTGGGCCGCGCGGAAGTCCACAGGCTCTGCCGCAAGTGTGACTCGCCGACTCGAGCGGGGTAGTGCCATTTGGTGGTGCAATCTTGGGGAGCAATTGAGATTGGTGATTCATGTGTTGAGGTTAGTGGCTCATTGTAATCCAAGGGCATCATTGGACATGATCACCTCTGGGTCTTGTTTGGGAAAGTTCATTGCCAGTGGGGTTTAGTAGATGGTTAAGGAGACGGACATGTGCAGCAGACTAGGCGTGTTTGAACTGTGGGTGGGGCATGGTTACCATTGAGGCATTTGCCTGGGGCGGGGATGGGGTAGTATAAGGTCAGAAGTTGGTGGCTGTGGCGAAGAACTTGGTGACATTTTGCGATGTCTGGGCCGGTGTATCTTGGTTCTGTGTGTAAGCAAGGCTTGAGGTCGTCCGTCCGGATTGGAAAGGACAAGGACGTCCCCCCGAGGCAGTGTTCCCGTGCTCAGGCACTGGTTATCTTGGGCAGACGGCTGTATGGTGATGCTGGTCGCAGAGCGAAGATCGCTGGGCTGCTGCCTTGGTTGCATTATAGGGGGGTACCGGGGATGGCGTGAGCTTGGCCAGTTTGACACTTCTATACAAGCAGACAGTACAGGGTCGCCGGTAGATGAGTGTGTCGGTTTGTTGTGTCCATGATCGTGGGGTGCCATGCGTGAGGCAGCGGTTGTACCATGCCGACCTGGATTACTTGGTTGAGCCACTGCTCCGCTCGAACCATCCGTATCAGCTGTGGCTCTGTTGCAGGGAGTGCCTGTATGCATTGTGCTTGGTGGAGTTTGCACAAGTTGTGGAGTTGCCAGTGCTGTGCGATCTGCAGTGTGGCATGGAAAATGGAAAGGATTGACGTTATTGTGTTGGGAAGTGTGTGAGGGGGGGCGAGGATGTGTGTGGCCATGCTGGGTGATCGTATGCCAATATGGATCACAGTTTGAGACGTAGCATGATTGATTGGCTGCGGCCACGTGCCATGTTGTTGGCCAAAGCAGCAGCAAGGGGCGAGGGGTCAGTGTGCAATGTGTGCGTGTGACATCGCATGCCAAGGCGCGGCAGAAGAAAGTGGTGAAGAAGCAGGACACCAAAGAGGGGAGCAAATGGCGTGGCAAGGCTGTCCAGTGGCTGCGGCGGCTAATGCAGAAGCTGCGACAGACCAAGGTATTGCACCGAGGCTGCAGTAAGGGGCAGGGAATGTATGGACCAGGCAGCTCATGACAGGCTTAGGTCGTGCTGACAAAAAGAAGGCCAAGTGACTGAAGGTGAAGCAGGTAGGGGAACTTGTGAACAGAAGTACCACATTTCTTCCGAGGGTGAGAGGCGAGACGGTGGCCCGGCTGGAGCAGATTGGTCTTGGCCAAGCTTTGCTCCGTGGCAGTATGCGGGTGATGTGAAGTGAAGTGTCATGGGTAGGATCTTGGGAGAATTGTGTGTGACTTGGGCTCTAGGTGCTGAGACGTAAGGGAGGGACACCGAGCAAGAGAAAGATGGTAGGGGGGTCAGGACACGAGGATGGAGACTGATGGTCTCATTGCTGGATGTATTGCCAAGGTTTCGGGCCACGGTGGCACATGACGTTGGCGTTCATTTCGGCAGTGCCTACTTGGAGGGCCGGGGGCGGTTATAAGTACATAGCAAGGTTAGAGCACTTATATAACCTACTTACTAAGTGCTGTAACCTACCTTATAAGTGGTGCTAAGTTACCTTATAAGTGGTGCTAAGCGGGGTGCTGTCTCTAAGTCACTTACGTAAGTAGTTACAGTTTTTGGCTAACTATATACTATGTTCCATAAATGATTACGCGACTTATGGCACTTGGCTAACCACTTAGCCTATGTGGGCTAAGTGAGATAGGCAGCTTAAGCCCTAAGTGGCCTAAGTCCTGTAAAGGATTTACGCTACTTACGTATCTAGGCTAAGTGCACTTACAAAAATTTGCGGAAACACAAAATCCCGTTTCAGATTTGGTGGAAACACAAAAATTCTGAATGGTGTTTTGGTGGAAACACAAAATTCCGTTGCAAGTTTTCGTGGAAACACAAAAATCCAAATCGAGTTTTGCGGAAATACAAAAGCGCTCGCGGACTTAGGTAAGTGCTGTAAGCCACTTACGTAAGTGCGCTAAGTGCTGTCCCAGTAAGTCCACAAAGTGACATACTGCAAGCGCTGTATCCAAATAGTAAGTGCCGTATGTACCTAGTATGTCCCCTATATGTGCTTATAACCACCCCCGAGCCTCCAAGTACTACATGGCTGAGGACACAGCAATTGGGTCGTATGCGCAGATGGCCTTGGGGAAGCTGGCCTGCTATACATGGGCGCAGGACAAGTTCAAGGAAGCTGCAGCTACTCGGTTGCACCGGTGTCAGTTGTGGTGGTTCTCTACGCAACATTTTCAGAGCAGAGCACAGACATGTTGCAGAAAGGGGCACACCTAGGTTCGAAGGACACAGGAGCTTTTGGGAGCAGCGCAAGATGTTTTGCCGGATTTGAACTACCAGCAATGTCACCATCAGCTGTGCGATCATCGTCAGATTTTTGGACGTATCCGTGTCTAGTTGTGCAGTTAGAGGCGCAGAGGGCATCCATGTGTTCGGTGTTAGGGGAAAGCATGGGTGCACGGCCCTGGCGCAGTTTGTAGGTCGGGATCAAGAGTGCGGCAGGGTGTGCTGTGTAATGCAAGAGGTGACAGAGCAAACCCGACCCAGGCAAGAAGAGCGCGCGCAAGCGGCGCGACGATAAGTCGCTGCGTGAGGCTGCCGCAAGTGTGTGGCCACGGATGGTGGGTGATGGGCGACTGGCTCCGATCATCCGTCGGGCCGCAACAGAAAGTGCAGTCAGCGACTGGGTGAGAAGAAGTGGGTTTTACCAAGGTGGTATGCAGTTTTGGGAGGCGGGGGGGAAGTGTGTGGTAGTGCAGACAGGTTTATAGTGCAGACAGGTTTACGTTTTCCAAGTTTGGCATATTCTGTGGCGCCGTTGTGCCCGAGGAGTGTGTTGCGGTGTCACCTATGTGGAAAGGCATTTCTGCATGAGGTGCGGACGGCAGAACACCATGGCACTGAAGGACGGATCGGGCCCGCGGCCGGCAGCCCATAGTGCCAAACGTTGCTTTCTGAACTTTTTATAAAAACTAGCTTCAAACCTTGCTTTTTCCTGCCGTCAGCTCGGGTCATCTCGGGTCCAAGGACCCTGTCGTTGCCTTCTGAACCGACAAGAAACCCAAAGTGCAGCTCCCATGCTCCCAAAACAGCTCCACAGCGAAGTTCTAGCAGGCGCTTCCGAAACGGCAAAACACCATGGCACTGAAGGACGGATCGGGCCCGCGGCCGGCAGCCCATAGCGCCAAACGTTGCTTTCTGAACTGCCCAGAAACTAGCTTCAAACCTTGCTTTTTCCTGCCGTCAGCTCGGGTCCAAGGACCCTGTCGTTGCCTTCTGAACCGACAAGAAACCAGCTCCAAAGTGCAGCTCCCATGCTCCAAAACAGCTCCACAGCGAAGTTGTAGCAGGCGCTTCCGAAACGGCAAAACAATAGTGCCAAACGTTGCTTTCTGAACTAGAAACTACCTTCAAACCTTGCTTTTTCCTGCCGCCGGCTCGGGTCCAAGGACCCTGTCGTTGCCTTCTGAACCGAGAAGAAACCAGCTCCAAAGTGCAGCTCCCATGCTGCCAAAACAGCTCCACAGCAGGCGCTTCCGAAACGGCAAAACACCATGGCACTGAAGGACGGATCGGGCCCGCGGCCGGCAGCCTATAGTGCCAAACGTTGCTTTCTGAACTGCCTAGAAACTAGCTTCAAACCTTGCTTTTTCCTGCCGTCAGCTCGGGTCCAAGGACCCTGTCGCAGGCCCAGCTTCAAACCTTGCTTTTAGCTCGGGTCCAAGGACCTTGTCGCAGGCCCATAGTGCCAAACGGTGCTTTCTGAACTGCCTAGAAACTAGCTTCAAACCTTGCAATTGCTTTTACAAGAAACCAGCTCCAAAGTGCAGCTCCCATGCTCCCAAAACAGCTCCACAGCGAAGTTCTAGCAGGCGCTTCCGAAACGGCAAAACACCATGGCACTGAAGGACGGATCGGGCCCGCGGCCGGCAGCCCATAGTGCCAAACGTTGCTTTCTGAACTGCCCAGAAACTAGCTTCAAACCTTGCTTTTTCCTGCCGTCAGCTCGGGTCCAAGGACCCTGTCGCAGGCCCAGCTTCAAACCTTGCTTTTAGCTCGGGTCCAAGGACTTTGTCGCAGGCCCATAGTACCAAACGTTGCTTTCTGAACTGCCTATAGAAACTAGCTTCAAACCTTGCTTTTTCCTGCCGTCAGCTCGGGTCCAAGGACCCTGTCGTAGGCCTCAAACACCTGCGGGCGGCCGTGCTTGTCCAATTTTCTCTCTTCGCCGCGAGTAAGGCCTCCTCTGACGCGCTCCCCCTGCTGGCGGCAGGGGTCGGCGGATATATATATATATATAATATGTACCCCCCCCAAGACCTACCTTTTTGTGGTTTTTACTGGTATTTGCAGTAAATTATGCACATTTTGAGCTTATATGTTTGGTTGCAGTTTTGGGTCATGTTTTGGTTGACTTGTGGGGAGTGCCATATATATATATAAATATAATAGAATTCCAATAACCGTGTAAACACTCACGTGCACACACACACACAGATTGAACCCCCAGAAATTATCTTAAATCTTGAACCTTGAATCCCAAAAAATTGAAAATATTTTCAATGTTTTGGGATTCCAGATTCAAGATTCAAGATTTTGAGGAAAAGTTCTTGAACCCAAGCCCTTAGATCTTGGGGTTCTGGATGCCAGTCAGGGCTTGGATTCAAGAATTTTTCCTCAAAATCTTGAATCTTGAACCTGGAATCCCAAAAATTTGCAAACGTTTGCAAATTTTGCTGGGGAAACTTCTTGAATCCAGGCCTTGACTAAATAAAAGGTATGTTAGAGGTATAGTGGTATGTTCAAGGTCAATTAAATGGTATATTAAAGGTATATAATTAATACGGTATATACCATCAAGGAATAGTAAAGGTGTAGTAAGCGACATTTTTAATGAAAACACAAGGTATTTTAAAAATATACTACAGATATATATATATATATATTATATAGATTCATGGCCAGACTGGAATATTACAGGTATACTACAGGTATACTAATTGGTATATTAGAGGTGGATTTGATGGTATACTAAAGGTATATTAGAGGTAGACTCATGGTATATAAAATGGTATGCTAAAACCATATTAAATCATATAGTAATGGTATATCAAATGGAATATTAATGATTCTAACATGGTAAACTATAGGTATAGATTGTATATTAAACGTCTATGAAAGGCAAACTAAATGGTAAGCAACCGGTATTTTAGAGGCATAGTGGTATGTTCAAAGTCCATTAAATGGCATATGGAAGGTATATACCTTCAAGGTATACTAAAGGTGTAGTAAACGACATGTTTAATAGTATTAATTAATTATATCAAATGAAATATTAACGATTCTTAAATGGTAAGCTAAGGATACATGGCACATTAAAGATTTATCAAAGACAAATTAGATGGAAAATACAAGGTATGCTAGAGGTAGAGAGGTATCCTAAAGGTGTCTTAAAGATGTTTTCATGGCCAATAGCATGGTATATCTAAGGTAGATTAAATGGTATCGTGAAGCTTTATGCATTGAAGGTATATTTTACGTATACTAAAGGCATTTTCAAGGCCAATTAAATTGTACATTAAAGGTAGCTTCATCGTTATCCAGTGGAATGTTACAGATATATTGAATTGTATATTAAAGTTTTTTTTGATGGTATTTAAAAGGGGATATTGTAGGTATGCCAAAGGTTTACTAAAGGTTTATTAAATATATCTTTATGGTCAATTTACTGGTATATTAAAGTATATGGAATCTATAATGAAGCTATATTCACTGTAGATTAAAAATTGCTGACCAAGATATTATTATTACTCTGTTGCATCAAAAACACAGACATATCCAAAATGTTATAATCTGGTGTTTTGAAAGAAATGCTGTATGATTGAAGGAAGGCTTAATATTTGTTTGAAAGGAAGACTGCACTTCTTCAGAAAGAAAACACTGCATGTTTAGAGGAATACTCTATATTTTGTAGGGGTGCTGTTTCTTGAACGAAGTCATACTTTGTCTGGAAGGAAAACTGCAACTATCTGACACATGTGAGCCCAAAAAAAGTAGGTCTTGGGGGGGTTAGCATATTATATATATATATGTGTGTGCTATTTCGAAAGCATATCACCGGTTTAACAACGGAACTGAAGAACAGATAAACTACATTTCTCAGTTTCCTTTATTCGACATTCAGCCCATCATTCAGCCACCACCAAATAGTTGTTGTTCCCAAGCTTCTGACATGAGAATTTCAGGTGGGTGTTGTCCACAAAGTCCTGGGATTACCAAAGATCGCCGCAAATTTGGGGGTCATAACCCACAAAGTCAGGATTTTGTCACTGGAAATGATGGGATAGCAAAAAAGATGATGGACTTATCCCAAAACATTGCATAACCAAAAAAAATATGTTCCATTTTTCCCAAACAGGGGGCATATCCCAGAAAGCATAGATACGATATTAACATTGAAAAAATAGGACACCAAGAGATGGGAAACGAACTGTAGATGATGCCCAGCATTTTCTTGGGGCCAGGTCAAGTTGCCACAGGTTTCCTTTGAACCCCATCTGTAGAATGATGCATGGACGAATCCAAGTTGGATTTTGCAGTGCAACTGGCAGATTTTAAGTGCTGGGGCGTTCCAGTTTCACTTGTGTGGTTATATTTGGAGGTGTCCTAAAATGGTGGTACCAAATCATCCAAGTCATTCGACCTTTTTAGTATTGAAACCTTTGGTTTGGTGGACCACCAGCTGCGGTACATCTTTCGCGGCGAGGTTCACAGCTTTCGGCAGAGGTTTCAAGGCCAAGGATCAATTGGTGCAGATGCTGAAAGAGCGCTTGGATGCTTGGAGCCAGAAATAGAATGGCGAGTTTTTAAACATTACTAGGATATGGATGTATAGGGGGTCACAGATGTATGGTGACATGCAAAAGGTTTGCTATATGACATGCCAAACCAGCAGGAACAAAAATGCTCAATGATGGCCATACCCCCTTATGTCGTGGCTTGACCTGTGGGAATTTAAGTAAGACATGTATGAGTAGATGAGTACAGTTTACAGTATGTAAATGGATGGTTCTTTTGGATAGTTCGTTCTATTGCATACGTTGTATAGACGGATTTTTAAACTACATAAAGCCGGATACGAACCACCAAGAAGATTTAGGGTTATATTGCAATATATAAAATATCGTGAAAATATGTAATGTGATAGTTGATGGGGAACATACACAGGTGGAACGTTGCTAGCCACTGGGCCAAGATGTGGGTTTGGCTTGCGGGGTGTTTTGCGCTGAAGCATGGCTGATGATCTCCCAGCGACAACTACCGGAATCATTGGTCATTTATGGTGGGTATGTATGTATTATGTATTTGTTATCTATTTGCTAAGTATGAGAATTTGTTTGGCACTACAATTTGAATATATTTCACTGCTGCTTTGGAAACACTGAAAACTACTACAGTTTCCACTAAAAACAACCATCTTGAAAAACTGGGTGGACGCCCAACATATCCAAAGTCACCCAGCTCGGTAGAATTGTTTGAGGAGAAGCTGAAAGCCAGCGGTGACATCGAGAAACCTCAGTATGTACCTTGGATCCAGCGCGAATCGATGGAGATTTGAGATCAATTAGCCTCTGGTTATGACTAACATAGCCATATGGTATAGATGGCTCATAGAAATAGATGGTTTAGCTATTAATAGCATGGTGGATCCTTCCATGGCTATGTTAAATAACCAGATGGTAATCAGATAATCAGATATCAACAATTTGATGTACGTTTTTAGAGATACAAATTGTCATGTTGATATCTGAGTAATAAACCCCGCTCAAGAATACTCTTGTCTGAACAAAGCTGAGAAGGCCAAACACATTCTTAGGGACTTGGATGAACATGTTTTGCCAAACCTATGTTTTCGATGATAATTCGCTTTCACCATGCATAGATGGATGGGTATGAGGATGGAAGTGGGTCAATACCTGTCGGACAATTGGAATGAAAAGATGAACATCCACTTGCTCACTGGGTCACTAGGTCATTGTTCACCTGAGTACCATAGTTTTGATCCATGCCCCATGCCATACCAGCACGTGTGTATGTGTATATATATACTGTATATATACATACATCCTGATAGTGTGGCTATATATACTTATACATTACATATTTGTTTGTTATGTTTTGCATACATACATTATATGTGTATATATTTAAGTACTTGACAAGTACCATCAACATCATGATGGAAATTATCCAACTTGGCAGAACTCACCAATAATCCTAGGGTTCTCATGGCTCTGTTATCAGTGCGCGCTCGTCCATTTTTCTATGATTTTCTTACACCCCATTGATTTGATCAATCAGCCAACCACCAGTCTAGATGATTCTTCAAAAAATACAATCCCCTTTGAAGATTTACAGATACTACATTGTATGCGTATATTGCAACCCCAAAAGAAAGTAAACAAAACAACTCCTACTAAAACGGTGATTGAGTGGTGTTTCTCATCTTTTTTCTGGTTTGCTATATTGTATAAATAAATATATATATATATATATATACATTGTCAATAATTATGTGATCAAAGTTCGCAAATTGCGTACAAGGAGACATGCGAACTGCGGCCAAACAGAGGGTATTGATGTATTTTTGTGTATTACATGTGTATGTGTTTGCAAACATAATGCTCTCCGGTAGTCAAACGTTGGCAGTGGAAAATCCCCGAACTAAATGGAGTTTTCTAGCTGGTAAAGCCATTGATGTTAATAGTGGGTTTTCCAGCAAACCATGTTTAATTTCTCCGGAGGGTATCTATGTTTTTCCATATGAGTCATTCTCGTTTACACGTACTATATATATATATATATCTATGTATTGATTTATTTATTTGTTTATTTATGTGCACACCACATCTTAGCTGTATTTTGAGAAATCTATAATAACCCATAGGATCCATGTATGGTATATATGCTAACATTGGGGGTATATTGATGGTAAATGTTACCATGTATAGCATACATGGATCCTATGGGTAATGACTATGTAAGTTTATTTATACGTTCCAGCCAACGTTCCACATGTTTCGCCTTGCCAACGTTCGCCATGACTCCAGCAACCTGCCGCGCAACAAAGGCGGCACTTCGCCGCTTCAGCAACTCGAAGGACGAAAATGGTGAGCCATGGAGTGACGTGGCCATGTCTTCAAGTTCTTCCACTCAGTTTGTTGAAAATGGTGTATCTGTATATATATATATTAATATACATGCAAAACAATTGAAATATGATGAAATATGTTTCTTTTCGATGTATTGATATGGACAATAAGTATAGATATATACATTTTGTCCAGAGATTTTCTGTTTACATCATCCAACCTTAACATGCCAGGTGACGAGCAAGTGGCGCATACCGCGGTGATCTCTGTGTGGGGCGCCTATGTGGACGCTTGGACGATGCTACATCTGTGGGGTGGTTATTTCTTGGTGATTAAACAGTCCTTAAAATGTTTAATGTGGGTAAAACAATCAAAAACCACCCATTTGGGAAGTGTTTATACCACCTATTTATGGTGATTTGGGGGATGGTGTATTATTGTTTTACCCACATTATATATTGGTTTATAAATGCTTTTAATCATCAACAACATTGGGGGTTTAAAATAATATAAATGTATAGCTCAGGACTGAAGCATCAATTATAGGTTGTTCAGTTTTTTACCCTGCAACTTTAGGGATATTGGTATCAGATGGTTGGTTGATTGTAGAATTTACCCTCTGGTAATTTAACATAGCTATTGAAAATGGACATTTATAGTGGATTTTCCCATCAAACATGGTGATTTTCCATAGTTATGTTAGTTTACCAGAGGGTATATTGTGACCTTGGGGATATTGGGTATTATCATATTCCATTCGAGGGATTCCGTTGTAGGGATGTTCCAATCTCAATTGGTCACAGCCATAAGGTAGTTGCAGCCCTGAGGTGAAGCTTGACGTGGTCATTGTATCAAAATTTGTTGGGATATCAAAAGTGGTGGAGGAGGCTTGCCGTGTCAGAGGAGCACCTTGTTGCAGCCTTTGGAGCTGCAAAGGCTGCTGGGTTGTGCAGTTCCGGCGATTTGGCCAACGACATCCGCCACACCCTGCGCGGCACCGGCACCTTTCGGGAGTTGAGAGGGTGGGATCTGAGGGTCATCGCGCAGTTCCAACATGACAATTACTGTAGATGCGTTCGACTAGTTTTCACACAAATTTTGCCATTTCTCCAACTGTGTATACCCACGCAATCCTACGCACATCAGGTAGTTCATATACGCGAACGAACCATAGAGACCTCCCAACATCCCCAAATTACGTCGTTTCAGGTGGGTGAATCATTTGAATTCAGCCAGATATCCCAAATAAACCCCAGATATTTCCAGAGGTTTTTACCAGTGTTTGGCTACTGATATGTGGAGATAGGCAACCTTCCAAAGTACCCAGTATCAGTTTTTTACAAGCGTACCTTTCTTTTTATGTTTCCAAAGTACAGTAAAGATCAGTAAAGGTGATACCCAGAGTCAGACTGGTGAACGATCCATGGATTGGTGGAAAACCTTCGGCTCCAACTCATCCGTGTGCCCATGTGCTGTGCCCAGGTGGTGCCCCATAGTTTGGTTGTGAACCGAGTATGTATATACTGTGTATATTTATATATGTGTAATATATATATATATATATATTCACCATAACCCCAACAGCTAATCTACTTATAAAGTATGGGGCACCACCTCATAGGTCAGTTACATGTTTTTTCTCCTTGTTTTGACCAGGTTAGCAGTGATCTAAATCTGCAAGTTGAAGGCTACCAATTATGTATCCCAAGGCATTGGGTTGGAAAAATGACCAACGAGTGATCGCTAGACACCATTCTAAGCTAAGTGAGCTAGCGCGTGTGTGTGTGTGTGTGTCACGATAAATATCACTAGATACGCAAATTCCAATACTTCAGACGTGTCTTCAACCCAAACCGAGCAATGTACTCGCCAGATTGGAGCCACTGCACAAGGTGAATGGGTTTGCTACCCCTCTCTGTTATTGCGCGAATAAAAATAGGAAAATCTTAAGCCGGGCTATAACCCTTAATTGCAACTATTCTTTATGAAGCACTTATTAGTGGAACTGGATTTAATTTCGCCGAACTTTCCAAACTTTTTTTTTGGATATTCCAGGATCGGATTTGGTATGTTTCTGTTGCTTGTGCATCAATTTGGGTGTCTAAAAATACGCTAGCCCATAAACTTGGATGGTTTATCATCATCATTCTCACTTTTTCTTCAGTTGCAGTTTACATCATTTTCAGATTTGGGGGTCCAGTTCCACCAATAATTGGTTATCACTATAGTTGTAGGAGCCCCATATCCCAACTTGTTGGGGTGAATTTACCACAGTAATAGCCCTAGAACTGGCCCCGCACCCGAATATCGTCTTGTTAGTTCTCCAGTTAAATGCCCTGCTGGCAGCTATATCTGGCTTATAGTGATACAACAATGATATATATATATACCCTTAGTTACAGGAGTTAGCTCAGTTGTTTGTAATTGTTAAAGGGCCAGAACATGCCATATATCCCAATGTATTCCCACAATAAGATTGTTTCCAGGTTTCCAGTTCTTTTTTCCCCAATATAACATACAAAAACGTGTTTCTGCATATATATATATATACCCTCTGGTTATTTAACATAGCCATGGTATAGATGGCCCATTTATAGATGGTTTACCTAGCTATAAAATGGGTGGATTTTCCATGGCTATTTGTTAAATAACCAGAGGGTATATATATATATATACAATGTGAGGCCCCCCAGTTATAAGTTGGTTTAGATTCGCCCCAGTAACTAGTTCGTTATAAGTACCTTAAACCATAGTGACAGTGGAGTTATGTTCACCAACTTAGCTATCTTGGGGGCCTCACATTGTATATATATATACCCTCTGGTTATTTAACACATAGCCATGGAAAATTACCATTTTTAATAGGTAAACCATCTATAAATGGACCATCTATACCATGGCCATGTTAAATAACCAGCTCGAGGGTATATATATTGGTAAAGGTTGCTGCAGTTTCCATCGAAATATTCTTCCATCGAAGCGCCCAGGAGTTGGCATCGCTTTTGGCCGACGTCGTCTACCTCTTGTCCTCGCAGGATGCCGGTACGGGTACCCCGGGTACCCCGGGTACCCCGGGTACCCCCGGTGCCTGGTTAAAATGATTTAGAGTAAAGCCCAAAAAGGTAGGAAAATAATGAACAGTCATATAGTGCACTTGTTTGTTCAGATGTGTTTATTTTTCTATCTTTTTTGGCGTTGCTATAATAATTTTTGATGTGGATATGATTTGGAATTTGCCATTTCATCACAAACAATATACGGGGATAATCAGGAGATTCAGCATGGATAGTTGGTTAAGATTCGCCCTTGTCATGAGCAGAAGGGTGTACCCTCCATTGACTGTACACCAAACGATAGCAGCACTGCTATGCCAAGCTGAGCCCATTTTGTTTTCGGAAGATAGATGTTTTGACTTCATCAGGATGAGGACGCTTTCAGCAGAGATGGGTTTATCCAACTCAAACAGCCGTGCGAAGATGTTTCGAAACGACAATAGATTCGTTGGCCATCGCAAAGCATCAGGGACATGATTTACCCTCTGGTCATTTAACATAACTATGGAAAATCACCATTTATAGTGAATGTTCCCATGAAAAATGGTGATTTCCCATAGTGGTTTGTATGTTTACCAGAGGGTTGCTACCACGTGGATTAATGTGTTAATTCGACCTCCGGCCTTGGCCACTTCAACACCCATGTCAGGAGGCCATGTGTTTGACACTCGGAAACAAATATCAAGCGGCCAAAGTAATGGGAAGGGCTTTGGAACGAAGCAAGTTAAGTATGACGCACTCTGGCTGGTAGTTTGCACAATTTGTTGTGGTTCATTGTTCATCAAATGGGTACGAATGGGTATGTGTGAAACTTGAGGCCGGAATCACATATTTTAGAAATTATGTCATGTTTCAGTGCCAACCATGAATGTTTTGGGCTTCCCAAGTGTCCTTGGCATGTTTATGTAAAACTTGATTTAGCAGTTGGATAGTAATTGAAAGGCCCATACCTGTTGTCATTTGGGATTATTTCGGTTTGTCTGAAAGTACCCTCCCCAAAATCTAATGGTTCGGCTCAATCATCATTTACCCATTTGTTTGGACAGGTAAATAGATGGCTACTGCGAACAACTCCCAACTTATGGAGGTCATAGCCATAGGTGTACGCACAAAATCAAGGCCACTGCGTTTTCTGCGCCTTGTATCCCAAGTATTCCCAGAGTCCAAGTATCCATGTATCCCAAGTTTCTATTTTGACCCGTCCAAGTATCCCAAACGTCGACTTGTCAGGAGAAGCTTCGAGAAAAAGCTTTCGCTGAGATTGTGGCTGCCAACGAAGCTGGTACGGCGGTTGAGAAGAACGAGCAACTTTGGCCGGTTGGATGTGTTGGGTGAACAATGGCTACCCTCTGGTAATTTAACATAACTATGGAAAGATCCACCATTTTTAATGGGAAAATCCACTATTTCTATGGTAATTTTCAATAGCTATGTTAAATTACCAGAGGGTAAACCAAAAGCATGGCTACTGGCTTTTACTCGAATCTCTTGGTGTGATTGAGAATGTATACTCATCGGCTCAAAAAATACAGTGCCTCTAAGATAGGATTAAAGCCAATGGTTTCATAGAAACCATGATTATTCCGGTATGAAAGCATTCGTGTTCTGATTCTCACTAGGTCTGGATTATCCAATGGTTTTTATCTCTCCAGTGACATCCAAAAGATTGTTAATCATATATATATATAATATCCCCGTATATTAAGGTTGTTTGTTAAGAACCAATTTTCCCAAGAAATATCATATAGTGACTTATGTTACATCATTCGTCTATACTATCAATTACCATTATCCTATAATTATGGTATGTATACCATATGTATACATATATATATATGTTTAAGATTACCATATATCCATTATCCATCATTACCTACCCATTGATCATTACCATATATTCATAGTCCATTTTTCTATATTGTACATCAATTACCATATTACTTGGTGGATCATCCCAATTAGAACCAGGGATATAACCTACTTAATGGGTTTACAAACAAACTTACAACTAGGATTACCATATATCCATTATATTATATTTCAATGTTATGATATGTATAACAGTGGTTTTACCATATAATATACTATATATAGTATATAGGGTTACCATAAGTATCCATTATCCATTACCATATATACTGCGGATGGTTGCGAAATCCTGCACCACCAAAAGGATGGTTTAAACCCTATAAGTAATGGGATAAACCATCAACTGGTGCAGGATTTCTTCCATCCACATATATATATATATATATTAATATATATATATATATGTATGTATAATATGTATATATATATATATGTATATATATTTATAAATGATATAATATGATATAATTGATTCTAGTATAATATAATATCTATTTCATCACTGTGACTTCACCGGAAAACCCATCCTTCCCCAGGTACCTCCAGGCCATCCTGGACGAGACCTTGCGCGTGAAGCCGCCCAGCGGCGGTGGCTTTCGCTTGGCCGAGGAGGAGCTGCAGATCGGCGCTGTGGCCGCAACGTTTCGGGGCCTGGGAGGGGCTGGGGAAAAGGTGGAAAAACCCGGGGAAAACGTGGGAAAACTGGGGGGGGATCTGGAAAAAATGGGAAAAATCGGGCGAAAAAATTGGAGGAAATGTTGAACTCGGGAAAACAGGTGGGAAATGGAAGAAAACCTTTGTTCTTTACCATGACAAATGGATAAAATATGGGGAGATGAGGTTCGTTTCCGATTGATGGTGCCACTGCGAGTGCCATGTTACCTTTTAGAGCCGATCCCATGAATATGAGTGTTTCTTGCCTAGCTTCCAGCAAGGTTGTGGGATTTTGAAATCCCCCACTGGTTGGTGCTTTGGAACATGAATTTTATGACTTTCCATATATTGGGAATGTTATCATTCCAACTGACTTTCATATTTTTCAGAGGCTGAAACCACCAACCAGCCCATGTTGCATAGGATTTCGGAAAAATAGTCCCAGAAATGGACAATCAACTTCTGGCGTAACAGTTCAGCACCATGACCGCTCAAAATAGTACCCAAACGGCCAGGGATTTGGTTCTGTTGCGGGACACTAATTCTGCAGCAATAAACATGAAATGTTAATGGAGCCAAAAGTGGTGTGGATTGATACACCCTGTAGCAGCGGGAACGGATGTTTAACAATCCCCGCTGGCATTCGCAGTGATTAATATGATTTGGATCATATATTCTGGATCATACGAATAACTGTGGGCACACATGACCAACAAAATTAGAGGATACAAATGGAATCTGACTGAAGGTGAAACCTGGATTGTTGTGTTGGTTAACCTTCCCAAATTAACAGTTCGACCCTGAAAATAAGCCATTTTTAGTGGAAACCAATCTTCCGAAACCTGACTCATGGCATTGTCCTTGGAGGATCAACACACTCTGGTGACCGCAAGCTGCGACTTCGCAGCGAGGACCTTGGGATGATCCTCCAAGTAAAATGGTTGGTGGATGATCATCCCAAGGTCCTCCAAGTTGTTAGTCACATTTAGTCACCATTGTTAGTAACCATTAGTATTTAACCATTGTGAACCATTGTCCATTTTAGTAACCATTGGTATGTAACCATGAGTAACCAATTATTAGTAATTAATAGTATTTAACCATTGTCAGTAACCATGAGTTACCATCAGACACCATTGTGAACCTGGGGGATGCTGTCAACTTCGCCAAAAGCTGGCGATCAGTCACCATTGTTTCTTGGTGGATTAACCCGACTTATCCCACTGGATGAACCAGGGATATCTATAGATATCTCACCTCCTTAGGATTCGTGGGTACTTCGCTACCAAGTAGTAATCATTGTGAACCCCAACCATGACGCGGTCACTTCGCAAGGTGGCTATCGAATCCCCAAGGGCTATGTGGTCTCTGCAGATCCCCGGATCTCCAACATGGACAGCAAGCTGCCCGGCGCAGTGGCATAGTTGGAGATCCACACCAACAATGCGGATCAAGCATCGAATAGGGGGGATTTCATCTTTTTTTTTGACTGATTAAAATGGACTTTAATGGGTTTTGCAGGGGAGGGGGTCATCGGGCTTTACCAATAATGCCAACACCGGATTAATAACCCCCCCAGAAGGTAGGGGGGGTACCTTCTGGCTAGTTTTCTTGACCACCCCTTAATTATAAGAAACTCTGAACCATAAAAATTTGGATATGGCTTACGTCAATTAGATCTTAATAGAATTATATTGGATTTGTTAAAATCTCATGGATCAGAAAGGTGGTCCCTTTGGGAGCTATCCAAACTGATGATTTTTACAAAGATTTTAATTAGAAATCGATCATGTGGGGAATAGTCGTTTTTTGAAATTTTCAATGATCAACTTAAACTTTAAGTATAACAATGATGCTTAAAAAAAAAGTAAAAACACATTGGAAAATAGAATTGGAAATAAAAATTGTTGGATAAACAAATGGATTTCAGCATTGGTGGTTGATTAATCGGGGGTAGGCCAAACGGTTTATTAATCAGGGGGGACCACCTGTTTTTAAATTACATTTTTTTGGGGGGGCAGTGGTGGTTGATTAATCTGGGGGGGATTATTAATCCTCACTTGACATTAACATGAAACAATGGGCATAATGGGATGGTCTTATCAACAATAATTCAAGCCCCAATGGAAAATGGTCAACCAGCGCAGTGAAACTACAATCAAATAGTACTGGGCCATGGGCCAAGTCCTGGGTGTGTGAGAAGTAGGCTGCTTGGTTTCCAGCGTTTTGCACCAAGAATGTTGGGATGAATGTAGAGAGCGCCATATAACTCGGAATACAACTTTGTACGGGTAGGAATGTAGATTGTAGCAAGCATTTTTCCCAACCAAGTAACATGGGGATGATAAAAACATGATAAACGTAATAAACGATAAGACTGGCAATCCATGCCACCAGAAATTGATGTGACGAAGTAAGCTGGAGGCGGCATTTGTTTTGGTCAGTGCCATGTTCATGAAAGATGACCATATTACATTTCAGGTATGTGTTACGCACGCACTAGTTAATGGCTAGCAGCTGGCGGGGTTGGAGGTCTTCAATACCTTATACTGAGGTTGTAAGCTCCAAAACCATTGTGCTGGAAAAATGGTCGAGTAGAATTGTCTTCTTCAAAGGAACTACTTTTTGTCACAGACACGGTTTGGACATCATTGTTTTCCAAGCACACTTGCCGGCCCAAAAAGGTATGTATACTTACTCTACTATTGTCACGTTACTACCCACAATTCCCGCCGACCACTCTTCGGAGGTGTCTCGAAGTTTCCCGTTACCCTCGGTAATCAAACGTGGCAATGGAAAACCCATTATGGATCATTAGGACTTCCATTTATAGAGGATTTCCCAGCCAGCCCTGTTTGATGAGACTCGAGTGAAATTGTGTGGTTAGAGTTAGAGACTGCACATTCCGGACACTCCATTTTTACTTGGTGGCTCACCCCACCTGGGAAGTGGGTGATAACCCGAGTCATAACTTGACCAATCTCACTTACTACATTGTAATTACTACTGGGATTATTCTTAAACCACAAGCACGATTGCTAGGGTGAGCCACCAAGTATTTATCAGATGCATTGTCCATTGAAGATGCGCACTTTCCCATTTACTTGATGACCAGAGAATATCTCTATTGTTGTGGGTTTCCTATGCATGTTGGATTCACAAATTTGTTTGTTTTAAATCATGAATTTACCCATGTGTGTTGGTCATGTGATATTGTTTGTTCATCATGTTTCGCAGCATGCAGTATGTGTATATATATATATGTTTATAATTATATATGTATTCAAGGTATTTAATGTACTTTATATATAAAATAGCAATTATATATTATATATATATTCTATATATATACTATTTATATAACATATATATATAATATTATCTATATATATATATACTATATATATATATATTCACTATATATATATAGTATGTTGGTCATGTGATCTGAGCCCTGGCATTTGCTAAGTCCAGGTTGCATGCCAAACCAGCACCTGGGATCGGCTTAGTGATTGCGGGATGGTCTGACTCGTGGTGTGACTGGGAAAATTAGCCATTTATATTCATTTATATCCATTTATAGGTATTTGATGGTATTTTATATAGATATATGTTTATAATATCCATTTGCAGGTATATGTTTATAATAATCATAGGTATTTGTTTTTATCCATTTATTATCATCCATCTAGGATTAGGTATCTGTTGATATGTTTAGATCCATGTTTTTTTTTAAAAAAAATATCGGTGTTTATCCATCTGCATTTACATATACTGTTATAGGTGCTTATTCAACCAATAATAAACATGCGGGCGTTCATTCTCCGTAGTCAGAGTAGCTGAGGGTTTGAGATGTTGTTTTTGCCATGGGCCATCGATGGGATCGTCTCCGCAGTGAGTGGTTGATGTTAAAAGAGTGGATGTCCTTTGGCCAAACAAAATGATATGTGATATATGATAATAATATCTGATTGTTGTTCATGGTTGATGATATATCGTACATTATCATACAACTCAAGTGGTTGATGTTAATCAATGGTGATGTTATAGAACTCAAGGGTTTGGGAACGATTATATGACAGTGAAAAGTGATATACGATCACTACAGTATTTATTACCATTATGTTAATTATGCGAATTATAGGTACGATCATAATATAATCTGGCTAAATTACAACGACCTCGCTGCAACCTCACTGGAATGATGGTAGATTCATTGGTAACTATCCCAAAATAGCCGCAAGTTCAGGTCAGTGAATTGTTACAATTTACTCAGATGTGTGGGTCCCAAAAGGCTTGAACATGTCGGTCCCTGTTACATTGTGAGATGGTGTTTCGTGTATCTTTATATCTCTTAGAGCATTCCTGTTCTTAATTTGGAACCATGCACAGGCTATCTAAGTTCTAACAGCTAGCAAACTGTATGATGGGAGAATCTCAGGAGTGCATGGAGGATCAGCCCAGCATCGGGGGCAAAGACCCAGAACCAGAAACATCCAAAAACCCCAAGTTGTGCTTGAGGTTTACAAACAGAGCATCGAAAAACACAAAAGGTAAAAAATATCAAGGCTCTCTCTGACTAAATCAAAATCGCCTGATTCCTCTGTCAAACCCGCACCTTTGCTGGTTTGAGCACCATTTATCATCGTTCAATTACCTATCTTGTGGGGCATCATCTTGTATAGCAACCAAAAAAAGAAACGAAACATATTTCCAGGATGGTACTTCGATGATGCGGTTCCCAGTATATTTCCAGCGTAACTTCTCAGCATCTTTTTTGGGTTGCTATGGCAATCTCAGGATACCTTTGACCCTGACCGTTTCATCGAGAGGTGCGGGTGGAAATGGCAAGAGCCAACCATTTGGATGGAGCTTCAGTGGGTTTTCATGGCTTTTGATGTTGATGGTTTTCACTTAATGACTACTGTGACACATAATCACAATTAAGTTTAAAAAAGTTAGAATAAGCTATGGTCTGGCTGAAATAAAATTAACTAACTATTAATTGATAATTCGATAGATAACTATTAACTATCCAATAATATGATGATTGTCAATGTTTATAATTACCCATCAAAATGTTTGGAAAACCAATTGAAAACCCACAAAAAAAACAATTGGGACCAATTGTTTTTTTTTCGTATTTTTTTGGTAATTACCCATGAAATTGATCGGTTCCAACCTGGAATTTCGGAAGTTTCTATGTTTATTTCCAATGATGAGCTGGGGAAACCTGTGAATCATCGGCATTAAACCAACAATTATGGTGATATAATGGGGATTGGGAATATTACCAACAATGCTTGGGAACCGTGTGGGTATTTGACGGTATTTGATGTACTTTCAACTTTTGGTGTAAAAAGGGCTTCATTATGTCAACCAGCTCTAGCAGTGTTTGTACCAGGGTATGTAAGATAGGTGATGATAGTTATTAGACCTGATCTTGTTACCATTCGGAGGGGTTTGTCGACCTGCAAGGGGCAACATGGTGACAAAGAAAAAGGAGGACTTCTTTAGTATACCTTCTGATGTACAAAAAAGATCAACAAAGAGGAATCTAGCCAACAAAAATGAGATGCAACCAAAGAATGATGGATAAACTAGGATGTTGATCGATAGGCTACGGTAGGGTGTTGATCAAACATGATATTAAACCATTTGGCAATTTCACATGGCACAGGAATCTTCCAGCAGGTTCACCTTGTAAATACGCTGCTTTCACGGTGGGTTTTCGGCCAGGTTTGTTGAAAGAATTGGGGGATCAACTCGCAAAGATGGGAATATGAGCAAGATGATCATCATGTCAATCCAGAATTTGGGATTGATAACCCCCTCGCTTGTTTGGGTTGGGTGGTGCCAATTTGTATGGTAATTCAGAAACCCATCAATATAGCGAAAGCCACAGCAGGACTCAAAGACATCACGAAGCCCATAAAGTGGATGAACAAGGGGCAAGATTCGGCTTGTTCATGGTTTTCATCGGTTTTTTGTTGCATCAATGGAAGAATATGGTGCATGATGCGATTTTTCCCACATGTTCTGAGTTGCATCTTATGGCCGCTTTTCGTCACACTCAGCAACGGCTGAACATTTGCCTGAGAAGCCAAGTTACCATTTGATTCTTAGCCTCTTGTAGTCAAACATCGCTTGCTGGTTACCATTGCCCATCTACAGATCATGTTCCCATGGAAATGCCCATTTACTTCGGGGATTTCCCATTGAGCCATGTTTGATGACACCGGAGGGTATAGAAACATAAAACCTACCAGAACCCCACCATCATCCTTTACAATGTTCCAGTCACGTGGGAAGCACTTCAAAATACTTCAGGTATGATTTGTGAGGCTTACACCTTACATTGCATTATTAATTTAATGTCTTTTTCCAGGGGCTGCAGACATGCACAGTCGATCCATATATCTTGTATACTTATTTTCTATTGTTCTATTTCTTCCCTCCCCATGAAATACATTTAATAATCATGTATCAAAATCTAACTATGACTAAAATCATCTAAAACCATCTAAAGTCATCGGAAATAATCTAAAATCATTGGAAATCATCCAAAATCCACTGAAATCGTGTAAACAATATTTTAAATTCACTTATACAATCTACATCTCAAATGCCATTTTGTCCCCACCAACCCACGCTCCTGTCGTCCACATCGTCCAGGCCCACCCGGCAGATGCCCAGCGGCAGTTGGTTCCCTGGGGGCATCGGACTTCACGGCTGTCCGGGCATCCCCTTCGCCATGCTCATCTCTAAGGTCGGGGAGGGTCTGGGGAAGCTGCAAAGATGTTGTGGGGGCTGATAGCCCGGTATTTGAATGGATTTTTGAATTAATTTTGGGAGATTTGACTGGAATTTGACGGAAACTTTAGTGGAATTTTCGAAGAGTTGGATAGATTTTACTGTATTGATATTGAAAGTTTTGATTTGATCAGATTTTAAATACGTTATTTTGAAAGAGTTGTACAGCTTTTGGCAGACTGACTTTGAAAGATGTGATTGGATTTTGGAAGTTTTTGAAAGCTTTTATTGGGTTTTAGTGGGTTTGTAGAGAGTTGAATGGATTTTGATGAATGGACTTTAGTCGATTTTGAGAGAGATGAATCGATTTTCATTGGCTTTAAAAGATCTGAATGGATTTTAGTGCCTTTTGAAAGATTTGAATTGTCTTGATTGATTTTGAAGATTTGATCGGGTTTTAATCGATTTGAAGAGATTTGAATGGAGTTTGAAAGATTTGAATGGGTCGTAGTGTATTCTCAAACATGAATATATTTTATTGAATTGATTTTATAATGGATTTTGAACAAACATGAATATATGTTTTTCACACGGTTTGAGAGATTTGAATGGATTTGTATGATTTGGAAGGAGTTGAATGGTTTTGAATAGTTTCTGGAAGATTCATTTATTTTTTATTAATTTGGAAAAACATTTATTCTTTCTTCGATTTTCAAAGGTTTGGTTGGATGTTGATGGAATTTGAAAAAGATTTGCCTTGATTTTGAAAGGCTAGATTACATTTTTAGTGGGTTCAACAATTTGAATACATAGATTGTCTTGAAACTTGCAGAGTTTTGAATGGATTTTCATGGATTTTGAAAAGTTTCTATGTTTTCTTTAATGGATTTTGAAAGACTAGACTGATTTTGTTTGGCTTTTGAAAGATTTGAATGGATAGTAATGGAATTTCAGGTATTTGAAAGGAATTTCATGGGAACTGTTGCTGAGGCAATTCTTATCTTGATGGTGCCCAATTCTTGCTGGCAAGGAGCCCAAGCCAAAATTCAGCCCAAATGCCCAAAGCTGGGTAGTGTGTTGTTGCAACTCTTGAGTTGAAAGCTTTTGTTTGTGCATGCAGCTTCTCTTGCGCAAGCTTAGCCGCAGCACAGCCTAACACATTGGCTCAGCAGCTATGGGCAGCTCTTTGGCTGGTTCCACCTACCACTGGTCCCATCAGGATGGGACTTGGGCCTGGCAATGGGGGGTCCAAGCTTGGCTCAACACCACTGTGAGATCAGCAGGTTTGGGGACTGCTGCAACTGTGATAGTTGTGGGTTTGAGCGGTGGGCTGCAGGTGGCACTATGTGAGAGGTGTTGTGCCACCAAGTTGGGAAGAATGGGAGGAGGAGCGGAAGGAATGGGTGGAGGAGAGAAGGAAAGAGGACAGGGCCCAAGCCTCGGTTCCGCTGGCCCACAAGCTCCCCCAGCTACCTCTGAAGATGGTAGCTTCTTACAGGGGCTTGTGAAAACGCGGATTTCTGGTTCTCCCCTCCTACATGCTCCTCTGTGGCGCAGCCCGCCTGCCAGATGCGAGCCTTGCCGAACAACGTGCCCATCTGCGTGAGGCACATCGTCTTTACAACTTTGTCATGGACAGTGTGCAGGCGGCTTTGATTGAGGGCGTGTTCTGTTCGGGGATTGGCCAGAGAGCCTTCGGGTCTATCTTCCTCGACAGCAACGACAACACTGCAAACACGTGTCTCTCGCCTTTTTGCGCTCACGCCTTTTGACTCTCAACCGCTGGCCTTCGCCCCGCACTGGCGCTGCGTCCCTGGCTGACAAGTTGAAACTTGGCAAAGCGCACCATGGAAAATGAACAGCTGATATTGCATGTTTCACAGCCCGCGGAACATTGCCTGATCACATTATAGATGTCTTGCTGCCATGCAATTTTCATGGCTGGTGTCCACCAAAGCTTTGCTGACTCTGAATATTGGCAGCACAAGCACACAGCCAGCCATAGCAGTGAGGTAGCGCTGGCATTTTGTGGTGACTTTGTTAGCAGCACGCTGGCCCAATCGGGTTTCGCATTACTTGTGTGGCCTGCATTCAGTTAGCCTTGTAACTACTTTTGTATTGCAGATGTACCCTCTGGTGCTTGTGGTGGTGCGATAGGACTTGCATATGTGCAACTTTCACTGGAAATTCAAAAGCCCAAAAAAACAATCTAGTCTGCACAATAGATATCTTTGCACATGCATACAGAGATGTACACACACACACACATATATATATATATGTATATATGAGTGCACAAGGCAATGTACAAGGTACTTGGGTTAAGTCGCCTTGACTTGCAGACTGTCACCTGGATGTACTTTACAGGTTTTGAATGTCTTTCATAGATTCTAGCGCGTTTTGACAGATTTGAATGTACACTATAGATTTTGAAAGGTTTGATCAGGGATTTCATCGATTTGGAGGGTTTTGAATGGAGTTTAGTGGGCTTTGAAAGATTTGAATTAAGATAAACAGATTTTATTGAATGAATTTTCGTAGATTTTGAACAAAGATGGCTTTCACAAGTTTTAAGAGATTTGACTGGTTTGAATTGGTTCTGGAAGATTTTGAATCGTTTCGAATAGGTTCTGGAAGATTTAGTTGGTTTTAATGAATTCTTGGCTTTTCAAAGGTTTGATTGGATATTGATGGGTTTTTAAAGCTGTGCCTTGATTTTAGTGCGTTTTGAAAGGTTAGATCACATTTTGTGGCTTTCACCGATTTGAATAGATTTTATTGCAACTTGCATTGTTTTTCTGAACTTTGAAAGATTTGAAGGTAATTTTTGACAAAACAACGATTTTCGTAGATTTTGCTTGTTGTGACAGCTTGGGCCCCAGCAAAAAACCACCTCATTTCTTGATGTCCAGTGTCCATCGATGTCCATCACCTGTTTACACCGGATGGCCATCGATGGCCATGTGAAATGCTTTGCTTTGCCGCTTTCACAGGTCGCTGTCCTGGCCAGAGCGGCTGTTTGCTTCGCATGGCGCACAGCTCGCGGCGAACCGCCCGAGATTGACATTGAGCTGGGAGTCTTGTCCTCAGACGTGCAAACTGAGCAATGCTGCGGAATGGATAGAAATGGGACCGCGGACCAGAAGCTTCCTTATCTTGATGGTGTCCAATTCTTGCTGGCAAGGAGCCCAAGCCAAAATTCAGCCCAAATGCCCAAAGCTGGTTAGTGTGTTGTTGCAACTCTTGTGTTGAAAGCTTTTGTTTGTGCATGCAGCTTCTCTTGCGCAAGCTTAGCCGCAGCACAGCCTAACACATTAGCTCAGCAGCTATGGGCAGCTCTTTGGCTGGTTCCACCTACCACTGGTCCCATCAGGATGGGACTTGGGCCTGGCAATGGGGAGGCCAAGCTTGGCTCAACACCACTGTGAGGTCAGCAGGTTTGGGGACTGCTGCAACTGTGATAGTTGTGGGTTTGAGCGGTGGGCTGAAGGTGGCACTATGTGAGAGGTGTTGTGCCACCAAGTTGGGAAGAATGGGAGGAGGAGCGGAAGGAATGGGTGGAGGAGAGAAGGAAAGAGGACAGGGCCAAGTGTGGGTTTTGTTGTCCACAAGCTGCCCTGGGCTTGTGAAAAAGGTGGCCAGGGGCCTGTGACAAGGATGGCACTAAGATTTGCTTCCTTGGCTGACCAGCAGGAAACATGGAAAATGAACAGCTGATATTGCATGTTGCACAGCCAGAGGAACATTGCCTGATCACATTATAGATGTCTTGCTGCCATGCAATTTTCATGACTGGTGTCCACCAAAGCTTTGCTGACTCTGAATGTTGGCAGCACAAGCACAGCCAGCCATAGCAGTGAGGTAGTGCTGGCATTTTGTGGTGACTTTGTTAGCAGCACTCTGGCCCAATCGGGTTTCGCATTACTTGTGTGGCCTGCATTCAGTTAGCCTTGCAGCGACTTGTGTATGGCAGATGTACCCTCTGGTGCTTGTGGTAGTGCGAGAGGACTTGTGCTGTAAAGCGTGTTGGCATTGGCCACATATGTGCAATTTTCACTGGAAATTCAATGCCGAAAGCAAACCTATCTAGTCTGCACAATAGATACCTTTCCATGTGCATACAGATTTGTACATACATACATGCATGCATACATACATACATACAGACATATAGATACACACTTAAACATAAATGAGTATTTTTTTGAATGCAGATACAAATTTGTATATTTTCAAAATATATTTTCATATATTCACATATATAGGAGAATTTTCTCAAGATTTCAAGTTATACATCTGGGTGTGTTTTTTTTATATAAATAGATAAAAATGCATGTGTATGTACTTATCTTTAAATTAAATATATATATATATATACGTGTATGTATATATATATATATATATATTTAAAGATACGTGTATATGTTTTCAACACATGTGTTTTAATTTATTAAATAGATATGTGTATGTTTGAAAATTGAAACATAAACATATACGTATGTTTTTTATATAACTGTAGAAATAAAAATAGAATAGATACAATACTGTTATCTAATTGCCAGTGTGTTGCAACTTGTTTGCCTTCAAACCATGTATTGTTAGAACAAAAAATGCGCCCTCTCCATCTTGATGTGCTAACCTGTGCTAAGACTATTTGTGTCCCTCTGTTTCTGCTTGGTCACTCAACCACGGAGTTGTCCAAAAATGTGGCAGTTCAAAATTCAATGGTATATCAATTATGTTTCCTGCTTAAACAGCAAATCGCGCGGGTGAATGTCCCTTTTTAACGATAAACCGTCATTTTGATTATTGACATGATTGAAATCACAAGTTTTCATGCCTAAGATGTTTCACTCATCTTAAATCCACATGTTTGCTGGCTGCATTGGCTAAATCCACCGCTTTTCCCAACATCGCTCTGGGGCTCTGGAGCTTTGCCTGACAGGTGTTTCTGGCTACGTGGTTTCAGAAGTTCAAAGATTGGAAACCCCGGAAAGGTAGCAAGGTGGGACTGGGAGGGAAACCCTGGAGCGAACTGGGAAAATCTTCGAAATCCAACTTTCGGGGTTTCAGGGGAATGATGGCGAATGTAAAGCACCAACGACCACTATCTAAGAATTTATCGGCCCTCTAGAATTATTCTAGTTATGATCAACAATGTGACCGGTAATGATCTGGATAGATTTGATCACGACCTCACGACTCGCGACGTCACGACGTATATTTATTATAAATGATGTTTAAATTGGGGTAACTATCCCGCAATGATGCAGATGATTGCAGTTTAGAGATGGAATCAGTGTGGAATTCATCGCTAGAATTTGTACTGAGTTGCTCCAAAGGCCCAGATCCCAAGCGATGGGGCATGTGAACGCTGCCCCGAAATGTGGGTATGAATGAGTTAAGTCGCCTTGAATGCCAGGAAAGTGATTCAATATAAGTTGGAAACGTAAACCCTTCTGTAGGCTATTTGTAGCAGTCAACTATCCAATTTTCGGTTTCTTGGGGATACAGTTGGGTTTATAATTAATGTTATAACATCTAGAACTGAACCCCCAGGTTGGGTTCAAATGCCAACAGGGATGTTATAACCCTCTATAACCATGGTAGCAACCCCCATAAATTGGGATATAACCCACTTATTCCAAGAAGAGCTTCAGAAACCGAAACCCCAACACTCAGACTTTTGTCCTCAGAGGCCTCGCAGCTGATTTCCTTATAAAACCCTTATTTAAAAAAACAAGAAAACAGGTCCACAAAGGGTATCCCCTTTGCAAGCCCCAGAATAGCAATAATAAACCTGCACCAGGCATGGCAATATTGAATTCCAATTGTGCTTCCCCTGGTTTTGTTTTCAGATGTTTGGAGAAAGCAAAGTAAAGCAAAACCCTTTTCAAAGCAGCAAGCACTTTTCATTAACAAAAGCTTAGATTCCAGAAATCTGATCCAATTACCAAACAGCTGATTTCCTTATAAAACCCTTATTTAAAAAACAAGAAAACAAGTTCCAGGAATTTACTATTGGAATGCTGACCCCCCCCCAAAAAAAAAAAGGAAAAAAAACAATAATTTAGGGGGGGTTATTATTAGGCAGCCTACATTAATAGAACTGCGTCCCCACAGCGTCGGTGCCCAGGAGGACTGGGTGTCGATTCCCATCCGCATCATTGGGGACAAGTACGAGATTGAAGTTACGCAGCGCTGAGAGTAGCGATCCGATCGTCCAACAAGATTTCTTGGCCCTTAAGGCGAGCAGCATCGAGTGAATAACCATCGACACATGGCGTTTCAATCGTGTTTTGCCGCTAGAAATGGCCGAGTTTCAATGATCATGGAGGAAGCCGGCATGGAACAATGTCAGCTATCGAAACAGAAATCGGAAACATATTTAACATCATGTATGTGTTCTGTAACATGCATTTTTCGCGTGGGGCACCCGTCCGTCCACGCCCGCGGCATTGGTTAACCAAAAGAAACGGTGCTGTGCCACTGAAAGTTTGGTGAATGGAGAACTAGATTGATCCAGGATACAATTGGTATCCCTTTGACAATAGCTATGGCGATATTTTGGACGGTGTGGAAAGTTCCAGAAAATTCATGAGCCGTAGATGGGCCCAAGCACTGCAGGACTTTGACTGGTTGGATGGTTTTTGACGTTGTTTCATGATAGTTGTTTTTTCCTCTTTTTAGAGAAGCCTTGATATTGCAGAAAGTCTTGGCCTTTTTTACCCTTGGTTGGGTTGATATGTGTAGACAGTGTTCGTGGAGATCCAACGACGTCAACGATGTTTTTCAGAAATGAAGCGCTGTGAAGCCTGAATGTTTGGCCTTTTGGTGATTGTTCGCTGTAGAAAAGCTGGTTGGTTGTCGTTCTCCATTCGGATCTATTTTGGATACTCCAAGTCAAACCTGCCAGAAGACCTGCAAAGCTGAAGAAAAGTATATTTCGTTTACCAGAAAAAGTGAAGCATCATTGCATCCCAGATTTTTTCATGGAAAATTTCACAGGGAAAACAAACATGAATCTACTGGAGAACATCATGGTTTCCTGTAGATGTTCCCTTAAATCCAGCCATTGACAGTCACTGTGCTCGCCATCCGTCGCCATGCGACAGCCGCCTGGTTTTTTTGGGATGGTAAAGGTGACGAGTCGGTGATGTGTTTCTTTCCAAATGGAACGTCGCTACTTGGGGAATGGATGAAGGGAAGATGTGTTTGTTTTTTTTATTTAGGGGGTGTTTCCTAAGATATCTATTCGATCTATTCTGTTTTTAAGAATGCAACGCTCCAGAGTATCTAATAAGGTAAGGGTTTCCCAGGCATGTTAAGATTTGTTAAGTGCAGTTACTAGTCACTAGGCCATTCCACCATTCTTATTGTGGTTCCAAGCATCTTTTTGGGCGTAGCCACTGCCAAGTTGGGGTGTTGCGACATGGAAAGTCCCAGTCTAGATAGCCATGTTGGTTTATAGTTTGATGCCATCGTAACTCTCAGTCCATGGGATATCAATTACCCTCTGGTTATTTAACATAGCCATGGTATAGATGGCCCATTTATAGATGGTTTGCCTATTGAAAATGGTGATTTTCCATGGCAATGTTAAATAACCAAATGGTAATATTACTATATATTACTATATGGTGATCCCAGTCATAAATAATATAATGCCAGTAGTAACATTCCTTTAAATATATATATATAATATTTCCATATGGGATATGAATTCATGTTACTATAAGGAGGATTCCCCAAAAAATGTTTTGAGCTCAGTGGTACATGTTACTTCCTGACTTGAGATGATCAACCCCGATGGACTCCATGAGCCACTGACCAGTCCAGTGGTTGATTTGGGTGGCAATGGCCCCAGACTTCTCCAAAATCTGGGTCGGTTCAAGATGAAAATAGGTAAGTCCTTGGGCATAGCTGTCCCTTGACTTTGGTCAATGTTGGTCAGTTGTTGTCCATTTTGGGGAGACCGGCTTGGATTGTGTTCCCAAAATTCCCCAATGTACCTTGCTGCCAGACCTTTGAAGCAACGCTTTTTTTTGATTGAGGAGATCGCGAATTTCGGCTTTGTGAAATACAATCTATTCGCCAACAACATGGAGGTTTCAAACAAAGGGTACCCACATCATGCAAGCCATTAGGCCATTTTAGACACCCATGGTGACTAGAAGATCCTCCATTTTTAAGAACCCCCCATATATGACTATGATTCGATGATTGAACAATTTTATATCTAATGTTGCTTTGCAGCTTGGCGATTTTGGATGAAGCTGTCATGATGATTCCAACGACTGTCATGTTTTGTTTGGGGGGCGGGTGGCTAAATCACCAACCAAAGGTGGTTCCGTTTTCTCAGTGTCTTACCCAGTGATAAGCTCCCGTGGAGGATCCATGCTTGAGGGAAATCTGATGCGATCAGTTGTGACACTTCGCATTAACCCAGTGTTAGATGTATACTAACCCCAGAATAGATACACCCATGTGAAACCTGAACATATGAGGTACATCATCATCGGTTTCAAATCCTTGAAACGATTTTCCATCTTTCAGGGGGTGGAACCCTGTAATCTAAGCAGCTACATCCACTTAGGGGCTTTGTTCCCGCGTACTCCCAATTGTCATTGTTTCACATGTTTCACCCAGTGATCAATGTCCAGCATCTAGCAGCCATAAATTGACCCATTGATACTTCCCACTTCAAATCCGGTAGCGATGTAAATTGAGTGGGTTTCCAACATCCAAATCAGTACATTTGCGTAGATCTTACATCCCAGATCATTTTTCTCTTAGTTAAATAGTTCCTGTTTTTCATATTAGTTGTAAGCTGTAAGATCCATAAATTTACCGATTGCTTGTTTTCTTAACGATCTAACGTGTTTTTTTTTCAAGATAATATATAAAAGACTCTTAGTCTTATAGTCTAATGTAATGTGAGTGATTTTCGCGTGTTTTCTTCCCCCATTCATCCCCATCCGAAGTTGCACTACAACCCCCAAATCAGCTGTTATAAACCATAGTTCACCAAGTTTTTAAACAAACTTATATACTAAATCTGCAAAAAAAAACATGAAACACATCAAATTATCCCCATGTTGGTGAAATAAATTGAAATGACCACTGGTTGGTGGTTTCAAACATGTTTTATTTCCATGATATTTTCTGGATAATCCTTCCAAAATTGACGAACTCCTATTTTTCAAGAGGGTTAAACCATCAATCAGTAACTATGGAAAATCACCATTTTTAATGGGAAAATCAACTATAAACATGTTCAATAGCTATGTTAGTCATTACCAGAGGGTAACCATGTTTCCTATGGTCTGGCTTTCCGAGCCCAGGCGCCGCCCGGTCTTGCAGGAGGTCTTCCGGCCTGGTCCGGACGCAGGATCCGCGTTGCGGGGGTGAGATACCTAGACCTCCGAATACCTTAGAAAGACATAGAAAGATAACTAGTTGGTGGTTTGGAACATGAATTTTATGGCTTTCCATATATTGGGAATGTCATCATCCCAACTGACGAACTCATATTTTTCAGAGGGGTTGAAATCCACCAACCAGATAGAAAGATAATAGGCAAATAATGGCACATAATTACCCAAGATTGTGGGAAATAACATGAAGTAACTAAAGTATCCAAGATTGTGGAACTCAAAGACCATTTTTTAAGCCATGTTAATGAGTAATTTGAGGCTCTGGGTGGCTATTAAATGTTCCTCGAATTGTGAAAACACTGGGATTTTTAACGATTTATAGATCGCATAGCTATGAAATAGTTAATACGACCAAATATATCCAAATATGGGTAAGTTTGGAGACATGAGTTTTCGTCTTAGGTACTTATTAAATTGCGAAAAGAAGCAACAGAGGGAAATTTCATCGATGAGTTTTGAGTAGCTGAACGAGTAAATCTGGGCATAGTGTTGGGCATGTTCAATCAACCAAGCATGCTAAACCTTGGTGGGTAGTTTTTCGTGGTTTGATGGAGATATATTTCATATCGAGTTCCACGGTCTAGTTTCTACATGTTTCTACAGCATCTCCAAATTTGGCCATGAAAGATGCTCATCAGATTTCAGAAGCCAAGGACGGGTCATATCTCCGTGATAGAGGGCTATCTCTGTCAGATTGCCACTCCAAAGAACTTAATGTCGTGGAACATCACCGTTTTGTCTCAAACGCGTAATCTGTATGTACCTCATTGGTTTCAAATTTGTTCCATCCATGTACTGGAAGTCAAAGCCAAATATCCTATCCATTGATCCATTGAATTATCTTATTGTTGCTGATATTTGTATATATGTGTGGCTTTCTTTAGGGGCTCACATCGAAACCCCAATTCTTCTCCTAGCGGTGCCACTGCACACATTCCAGCTCCACGAGATTCATCTTCATTGAGCTTGCTTAATCTGGATTCATCTTGATCTACCTAAATTCATCTTAGTTCACTTGAATAGCACATCTTTTCCAATCTTGTTCAGCAGATGTCTTACAGTTGTGCGAATCATTGACCGGCAGGAGAGGATGAGGAGCAGTACCGAAAACGGATGAAAAGGCAAGAGCAGGAGGCACGGCGCTGCTGCGGCTCGATCGGAATGGGTGACAGGTTTTGAGCTGGGGAAGCAAGCAAACTTCATGGTGATTTTCCAGACATGGAGCTGATTTCCAGAGGCTACTCAGAAGCTGCAAAGTGATTTCTTGCATGTTGAAATCTGGTTACTTATTGCTCTGCGACTTTTCTCGATCAAGTACTGGTTTGAGGGAACGGTTTTCCTTATACAACTCCTTGGTCTGCTGTTTGGTTGCCGAAATGTCTGCCGCCGCTGGTTCCAAATTGACCACCTTGGATAACGTGAAGGAACGAAGATCCCACAGCGCCGAATGGGCCATGTAGATGTGCCCAAAGATCACGTTCAGTTTACCCCCATGAAATAACAATCTGGTTGGTGGTTTGGAACATGAATTCTATGTTTCCACATATTGGGAATTTCATCATCCCAACTGACTTTCATATTTTTCAGAGGGGTGGGTTAAAAACCACCAACCAGCAATCGGCTTTGATTGAGATATCGGCAGAATTGGAAAAACATGCAAGCCAGTCCAAAGTTGATCATCCTCACAAGTGTTCAATTAGCGGGCTTCCACCCAAACTTTATTCGCAGGACTATCCCCATTCTGCCTTGGTTCCGATGTCTATTTTCCCGGGTTCTGCTTGATTCCATCCCTTGTTTTACACTGCCACTTTGAAGCCACAACTTTTCTTGGTCCTCCAACTGCTTCATGAAAGGTATAAATGATATACTGTATCATAATATCTGTGTATATAACTTAATGGGGGCTATAAACCAGCTTATCACTGGGGGTGTGTCTACGCTCCCTTGTGGAATCAGATGGCTGATTTTCTGGCGCCAGATGGCTCCCTATCTGATTGGCATCGTACTGTTCATCGCTGTGGCTGTGGCTGCTGTTCTCATGTGGAGCGGATGCTCAGATCGAGCTGGTGCAGGTAAGGTAAGTGATCATAGATGAACTGTTAGGTAAGAAAATTTTAACTTAATCAAAATGTTAAGAATTAAGTGTTGGGTAAGAATGATTATACTATCATTAGATTACAATATACTATCATTAAAAATTACAATGGAATATTGTAATTTAACAATATTTAATGATAGTATAATGATTGGTGAGGGGTAGACATGCGTTGATGTTGATGTTCAGGAGAGTGTTATTAAGTCTTAAATATCCTAGCAATAGGTTTGGAAATTCTTGGGTAATTTTTGGCATGGGCATTCAAATTAATGGCCATGTTAAAGGGGAGAGCGCTTTTGTTTCTCAAGCATGGCATAAAAATGGGACTCTATGTTAGACAAGCCGAAGCAGCAACCTCAAAATGGATTAATGAGTTGAAGAATGGTAAACTGAAAATGATGAAATTACATGGAGGTAATGAGGTAAAGACGCAGTATCTACGCTGGATGGTTGCGAAATCCGAATCACCAGTTGAAAACGGTGGTCAACATCCCACTATTTTTTTGAGGGTACCATCCGGTTGTTGATGCAGGATTTCGCAACCAACCATCCACAGTATATGCAACATGATGTTTTGTTCTATCTGAGTTTCCAGCCCGTAGGCATGGCAATAAGTGCATCGGAAACAGGATGGCTGGAACGATGAGGTTGACCTTAGTAGCCTACACTAGAATCCGGATTAATGGTGGTTTCATGGTGCTTCAATGTGGAAACAAACCATGTTTTGTCTGCATAATTGAATACATATGTACAATATATATATATACACACATAGACACATATATATATATATACAGACATATATATATATAAGCAACAATATGATGTTTGTGTGTCTGACAATGAGGTACAACTCCAGTTTATGGTTTATGGCATTGTTTTAAGGGAAAATGCTGACAAAATAGCGGAAAATTGGGGTGCCCAAGTTCAGACAAAGCTATGTATTGAAGTACAACCAAGCATGCTGCTTCAGCTTCAGCAACACGGGGCTGGGGATGTTGAAGCCAATTTATATGTTGTTGATATGATTCCTATGCAACCGTGGCCACTTCATTTCTTTTCAGTGACTCATCTCAGAATGTGAGTTTGTCATAGTTTGTCTGAAAGTGGGGTGTGCCCAACATGGTTAAATTTAGTTAAGTTATAGTTGCAAAAATCATGATAAAGTTTATCATGGATTTGGGGATACCCTTCCCGCCATTAAAGTATCTTTTTTTTGTCGAGAGCAATGATACATACTGTAGATGTCCTTTTCCCACTGGGTCTGTTGGTAGAGCTTTGGCATCTATGTAAGAACACAATAAATCGGACTCCTAATATGCTCTCAGTATGGGGATGCATCAGTCCACGCAAGGTTGTACCGTATGGATGATCATAGCTGCTGCTGAGATATTACAGCGTGTTGTCCGGAGCTCCGTCCTGGCTTTGCCTTCACTGCACAACTGGCTTCAAGCGCGTAAAGTGGACTTGGGGCCCACATGCGGTGGAACATGACTTTTGGTAATCCAACCTAAGAAATTGGCTTATACAGTTTTACCATGTTATACCTATGCGTACCCCTGGTTTTCCCACAACTACCGGTAATGGCAGTCGGGTGAGAATGGCGACTTCGCAAAGACCTGTAGATGGTGATTTGAGGTGATTAGTGAAAATCTAGTTTTGGGAAGGGAAGATCTTGATTACGACAAGTGGGGGTTCCCTGAAACGGGGCCCCTATTAAAATAGATGATTACAAAAAAAGAGGGATATAGTAAACGCATCAGAAATGAGTCTATGACAGTCTATGTCTGTTTTGGGAATTATCATACGGGAGTGAAGGAATTCCAGATGCTCAGCCGGCAAAAAGGTAAGTATAAGCGACAAGCAAGTGAAAAAAGCACTTTCCTCTTTGTCAAAGCAAGTTCGCCGTAATTGACATACCTGGATGTGCATCCAGAAATTGCAAGCGGGTAGGAACCATAAGCTCAGTCACTTTTGCGTGGGGTATAGATGGGATATACCACAGTTATTAAGCTGGTGTATGAATCATTTACTATAGTTGGTTCAGGAACCACCCCCAAGTATGGATGGTAAATGGTATACTGTATACTTATGTATACCCCTCATCCCATCAAAGTCCCAACTGCTTCACTAACATTACCCTCTGGTACACATACAAAAAGCTATTGAACATGGCCCAGTCGAAATAGTGGATTTTCCCATGAAAATAGTTAAAAATGGTGGATTTTCCATGGTTTTTTGTATGTTTACCAGAGATTACCTGGGATCCTGGTGGATTTCGCCGTTTCGCCCAATTAAGGTGGCACCCCCACATCGACTTCCACCGCGCACCCGCCAGCAAGAGGGACTTGGAGAAGGCTGAGGCGAGCCGGAGGATCCAGTGAAAAATCATGGATTTCACCATCAAACAATTGAGTAAACATACAAAAAACTATGGAAAATCACCATGTTTAATGGGAAAAGCCACTATTTCGACTGGGCCATGTTCAATAGCTTTTTGTATGTTTACCAGAGGGGAACGGAACGATATATAGTGTAATTGTAATATCTTGTAATTGGATATGACTCAAATATCAGAAATTGCCGTTAAGCATCAACAATTATTCGGTTGAACATGATTCCACCATCAACATAAGAATGGGATTTGGCAATTTGAAAAAAGCGGATTTCACCGAAAGAATCTACTAAGTCGAACAGGAACTGGTTGGTGGTTTCAAACATTATTTTCCATAATATATGGGATAATCAGATAATCCTTCCCATTGACTTTCATATGTTTCAAGATTGTTATTGCACCAACGACCAGGGAAAGCATTGCATTTGTTGTATGTCTCTAAATGTATCAAACACAGGGAATTCGCCGTGCAGAACTGATTTTTTCACCTTGGAGCCTTGTCGTTTTCAGGTGGGACATCCCGGGGAGATGTGGACGAATCGTGAAGGATTTTTTCGGCACTGGAACAGCTTGTCGCACCATTTCATGTGTAGACCAACCCTAAGTCCTCATTTTGTGGGGTTATCCATGGATTCCATGGTTATTTTCTATTGATTCTATTGTATAACTGGGTGATAGGGTATGATAGACCACGAAGTGCGGAGTGTCGTGTTCATCAACTTGTGCAGATCATGTCCACCGCTTGGTGTGGCAAATCTTCCCAGAACTTGTTTGAGGGAACTGTTAGAGGAAACTGATGGAAACTCCAATGTTGCTGAAGTCATCCTGCAGATTCTTCCTGAGCACCTCACCCAGGTCTTTACAGTTTTCCATCTCAAGCCAGATAACCCAGCTATTTTGAAGGTTTTGAACTGCAGGTTTTGGCAAATCTCAAGAACCACACCATTCTTCACGTCGGTGGCTTGCCGGGCGCCCAGGGTCTTTCCACTCCTGAGCCTGGCGTGTACCTGGTGTATTGTATTTCTTGGAATGTCTTGGTTGCTGATTATAGTCATGTCATAGGGCCATAGGGCATAGGGGTTTTCACATGTTTTAACTATCGAACTATGCGGATATAAGCAGACATAGCTGATATATATACCCAAGATATTGGGCCAATATTGGGGATCATCATCAGAATTCATGATCGGAAATTCCCTTGTAAAGCGACGAGAGATGCTGATAGGAACACTGCCCATGTGCTTGACTCAGCGTGACACCAACATGATCCACCATTGTCCCTGAGCTCCTCGATTGCTAACTTTCGACCTCCCATTGCACTATTTGTGTGTATCTGAAGAAAAGCTGCGGTTTTGAAATGCTGCGGTTTTGAAAGCAACAATTCGACTTTGTTGAAACAGTCTCTAGTATTTCTATAATGTGGGTAAAGCAATAATAAATCATCCCCCAAATCACCATTTTTATAGGTGGTATGGTTACCATTCCCAAATGGGGGGTTTATGGCACTGTTTTACCATGTTTTACCTACATTAGTGGTTTTTCGCAATTCCCATGTTTGGGATTATCCGGCGAAATGTTCCCTTCAACGATACCTGGATTCATTGCAGGCAGCAGAGGGCACGATGATCAAACGTCAACTCAAACGTCAGAAAAGCTCTCAGAATTTGTCTCAGGTAGACAGCCAGAAAAACGCCAGTTAATATGCCAAAAAGACAAGCAGAAAACATGTAAGAATAAATGCCAAGATACCAGGTAGAATGTCAAATGTCACGTCAGAAAATGTGTCAGGTAGAATGCAAAAAAAACATGTCAGAAAGAATCTCAGATAGAATAGAAAGTCATATAGACTGTCAGTCAGACCACGGGATAAAAAAGCGCAAACCTTTCAGATAGAGCATCATAAGACATGTCAAAAGGATGTCAGATAGAATGTCAAAAGCCATGTCCGATAGAATGCCAAACAGCGTGCCAGAAAATACACCGTCAGATGCAAAGACACAAATAATGCCGAGTTTTTGTTTCGCGAGATTTAGTGACATATAGAATGCCAGCAGAAATACCCGATAGACAAGCAGAAAAAAAATCAGCCAAGATCTTAGATAGACTGTCCGACAATTCTTGGGAACACATGCCAGATCTGACGTCACATCGAATCTCTGGCAAACGGTGTATATTATATATATATATGAGAAGAAAATCGTGTCAGAAAACATGTCAGATAGAATGCCCAAAAACATGTCAGATTGCATGTCAAGAGAATGTCAGATAACATGCCAGAATTCATGTCAAAAGGAACGTTAGAAAGTACGTATATCAGATAGAATTATACGGAAACATGGCAGGATTTATGTTGGATCACAGCCAGATGAAATGGCACAGAAGAGAATGCCAGATGAAATGTCAGAAAATGACAGATAAAATGTCAGAAAGTATGTGAGGTAGAATGTCAGATAACATATCAGAAAATGTGCCAGAGAGAATGCCAGATACCATGCCAGAATGCTGCAGATAGACTGTCAGACAGACGGCCAGATGGAAAAGCAGAAAAAATATGCTAGATAAAATATCAGGCAGGGTGCCACAGAAAATGACAGATAGAATGCCAGATAAACTGACGAAACATATGTCAAATAAGCAATCAGAGAAATCATAAGATGTAACTCAGATAGAACGTCACATAGACTGTCAGCGAAACACCCAAAGACAATGTCACATAGAATGCCAGATAAAGGATTGGAATGCATGCCAGACATGATGCCAGATCGAATGTCCACTTAAATGCCAGATAGGAAGGCACATCACATAATTGTCAGACAACATGTGTCGGATAGCATGTAAAATAAGATGCCAGATAGAATATAAGTTGGCGGGCTGGGATTACCTAAACAAAGCAATTAATTTGACTCATGATGGTTTAAGCGCTTTGTTCTGGCGACGCACCTTGCAAACAGCTCAGGACACGGATTTACATGAGACAAAGACACAGGAAGATTCCAGCGCGTGGTAGACGAGGAATGAACAGAACGATCTAGATTCTGAGACAGAAACTGTCACCGTTCTACACCCTATTGACACCTGCAGGAGCCCCAAAACAGCGGATCCTAAGGTCCTTGGATCCATGGGGGGGTTGTTACCCAAAAATGTTACCGGAGTGCCATATAGACCATATATGAGCATATAACATATATACTACTTTTACCGTTCTAATGACAATATGTTTAACATCCTACAGGATGGGGCCCCAAATATAGCTAAGTTGTCCTTTTAAGCGGCTTAACTATGGTTTATGGTAGCTATAACGAACTAGTTAATGGAGTGTATAAACCAACTTATAACTGGGGAGCACCTTCCTGTATGTTACCAACCAAAGGACCAGATTTCTTGGTCATTGGCTCAGGCATTACAGCGGCCTGACGCTCTTGTCTGAGCTGTTGATCCAGCACCCGGATCTGGTGCGGGCGCCCACTTGGAAAATGATGGAAAATCATGGAAAATCATGGAAATTCACAGTTTCTACAGTATATAATCTAAAAAGGTGACATGTTCAATAGCTATGCTGGTTTATGGGGGCTATTAATGCAGCTGTAAATGGGAAAAAGATGGAAAAAACTAGTTGGGAGACGAACTCACCGGGGTTACATCTACCATCATCTACCCAGTTGCTATGTGGGATGGTTAAGCGCCTATTTGGGATGATAGCACCAACCAGCTTGGGAGAACCATATTTGTTTTGACTTGGGAACCACGCCTAACATCACTATGGATTTGAAATTCGAGAGGGTGAGTTTATCACCGTTTGTCACTTCTTGATCTTACGGATTTGGCCTTGCTTGTAGACCTATTCACACCCATTTGGATGGTGCTAATTTAGCCAAGAAAATATCCATATACTGTATCCTGGAAAACCGATCTATCTACAGATATACCATCCCAAGAACATAATATCATCAACCATCTTCAAACATATAATCACATTTTGCGTGATCACGACATCTACATGTTATCCGCATGTTTCTCAATAGGCAACTCCTAGACATTCGTTGTTGGTGAATGTGTCAAAACCTGAACAATACAAATGTTATGGAACTAGATGAAACTAGATGGAACTTGTTCTGATGTGTTTCAAGCTTATTGTTACCAGTAACTTGATGCGCAACTGCAGGAAGTGTTCAACTTGATCAACATGCAACTGAGCCCCATGGCCATTGATAGCCTATAAAAAGGTATCTCGGGCATCATCTCGTTTCCATAATTTTTGATGTTCAATCCATGATTCATGGGATAGTCCTATAAGTGAATTTCATATATTTTTCAGGGCCTTGCAGCCCTCCAAAACCAGCAAAACGGGGCTGAACTGTGCCCGGGCCTGGATAGTGCCCCACCAAGGCTGGGATGAGACATCAGGAGGGTGCTGACAAGCGCAAGGCGCGACGCCTGTTGACGAAATTTGCTGTTTTCCAGCCTCGGCCATGATTGCCGGAGGGTATTATACTGGAGTTACTGGGGGGTACTGGAGAATATCCGGCACTGAAGTGCAGCTTTTTCTGGGAATCTGTGGACAGTGAATGGAAACTCTGCCTTTGGACCATTCAACTCCTCCACAGATTCCAGTGGTAAGTCATGGACCCTAACATCCATCCTCAAAAAATGCAATGGCTCATGGGAAACCAATAGTAATAATGTGTTTTTCATGTTGAGAACCCCCATGCTTTGCCAAGAAAGTCTCAGGTTGCCACCAAATGCCACAATATTGGCACATGACCAAAAACAAATCTTTACCCAGTTTTCCCACAGATTAAAAATCATCAAATTGACCCAAGAGAGGTACCTTGTTTCCAAACTCAGGGATGCCATATATGTATATCTGGTTGGTGGTTTGGACCTTTTTTTATGTTCCATAATATATGGGATAATCCTTCCCACTGACGAACTCATATTTTTCAAGATAGTTCAAACCACCAACCATTTATTTATATATATACAATGTATAGAGCTACCCCATGTTTTGTGATAGAACCGACACCCGACATCGCCAGACCCACTGGGTGAGCGACGTGGCCAACGACGGTGCCAAAGCGATTCAGAAATTGGGAGAGATCACCAGGAATTCTGGGAAGATGGGGGGCATGCCCATCTACTTACTGGTGCTTTGCAGGGAATGAGGGAATGATCCATAATCCCATTCCCCCATTCCCATCCATTCCCTACTAAGCACCAGTAAGTCTAAGGTTGGCCATCAACACATGTTTTTTGTATCTTACTTGGGGGATCACCCCCAAGCATCGTGGTTAGTAGCTGAGATTAGCTTAGCCATAAATGGGATAATCGTGGAGAAGCCACGAGTTCTGGGCAGTTCAAAACCAGGTTTTTTTACCCACTTACATCACATCCAAGTACAGTAGCACTGATATCTTCGAGCTGCCCTCTGGAACACATCCAATGGACGGCGGTCCGTGGCTTGGTGTTGAGCGGCTCTCAATGGAAGATATTTCAGAAATCAGTTTTTTTTGAACAGCCCACGATTAGTTAATGGATGATAAAATATGATAAAACAGCTGATTACATCGTATATTTGGATATATTTGGATTTTGTGCATTTGAACCCAGGTTTAGTTGTTTTGGCAAGCTTCAGCTTCATGACGCTCCATATTGGCCCTTCCTTGGGGATGCAATGACACGGATGTTCTTTCTTATGGGGTTCCCACTGAACAACCAGTAGAGAAATGATGTCAAACCGTTCCTCCCAAACCCAGCCCGAGACATTTTTCCTAGCAGATCAACAGGGACATGATTCTGGGTGATAGTTGTGCAGTTCACTTGGTTCAACCTGTTCCAACCATCTACCCTCGTTAACATAGCAATGGAACAACATCACATGTGTAGCTCCTGCTGGAACCTCCATTAGGGATTTCCCAGCCACGTGGGATGACACGGGCGGGTGATGTTGCTGTCCAAGTTGTGCCAGGTTGTTACCTGCAAACAGTGATTCCGAATTTCGGCACTGACCATCGACAATTCATGCTCTGGACAAGCGTCCGTTGTGGCATGCGGCTGGGAAGTGAGGCAAAGATATGTATACCGTTGTATACCTGCATCAGCAAGGATGTTGTGTCATATGAAAGATATGTTCAGAAATATGTGGCAACCCAGAAAGAGGAGATCAAGTCTGATCAAGTGAAGAATTTTGACGAACCTTTATAAGGATCTATTTGTGTTGTTTTTTTTCGTTGGAAGGGTCACATATAATGCAAGGAGTCACCGGATGAGAACTTTTTGTTCGGATTTGCTTGGGTCAAAGGCCAATGAAAACCGTCAGCCAAAGAGTATAACATATGTATACGTAACTTTTCTGCCCCCTATCTACGGTTATACTAATTTATATACATATAATATGTATATACATTATATATATATAACATTAAATAATATATATATATGTCACACACTTCCCTGCGGTTAGTTAGTTAGTCCTGCAGATATAGGATGTATAGAATGTGTATATGTATATATCTATGTCCAACGGTTTGTGAACTCTAAAGTGTGATGGCATGTATGCGGTTGGCATGGATCTGGGTGTCCATTGGCTCTTTCTTGGGTTGCACCAAACATTACAATGAGGATACGTACTTGAAGTCTCTCTGGCATTTAATTCTACATAGTACCCTAAACGAAATCGGTTCCGATGCACAAGCGAACCTGGTCGGAGAAGTGCTGCATCTCTGCACCATTCCCATAGTGACATTGTCAAACACGGTCAGACTCTTGCAGGTGAAAGAAGCTGGACACTTCGTGCTACTATGATATATAATATATCTATACTATACTATATATAAAACTATACTATATATATATAACTATTCTATACTAAGTTTCCAAAAGATGTGGTCACAGGTTCCAACGATGGTTCACGCTCAAGAAAATTCGGCACGCCGATATACGCTGATTGCTGGTGGCGATGGTTCGGTCCGAGCATCTGAGCTGAGAAGAAAATGCTGGATACTATATATATAGTATATCTTACTACATATATGTATATATATATATATATAGTATAGATATGTAATTACAATTATATTTATATATATATGTATAATATATAGTATAGTTATATATATATATAGTATAGTTATATATATATATAGATAGTATAGTTATATATATATATAGTTATATACATATATATATATAGACTATAGTCCAACAATTGCTCTTTCATGGGAACAGAATTGATAACGCCAAACCCATCTTCCATGATTCCTATATCCATCTTTCCCGGTGACATGCCCCATGAGTTTCGATAGATCCCGCTAGCATGAAGTATCGGTAAGGTCCTGTCCATGATTTATTGGAAAGATCTTGGCACGTCCCAATGGTTTTCCATTCCTATTAGATGTTGGTCTATCATCAACCACTATTCTATGCAACCTTGGTTTACCATTAGTAAAAGAAAGATCCAATGGGGATAACAAGAATATACAAAAACCATGTGACAGTCCATTGCTATCCTTTTAACATGTTAAGTATCATTTTACCTACCTAGACCTTCTGTTTGTACCCACAAAAGCGATGTTTTACCCCATGCTATTTGTATTTTTACCATTTGTTGTTGGCATTTGGAGGGTCTACAAGGTGCTACCCCCCCATTATAAGTCGGTTTATGAACCATCCTAACTATAGAAATATCACAATCAGTTGGGTTATAAACCATAGTAACTATAGAAATATCATGAAATATCTACCGGATCAGGCATGAAAACCAGTAAACACCAGCCTTCGTGACATTCGAAAACCCATGGCGTTGGTGTCGCGGTGACGGTCGCAGGAAGTCTCTGAGCAAATTCGCTAAGCGAATTCTGCCCGAATCCGCTGTGGCAACTTGGCTTCGGCTGGCATTTGCAAAGGGATTTCGCGTGGGAAAAGCAGCAGAACTCCATGTGTTATGGGTAGATCAACTACAGGAACCGACAGAATTATGGAAAAAAAAACGTTTCAATTTACAGGCGCCGCCTGTCTATGATAGAAAAGTTACGAACCTTTTTTTTTCCATAATTATTTTTTCCATAATTATTTTTTTTCCATAATTCTGTCGGTGACTGTATGTCCATCGATTCGCAATTTGAATGCATTTTCAGGGGGAATATTGAATTATAGAAAATATGTGTCTAAAGATCTGGTATATGCCCCTAAGTCTTCATACTTGCATTTGGATACATATTTCCATAACCCCCCAAAAAAAGGGGTTTGAATTGTGGATCCATGACATGTCCAACAGGTGGAGCCCCAAACATTAATTATGGAAAAAATAATTATGGAAAAAATAATTATGGAAAAAAATAATTATGGAAAAAAATAATTATGGAAAAACCGGTCAATCTGCCCTAGCCCCCTGATTTTACAGGAAAAATCAATTATGGAAATAATGGCCACCTCCAAGAATTATGGGAAAAAAAAAAGGTTCGGATCACTTCCGGGATATTTTGAACCCTTATGGGGAAAAACCTAATTATGGAAAAATCGGACGCAGGCGCCGCCTGTCTAAGTTGAACGTTTTTTTTCCATAATTCTGTCGGTGACCATATTTCTATGGCCATTTTCAATAGCTATGTTAGTTTACCAGAGGGTATGTGATAGAATATGATGGTTTCCAATCCATGGTACCTCCAAATCATCCATTCTTTGAACCATCCAGCTACTGGGGTAGCCCCCAAAATGGTATCCCTATAACATACATACATACATACATACATACATACATGCATACATGCATACATGCATGCATACATGCATGTATACATGCATACATGCATACATGCATACATGCATACATGCATACATGCATACATGCATACATGCATACAGGCATACATGCATACATGCATACATGCATACATGCATACATGCATACATGCATACATGCATACATGCATACATGCATACATGCATACATGCATACATGCATACATGCATACATGCATACATGCATACATGCATACATGCATACATGCATACATGCATACATGCATACATGCATACATGCATACATGCATACATGCATACATGCATACATGCATACATGCATACATACATACATACATACATACATATACACACACGTACATACATACATACATGCATGCATGCATGCATGCATACATGCATACATACATACATACATACATATACACACACATACGTACATACATACATATACACACACATACGTACATACATACATACATACATACATATACACATACGTATATATATATATATATATACACGAAAAAATGGTATATCAAGGGAAAGACCACATTTTTTCATGGAAATCCAACAGGTTTCCAACTCGGAAAATTGTACACATACAAATGATGAATGTTCCACAATGTAGTTTGTTAACATTTACGGGAGGCTACATAGCTGGGAAACCTCCCAGGAATGGTTGAGAATGTGGTAAACCCAATGCCATGAACCATCTTGGTGTTCAACCATTTGGTGTCTTTGAAATTCATCCCAGTTAGAAGGGAACAAAAATCATGCTATATCCAGTGCTTTAACATCCCTGGGGATGTTTATTATTGGGTTTACCCTCTGGTAATTTAACATAGCTATTGAAAAATTGTCATTTATAGTGGATTTACCCATTGAAAATGGTGATTTGCCATAGTTATGTTAGTTTACCAGAGGGTACTTCACAACATGTTTGCTTTTGACCACCAAACACTATGGTCAATTTCTGGGTACAAAGTTTGCTAGCAAAGGATCCCAAGCTGTGGCCGTGGCCCTGGCGAGATTGGCGAATTATGCCATAATTTTTCCAAATCCCCAATCTTTATACATACCCTCTGGTAAACTAACATAACTATGGAAAATCACAATTTTTCATGGGTAAATCAACTATAAATTGCCATTTTCAATAGCTATGTTTGTTTACCAGAGGGTAAATATAAATAGTATGATATCCCTATTGCATACCCTGCATAAATATAATTTATGCTAATAGTTAATTAGTATATCTTCATTGTATCCCCTTTATCCAGATGGCTGTGGACATGGCTATCCAGCGGCATTTTCCCACGGGTCGCCTGTCTCGCACGCCTTGAGGAGCGCTTTCCATGGATGAAGATGCCAGGGGCTCAAATCGCTGGATGGTTTGGGAGGTGTGTTTCAGGTGTCCCCTCGTGTAGCTGAACGGTTTGCAAATTGGAAAATCACCATCTTCAATGGGGAAATCCTCGAACCTTAAATCAACCATATTTTCCACAGCTATCCTGTTTTCTTTGGTGTTTTTGTGACTTTCGAGGCTGCAAAAAGTAAGGATACAAAACACGCATTGTTCGGATCCCTACAAAACGGTACCGAACTTGAAATCCATGCCATGTCCTGGGTTAACTGTTTTGCCTGGGCAGTGAGTTCAACCCAATTATATATGGTTTTCACATATATATATATATATACGCACTGTTATACACTGTTATACACTGTTATACACCATCCAGTAAACAAACATTGGCCCATCAAACCATGGCCCATTTAGAAAGATGCGTTACGACTATATTGATGTGGTGATATTTGACATAGCTATATTAGTTTATTGGAGAGTATGTATATATGTATATATGTACATATGGACTATCCCCAGCTATTTATTTATAGATTGTAAATAGGTGATCAGCCCCTTCAATCATAGAATTCACCCCATTATATTCACCAACTTAGACATCTTAGCAACTATGTATACCATATTTGTCTGTATCAAAGTGTCCACATGTTGTCATATCTTTGGTATTACACTCCCCAAAATTAACATAAATCCTGCCAAATAGGCTGTTGGATGATTACTTTCCGCTAAACATGGTCTATTGTCAGGGTCTATATGGCTATGAGTCAAAACCTAGGACCCTAGGTGCCCTAAGGTAGCTGGTTAATGGATGTTTATTCCCCCAGCCGTATGGCAATTTCACAGGTAACTTGACCCATCCCTATATCGGGTTGATGATTTCAAACATTTTTTCCCATAATATATGGAATAATCCTTCCCATTGACGAACTCCATCATTTTTCAAGATGGGCACATTGCACCACCAACCAGATAAAGACTTTATTGCCTTATCGATCAGTAGCTATGTCAGCTATGTTAAATTACCGGAGGGTAACTTGACCCATCCCTATATGAATTTGGAGGGTTTACCCGGTGACCTGTACCCCCATTTTCTTCACGAAATCCCATGGACAAGTCCCTGCGAAGGCGCCAGGGGATCGGCCGCTTTGCTCTCCATCCAGGGTCCCTTGGGCGAAAGTCAACAGCCTGGCCGGATGGGGGCCCCGAAGTCACTGGTGAAATGTGATTTCCCCAGTCATAGGGTCATATGAAAAAGGTAATTTGGTGGATCCCCATATATGAGAGAGAGAGATATATATATATTATGTATATGGATTACTATGTGGTTTCTAAACACGACTCTACTAACTCGGATGAATAGCTGTTGATCACGACTTCACGGCAACCGACTCCTGGAATGGGAAACAAAGGAGCGAGGTTTTAAGATATCCCTTTGTTCCGGTTTTCAGATGCGTGAAACATTATACTTTACCCAGACCATATGAAACAGTTTAATTATGAGTAATTATATCTTCGGATTTTATGTGGGGTATAAATCGGTAACCACAACTCCTAACTCCTAACGATACTCCAAGTATTTGTCCATAAGCAAAATCCAGCATGGTGAATCCACCGGGAGGACGTCCAAGAAATTTTCGAGGACGGTGGCTTTGAAAACACTTGCTGTGCAACATATGTGTTTTTTTCTATCAACAAATATAGAAAATATCACCATGACCAATATGAAAAGTTGCTTGGATGCTCGACATAAGCGGCACCTAAAATACAATGGAAAACTATTCTGGAATGGGAAGGGACCTAAAATCAAGGATATGTATAATATATATATATAATCAATATCCGGTTTTGGTTGCGACACAAAAAAAGATAGTACCGGAATATTTTCCATCAGGATCAACCTGTCTGGGAATCTGCGGTGGTAGAAAGTCCCCGGTGGCCAGGTATGAGCACCAGAAGGTAACAAACAAGGCCTTCACAAGAAGACTTCTTGATGAGAAGTGCTATTCAAATTCAACCGACGTTTTTTGTTTGTGGTTATTGCTCTTACCATGTTTGTTTTTATGTGTACATGCAATGGGAATTCCAGGATCCTAAAATGGAGCTACCGAAGCCATAGCCATAGATATCATAGAATCTGGAAGTATATCTCCTATCCAATAGGATCCATGTATGCTATATATATATATGGTAACATTTACCATCAATATACCCCAAATGTTAGCATATATACCAGACATGGATCCTATGGGTACATATATCCCCTATATCGACCTTGCACAGACCTTATAATCCTATGGTAGGTAGCTCCAAGAAATCCTGGAATCCTGAGTCCTGGCCATTGCAGGGTGGTTTCATACTGTCATGGCATGGTCTATAGTGTCAATGTACTTTAAGAATTACTTATTATGCTGATACTAATGGCCCCAGAGCATGTCATGTGTCTTTTTTTGGACCTTGAAAACCGTGGATTTGAACTACCAGAACTAGAATACACCAATCTCCATAGTCATTTTGCCCAAAACGAAAGAATCGCCAGCCCCATGGCGCCTCGAATTTGGCCGCAGCGCGAAAGAAAGACCAATCCACTGAGGATGATCCAATTTCTGACCAATCTCGATGAAGACGAGATTAATAGTCGATAGTGGGGCAATAACAAGTCATGAGACATCATGAGCCTACAATAGTTAGTGTATATATATATACATATACATACATTATTATATATACATATACATACATACATATAAATATGAATACAATATACATATCCCCAATGGATCATTGATCCTCCTATCGCCGAGGCACCACTTGGATGATAGTTCTTCCCTGATCAGCAGCCGAGCCCAGGCAGCGGGCCAAAAAAGGGGCCAAACAAAAGTGAGCTCTGCGTTGACGCAGAGTTCACAACTGGCTTAACGTTTGGGTTTATGTGGGATATAACTTGATATAACTATAGTCAATGAGTTTTAAAAACCTAACTTATAACTGCAGAGCCTCACCTTGTGGTGAAGGGTACCGAAGTATACTCTACCCTCGAGTAAACTAGCATAGACCCTCAAAATAGTCCATTTTGAGTGGAAACAAATCTTCCAACCCCCTGTTTGGCAGGTCTTGAGAGTAATATATGTGAAGATAATCAGCAGCAAGAACAACACAAATGATGTGGCTATAACAAGGAAAAAAATACGGGAATACTTGGGCAAACCAATGCAAAGCAACTAATCTCTTGCCGCCAATGATGGCACCAGCAAAAAGTCGTGTTTTCTTGGCAGGGATCTGATATTGCTTATGCAACTAGTATTGAACTCCGCATGTGCATTGTAAATGCTATAGTAATTGAGTTATAGTCCATTACTTTAACTTGCGAACCATAGATCCTACCGGTCCTACCGTAGCTTCCAAGAAAACAATGGTAGCAAATGTACAGTTATGATTTTCGCAGCGCATCTCGATTACTATGGGGGCTACATTCCATTGACTTTAACGCATCTCATGATATGGGCTTTATTGAATCCCAGTTGCATAGCCAGTTGCCAGTTGCTATGGGTATGTCTCTAGGAGACAGTTTCTTACTTTCGCGATGGAAATCCAAATTGGGTGGTCCATTTAGGTCGCTGCAAAGTGGCTGCGTGGCTGTGAATCCTCCTGTCAAAGTGGTCTATTGCAAGATCGCATGAGTTGCAAAGTCTATATTGGGATCTGACAATACAATGTGTTTGCTTGGTCGATTTTGGATGGACATTGTCATTAAATTTACATTCATCACAAACAGTTCTGGGTGTATACCGTACCATAAATGAAGATGTATGCCCAATCACTAATCACAATCAGCACTCCATAATCAGTCGGTTTCTTTGTAGGCCGTCGAAGAGTCGCTACGGGAAATTCATGTCATTCATGTCCATCCGCCAAGTATTTTGGATGACAGCGTAGCAGTTTTTTAAATCTGTTTAATCCATAGCCATTTGGATGGCATATGCAGCACAGTTAGTCCAGAAACTGCCACTGGGTACAAAGGAACCATGGCGACCTGAGCGACGATTCCTCAATCCCATGGCATTAATAACAATCCAAAACATCTACACACGCAGAACTTTCCTTCATTGTCCATGCTTGATATTATATATAATTATATATATATAATGATATTTATATATTTATATACATATACATATTATTGAGAAGAATAGGTGTTCAATGGTGTTCAAAAAAAAACACCCAATGTTGATAGCCAAGTCATCCAAGTGGCAGGTGCACCTCTTTAGCGAATGGGCGCTCTTTTGGGACCTTTCCAAGAAGGCGCGGGCTGTCGGTTTCCAGGTGATGTTTCCTCGCCACTTACTACCAGAGGGTAGCTACTGGCTGATTTCTTCACAATTCTCCATATACATATATGTATATGTGTGTATATGTAATATCAAGTAATATCTATATATTATTGATGGGAACTCGATATAGCATGCTATAGTTGTACTCGTAGATACTCGGAAGTCCTCGGAGTGGTGTCAGATTCTATGACCAGGCTCCAGAGGCTTAGATGTACCCTATGGATCCATGCCCACTGTCTGAGAAGATACGGATAACCCCCTAAATCATAACCCAACAAGCACTTCTTAAGAAGGTACGGCTGGATCCATAGGGATAGATTTTAGATGATTTTCGTAAGATTCTGCGAAAAAAAATAGTGGAACTTGGTGGTTCATCTCACTTTGTAAATGTGAGAGTTCACCCCAAGTATGGCGTGACATTGCCCTTACTTACCACGCTTACATATAACTGTGGTGAACTGGACTAAGGCACAAATACATGTTTCCCGGGGTGCTCGCCACCAAGTAAGTCATTGAGTTTCCCATATTTCCCTATATGTTCCCATGATTTTCCAACATTTTTCCTCGTCTTCCCGTAATATTTCCACATGTTCCCACAGTTTTCCCATGATATTCCCATGATATTCCCTCTATAAACATCCATTTTTACAGGGGATTCCCAGGTTCTTTTGGAGAAGTCTCCCTCCAACGTGGTCCGGGAGCCAAGAGTAATGGCCTGGGCCGGGGAGACACGTGGGAAAATTCATGGGAAATCGTGGGAAAATATTGGAAAAGACCCTGTAAACGGAGGTTTTCCATGGGAAAAAATCATCGAACTGCTGTGTTTTAAATGGGTTGCAGAATCACGGTGAGTTCGCCTCCATGGTGCCTTTGGAACTGCACCAGCTGGTGATTGGTCTGGTGAATGACTTGTCCGTGTGCATTTTGTGTGTGTGAATATATATCTGGTTGGTGGTTTGGAACATGTTTTATTTTCCATATACTGGGTCGATGTTGTAACAGGTGCCGATGACAAGATCTTATGCCAAATCGTAGTGTGCCTATGGGGAAAGGCCCACATGGGCAGCGCCTATGACTTTAACTTACTGATGTATTTTTTGGCACTTCGCATAGGCACACCATGCTTAACTGTCATATCCTTGTGTGTTTACCCACTATACTTTCAAAGATGAAAGTTGTGGCAATTGTTTACTTTTCCTGGATTTAGGTTGGCAGACAAATTTTAGGGAGTCGTTGCAGTCGCGGAGTTTAGGTGGTGATGTGTGCTTGGCTTGGTTTGCTCTTCTGCTCCACCGCTGAAAGCTCTTGAGTTTTACTGTTCTGACAAGAATGCGAAAGCGTGTGGCTACCAAAGAGTTTGTCAGGAGACTTAGGGGTCAGTCTCCCAAAATTTGATTTTGGACCTCGTTCTCATCTCGTTCGGACCTCGTTAAAATTGCAGCCAGTCAAAACCCAGCCCGGAGAGGTTTTGGAAAGGCTTTGCAATGGTCTGCTGCTGCTGCTGTTGTTGCTTGTGCTGCTGCTTCTGGGCAAAACGCGGTTTTTGGGCAGAGAACCAAGAGATTTGTGAAAGGGCTGGAAGCTGTGCGGAAGAAACCAAAAGCATAAGAAGATGACCTGAAAAAAGAAAGTCGATCTGATCAGCGGTGTGCCATGGGGAAGTGGATGAAAGGGTTGATTGGCATGAAGTAGAATTTGTCATAGAAACCATAGGAATGTAACGTCGATCGCATCCAAGTTTGTATGTTGGAAATGCCATGAAATTTGGTGTGCCATGCGGAGGATGATAGTTCTGACTGTTCAAACAGGCATATGGTTGTCAACTTTTGGTTGACAAGCGTACACTAAACGCATAGTAAATAGATATATTTGAGCTGCCTGCTTCAGCATTAGTCCACTTTGACCGTCGGTGTGCCAATAGGATTTTCACCCGGCGGAAGATTATTGATGTCTGGCGTAAGCCGTGTGCCATGCGGCTGGCGCAAGTTCTAGTAAATGGCGTAGGATCACGCTGGGGCTCGTACTGGGAATAATCATCCCAACTGACTTTCATATTTTCAGAGAGGTTGAAACCACCAACCAGCTATGGATCCAGCCGTACCTTCTTAAGAAATGCGACTGGGTTGCGATTTAGGGGGTTAGCCGTATCTTCTCAGACAGTGGGCATGGATCGGTAAAGCCATCTTACTTGATATTGCGCACCTATGAGCTGGACAATGCTGGACACTGCTGTGACTGAGGCTCTCAACTGACTGAGCATGTCCAGCTACATAGGGGTCCAACAGGATAATTTCTGGACGTTGGTTCTTAGACCCAGTTTCGAAATTCAGGTGCCAAAGATGTTCAATTGTGGGAATAGCAGCATCAAGCAACACAAAGAAAATTGTAAAACGAACTTTTTTTCAAGCCAGCGAGCCTTCTTTTGGTGCTTAAAAAAAACACATTTTTCAACTTGGGTTCACCGGTTCACCGCGGCCAGAGGTTCTTTCACCCTTTCTCCACCGTTTGTGGTCGTTGGATCTCGAGACACCAAGTCCCCTGGACGATGGGAAGCGGTTTGGGGATGTTGGGCTTGTCCGTGGATTTGCAGGTGGAGACAGGAACATAGAAGTTATGAATGAACCAGGGAAGACCTGGCGGGTTCTACCCTCCGGTCAACGTTTACATAGCTATGGAAAATCATGGAAAATCACTATTTTTTATTGGTAAATCCACTAATATCCACTATAAATGGCCATGTTCAATAGCTATGTTTGTTTACCAGAAGGTATTGCTTCTATTGCTTCTAATTCTACATCATTCTTTGTTCCTGAATTCGAATCATTGTAGCCATACAACCAAAGCTTGGCGAAAGTATGGCTGCAGGCAAGTCATCGGCCGCTCCAAACATGGAGAAGGGGATATGAGCTACAGCCAAAATTTAGGTTACTGTAATGGAGAGTAGTAGTATTTGAGACATCTTTGTATTTTGGAAATTGAGCTGGGGCTTGGAAAACGATAATACACTCTTCAAAAAACGATAACATTTGCTTATATACCAAAACCTGAAAAACGATAATGCACTCTTCAAAAATGTATGACTTGGAGCTATATACCAAATATTGACCGTGGCCCATATAGTATATAACCACGGTTGTTTCCCTTTACCAGTTATAAGATGTTAAAAGTAGTATATATAAATCTATATGGCCCCATTTATGGAATGACGACCCCCATGTTTTACCTATTTACAACTGATATTTCGGGCCAAAAAAACTGCACTGTCTCGCAACTGGCCTCGCAAAGATGCGAGGCCCGGGGCGCTTCATCTTCCAACAGCGGCATCCCTTGGCCGTGGCCATCGCCACCAAGATCAAGCTGGGCGCGCAGATAGACGCTGGACGATCGAAGCCGAACGCAGGGGAGGGGTCAAAAGAACTACCCTCTTGGTAAACGTTTACATAGCTGTTGAAAATCACCATTTTGAGTGGGTAAATTGGTAAACTAACATAGCTATGGAAAACAACTATTTTAGCAGGTAAATCAATTATAAATAGGCTGGTATAAACTAACATAGCTATGGAAAACCATTATTTTAACAAGTAAATCAATTATAAATGGGCTGGTATAAACTAACATAGCTGTGGAAAACCACTATTTTAACAGGTAAATCAACTACAAATGGGCCATTTTCAATAGCTACGTTAAATTACGAGGGTATAAAGACTTAATTGCCCTATGGATCCAGCCGTACCTTCTTAGGAAGTAGGACTGGGGTATGATTTCGGGGGTTAGCCGTATCTTCTCAGACAGTGTTTGGATCCATAGGGTTGGTAACGGTGGGGTAGAATTTTCCTGTTAGGGTTGGTAGTTGTGCTTGTAATTTTGTCTTGTAGTTATGGTTTGTATGTTTTGTATTAGAATTAAAAAGTGCCTGGGTAGAAGATGAAGAGACAGTGCAGACAAAATTCTGGAAATTCCTTTTTGCCCATTGCGGCCCTCGGGGCTTGGACGTAACCATGAGATCTGCACAGCTGGATGAAATGCCCTTCCATAGCTCGCCGAGGAGATTGTGAAACTTTGAACACTTCAACTAAATTGTTGTAGGTCGCCGAAATGAGTTTAATAAAACTAGATACATTTTAGTAGAAAACAAAGTTCAGGTCAATAAAATGTTGATGAATATTGTCAACACAACTAAGCTCAGAAAGTGCTGAGCACGCGTATTGTCGGTCATTCCCAACGTGTCCAGTGCTGCAAATACTCCAGCGACCAACATGGTCGATAGCGACCAACATGGATGGTTCAATGATAGATTATCTTGGAAATGTGCTGATTTACTCCCCCAAAAAAGAAGCATATGACGATTTGCTTTGAAAAATCACAATTTTGAATAGGTAAAGTACAGTAAATCGCCTATAAATGGGTTGTTTTCCGTAGCTGCATTAAATGACCGGATCATCATTGATCATATTTATATATATATATATAATTATATATATAATATATAGGTATATATATATATACATATACCCAGTACATTCCCATTGTCCCTATTTCAGATGGTTTAATGCCCATTAAAATCACCCAAAGTGTCCATACATCCATGATATTACCATTATATGATATGATGGAAAATGACCTTGATTCAGAAACCACCAGCCAGTCAGACAGGAACACCTCGCCCCAACTAACCTACCTCGGCAGCGCTGCAAATGCAACATACAACTACCGAGTTCCTAATAAGAGTGATGAGTATTGATTGTGAAGGACTCATAGTGATTGGGAACTAAGTTAGTAATGGCGAATGTATGCTAATGTAATTATGTTTTGTCCGTGTTTGTCTAATAACTACTGATGATGAGATTTATTTGGTTCATGTTGTTTCTTTTCTTATTCCTATAAAATTATCATGTTTCACGACCAATAATGTCTAATCGTACATACATACATAATACCAATAATTGATAGTTACGAAATATGCTGATCATGGTTCCTTTCAATGGCCATTTCAGGAACCTAAATTGGAGGTACCTACCATATATAAGGCCTATTTCTCAGGCCTAAATTTCAGGTAATATCCCCACAAAATATGGTCAAACATATGGTACTAACATACCTCCATTTTAGGATCCTGAAATTCCCATTGATTAGTTATAAGTGGTTGTAAATGGGATTATACATTCTATAAATGGGGTTTTGTTCGTACTTATAACTTATAACTGCTATTTCGGGCCATTGATTCCTTGCTCAAAACCTCGCGAAAGTATGGCTCACCTCACCGTGCCTCGCCGTGCCTTGAGGGCGACGATTTGAGCCTGGCTGATCTGATGGAGAACTGGGTCATGGCAGAGGTATCCTGGGGGCCTCTGGGGCGACCGGAGATGGACATCGGAGAGGTAGAAACTCATCCGTTTGTCCTTTTGTTTTGTTTTTTAATTGACAATAACCAGTTCACCAGCATTGTTTTTGTTTGTTTTTAATGGAAAATAAGCATAACCAGTACTGATCAGCAGAAGATTTCACTTGTTTGCAGGCCTACCAAGGATTGACCATAATATGCTGGATGAGTAATGTAGTTTATTTGGATGGTTAGTAGGTCGGGGGAATCATCCACATCTGTGAATTATGATACTTTTTACAGAGCTAATGAATAAGTAAATGAAGATGCGTTGTGGGGTATACAACACAAGCAAGATGATGTTTGGATTTGTTTGGTGAATCGTGGTGTGTGTGTATATATATATATATATGTATTAATATATTTACATACGGAATATAACCAACTATATTGTCTAATGGGGTTGACTATATTTTTCATGGGTGTTGTAAGGCCGAGAACCGAAGCTTTTGCTAGAAATTACTTTACTTCGAGCTATCCCCACCATGACATCTATACGTTTTGTTACTGGCAAATCTCCTGGCATTCTATCTGACATATCTTCTGGCATTTTATCTGGCATATCTTCTGGCATTCTATCTGGCATTCTACCTGGCATATCTTCTGCAATATGTTCTGGCATATCTTCGGGCACTCTATCTGGCATATCTTCTGGCATATCTTCTGACATTCTATCTGACAAATCTTCTGGCGTTCTATCTGGCAAACATTCTGGTACTTTATCTGGCATACCTTCTGGCATTCTATCTGACATTCTATCTGGCATACATTCTATCTGGCATATCTTCTGGCATTCTATCTGGCAAACATTCTGGCACTTTATCTGGCATATCTTCTGGCATTCTTTCTGACATTTATCTGGCGTTCTATCTGGCATATCTGCTGGCATTCTATCTGGCCGTTGAGGTCCAGCGGTGCAGGCTGAGCTGGGCAGGTCCCAGGTGGGAAGGTCCCAGGTTGAGGTCCAGCGGTGCCCACTGAGCTGGGAAGGTCCCAGGCACACTGAGCTTGGACGTTGGCGAAGAGCTTGGCGAAGAGTTGGCAAGGCAAAAGTGGACGTGGAAGTGGAGGCAGAGGTGGTGGAGGAGATGCTGGCGGAGGAGGAGCAGGAGGAGCAGGAGGAGCAGGAGGAGCAGGAGGAGGATAGCTAGCCGAGGAGGAGGAGGAGGAGGAGGAGGAGAACAACTGTGATAAAATCTAACAACCCTCACCTGGCAGGTGGGAATAAAAGGGATGTAACCCATCACAATGGGAACATATGGGAATATTGGGCTGTACTTTGAAATATATCTATATCATTTTATACCTCCAACCCTTGGATACTCTGGAGAATCTTTGGCAAAGACCTGGCGCTTTGCTACACGTATGGTGGTTCACCAGCCCCCTGCAACGGGATGGTGAGATCACGTCGCCTGGGCTTGGTGAACCATGGCTTGTTATTCAAAGATGCTGGCTGCCATGGCTGCTGGGTTGAAGTCCCAGAGTCTGTAGAGTTGCTACTTTCATCGGATCTGTTGGATATGAGCTACAGCCATTTTTTTTTAGCTTAATGGAGAGTAGTATTCGAGCGGTCTCTACTTTTTGGAAATTGAGCTGGGGCTTGGAAAACGATAATACACTTCAAAAAAACGATAACATTTATTTATATACCAAAACCTGAAAAACGGTAATACACTCTTCAAAAAAATGACTTGGAGCTATATTAGCCAAACATTGACCGTGGCCCATATGGACCATGGATGTATCTGCAATCGATGTTTACACACATGTTTTTTCTTGTGGTACTCACAGGACCTGGATGATGATTTTCGTACTATCTAATCGAATGGTTTGCTTGTTATATCATATATCGTATATCATATATACTATTTTAGCAATACACACATATATCATATATACATTATCATAGTCTAACATACTATATATGTGAATTGAACGGGATAATGCATAGCAGTCCGCAGTCCAGTCAGGGCTCGAGCTGTGTAAATCTTCCAGGATTTTTCCTGGATGATCCAAGGAATTTTCCATGACATTTCACGAAGAATATTAATGGGGATATTGGAATAAGTATATATTAGGACGATTAGTGTGGCTTAATGGGATTTTACTGGGCTTTGGAGAAAACAGTGTATGCAATATGTAGATATGAGATAGAGGTACTCGACAGTATGATATTTGGGTCTGTTGAAAATGGTATACCCGTCAGATGGGTATTTGAATGGTAGACGCAATGATTATGCAGCAAATTTTGGGGTACTCTTTCAAAGGTTGAAGCAAAAGTATTATACCGATTCACCTCATTCCAGTACCAATCAGATGGAATACGTTGAAGTTCTCTAAAGGGAGGAAACTCAAGAGTTCACAGGGCTTCATGATGAAATCACTGGTGACTTGTAAGGTTAGGTTCCCCAGTTAAAAGTCGGTAGAAAAAAAGAAACACGAACTATAGTAACTATAGATATATCATAGATTTTCATACATATATCATGATGTATCTACCATAAACCCACCGTCCCTGCAGGAACGACGCGCCAAGGAGCAGCAGCAAAAGCCTATCGTGTTGGCTGCAGCCCCATAGAAAAATGGAAGTTTTAATGGGAAAATCATGGAAAATCATAGAAAACAACAATATATATGAATATATGAATATATATATATATGGATATATCTGAATATATATGAATATATATATATATATGTAAATATATATATATACATATATGAATATATTTGAATATTTATACATATGAATATATATATATATATATTCACATTGAAATAAGAATATATATATATGAATATATTTAGAATTTATATATATATATATATATGAACATATTTTCATAATTATATATGAATATATATATATATATGAATATATACGAATATATTTGAATATATATATATAAAAGAATATATAGATATATATTAAGATATATATATATATATGAATATATTTGAATTTATATACATATATATATATATTTATTTGAATAAATATATATGAATGTAAATATGAATATATTTGAATATATATGAATATACATATATATATATATATCCATAAATATTCATATAGAATATATATATATATATATATATTTATATCTATATTCATATATATATATATATTCATATATATTCATAAATATTCATATATATTCATAAATATTCATATACATATTGATATTTGAATATATGTATATTCATATATATATATATATATATGTATATTTGTTTTTTTGAATATATATATATATGAATATATTTGAATATAAAGGAATATATATATATGAATATATATAAATATATATATTTGAATATATACGAATATATATGAAAATATATTTGAATAAATATGAAAATATATGAATATATGTATGTATATATATTTATATATATGAAATTTTATTTGAGTATATATGAATATATATATATATCTATATATTTGGATATATATGAAGATATATATAAATATATATATTACACATATTTATGTAGAGCATCCACTATAGATGAAGGTTTACAGCTGGGAACATCATCGAACTAAATGGGCCAGGATATTGAGTCCTACTTCGAGTACTACGGCTTCGGCAAAGATGTCTACCGCATCCTACAATTTGAGGCACTGGCAGTCACTGGCAGTGAAAGAGTGTGGGTTTGTACGTGTTTGTACTATGACTACGGAAAATTGGCTTGGCATTTTCAGTTCATGCGGGTAAAACAATATCATAAGTCAGCCGTGACTGGAAATGGTTGGAATCCCACCTATTTTTGCTCATTTAGGGTTTACCAACATTATTCCAACCAGTATTTGTTTGATTAGAATTTCCCAATAAACATTATTCCAACCGTTAATACCATTATTATGTTGTTATTATTTGTAATGCCTGGAACGATTGTAGTATCCGGTATAGAATTTCCTGGTACTACAATTCCCATCATCATTTTCAGACACACCCTTGAGTCCTTGAGTCAATTATAGTAGTATCAACCCCGGATTTTGTTCCGCTGGTTCTCCGTTAGCCCCAGGACCTGCTTCGCGAGCCTGACAAGGCTGGGAAGAGGTTACCGGTGGTCAGGAAGGTTACAAATGTGGACAGTGCCAGATTTTCCATGGTTGTCCATATGGTTTTCCATATGGTTTTCCTGGCTTTTGGGAAGACCGATATTGAAACTGGTTGGTGGTTTGGAACATTTTTTATTTTCCCCAATAGTTGGAATGATGATCCGATCTGACTAATATTTTTAGAGGGGTTGAAACCACCAACCAGATGATCTAACCAAGAATTATGGGGCTGACTGATACTTCAGTCCGACTTGGATCTTGTGCTATGTTGCTTGGGATACTCTACATACGAACCTAACCAGCAAAGCAATGCTGGATATCTAAGATTGGCAGCTGTAATGAATGAAGCAACTAGGTCTTTCCAGCTGACAGTTCCGGGTACAGCGATAGATGATTGGGGATATAAGGGAATCATTCTCAAAATGGCTTACTTCTGCTCTGCAGTTACAGTTATAGCCCTTAGCAGTTACAACTGTCTTATAATGATATAAATATAGTGGTTAGAACAGTGTTCAAACATTGTCCGTCAGCATGGGAAAATACCCGCGCAAAGCCAATGTTTTGATATTTCCCAGACGATGAACCCTAAACACTAAACCATACCCTAAACCCTAACCGCTAAAACAGTGAGACTTTGAATCCTAAACCAGAAAACACTTCGTATCATGTTCGACAGCACGGTATGCTCCATGTTGCAGTCCGGGCAAACTACTGGGTCTGTGCGTAACCTTAGTTATAGGAGTTGTCATTCCATTTAGAATTGGTTAGGGCCATAGCGGCGTATTGATTTGTTCCAGGAAAACAGGAGAAATATCAGGAGCCCCCTCAATCACCCTTCCAACATGCAGAATAGGATTTTTTTGGCGCTTGACCCTACAAGAAAATGTGCGTGGACTGCGAGGTCTTCAAGTATGTACACAAACATACACATCTTAGATATTTGCGTATTTACATGTTGAATACATAACTGGTTGGTGGTTTCAAACATTTTTTATTTTCCGTAATATATGGGATAATCCTTCCCATTTACTAATATTTTTCAAGATGGTTGAAACCACCAACCAGATAAAGATGTACGATGATGTACATTATGTGTGCAATATGTTTGTCATCCATCATTTTGCACAGTACGGTGTGTAATTTCGCACTGTGTCGACGGATAATTTAGGTCCATGATCATCTTGATTAAATCATGAGGTCATCATAGGTCCACAGCAGGTGCTCGGAGAGATTTTCCAGTGGCTGGGCCTCGCTCCCGCAGCAGTGCCTAAGGTTTGTTGGGGGCCGGGAGATGCTAGTAGCAGTTGTGGCCCTGGCATAAACCAGTTATGGCCATGGGATGAAATAACTCCAATAGTTGGTGAAGAATAAGTAGAAATAAGCCAGTTATGACATGTTATAACTGGTTTTGATGGCTGGAACTGAAGGTTTCATGCGTTGAGAACAAAAAATCTGAGAAAATGGAATGGTGATCCCGCTTCGTTGAGGTATAGTTTAAGGGACATCCTAGAAATCTAGAATTGGTTTAAGCAAAAAATGATCCCAGGAGGCAAACACATGGTTTCCTGCAAATGTTTCCATCAATCAATCCAAGGGAGCTAGTAACTGGCTTGCTTCACCCATTTTTCAGGAACGATGCTAAAGGACAGTGTTTGGCGATTAAAACATCGTTTTAAACCATTCAACTGGTATCATCCAATCGTTACATCAGCACCATTTGACATGCGTTCATTTTTCAGGCTGAAGCCACCTTCGCAGTGGCGTGCAAGATCGCCATTTCCAGTAGCCAGTTGGGTTGGTGATCCATGCTTTTGGCTTCTCTTATCTACCCTCAGGTAAACAAACATAGCTATTGCACATGGCCATTGATAGTGGATTTACCCATTAAAAATGGTGATTTTCCATAGTTTTGTTAGTTTACCAGAGGGTACTCAATAGAACGCGGGCTTCTTTCCATGGGTGTCTCTGTTGTGGAAGATGAATCCTCGAAGTTGTGTTAGTAATGCAGGCAACCCAATAAACCGACCATTTACAGCAGCCATAAATTTGTGATTTTGCGAATGGGTTACTATTGGGTTTATCAGAGTAAATCATGTAAACAATCCCCAATTTTACCATAAATGAATGGTATAAATCATCAAACTATGGGTGGTTTATGATTGCTTTACCAACAGTAATTATCATCATTTACCACTATTAACCACTTTTAACAATTCATTTTGGGACGCATGACCTTTGTATGATGACCCAATCAGGAGATTGGACCATTCCAGTCCAGTCTAAAAGGGCTCCTTTTTTGGACCATTGAGATTGGCAAGTGCCACCATTTTTACTTGGTGGTTTATCCTACTTAGTAAGTACTGCAAATGTCTCACATGGCCCGAAATACTACCTATGCGTACTAACAAAAGTCCATTTATAGAATGTAAAATCCCATTTATAACGAGTTATAGCTAATCCCACTTAGGAAGTAGGTTGTAACCACAGCTGTAAGTGGATTAACCCTACTTATCCCACTGGATGAATTGGGGATATAACCTACTTAGGATTCGTGGGATGAGCCAGCAAGTACTTGATTTGTGTTTTTTGTGGGTTTTGGTGTTACGACTTCACCTGAATTTTTCTGCGTTTTCACGAATTCTCCTCAGAACTCCCCCAGCATTGAACTGGACAAAACCAGGGATGGTGAAGCAATGTGAACCGCTCTGAATCCAATGACCTGGAGTGATGGCCCTTAACAGTATGAACTGGCGTATTTGCATGCAGCCTTAGTGATAGGAGTGACATACCCTCTGGTAAACGTTTACATAAGTTTACATAACTATGGAAATCACAATTTTTAGTGGGTAAATCAACTATAAAAGGCCATTTTCAATAGCCATGTTAAATTACCAGAGGGTAATTCCATTTATCAGTGTAAAGTGTAAAGTGCCATAACTGTGTACCTTTCCAGACTTTGAACCGTTAATGGAGAGGTGTTTTTTTCACCGCGAAGCTTCCAGGGCAAAGTGATGAGTGATGTGAATCTGAAGCATTTCAAACACTACTGCGTGTGGCATCTCAGAAGTATGGCGCTGCCGCGTTGGTCAAGTGGATGTCGATGCATCAGACTGGCAATTCTTGGTAATGTGGGTAAAACAATAATAAACCATCCCCCAAATCACCATAGACCAGAGATAGGTACTGATAGGTGGGATTCCAACCATTCCCAGTCATGGATGGTTTATGGCATTGTTTTACATTACAGGGGTTGGTAAATGTCCCTATATCTTGAGGGGATTTTGAACACCACCGGAACGGGTATCTGTTGGAGATTAGGACATGTACCAGCACATCTTTGCGCCATTTTTTGCGCCATTTTGTGACGGAAACCTGTGTGAGTAGCCCCTTGGTTTCTCCGTTGATTTTGTGTCTGGGAATCAACGACATCTCAGCACTTCTCCTTCAGCATGGCTCAAGCTCTGTGCAGCAAAAACGTTTAAACTCTTTAAATCCTGGGACGATCCCGCAAGTTTGTATGTGGCTTGTGTCAGCTTGTATCCCAGATATTCGAACATGATTGGAGGACATTACTACCTAGGACATGATTATGCTGTACTTACAACAGGTCTACTATATGTCTACCGGTAGTACCGCACAAGGCGGTGGCGGAAGTTTCAAAAATAGGAAACCTATAGGAGAGGTTGGTTGTTGTGAATCACGGATGGCAGAGCGAATCCACTGATGGACGGAAAGGTGGTTGGAGTTGTGTTTTCTGGAGTGGCTGCAATGGTTGCAGTGGTCACCTCACCACAACTGTTGGATGTAGTGTGGTGTAGTGCAGTTGTAGTTGCATTTGTAGTTGTAGTGTAGTGGAGTTGTAGTTGTAAGTTGTAGTTCTAATGTGATGTAACTAGTGTAGTGCAGTTGCAGTTGAAGTTGCAGTTGTAGTTGTGGTGTGGTGTAATTAGTGTAGTATCTTGTAGTGTACTTTAATGTACTGTAGTGTTGTGTACTGTAGTGTGGTATAGTGTAGTGTAGTCTAGTGTAGTGTAAAGTAGTGTAGTTGTTTGTAGTTGTCGTGTATTGTAATTAGTGTAGTGCAGCGTAGTGCAATGCAGTGGCAGTTGTAGTTGTAGTTGCAGTCAGTTGTAGATGTAGCGTAATGTAATGTAATTAGTGCAGTGTAGTGATGTGTAGTGTTGTGCAATGCAGTCTAGTAGTCGTAGTTGCATGTATATTTTTGTAGTTGTACCGTGCTGCAGTTTAATTAGTGTAGTGCAGTGAATGTCGTGTAGTTGTACTTGTAGCTAGTAGTAGTAGTAGTAGTAGTAGTTTAGTAGTAGTTTAGTAGTAGTTTAGTAGTAGTTTAGTAGTAGTTTAGTAGTAGTTTAGTAGTAGTTTAGTAGTAGTTTAGTAGTAGTTTAGTAGTAGTTTAGTAGTAGTTTAGTAGTAGTTTAGTAGTAGTTTAGTAGTAGCTTAGTAGTAGTTTAGTAGTAGTTTAGTAGTAGTTTAGTAGTAGTTTAGTAGTAGTTTAGTAGTAGTTAGGAGTAGTTTAGTAGTAGTTTAGTAGTAGTTTAGTACTAGTTTAGTACTAGTTTAGTACTAGTTTAGTACTAGTTTAGTAGTAGTATAGTAGTAGTAGTAGTAGTAGCAGCAGCAGTAGCAGTAGCAGTAGCAGTAGCAGTAGTCGTAGTAATAATAGTAGTAGTAGTAGTTGTTGTTGTTGTTGCAGTTGCACTTGTAGTTGTTGTCGTAGTTTTTGTCTGTCTATCTACCAAATCTATTCATCAATCTGTCTGTCTATCTATCTATCTATCTACCTATCTATCTCTCTCTCTGTCTGTCTCTCTGTCTATCTGCAAGCTTGAAAACGAAGCTATTCTGCGAGACTTCCTCAGTTTTTGAACTTGACAACATCAGAAACGCAGCAATTCAGTGAGACTTCCTCAATTTTTGAACTTGACAACGTCAAAAACAAAGCAATTCTGCGAGACATCCTCATTTTTTTAAGTTGACAACATCAAAAACGAAGCAATTCTGCGAGACATCCTTCAAAAATGGATAGTTGAGTGCAGAGCTGATGGCCTCGTACCAATGCGTTTTGCGATTTTTCGACTCCACCTGTCTAACCACAAAAAAGTGATACCGGGTCATACGAAGTGCTGCGCAAAATCATCTCAACAAACCTGAAGATCTGATGCTCCAAAATGCAACCCATCTCAGGAAATCAGCGCCCTCACCTCCTAACAATTCTGATGAACATGTCTCTTGTACTGCGCCTAACACACGGAAAATGCATCTTTGCAGATCCTCTTCAAATGCCCCACGCCTGCCATCGTTTTTGGAAATGATACAAAACCCTCACGTTTTGCTCACTTTTGACAAGGTGCACAATCCCGTGCGCCTGCCACACGAAACGACATCTGAGCGTCCAAAAGTGGTCCGAGCATGTGGTGTCTTTAATATTTTGACTTCGAAATGTGCTTCGCGCCACAACGGCGTGCTTTTTTTCGACATCTCAACTTCCAAAAGTGCTCTGAACCTGTCAGTTTTTTTACACTTTTGACTTCGAAATGTGCTTCGCGCCGCAACGGCGTGCACTTTTTCGACATCTCAACTTCCAAAAGTGGTCCGAAGCTGAGGTGCTTTGTACATTTTCACTTCGAAACGTGCTTCGCGCCACAACGGCGTGCACTTTTTCGACATCGCAACTTCTAAAAGTGGTCCGAACCTGGTGAGGTGTTTTGTACATGTTGACTTGGAAATGTGCTTCGCGCCACAACGGCGTGCAATTTTTCATCTCTCATCTGGCCAGCTGGCTCCGCACCCGCCGCTTTAGCGAGCCTACGTTTCGACCCTCCGGAGCCACAA